ATCTCTAGTTATTTATCTGCTTTTAATATCTAGAAACTTAAAATATAGTCTAATTATAATATTATAATAATAATATTATAATAATAATATTATAATAATAATATTATAATAATAATATTATAATAATAATATTATAATAATAATATTATAATAAATAAAAAATAATAACTTTATATTTTAGTATATAAGTCTTATAAAAAATACTAATAACTATAATAGTAGTTTTAAAATAGCCTATATATATATTACTTTTAAGGCTACTTTTATATAAAAGATATTACTTATTTATTTTACTATTTAAAAGAAATATAAAATAGAAAGAATTATTTCTAAAAATAGAGAACTTATTACTAAAAAAAGCTTATCTAAGAAATTTAAGAAAAAGAAAAATAAAGAGCTACTAGCTGAATTCTAAAAGCTTAGTAAATACCTTAATATTAGAGCTTCTATTCTATAAAACCTAGCTAGAGAAAAATAACTAAATCTTTTAGTCTCTTTACTAAAAGTACTATTACCTATATTACAAGTATCTTATATAATACCTTTTCCTATAGCTTTTAATATATTAGTATTCTAAACTACCTAAAAAACAATTTCTATTAAAATAAAGCCTATACTAATAAATACTTCTTTATTACTAGTAATTACTTCTAAATAGCTTAATTAAAACAAGCTTTAAACTATTATTATCTAATTAAAAGCCTTTAAAAGTATAGTAGAATTAGTAATATAATATTTAATTAAAAAGCCAATTATATATACCTAACTTGCTTTTACTAGTCTGAGATTTTATAACTATATAATTCTATTAGCTAATATACTTCTCTTTTTTAAAAGTATTATAAAAACTAAGCTCTTTTTACTAATTTCCGGAAATTAATTTAATTATACTAATTCTAACTATAAAGCTATTAATATTTCAGGGCTTCTAAAAGATCAGGTTTTCTACTAAAAAAAAGTCTTAGTATTACTTTCTAGTATCTAGTCTAGTTAAGTACCTTTCTATATTAGTAATAATAGTATCTCTTAAAATATATCTATAGAGAATAGAATTACTAAATAAAGAAATTCTAATAATAACTAAATAAATTCAAGAAAAATAACTAGATTTTCTAAAAATAAAGTTATTAAATAGTTTACTATAGGTAATATTATAGTATTAAAGTTTCTAAAAAATTCCTATATTTTAACTAATATAAAAAAAATCTTTAAAAAAATTATATTTATCTCTTATAAAAATTATTATAAAATATAAACTTAATAGAATATTATAAAAAAGATATTTCCGGTAATAGAATTTATAAGAATTATAAAATTAGTTACTAATAAGATTAAAGTTTATAATTCTAAAACTAAGCTATCTCTTATAAAAATAGCTAAGGCTACTAAATATACTTCTATTACTAAAAGAAAATTTATTTCTTATAAATATACCGGAGTTTATAATATAAAATACTATAAATATTATAAAAAAAGCAGAAAATACTTAGTTTATTATTATAAATTAGTAAACTAAAATTATAGAATTCTGGCTAATCTAGTATTATAAAATAATTCTATTTTAGAAAATAATTCTATCTAAAAGAAAGAAATAAAGAAATAAAAAATAAATATAACTAATAAAGTAATAAAGAAATAGCTAGATTAAATATACTTTATTTCTTAACTAGAATATACTATATATAAATAGCTATATATTCTTTATTAGAAAGTATTATATATAAATAGCTATATATTCTTTATTAGAAAATACTACTTAAAAATATAATAAAAGATATTCTCGAAAAAAAATATATATATATATTTAGAAAAATAATATAAAGATTAGTAATAAAGAAAATAAAGAAGCTACTTAATAGATAATTAATTAATAAATAATTAATTAAATATATAGGATTCTTATTAATTAGTAAACTAAACTATTAAAACTATTCTAATTTATATAATTATATATTTACTTTTATATAACTTTATTATTAGCTTAAGTATTTCTAGATATTTTAGAAGAAATAATTAAATATATAATATAATAAAATCTCTCTAACTTATACTAGTATATATAATTCTTATAGCCTTTTATAAGAAGCTTACTAAAAGAGCCTATTAACTAAATAAAGATTTTATTTATACTAAGAAATTTTAAAATAGAAGCTATAGATAATTTCTTTAATATAGCTAAGAAAATAGATTATAACTTTAATAAACAAGATAATATTACTATAATAAAAGAATAGCTTACTAGTAATAAGTATTAAGCTTATTTTTAAAAAAATATTAACTTTAAAAAAAGAATAAAACAGATTATTAAGACTTCTAAATCTATTCTTATATTATAAACTTTAAAAGCTTATACCTTATTAGTACTAATTTCCTCTAAAAAAATTATTACTAATAATCATTTTTTAGATTTTATAAGTAATTTATAACTTTTATTATTACTAGATATTTCTAATAAGGTAAAAATAACTTTAATAATACTTTATCTAAATATCTATAATATATCTATAAGTAAATTAAGTCTATTTACTAAATAAAAGGCTTATTATAACTAAAGAAACTTCTTAACTTATTAGAAATAAGAAATTATATTATTATTTATTTATATATCTTAAAAATAAAAACTATAGTAAGCTTTTAGTTTATTTCTATATATTTTTAGTATTATAATAGTTCTAAATAAATTCAAGTCTATAGAATAGAAAAGTAATAAGGAAATTTCTTATTATTACTAACTATTTCAAAATATATATAAAAGCTTTAAATAAGCTTAAGGTAAATTCTTATTTCTAATAATATAACTTTATTTAATTTATTACTAATAAAAATTAGGCTATAGAAAGTAAAGTATTAACTAGCTCTTATATTTTAATAATAAAGAACCTTTATAAGATATAAGAGTTTAATTAATAGCTCTCTATATAAGAATTTAAAGAAAAGCTTATTTATAATAAGTATATTTATACTTAAAATAGCCCTTTATATCAGAAAATAATATAAGATTATATATTTTACCAGATTAATATTTAAGATTAAATTATATAAAGAAATACCCTATTTATAAGGTTTCTCTTAGATTTCTAATTAATAATATTTAATTTAGGAGGCCTCTACTTTTATAAAGTATTTTAGATATAACCTCCTTAATATTAGTATAGATTTCCGATTATATAGAATCTACTTTCTTTATTAAGAAAGCTACCAGTAGCTTTACTTAAAAAAGAGGTAGAATTTAAGACAAATTTATAATTAAGGTAATTAGAATACTAATTTTAATTCAAGCTCAATTATTAGGTATTTAGTAGGCTAAAATAATAATTTAATAATATAAAGGAAAACCTATATAAACCCTAATTAGTTTAGAAATATAAAGTACTATATTTATAGAAGAAAATATACTTATATTAGTAAATAAAATATTAATAAAAGGTATACTTAAAAAAAATTACTAATACTATAGTAAAATACCTAAAACTATAGTTAATAGGCAGAAATATACTCAAATTTCTAGCTATTCAGGTATATACTTTTCTATTACCCTAAGATTAGTTACTAACCTCTATAATTAATTCATTATACTCCTCTGCCTATCTCCTTCGGGGGCAGGGGCAGCTAGTAACAGGCTACTTATAAGAAGCCCTATTCCACTTCAGTTCAGGCTCTAGAGCATTATTCCAAACCTTTACTAGGGAGTTGAAATTAGTATTCTGCTTCTTTAAAACCAAGCTTCTACTTAATACTAAGCAACTATAGTTTTCGGCATTATACTATAGTATTAGCAAAGCCCTACTTAAAGAGGGTAGCGTCTTGGGAAAAAGCCTTTACTATATTCCCTATAAGCGAGACTACTATACCTTTTACTATATAAGAAGTAGAAAGCTAGAAACAAATATAAAAGCCTAGGGTTAGTATAAGTAGATATCTAATATTAATATAAAATTTATAGAAGGTTATAAATACGAAAATAAGAGATTTTTGGAAAAAGTACAGATTACCTAACTAAACCTAAGCAAGACTACTATACTTTAAGGATTAAAATCTAAAAAGAAATAGTACTTTAGAAGAAGCCGACATTTCGAGCCAGTAGCTTTAAGACAAAGATTAAATATAAAAAGCATACTTTTTTTGGGTGTTTTTAGTAATGGAATCATATATACTATATGAAAAGCTAATTACAATTTTTTTTTAGCAGGGTATATATATACACCGGCAGAAAAAAATACTATGCCCTATTAGTATTTATTTTCGGAATAAATGTAGCTCTGCACGTGAATATAGTTTGCACGTGAATATAGTTTGCACGTGAATATAGCTCTATATATATATACAGTCTGCATATAAATACAGCTTTATATATAAATATAACTTTATATTAAATAATAAGAAATAATTAAAGACTTAAAAAAAAACATATAAAGAGTTTTTTTTTAAGATTTAATAAATATTTCTTTTATAAATTATTTATATAACTTTAATAATTAAGCTATAATATACGTAAAGTAAGCTTTTAGTATTAGTAGAAATAAGCTTTAGAGGTCCTAGTTCAAGCGTAATCTCTTTTTACGTTACAGGAGAATTGGAGTTAATCTGAATTCAATAGGGACTATTTCATTCTTTCGTGAGACTCTGCACAGTATCTGAAAGTTAAATCAAACCCCGTTTCTCCGAGAATTAGTCCCGGATCTGATGTTGTATTAAAGGGTTGAACTATTTGTACACGTGTTATTGAGGACAAAATGACACTCAACCAAGCAAGACTTTCTGGTAAGAAGAAAGATAATGTTTCCCATGATTTGACGGATTGTTGTGCCGGATTGTGAGATCTTGAAGTTCTTCGAGAAGCCCAAGCCATCATGAAGAAGATTCAGTTGGCTGTAGTCTGGTAGGGCAGAGCTGGTTCGCGTGATCGATAAACGTGGCGTAGGACTTTACCCGGAACCTATCAGCATTCATCAACATGACAGGATGAAGCACAACTTAAACATTATTAACGATTCTCAAAAATGTGGCTCTTGAACACAGCAACTCTCGAGCTCAAAGACTTCGTAGGAGCAGGCATTCCACCGTATGCCATCCTCTCACACACATGGGGCGACAACGAAGTTACCTTCCGGGACATCCGCAAAGATCGTAAGGCTGCAAAAGGGAAGGCAGGATACACCAAGGTCCAGAAATGTTGCGAGAAGGCCCTACAGGATGGTCACCGATATGTATGGATTGATACATGCTGTATCGACAGGAAAAGTAGTGCTGAGTTGTCGGAGGCCATTAATTCCATGTACAGGTGGTATGAGGAATCGAAAGTCTGCTATGCTTATCTTGAGGACGTTCCGGGCAAAGGATCATCTGAAACTGTCGAGATTAATGAGGCGCTGTCAAAGAGTCGTTGGTTTACGAGGGGTTGGACTCTACAGGAACTGATTGCACCCTATTATATTGAGTTTCTGGGACGTGATTGGGGAGCCATTGGGCTCAAAACGACAATGGGGAGTTCTTCCCAAGCTGCTCTATAGCTTCCCACAGCCAGAATCAATGCTGCGATCTTTGCAGGGGCACTTACAGAAATCACGGGCATCCCTGCGAAAGTGCTTCGCGGTGAGTTGGATATACAAGTGGTCCCGGCCGCTCAAAAGATGGCATGGGCAGCCAAACGACTCACAACACGAGAAGAAGACCTTGCATACGCACTCATGGGCCTCTTCGGCGTGAGTATGCCCATCTTGTACGGTGAGGGGCTAGAAAGAGCATTCCGGCGACTCCAACTTGAGATCATTCAAACGAATACAGATCAATCCATTTTCGTCTGGCGCTCAAAAAGGTGGACTAGTGGTCTATTGGCAGACTCCCCCAAAGACTTTGCTGAGTCGGGGCTAGACTTTGTATGGAGGACCACGACGCTTCAGCCATACTCGATGACGAATCTGGGATTGGCTTTGAACCTCCCCGTTATTCATAGAAGAGATGGAAACCATCACGTGGCATTCCTGAGGTGCTGTAAGTGAACCCAGGCTTTTATTAATGGCCCTAAAACGCAAACGACGGAGCGCATGCCTTTCCTTTGCTCCCAATGTCAACATTCATTTGCTTAACACGCTAGAACGCCACGTGACTAACTGAAGGTCCTAGGGGTGCAAGATGGCCATAAGTATAGAAGGATTGGGCTATTCTTGGATCGAGTAGAGCGTTCGAAAGCCAGCTTGAAGGGATCTGAAACAGAACTCTACAAGCGTAAACGGTGTGAAACCTTTGAAATGATTAAATGTCCAGATCAGGAGGCGAAATGAAAGCAGATCTATGTTTTGCAAGATAAACAAGCTGACCACATTGACCTGATTAATGGTATTTATTAAGGCCTAAAGGGGCTATGGGAATAATATGGTATATATTAGTGTGTATATTAGTATAATAGTAAGGAATAATAGTGCCCTAAAGGCGGGAAAGAAGCTATATATAAATCTGTATGTAGCCTATATATAGCACGTGATATGCCCTCTCAAAAGGAAGGAAACGTTCCCGTTAAGCCTAGCCCACGCCGTCTAAATAGGCCATTTTCCCCTTAATATAAGCTAGGAAAGAGGAACGAATAGAGCTCGTTATAAGAAGTGAGCTCGTTAGAAGAAGGGAGCTCGTAAAAAGAGCGAGAGTGAGAGGAAGGAAAGAGCTCTTTATAAGAGTAGGAATAAAGGGGCTCGTTATAAGAGCAGGAGTAAAGGGTTATTCTTTATCTACTTCGTCTTTATTAGCGGAGGTAGAGGGGCTCGTTATAAGAGCAGGAGAAGAGGCTTATTCTTCGTTTTTATCTTCTTTATCTTTGTTTTCTTTATCTTTATTTTCGTCTTTTTCGTCTTTATTAGCAGAAGTAAAGGGGGAAGGAGAAGTCGGTATATTTCGTAAGACTATCTAGTAAAGGGCTTGAGTAATTTATTATATTTAAGTATTATTAAAGCTATCAAATTATAAAGGGGTTTTAAATTATGAAATAAGAGTAGCGCAAAGCTTAGAGACAGGAATATATAAGAAAAGATAATATTCCAGGGATATAAGCTCTGTAAAATACTAAAAGAGAGCTATATTATAAAGATAGAGAGGGAAAGCTATATAAATATTATTATACTAAGTCTCTATAAGATATAGGAGTATGTCTATAAATACGTAAATATCTAAAAAAATCACTATCTTTCCCGTTATATCTATACCTTGCGAATTAAAATATCTAATATCCGCTACTTGCAGGCAAGAAGAAAGAGGGCTTATAAAAGTATTTATAAAAGGGTTTATAGAAGGAATAGGGGCTATTCTAAAGAATAGCGTAAATATAAGTTAAGAACTTAATTAAGAGCTCGTAAGGTATTAATATAGAGGTCGAGATCTTATAGGTAGGATATTAATTTAGAAATTAATTATGAATATAAAGTACTAAGATATTAATATAGAGGTCGAAAATCTTAGGGCATTACTACTATATTAAGGCCTAAAGAAGCTATGGGAATAATATAAGTATATATTAGTATAATAGTAAGAAATAATAGTGCCCTAAAGGCAGGGAAGAAGCTATATATAAATCTATATATGGCTTATATATAATACGTAATAGTATTAAAACTAAAGAGTATATAGCTTAATATTAGTACTAGCTAATAATAAGAGAAGCTTTATTAATATAAGTTAAGGAATAAAGAAATACTATAACTTCAATAAATAATTAAGGTTATAAATAAAATTAATATAAAAGGTTATAAGAATAATATATATTAATAAAGATTAATAAATATATAATAAATTAAATTTCTTAGAAGTAATTAAAGCCGAATTATATATAATATTTTAGATAAGAGAATTACTAAATAAGAGGCTTTCAAATTTCTAAGAAAATTAAGGAAAAGAAAATTTATAATTAAAATTTAATATAATTATTATATATAAGATATAAAAGCCTTAATTATATTTAAATAAAAATTATTATACTATAATAATAAAAAAAATAATTAATTATTAATAAATAATATAAATAGTTTATTTTATTTTATTTTATAAGTAATATAATAGAAATATAAGAAATAAAAAAAGAATTCAAAAAACTTAAATTAAATTATATAAGAAAAATTATATTAAATAAATAAAGTAAAGTAAAGTAGTAAGTTCTATTTATACTTTATTTAATACTTATTAAATATATACTAAAATAGTATATTATATATAAGTATATATTTTTATATATGAGTTCCTTAAGCTAGTTTTTAGTTTTAAACTTACTTTAAAAGGCTATATTATATTTAAAAGTAAATAAAAGTTAAGATAAGCCTCATATATTTCTTTTTTCTTTAATTTATTATTTAGAAGTTATATATATTAAGTAGTATATAATTATTATATTAATTATTACTAATATAATAAATATATATTTAAGTAATTTAAATAGTTTAAATATTTCTTTAATATACTAAATTAAATATATAAAAGTAAAATAAATAAAATAAGTACTTAGCTTTTATTATATATAAAAGCTTTTATAAAAGCTATTTTTTTTAAAAGACATATAACTTGCTTAAAAAAAGATTATATATAATAACTTAAAAATTATAAAAGAATAAAAAATATATATATAAGAATTTTATATTTTAGCTTTATAATTTATTATTCTCTAATTTAAAAGCTTTTATATATAAAGAAAGCTAGTTTTATATATAATATAATAGGATTAAAATTTAGAGGTAATAAATTAAAGACCTAAAAATTATATTTTTAAATAGATTTTAAGTAGCTTTGAACTTATATATATATATATAAATACCAAAAACTAAAAAATTCTCGATTTTCTAATAACTTAATACTCACATATATAAGGCTAATAAAACCTATAATATATGTGACGGCTGGTGTTACACGGTTAATACAGACATGGTTTCAAGCTAAGGTTCAAACCAAGCTCGGCGATTTAGTTGTTTTAGTCTTACTTACTTATCCACTACCACACCTCACTTCTCTTCTTCTCTCCTTAGCTTTAGATTCTATAAGACAGGAAAAGAGATCTTTGTGCCATATGTCCATTGCTCTGCTCCGCCGTCACAATATAAAGTAACTAGAGCATGCGCTTTTGCTTTATAAAAATAGATTTATATTTGGAAGCGTAGTTGTTTAGTAAATAATGGAAGTAAGGTGAGTAAAGCATGGGGTGTGAATTTGATGTGAACGGCGCTAAATTAGAGTATTGATGCTGGTTTTTCACTGCACTGTATACCATGTGTCGGACCTCCGACCTGCGCTGGCACATCACACGCTTACGGCCTTCCGTAAATCAAGACTTTGGGGAACAGAAACAGCTGCTCATTTCCTCACGTCGCAGTCAGGCTGGATATTACAAATAAATCCTCTCCAAATATAGAATAACTCATTTAAACTGAGTTATTGCACATCACAAGCTCCTCTCATTGAATATCCCGGAAGCTCAAGTATATTGAAATCTTATCGTAGATGAAGGTCCAGATTTGAGTGGGGCTCGTGAGGATATTGAAATGAGGAGCACTTCTCTGTTCACCGCGAGTCTATTTCCCGACAGGGGGAGCCTCTTAGGAGTGGGTCCAACCACGACTATTGGTCAATTATTGCGAGATCTCGTGACATCTGCGAAGCGACTTGTGTCTGTGGAGAAATGATTCCGACAGAGTTCTGACGGTATAGCCGCAGGCATGCACTAATTTTAAACCCTGACTTCAAGCACAGGTGCTTACGTTAGACAAAGGAGGCAGTGATCCACGTACAAGCCCTCGTAGATATAAATATCTTCCTCTTCGACTTGACAGCACTCATTCAACTGCACTGGACTTGAACCTTGGCAAATATGGCGGAAACACAATTCCCTATACCGACAGACTTCCAAGATCAGGTCCACTTCGTTGAGCCCACCGAAAACCGATCCGACGACGAGATCCTCTCATCCCTCACGAAACATGTCCCTGTAACAAGCGAAAAGAATATCTGGGCATATTGGCACGCAGGTCTGCCAGCAATGCCGCCATGGTGTCAACGAAACATAGTCGGTTGGATGAAGATCAACCCTGGCTGGACAATTCGAGTCCTCGATACCGTTCTGGACTCGCCGAATCACGCGTTGAAGTTCGTTCCTCCCGAAATGCTCCCAGAGACATTTGTCAAGGGCACAATGGACGGTCCTTACAAGGGACCGCACAGCGCAGACTTCCTTCGTGGCGCCTTGCTTTATCTCCATGGCGGAGCCTTCATGGATGTGGGAATTATCCTCTTCCGACCCATGGATCGAATCTGCTGGGCACAACTCGAGGATCCAAAATCCCCGTTCCAAGTCAGCGTTCCAAACATGTACGGAACGGTCATGGCAAACCACTTCGTTGCGAGTCGGAAAGGAGATCCATTCATCAAGCGCTGGCACGACCTTTTCGTCTATCTGTGGAAAGGCCACGCGAATTATTCTGGCATGATTCAAAGCCCCCTCTTGTCGTTTGCCTTGGGTCTAGATTTCTCGGAACCACAGAAACGCGGCTATAACTGGGAATTCATCGTTGAGCCGCTCACGGTCTTCGAATATATTACTCAAGTGACGGCTTTTCTTCGTCTCACCATGCTCGAGGATGCAGGAGACGGCTTCAGCTGCGCAGATTATTCAGTTAACAATATCCTTTGGTTTGACGCCCTGGAGGAAGATTGGGGTGCAGAGACGATAGTTGGTTATCGTGGTGAAGATGCTGCCAATGCGCTGGCAACCAAGCTCGATGCAGACCCGGACTCGGAGGAGTACAAGACGGCGTACAAGTTAGTGTGGAGACTCTTGACGAAGTCGAGCATGCAAAAGATCACCCACGGAAAAAATCTCACGAAGACGCCGGCTTGGGGTCTCATCTGGGACGAGAAGGGAAATGAGAGTAAAGACATCGAGCCTGGGACTTTTGCCGAGCTACTTCGATACGGGGCGGTGCGATTTGAGCAGGCAAGAGAAAGTATCGAGTATGTGCAGGCTGAGAAGCCTGCCCAGACTATGAAGAAGGGAGTTTTTGAGCCCTGAGTTTAATCGAGGTCTAGAATCGTCATTGCATTACCTGGAAGGTGGAACTTTTCGTTCTAGTTTTTAGACTGTTATTTAATTTGTTCGATGTCTGACGGGTCCGTAATGTGAAGGCACAAGAGTCATCCCCCTATCGCCGTACCACGGTTCTCCTGTACACACTTTCGCCCATTGAAAGCCAAAAACCAAGTTAACTGCAATGTAAAACAAAGTTTAAAGTCGGATATTTGAAAAGGTCCCGAGAGTCTCATAACATTCGTGTTTGAAACCCTTCCTGCATCGCCAGAATAATTTCGTCCCAGCACCCCAAAACCACTACGTTTTCCTTACCTTAATCCATAAATCCATATAAAATAATGCGATCTTCGCTCGGGAGTGCTGAGAGTGTGGAGGAGCAGGTTCCTAGCAGCGACAAGGGGAACGGACAGACCGTACAGATTACTGGTCACGGTGAAGGTCGCATCGGATCCGCGCTTGCTTTTCCATTCCACAGGCATGGATGCCGCGTCTTCACGACAGCTCAAAATCTTGAAAAGGCACAACATTTGACGAAAGCTGGGATTGAAGTACTAGAACTGGATATTTGGACGCAGTGAGCTGTAGGAAGGCCGCTGAGTGGGTGAGCAAGGTGATGGGAGGAACGCTGAATGTACTTGTGAACAATTTCGGGGTTTATGAGTTACGCTCTTGGGACAGCGACAGATAGACTAGAGTGAAGAGAAATACTGATTGAGATGGAAAGGATATATAATGCTCCTCCTTGATGCGGATATCGCTGAGGTGAAGAGGGTATATAGACGAACGTCGTCGGCATCATCCTCACGGTTCAACCTTTTGCCCCTTCTTTAATAGCTGCTGCTCCCAAACCTCAAATTGAAGGGGGAGGAATGATCATCAGCCTCAGAAGCATTGCCGAATCTGTCCCGTGCCTTGGGGACCGATCTACAATGCTAGCAAGGCGGCAGTTAACAACCTCACAGATACTCTCCGCATTGAGATGAAGCCGCTGGGGGTTAAGGTTATTCTTGTTTGTGCTTCCCTTACCGCCTCCAAGTCGTATCTCTGATAAGTTCCAGGAAACTACAGCTTTGGTGAAATCTCACTTCCTGCAAAATCTCCACACCACATCCACCTTACCAGAGACTTCCGTCTACAGCCCCGCAAAATCCATCATTGACCCTTGGATGTCGGGAAAAAGAGCAGTTGATGTCGCCTTGAATGTTGAGGTCTATGCTGAAACTTTTGTGGAAAATGTGTTAAGCAAGAGGCTGAAGGCGAGGTATTGGAGTGCAGTTAATAGTGCTGCGGTTTGGGCCGTGGAGAGGGCTTTAGGAGGCGGGGTTGTATGGGTGAGTTCAAGGTTTAAGTGGAGGTTGGGGCTTGGGGCGGTCGAGAAGATGCTAACGAGCCTCCCGACAGTAGTCTGTACGCTCAGGGCATTTTACTAATAAATAAAATTTTCAACTGATCAAATCTTTAAAAATTAATTAACCAAATTATGCTTTAGTTACTTTACTTCTCTAATGCTAAATATGAAGTCGTGACTATTTTTTGTTATCTTATAACTTTTAAGTGTTTAAGGAGACTTTAGTTTTCCAAGGCCTATAAGCGAATTTGTGAAGCCTGAAAATGCCTGAAAACAGGCCTGAACGCACAGACTACTGCCCACCGGCTCGTAAATGCCTCTTCAAGTAGGAAGAAAACTTAGGTCACCAAAGAAGCAGGGTTTCATCTCAATAACGACTTAATTCTATCTTGATTATCTTCTTAAAGCTTAGAGATTTCTCAAGTGAAAGATCAGGCACGCTAGTATACAAGCAGGCTTTCAGGGGGGCTTCGCTAAATTTTACTGGTCTCGCCGCCCCCTCTCGCTAATATTCCAGAGCTTTGTCACACAGTTTCAGGGGTTCTCAAACGTGACATGTTCTTTTATTTGAGGAGTGAGGATCGTTCTCCATCAGATATCTACTTCAAACCAATTTCACTTAGAATCTACTCTCTACTTTGCACTCGTGATCGCTGAGATGCTCTCCACCTTTGACGTCAGCTATTGTATCGTGACTTCGCCCACCGAAATGGTGTTAATGTGTCCGGTAACAAGTGGCTCGCATTGCATTTCAATGCTTAAATACCAGCCATACCCATATCAACCAGATCATCAGTTGTAAGAGTCTGGTTAGGCGATTGGAAGGCTCCCGGCTGAAGCGCTATGACCTCTAAACAAAGACAAAACCCTATGTCCATCCTGTAATAGCAGACGGAAAGGTAACATTTTCTACCCGCAGCTCCCATAGCACCATAGACTGTTATTGTATATGTTGCTGAAACGCAGACTGATATCGCTTTACACGCTTTTTTCACATGGGTTTTGCGAAACTAGGGGGCAAATCTCGGTCCTAGGAGCTGTCTCAAACATCTTGGAACTGCATTTCGCCTTCTTTCGATATCAGTTGAACGAGTTGGAGCTCTTATATTCATGTATTTAGCACATCAATCGTTTGCATCGATTCACCCTATTCTGTTTCAAGAGTAATGGGTTTGGTGCGACTTCATCACTCATCCGCCACGGAACAGGCTCTCCTTTCATGCCAGCAAAACGAAGATATACTCGTGAGGGGCATTTTGATTGAATTCTAAGATAAAAGATGCACTTCACAGAGGAGAGCTGTATACCATGATCCATCTATCAAGGGGAATCGCCCTGTTCCCAACACTCACCTTTTGTATCTCTTCCCATCATCGTCTTCATTCTTTCTCACTCGATCCCGATCTTCAAGACCCTTCCACTCCCTTCTAGTCTGCCACATTGCACTAGCAACCGGGCCCAAACAAGATCCAAACATCACACTCGTAACCCCCAACCCGGTAGGATGAATCCACCCAACATTCCCCTCCCACGAACTGGCACTAAAGCACACAAAGTCAAACGCACCGTGATACAACGCCGCAGGCCCAACCACCTCCCACCAACTCAGCCGATCCCCGAAATAATCCCTCCGAGTAGCTCTCAACGCCGTCAGCACACTCATCGTAATATGGCCAGTCCCAGCAATGATAACGCGCTCAAAAACCGAGAGTGCCAACCCCGACCAGCTCCCTCCTTTCTCTACAGCCGCATACAAGAACCCGATATTCTCAATCAGACTAAAGGACAGCGCACCAGCAAGCGCATAGTCCAGATACGCTCTCTTCCTCCCCTTCCTCTCCTCCGCCGTACTACGACGACGAGCATAAGCAATCGGCACGTACTTCAAAACCTCTTCACCCAGCCCAGCAGCCAGGAAGGTAAGTGCCGCATTAACCACGCAATTCTTCCAGCCCCAGGCGATCTCCGCCCGCTTCAGTACCTCCCCGGCCGTCAACCCCTCAACACCGCTGCGTGCGAACTCGACCCAGAAATCTTTCAAACCGGCGGGATCGTGGAAGAAGAGGAGGGATGAGACGGCTTTGCAGATCCCGAGTTGGATGAGGCTGACGCTGACGCTGAGGAGGCCACATGTTCCGGCGAGCGCGTAGGTCCAGAGGAGGGGCTCGAGGGGAGCGCGCGGGGAGGGGTTGAGGGTGTTGGAGGACGACCATGCGCGGTAGGCGGAGACTGTGGGCAGGAAGGCGAGGGGCGAGAGGAGGCCGGTTTTTGGGGAGGCGAGGGAGGTGAGGAGGATTACAGAGGGGGGGCCGAGGTAGAGTGCTAGCCGGGCGGAGAGAGAGAGGCTTGTATTTGGTGGTGGTTGAGACATGGCTTTTTAGGCGGGGTTGGAGGGCTTGAGATGTGAGGTTGAGATTGGCGGGGTATGTGAATTGTTTTATGGGGGATTAGGGTGTCAGAGGCTGTGTGCCCATGCCTGTAAGCATTAGCCACAGTGGTGCAGATACGCGGATAGGGCTTCGGGTTACACCGAATGAGACCTCGTGAATGATTTCCCCAAGTAACTTGAAAAGGTACTGGGGGGTGACTTTCGTTCGTAGGTGGCTTTATTTTAGTACACCAAAGCTCACTAACTTCCACGAGCTCATCCACATCTAGTATAAGCTTCTCCCTTCCCATAACCGGATGTTACTTCAATCTCATTCGCTCACTTGTACGATATTCTGAAAGATTCAACGGTGAAGGCCACGCATGTATCCCGCAAATCATACCCCAAAGCTTTTAATGCACGAAGTCTTTCAGAAAATATGAACTTATGTTCGAATTCAATTACTAATATCCGAGCTATTATCTATCTGTTGCTCGGTTCCCCCAAGCTCTGAAATGGGCTCTCTGGACTCACAACCTGCGGACTCACAATATGATCCACAAGAGTGCCATACCCCGAACTCAGACTCGACATCGTATCCTCCCCGGGCTCACGCGTACTTCCCGGGCTCCCCGGGCTCCTCGTCCCCCCACTGCTACTCCCAAACCGGAACCTGCTCGCTCTACTATCCCCTCTCACCCAGCTCCATCTCTGCTCCCTCCCACCAATTTCGCTTGGGCTCGTTGTCCCTGTCATCTCAGCAGCAACCTCCTCTCGGGCTGGAAGCTCATGTATCTCATTATGCGTTCCAATTTCCACCATTTGATCGATTTTCCTTTCATCATGGGCTTCAAATACTGCAGTAGTAGCTGGACTGCTCTCCAATTCCGGTTTGTAGTATTCTTGAGTTTCTCGGCGAGTGGAAGAGCCAGCTGCAAGCCCGGCTGCTTTCCGCTTTCTCTGTCGTGGCTTCCACCACACGAACCATAGGAGGACGGCTGCCAGAGCTATGAGAGCAACCCCTACTGCAATCCCTGCGATGCCTCCCTTGGAAAGTGATTTATGCTGTGAAGTGGGCCCTAATACGCTATCCGCAGGTGGGAGGATAGCCACGATGTTCTGGGGCGCTTGAACCCATTTGCATTGCGAGACAGAGAAGTTTTTTCGCTCAAAATCGGCGATCACGTATGCTTCTTGGAAGAAGGTTCGTCCCAGGGTATATTGCGTACTATCATTAGCCCGACGGAGAGGAAAGTACCGCGATGTATCGTTGACGAGAGGATATGAAGCAGTGAGATCGAAGGCTGCGTACGGGAGGGTGATGTTGACTTTGGAAGAAGTGTAGTTGTTGCCAATTGTGAAGGTTACGTTGGGGTTTTGGGCCTGGAGGAGTGAGTGTTGAGTTGCATTTACAAGATAGAGTTGGGCAGTGTCATTCCAGACGAGGCCGAATGCATTTTCAAAGAGTGTGCAAGCGGAGGTGGGGAGGTAGATATACGGGACTGTTGAGTCGAGGAACGTCATGATAGGAGATGACAATAGAGACACTTCTTTATCGGTGCTAATACTGTCGATTTGAACGGTCAAGTCTTTGTCGGCATCTGGTGCGAAGGGAACCGAAAAGTCGTTTTGGATGAATCTTGAAGCGTCATAGCCCCCAAGAGTCAAGCTTCCTAGGACTTGGTTCAAACCTGCAGTTGAAAGGTCAGTGGTAAGCAACATTCAAATAACTCCTCCAAATAACTCACGATATTGGTTCCCTGCAGTATAGCCCCAGCTTACACTAGGAATCTCCCCTTGACTTCTCAAATTTTCCATGAAGCTCGGAATAGCAGCACCGTCACTAGAGAAATTCGTCGGTCTGGGAGCCAATCCAAACAGACCCATGTAATACTGCTTCGTCGCAATGCCAGCGACAGTCTGATTTTTCAAGCTCGCCCCCCCTTCTCCCTGAAAGCCGAGGGTGATATCATCAAAGCCGTATCTCCCTTTTCCATCATAACCCAGGTTCGACTCCAGCGTGAGGAAGTATATTTGATTTGAGGCGGAGGCGAGATTCGGGACCCAGCTTGAGGAGGCATTGTAGTCGTACCTCCCACCGCGTGATTGTACACAGTTTGTGGGATCACCGGACCCGCATCCTTCTGCTGCCACCGCCCAAGTTTGCGCAGATGCGGTTGAGATCAAGAGCCTGACGCTCTGAGGAGGCGTTCCGATTTGGACGGTGAAGGTTGACCATGGGCCGTCGTTTCCGTCCCTGTCCCAGTCAGTTTTCGAAGAGGATTTCCAAAGGGGTGCAATTGTACCAGTCTTGCGATGGAGTGACCGAGATCGCTGCTGGCGATGTGCCTCTGGCCTCCACCCGTCCCACCGCTGCGATTGCGACCGCCGCCACTTTTCGGCCCCCAAGGGCCAGAATAGAGAGCAAAGTGCCCCAACATTGGTGGGTGTTAGCCCCACGCATGATCTACAACATATCGAGAAAGGTCCTCCTGGAGTTCCAACATCGGGGTTCCTCTGACAGACAGACAGTAATGATTGATCGAGGCTGAATGGGAGCATGGCGGGACGACACGAGATATTTTCTCCAGCAAGGACGTCGATCCCACTTTGAGCTATGAGACCCAGTTGGGGGCCAAGCCAGGCTGCTCGGATGGCTTGCCAAGCCGTGAATGCCGTGGATGCAGGAGGCACGAATCATGATGGCGAAGATAATCTCACTGGCATCAGGCCGTCAGGGACAGGGTCAAGGAACGGCCGCACGCCCTCCATAGGCTTGGTCGTTCACCAGTGTTGCACTCATGGCGTCCTCAAGTAACACAACTCCGATGGCTTGCAGGGAGTAATAACGTGTCCCCGCCTTTCCGCAAGCATCCATCAGCCTTAGGCTCATTTGATTCATTTGATCTGGTTGATCCAGTTGATCTAGTTGATCCACTCGACAGGTTGTGGTAACGATCGCGCTCTTGGCATCTGTCTGATCTCGCAGCAGCCTGCTCATTGGGGCGGGGGCAGCTCCAGAAGATGAATCCCCGAAACAGACCTCGCCGCTGATTCGCGGAGGCGCAGAGATGCATCGGTGTGAGGGTGTTTTGGTCCCCGAGGTCGAGTGCTTGCAGTATTAGAGTTTCGTTTGAGGCGGTGCATGCGGTCCCGAGGCGTAGTTTGTGGCATTTAAGCTTGTTTGTTGGTCGAGTCGTCGTCAGCCCCCCCTGAACCACCGCATTTGGGGTGGTGCAAAGCGTGCCAGGACCTCGTAAATACACACCTGGCGACAGGGTTCCAACTTCCAAGGCCGTCTGGACTCCGTGCATTGCCTTGTGAAATCACTGCCAGCTTTCTCCAGCCGATTGGGCAAGTTTCCCGGAGGATCGCTGTCGTGCACGTGTAAGGCAGTCCTGGGGTGACGCCTGAACTTCGGACCCTGGTGGACTGACCGTTTGAGATGCTCTAATCTCTACTTCTGCCCCCAAATGTTAAGAGATCATTTCCTTCGTGCTTGAATACTTCAAGCAATCCTGTCGTTATGTTGTACTGCTTTCATGATTTCATGACTCCATGATGCTTCCACGAAAGCTTCTCGTTCTTTGGCTGGGCGTTGTTCCCGTCGTCCGGGCTCAACTGGAGCAGCCTCCCCTCAGAGCCAGAGGTAGGCGCACTCGACGTTTCGGGACGAGCCTCAATCCAGAAAGCTGACACCAATAGCGTCTCTCTCCTTCTCTAATAGGACAGCCTCGGGCACACTTCCCTCGACGCAAACCCCAGTTACACTCTCTTCAATCCCAAGCTCAACATCATCATCATCAGACCCGATAAAGCTTTCTAAAGACCCAGGCGGAAGTGCGGTATGTTGCTTCGTCGTCCAAGATACAATCAGCGAAGAGTGGTGGGAAATATACAGCACAAGCTCAACATACGGCCTGGTAAACGTGACGGCCGTCACCACCTATGTCACAAAAGGGCCCGATGGCTTGGGAACAATAATCGGGAGTAATTCCTCTGTGACCGTGACAAACACCTCGTTCATGTTTAGCTACAATGTGGGCGTGAACCCTCTCGCCACATTGTCCAACCCAGCACCTGGTCCCTCTGAGACCGACAATCCGTTGACTGGAACCGCTACCATGACCGGCGGCGAGCTCGTGTATGTAGACTCCGAGTCGAAAGTCTTTGACCACTGACTGAACCTTCCAACTAGGAAATCGCCAGCTGCATTTTACGTCTACAACTCTGTCAAAATCATTACTGCTGAAGCCGTCTATGACGAGGGCGGGAACATAATGTGCGCCACAACCTCCAAAGGGTTTCTCAACATAAATTCGAACGCTGAAGCATACTTCGGCGGACCAAGTATCGCGGGCCAAGTCGTTTCCGAGTCAGAGTACGAAGGAGTGGTTTCGACGACCCTCACGTTCTTTGAGCCCACATCATTTACCACGACCCCAATAAGGACCGCAACACTAGTGAGTCAAACGACGTACTATACTAACTCGGACGACGAGCTCGTGACACCTCCTCCTCGCCAACCAGGCGTCGTCATCTCCCTGACAGCGCCTTTCATCTACCAACCTCCATGGGGCGAGACCGGTGCTCTCGAACCGACCAGCGAATGCGTGCAAGGAAGCGGCCTGGAGCAATACGGATACATTCCGCAAACCTTGCTGGACTTCCTCATCCAGGAGCCAGCATACAGCGCACAATACCCAGGTCTGAAAGGCTGCGTGCCAGGCGGCCCGTCCATAATCTTCCAGCGGTGCTTTCTCGCACCTCACACAACACCCCCACCACCACTACCGTCAACGGTAGCGATACCAGCCGGTGGAGGCCTCACCTCCTCATCCACGGTCTATATGCCGAGCGTCATGGCAACGCCCGCGCCGTCAGATACACAGCTTGGAGACACGGTGCCAACGAGCGCTGCTCCAGCCCCAAAGCAGACTCCGCCTTCCAATCCAGACCCATCACCCAACTCAATCGGCGCCATCATAAACTCCATTCTCGGCAATTCGCCTCCACTGCCTCCAGGCCAATCAGCCGGATTCTCAACACAAGTCATAGGCGGAACTTCCGTCCTCGTAATCCCCGGCCCGACAACGATCCCCCTATCCCTCGCTCCGCCGGGGCTGCAAGGGAGCACAACCGTGATATCCGACACGACCTTCCTCTCCGTCCCCTCGTCCACCACGCTCCCCAACCCCGCTTCAAACCCTCTCCCAAATCCAGGCGGGATCTTCTCCTCTTCGATCGTGGGAGGGAGTACCGTGTTGGTGGTGCCTCAGACGACGATTCCGCTTGCGCAGGCGCCGCCGGGCTTGCAAGGGAGTACGGTGGTGCAGGACGGGACGACGATGCTTGTCGTGCCTGGTCCTACCACGGTTGCGTTACCGGCGGACTCCAACGGTGCAATGGGCCCGGTGGGAACAACCATAATAAACGGGATTGCGTACCTGCTCATCCCTTCGCCTACAGCACAACAGCTTCCGGGTGTGGGGGTACTGACGACGATCGATGGGCAGCAGGAGTGGATTCTTGGACCGACGACCGTTCCGGTTAGTGCGCTGGGTGGGCTGGATGTCAGTGGACGGACGACAGTTATTGGGGGTATCACGGAGGTTGTGATTAGTGGGAGCACGACTGTCGGGTTGAAGACGGGGAGTAGTGCTGCGGCAAGTGTTAGTGTGAGCGTGAGTGTATTGACGACGACTGTTGTTGTGACGAGTTCGACGCCAACGACGAAGAAGAATGCGGGGGGAACGGTGGATGTTGGATGGGAGGGAGTGGTTGCTCTTCTCGGCGTAATGATGTTGATACTGAGATGATGTGAGAGAGAACAAGTTGAGCATGAACGGTTGCCACTTGGCCTATGACGGCGTTGAGGGAATGGGAATATAGACAAGCATGAAAGGAGTTCGTTGCTCTTGGCGCCGTGGTTGGATTTTGATACCCTGCGATGGACCGACCTACTTGGGCATGTCACAATAAATTTAATCAGCATCTGTTTAGTCTTCTGCAGAAGAAATGGACTCACGAATTTAACGATTTGATATCCGCCCCGGAACCCGAGAATAAGTCAATATACTATAAAGGGATGCAACAAGAGAGGGAAAGAAACCCGGTAAATATACTAGTCTTTGCCCACCATTCTGTCTGTCTCTCTATCTTATCTCTAAGACGCCATGCCATGCCATGTCACAATACAATGCCGGATACACAAACAAAAGCCAACCCATCTATACATCTCATCTCTCCAAGCGCCTCTAATCCAACAGACTCTGTTCCCGTCCCGATCCCAACAGGGCTCTGCGACTCGGGTTCGGGACGTGCGATGCGTACGCCGCAGCCTTAGCCATCATCTTGGGGAAGTAGTTCGCGATCAAGTTCTCCCTGTTTCTTGTCAGCTTCCGCTCCCCAAAAAAGTTCTGATAAGAGGGAGGAGAGGATGAGAACTTACGTGTAAAAGCTGTGCTCCGAATTATGCGGCATCACCAGATTGTGCGCCAGCTCATGCGCAACGACAACCCACCAATAGCTCGCCGCCTCCTTCCTCCCCTCAGGATCCCCACTCTCCATCTTCTTCTGATGCAATTGCGTGAAGAAGCGGAAGTTGCAGAATATGCTGCCGTTTTGGTTGAACGCGATAGTGGCGCCTGATTCGTCGTAGAAGATGTGCATTGCCTTCCGAGATAGGGAGTAGATGTCACATACGTCGTCGAGGAGAACGGCGAAGGAGTTCAGGGCTGAGACGTTCTGCGCGAGGAATGCGGTAGGTGAGGCGATGGTCTTGTCGACGAAGATCCTGGTGCCGTTCGACGCATCGGCGAGGAAGGTGATGTTTTGCGAGGGAGTCGCGTCACAATATGTTGCCTGTTCTTTGATTGCTTTTGTGTTGGGTGGAGAGAATAAATCAGAGGAATCGTGTGCTCGAGAAGACTGGATCGCGTTCAGGAGATTCTGCTGGACAGCATGTGGTGATGAGACTTGCTCGGTTCCTTTTCCAGGGTTCGAGACTGTGCCTTTGCTGGCCTCGTCGTACGTTGGCGGATTGTCAGGCTGGTGATCATGAGGCGGCTTGGGTCCATCCAGGAAGTTTTGCAATTGGTCTTGCACCTCATCGCTGCTGCTGTTGATGCCCAATCGCTCCTTCAGACCAGAGAATATGCCCTTTGACCTATGTCTCGGCGGTGACTTTGCACGTGGCGTAGGTGAATTCTCCGGAGAATCGCTACCAAAAGCTCCAGGCATGGGTTTATCAGAAGATTTGCTTCGCTCGCTCGCAGCTGCGGCAGACACAAGTTGATTTTGTTGTCTCCACAACTCTTCCTGTTCCTTGATCTGTTGCTGTTCCGCCTCGAGCTGCTTTCTGCGTTCCTCTTCTGCAATCCTCTGCTCCGCCGCCTTTGCCCGCAGAATTCGTTCAACGTTATATCCTCGAGCCCGAAGCTGGTACAAGTTCAGATTCAGGAACTGCTCAAACGTGAGATAGGCACTCTGGTTTGGCCGGTCGAGGAGTATCTTGCACAACGCCAGGCTGATCTGATATGTATCGAGACTGCCAGCTGTAATGAACAGCGTATACCCATTGTGTCGATCATTCGTGTATGCGGCAGATCTTTTCTCTGTGTGTGACAAGTTGTGTCCGCGAAGGGACCGACGAAGGGATATCGAACTGACTGTCTGAACTGTCAGGTTCTTCTCCAACCAACGACTGTCATGTTTGATGTTGTCGCGACTGTACTCGTGTAAGAAGAGCTTCGACCGCTCGAGGACGTGGCTGCGGAGTTTCACGGCCGAAGATTGTTTCTCGGCTGGCTGTCCGAGTCGTAGATCCTCCTGGACTAAACTTCCAAGTGTCTGGGCGCCGAGTGCAAGATAGAATGTCTCTAATTTGTCCTCTTCCGGAGCACATATAAGGGAACTTTTGAATAGCCGATACCCATTGTAATCATCGTTCTGCAGTACGTCAGTATCGACACAGAAACTATCTCAGAAAGGACTTACCACGACGATCTGTCCCGGCAGGGCAAGCTGCCATTGCTTGATAGGAGCATCTTCGATATCCTCTGGATCCGAATCATACTCAGTATCGGCAGATTGAAGACCACTCAATCTCCGACCCTTCACGTTCTCCTTGTTTCCGGGGATCTCTACTGACCCTAGAAGAAATTGGGACTGTCTCATCTGTTTGAATAGTACCTTGTCCTTCTTCAGCATTGAGAGGTCATCAGCCAATGTTCTGAGCAAATTCAAGTATTTCTCGGGGCTCTGCATGATTCCAAGCAATCGCGCTGGCTCCTTGCACGCCAAAGCAGCAAGCTCAAGCTTCGTCGGCTCATTCTTCGAACCGCACTTTAGCAAGAAAGCATTGGCTTCATTGCCAAAATCCACAAAGTCGAATATGTCGGCATAGTTTGAAGAGCTGCCTAAATAGCATTGACGTGGGGTGAGATGTCTCAGGTCTTTATGATCTCCAGCTTTCTCGTTGATGTAGCCATTTGAGGTCTGATTCTTGGCCAATACAGGCACGATGCGTGCATCGGCAATCTTCGCCACAGCGTTCAGCCCAAGCTCACCAAGTCTGCTTGCAAAGTATCCGAATAGAGTGATAGCCTCGCGCCTGCTCTGGGGCGGCTTAGCCACGAGTCTGTTCACGCATTCAGTCATGGGAGGATCCATCGCTACGCCGAACTTGTTCGCATGGTTGTGAAGTTCTCTCCTTAAGATACTAAACCCAAGCACGGCACATTCGTGGTTCGTAAAACACTCAGCCGGGCTGACCAGGCGTTTGTCATCCCCCTGCAAAGGTAGAAATGACTTTGTCGAGGATCCTACTTCAAAAGCAGCATAGCCATTAATATGGTGGTTTGAAATGAAGTAGATCATGGACTTTTCCCTCGAGGACGCATCTTCTGATGCCATCATATCGATGAGTTCGGGGACAGATGGGAACGCTCTGATGCCAAGAAGTGTCAAAAATCGACCCTCCAAGCTCCCTGGTCTGTAGCTTCCAGATGGGCCAGGCCACTGCAGTATTGGCAGTCCAAGATTTCTCAGTGCATCTTTTGGTTCAAATATCTCGGAGACTCTGTACAACCTGGCGCTCCCCTGAGTTGCCTCCATGCCTTTCGGACCTGCTTCTGCAGGGCAAATTGGGGTAGCCTTTAATCTCTTCAGATCTTCCGGTGGAATGTCATCTCGGACTGATGCCAGATACTTGATCAATTCCATGTGGCGACTGTTCGTAGGCTTTTCACCTTGCTTCGCGTCTGCAGTGGGCGAAAGAAGACGGCTGAAAATAGTTTCGAGATCTACTGTCTTTCGGACACCAATAGCAGCGAGGAACTTCTCCTTTACTCCAGGACATGATGTGACCGTGGGAAGGTCATCGAAAAGCTTGACACTTGCAAAGAAAGCTTCTCCTGGCTTCTTCATGCTGCACTTTGTCGGCACAACAGCGATAGGCTGGAGGAGGGAAACGACTGTTGCCTTCGAGCTCTGGCTAAGGCCATCCCAGGATCTTGACAATATCAGAAGTACTTGGGCAGCAAAGAGGACTGATCTGAGACTCTGAAGCTCAGGCCGATTGGCATTGGTCTCAATCAAAAATCGTAGCCAGGGAACAACTTCGAGAGGTTCCCAGCCAAGGGCTTGCAGTTCATTAATCGACGATGCTCGAGTGAACAGAAAAGGGATAGTCGTGGGCGGAATCGGGACCTCTGCCGGAATCTTGCCAACATTGAGGTAATTCTTGATACTACCCAGTGTGATGATATCACCAGAACCTTCAACCTCACCAGTCATCGCAACGGCGACATCCATAAGTGAGTTGATCGTCGGGCCATCGATATCCCCAGTGATGGCTTTGCGACCAGCCCAGCCAATAAATTGAATAAGCTGGTCTCTCGTCAAGGCCTTAGCTTCCAGTTCTTGCTTGACGTCGCCAATGGTGATTTCTGTGATAAGCCCAAACTCCCTCAGCTTGCTCACAAACCCGCTGTCAACCAAAGCCTCAGGAACTACAGGAATGCCTTCCACGAAACCACTCAAGTCTTCCGTAGCCAATCGGACTTTTGTCGTCGGTAAAACGCCTCGGGTGCTATAGATTTCGATGGACGGTTTCTTGTAGGCTGTCCAAAATGCCTCCTCGATAATCTGCGAAACCTGGGAACTGGGAGTCGACTCCCCGAAGGTAAAGGTCTTCAAGTTGTGCAACGCTTCAGGTATGAACTGAGCGATTTCGTCCTTGGTGACCTTGGTTCCATGACCATTCTGGTCTGTCGCGCGCTTAATCTTGGTGGAAAGATCAACCATCTCGTTCGCAAATGCCAATCTAGCCATGATACCAGAAACTCGGAGCATCTCAAAGTTCCAAGTTCTAACCCATCTGGCATTCAGATCTATCGATTCTCGCTCGACAGTTGGAATGACTGAAGGCGCGGAGAGATGCATCCCAGCCCCAGTGGTTTGATGGGTAGGGAAGCCGATGAAAACTCGCCCACCAGGCTTCTTGCCTGGAAGAACGGAGGCAAATATGTCAATCCCTTTCGCTACTGGATTTTCCTTTGCCGAAGCTGCAATCTCATCATATGATGCGGTCAAAATCGCAAGCTTCGTAGTCTTGGGTGGTGGCTTCTTGGTAGCACGCTCAAGCTCTGCTGCGAATTGGGCAGCAATATGGGTTTTGACAACGGCAGTAGTGACCCGCAAGAACACGTTTGCAGTCGTCGTTCCAGTGAGATTTTCAAGAACGATATCTTGAAGAACCTTCTCGTCTCTCATTGCCTTCGTCTTCAGCTGAGCATGACTTGTGCTTGCTGTTAACCGCGAGAAGAAAGATCGTAACGAAGGCACATCAGCAGAGCTGGTGCCATAGGCGTTGTCATAGCTGCCTGGTTTGGGTGTTGCCGGAATTGAGGGCTTCCAACCTACAACATTCATGAATGTTGCGTCCATTTGGACACTTTCTCGTTCCATGCTGCTCACTTTCATCAATCCTTCCTTCGTCTTCGTCTCAACATCCCTGGCTATAGGAACCTCTATGCTGGGAGCAGCCTTCTTTTTCAAGGACAATATTTGCCAGTCGTCCACCCACAGCTCAATATTCTGCAAAGCAACGAACGTCAAACTGGTTGCCAAGAATTGGCAAATGGATAATAGATTCGGCATAGGTGTCGTAGTATTTCGATAGTCGAGGACGAAGCTGGTATTCGGGTTCCCTTCAGCCGCAGGCAGCTGTAGTCTTCTGGTAAACAACGAGTTGCCTTTCCAGTAGAATGCCATAGCTTCATTTCCAGAACTGACGAAGGGTTCCTCACAATCTGCAAACACGCTGTAGAATCCCACACCAAAAGCACCAATCTTCGTCTCGTCAGGGTTACCCTCAGCTATTCTCTTCAGCCTCGACCAGTCGTTGACCCCAAACGGTAATCCATCGTTCGTGACCAGCAGTCGCCGTAATGTATGGTGCAACAGCACATGTTTCAGGACTTCAGCACTGTTGGTTGTGTTCGAAATAGGGACCTGGGCCGAGGGTAGAGTCTCGAACTTGATCACAACTGTCGAGGCTTGAGCATCTGCCGCGTTTTGTAGTAATTCCCGCAGCGTGGTCCATTCACCACTGTATCTCGCAAGGACTTTGTCTATCAGGGCTCGAGTATTGACCGTGACAGCTTCTTCGTCGTCGCCGTCCTTCAGAGCCGCAGCTCTGAGCTTTGTGAAGTCCATGATTATTTGTGGCGACACAGTCCCTGAATAAGCTCCGTCCTGATTCCCAACCGCACTTCTCGCGTATACGGAATGGTGCTATCGCATTTGAGATAGATTTAGGGAGTCGGTAGGGAGTTTGTTCCTTGTTGTCTATTTCGAGGGTGTTGATGAGAAAGGTGATCTTTTGCGGGAAGGCTGAGGAAGGCTGTGGAGTGGACACGGCTTATTTCGGGGGCGAAAAAGAGAGACGAGTCTCGAATCTCTTGGAAATAACGGTTGCAGGTACGCTTCCGAGCCTGCAGAAGAAGAAAAATAGTAGGGAAATAATTGGAAGGACGGAGGCAGCAACGGGGCCGCGTCGATGTAGCTTGTCGGAGGTAGCTGAGTTGACTAGGACTTAGGCATCGTCATGGCAGGCGAGTGACGACGAAACGAACAGCGTGCCATCAGGGTCCCAAATCTCGAGGGGTCACTCAAAAAATTATTTATATTCATAGATTTGAAAAGGCAGAGAATGATCACGACATCAATTTATTTTCGTAGGTTACACTCCCAGAACGCCATCGCTAAGTCCCAATTCTGTGGACGAAAATCATCGACGTCTTTCTGGATCCCTGTCTCTTCTCCCTCGTTCCCGTGAATCAGGAGATCGACTTCTTCGAGGTCTATCAGCATATTCCCCACGTATTCCACGGTCTACACCACGATCTATTCTCCCTCTCTGCCTGTCCGGGCTTCTGCTTCGATATCTCCGCTCTCTTCTTTCGCCATTGCGGCTTCTGGGCCTCCTTTCCTTGTGGTCCTCGTGTCTACGTCGATGCCTATGTCTGTCGCCACTTCTTGATCTGTGCCTACGCCTCTCTCCACTTCTGGATCGATCTCGATATCGTCTATGTCTCCTTTCCCGACTTCGACTTCTGGTTCTGTCCTCACCCTTCTTCTCGTCCCTGTCTCGGCCGTTTCTAGCCAGCCCACCTCTCTCAGGCTCCTTAATATCTTCCAGGCTGTCACCCGCCGCAACTTTGCCAACAAAATCCCCAAAGCCTTTCCCTTTCCCGATATCCTCGACATCATCACCCTCGCCTACCCCTGCCTCCTTCACGACTCTGTTTACCTCCCCAACGGTAATCGCATTGCTCCCGCTCACGTTCCTGTCCGGAACCGGTAATCCCAGTGCTCTAGCAAGGGCGTCTTCGTCTGCCTCCTTGATTCTCCGTTTCTCCTCCTTCATCTCCCGGACTTTCTTTTGCTCAGCCGTCTCCCCATCCTTGAGGTCTTTGTCATCTGCTTTCGCGTACCAGCTGAGGTCCTTGCCTTTCTGCCATCGTCCAACAGGTGCCATGAGAGAGTGGCCAAGGTAATTCTCGCGATGCTGGGAAGTCTGGACGTCATCCCAAGAGAAATTCACGCCGCCACGTGAGCCTTCTTTGCGGATTGAGGAGAGGAGATCCATTGTCGGTGTAAGGAGAAGAGTGGTCGATAGAGCAGTTAGATCATGAAGCAGAATGTGACGCCAGACCGTGTCGTTGTGCAGTCGTTGCAGTTGTTCCCGACATTCGTGCTTAGGTAGATTTTCAAAGTGAGGGGCTGGAGTGGTGGAGCAGGGGCTATTCAGTGAGCCACTAGCGGCCTGGAGCGTCCGCTCTTAGCGCACTCTCAGTGAACCTTAATTCCGCATCTGAGCCTCGCCCTCGTCTCTCGATGAAATCAACCCCAAAGCTCCTCGATCCGTGAGAGAGTCAGCTGCCTTCCAGCAGCTCCTTCTCGAACTGCACATTCTCGAACTGATTGCGATACTGTTATCAGGATCCTCCTCTAGTACTTTCCCTCTAGCCTTCCTGAGAGAACTGCAGCCATCATGGCTTCTCAAGAACCTCCACTCGACGAAATCCAATGGCGATCACCTCCCATAGCAGCGTCGATGCAGGGCATACATTCGAATTCCGTCCTCTTCTACTTCGCACAATCACCCTTCTACGATCCTACGTCCAACAATGCTATTCTCACTTCCCAAGCAATGTTCAACCAAAATATGATGCCCATCATCCAGACAAGAGAAGCCTTCGAAGGACGGCTGAAGACGATGAATGGCTTGGAGTTTATTGTGGCACAAGAACCTGCGGAAATGGCACCTGGTACAGGCACGGGAGTCTGGGTGATTAGGAAACAGACCAGGAGGAAGAGACCTCCGGAAGAGGACGAGATCACTGTGCATTCGTCATATTTCGTGGTTGGAGAGAACATCTACATGGCTCCTGCTGTTTCAGATGTTCTCGGAAGCCGAATGGTAAGAGGAAGAGATAGAGCCCACAGGTAAAGCGCTGATGAGACCCAGCTGTCCGTCCTCGACTCTTTAACCAAGTTCATTTCTTCCGCCGCCGCCCTCCCTGACTTCAGTCCTGCACTTGGCCATACCTACCTTCCACCACCAACCGCCAACCGTCTCAGATCCACAGAATCGCAACTCGCACAGACTAGCAAGGAAAACACACCCCTCCCAGATTCGCTACAGTCAAAGAAGCAAGCCGTGTCAACGAACAGCAGCACATACCTCGGCAGTCGCCTCCTCGAAGAAACCCTAGACATATCTTTCAAGTACGGAGACGAATATATGGACGAGAATCCCATCACCGGCCAACCAGGAGAGTTCCACCTTTCGTCAACAGGAAGAAAGGAAGCAGGGAAACTTGCCGTTACAGCAGCAGGAGCTAAAGGACCTCTGTCAACAGCGACTAAAGCCGCACCAGCGCCGCCAGCATTGAAAACTAATATTCCACCTGCAAGAAAAGGTAGCAAGAGTAAAGAGAGTCCGAAGACACCAGGAGCAGGCGGACCACCGAAGCCGAAGCGAAGGAAGAGCAGCAAGGCGTTAGTATCTGCTGGTGGAGCTAGCTCGGCGTGATGGTAGGATATATGTCATGAGTTTGGGAATTGGCAGCATCAATTGGTTGGCGTTCAGGACCTGGTGCATTTCGATGGATATACCCCAGCATTACAGAAACGCCACAAAAGATTGAGATATGTTTCTCGATCAAGAGCACAGACTTCGCATCTGACGATAGAGTATAATGAAACAATCATTTCACCAATTCTACACATTCGGTTCAATGTGGTCAAACATCTATATATATCCCTCAACATGAAGCCTCAAATTCGTACTTCCGCCTTGGCTCTTGGCGTCAACTGCTTCTCAACACTTCTATTGCATGTTGACTCGGTGTCCAAAAGTTTTGGAAATATCAAGTTCGTCGTTGAAGTGGAAAGTGAATCTTGAATATCCAGGTTTTGTTGCATATCTTATTGTTCATAATGAGAATTCATGTTCACTCAGAACTCTTTGGGAACTCATCGGGAACTCATCGACCGTGGACAAGTTCCCTTTATGGAAAATGCAACAAGTTCGAGTTCCATGATTCACTTGAATTACCGTCGTGTCCATGTTTCGATTGCGCGTCCTCGGCTCAACTTCATAACTTATTCCTCCTACCAGTGCCTCCCCTTTCCATTGCCAAATCACTCTCTTGCCCCGTCTCCGAGTTTCTTTCTACTATCAGCAAATGAACACCCCAATACTTCTCTTTACCACTCAATAAACTCCTTGTGATTTACGTTTTTGAATATATTTGAGGTGGTTCGTTCTCATCCTCCTATCCCTTCGTCGGCCATCAACTGTCCACACTAGCAGGGGGGGCCTGGTTCAGGGCGAAAACGTGTGCCTTTGCTTAGAAACCTATTAGTCATCTATCGCGTTTTCGCCCTGAGCCAGGCCCCCCCTGCTAGTGTGGACAGTTGATAGCCGACGAAGGATAAGGATGTTGAAAGGAACCCCTCCCATCCCAAAGATGGGCGAGCACCCACGAGACTCGATATCTGCAGTGAATGAATGAGTCACACGCTAAGGTCTTTTGTTGCACGTCGCACTCCAGATATGTTTTTCTGAGGTCTCTTATCGGGATATCAGTTGACTTGATAAGATAGGGGGCTGTTCGCCCAAGTTTACTCGGTGTCGGCGGCAGCTTTGACACCGAGATCGAGGAGAACGTGAACGTGTCATCGAAAACTGTTTCATAGCGAGAGGAGAGTCTTTGTTCTTACATTACCTCTTCATAAGCTAAATAGTAAACATGTCTTTCAAATGAGTTCGCATCATCTAGATATATTCGTCTCCAAGATCTGGCTCCGCACACTATTAGACAACCTCAATCCAGAACATATGATATACCAAACAAAACCATTCTTGGTCTAGTATCTATTGTACATGACGCCATCTAATCCTCTGTTCAATTCTAAGATCTATTTATCCACACTCCTCGCCGGACTTACCCCAACCGCAGCCTCCTTCACCACCATCTCCCTCTCCACACTCCCCCCACTCTCACTCTCGACATCTGCCCTCCCTTCCACACCCCTCTCCTCCGGCCGCACATAATCCTTAACCTCCCTCCATTCCCCCAATCCCACCATGCCCGCCGGCCTACTAATCCAACATGCCCCCCAATAAACCAAAAAGCTAACGCACAGCCCAATCGGATACGCAAAATAATACGCCTTCACTACTCCGTCCGACGCGTGCACCCCCATATTATTCAGAAACCCGTAAAAATTCGGTGCAATGCCGACCACATACGCAAGATAGGCGCGCCAATTCCAGCCATGGAAATACCAATACACTCCCTCCTTCCTACTTGTATAGAGATCATCGATCTCCAGGTACCCGCGCGAAATAACATAGTAATGGCATAACAGGACCCCCGTGATCGACGAGAGAAATATTTGATACGAGGCAAGGAATGAAATAAATATACTCGCGCTCCCCAAAAGATACCACGGATTAATCGCGAATGAGATAACAGCGCAAATGAAGAATCCCTTCCTAACAGAAATGTACTTTGGAAAGAGAGCAGCGATGTCGTTCCCAGCCGGCAACGAGTTCTCGAAGATCGAGGAGAAGATGGCGCTATAGGCGAAGGCGGCAGCGATAAAGAAGCAACCGGCTCGACGGGAGGAGGTATAAGAGGAAGTTTGAAGCATGTCGAGGTAGGTTAGTGGCGACCAGATGATTTTTCCGTAGAGGACTTGGCTGCTGCTTCCTACTAGATTGCCTACCACAGCAACGAGGAACTTCTCTCATTAGTATTATTTGAGGGTGTTGATCAGGGAACGGTGACTCACGTTGGAAAGGGGAAAGCCGACTAAATTCCCAAGAAGTACGTCGTTGGGTTTTGTGGCATATCTTTGGAAATCTGCCGCGTTTGAAGCAAATGTTGCACAGCTTGCAGCGCCGAGGAGGAGGAAGCGGACGATTAGCCAGGCTTTCGTTGAGCCGTGTGCTGTTCCGGGTTGGCGGGCGACTTCGCCGATACCACCGGCTAGGGTGAGAGTCCAGGCACACATGGCGATGGCGGAAATGATGAAGACGATGAGCTTTGCGTACACGAGGCCTCTCATCTGTGAGGGATTAGCAAGACAACTTGAAACAGCATGGTCAATATACCTTTGGGACTGGAATAACGAGGAAACAGCAGGTTAAAATCCAGAAGATTGCGAATCCTATCATCCCACCAGAATCAAGGACTGATCCGGAGCCCATCACGTTCTTAATATTGGCGATCTTAGGTGTGAGAGCGTGGAGCATGACATAAATACATTGCCCACCCTGGACAGCATTCACGCCGTTCCAGACAATAGCCATCACAGCTCGATTGAAAGTTGGCCACCAAGCACCAAACACGCCAAATGCTGCTCTGTTCAGGATCGGGTATCCACTGCTTCGGTGTCAATGTGAGGCTGTTGGTGGGACATTGAGGACTAACATGTGATACTTCGCACCTGCTCGTCCATTGAGCACAATGACGATAGCGATGAGAATTTGACCGCCAAATGAGCATCCGATCGATTCCCACATACTCAGACCCAGGGCCTGCGCGCTGGATGCTGCGTACCAGTTTGACACGGTGGCGGCTTGAACATATTAACAATTACTCCAAGATCTCCATGCCAAAGTTAAACTCACTTGCAGAGAACCAGAAAGTCAGGTAAGTCCAAAGATTCCAAGTCCGGTCAGCCAGTTTCAGTGGTCGAATGTCATCATTGTCCAGCCACATATCCTCTCCATGCACGTTTTCGGCACCTTTCGCCTGAAAATGAGGAGCAGGAATGCTCTCGGGAAAACGTCTGATAAGGCTGCTTGCCATATTGCAAGGCCAGGAGATGGAGTAAGTTGAGAGTGCGGAATAGCTTGTTTGACGCCTTGAAAATCAAGATAGACTAACGAAGGAAGGATGGTCTCATATCTCTGGACAAACCAAAGAACAGTGACACTCAACAGAAAGGCAGCATGAATCCCATTTATGATACGAAAATCAGGGCCGCTTGTTACGACAATGGGGATTGCTCCTGGGTACAACGTTCTCCTCCTTATCGCGAATGGGGAAAGGCCAAGGCCAAGTCAAGGTTGGCCTATCATTCTCGAAAGTAACACCCCCAAAAAAAAGTCAAGAGATACAGCATATCTGCGGAGTTAGCGCGGCGCTTGCAGCTTTGACAAGGATTCGAGAAACCTTGCAAGGTCTATCAATTTGAGGTGAAAGTCTGGAAGGTAGAGAGCAGAGCAAGAGTCGTGCAAATCACTTGATAACATTCTTAGGTTTGCTCCCAGGTACAAAATCATGTGAATAACTGTGAAAGAGGCTGCAAGGGCCTGTTGAGAACCACGGTATTGGAAGCCACAGTTAATCAACGCTGAGCAGCAGCAGGTGCAGTTGAAGTGGCACTGCAGAACTTTTGGTTGAAGAGTGGGATACAAATCACGTGAACTGTTATTTCCAGCGGATGACTTGCAGGAGCCAAGATCGATAAGGTTGACCTATCTGATAGGGAACTCTTGTAACCATTGCCTATCTTTAATCCTGGAGAATAGCAATCGACTTCCGGCGAGCACCGAGTCCAATTTCACAGGATTGAAGGACTCCAAGCTCGACATCAGGACCACAAGGCGGGAACCACGCACCAGGATAACTCGGGGTAAGCTTCAGTGAACGATAAGACAGTCGGGATTGCGTACGTACAAAAGACATGAATACATAACCGACGCGGCCGACATAACGTCGTACGCTACGCGTTGACAACCCCAAGACATCTCAAAATGACCATCTCAACCACAACGACGACTTCAAAGCTGGAGCTCCGAACAGCGTATGGACCAGTCTTCCGAGATGTCTTAAACACCCAGCCCCGAGATTGTACGACTGAAGAGATCCCCATCATCGACCTATCGCCTCTTTATTCGTCGAAATTTGAAGACCGGGAGGCATTGGCCAAAGAAATCAGAGCAGCCGCCGTGAATACAGGGTTCTTCTACATCAAGAACCATGGGATTTCGGAAAGGATAATTGCGGATGCGAAGAAGCAGTTGTTGGCGTGAGTATCGGTAACATCGAGGCTGGACTTTGTGCTGAAGAAAATAGATTCTTCACCCAGCCCAACGAAGATAAGATGAAAGTCAGCCAGTCTTTCTCAAAATATTTCAACGGATACAAAGGACCTAGGACCACGAACATCAGCCCTGGAGAAAGTGTAGATGTCAAGGAATCGGTATGTTGGTTATCGCTATTAGGGGCAGTGAGAGACTGAGAGACTGACTAAATTGAAAGCTGGGCTGGAGATATTCGCCGCAATATGACCCAGATCCAAAGACCCTGGATGCAATTCCGGAAGAGGTGAAGCCATGGATTCGAGGAGAAGAATTCGTATGGGAAGGGACTTCCCATTTACCAGGGTTCAAGGATGAAGTTCTCGGATACTGGGCAGCTTGCTTAACGTTGGCTAGGAAGCTGGTCAAAGTATTTGCTCTGAGTCTTGACCTTCCAGAAAGTTACTTTGACAGCCGGACAACGTATCCAGGAGCTGATGGAGTCTTCAACTATTATCCAACCACAACGGAAGAGGAAACAGTAAACAATGCCGTGGGGTTGGGAAGCCACACTGACCTGCAACTATTCACATTGCTCTGGCAAGATATGACTGGAGGCCTTCAAGTCCTGAACCGAGATGGCCAATGGATCAAAGCCACTCCTGTGGAAGGAACGATTGTCGTCAATATCGGAGATTTCATGATGCGACTGTGCAATGATATTTATAAAAGCACAGTCCACAGAGTGTACAATCGATCGACTGTCGAACGAGTCTCAATGCCGTTCTTTTTCGGCGAGTACAAATTTTCGGAACCTTCATGTCAAGATCACTAACAAGATCCAGGGCTCAACTTCAACTGCGTGGAAGGTGTGGTTCCCTCTTGTACTTCCGAAACGAATCCGCCAAAATACGAGCCAATTTCATGTGGTGACTGTAAGTAAAGATAGCAGCAGATCGAAGAGTTTGAGAAATATCCTGACTATAGAACAGGGTGTCAACTCCGATTCAAACTTGAGAATGATGAGATGAAGAAGAAAATGGCTGGGCAGACTCAAGCACCTAGTGCAGTGATTGTGGCAGCTTAAAATTCGTTGTTCTGCTACCAGGGATTCCTTTCTGCTGTATATTCTCACTTTTATAGCCTTTCCGGAGCGTTGTGAAAAGCGGAGCGTTATAAAATGGAGACCGGGTGGAGAGCAGCATCCCCTGTGAAAATCTGTAGTAAGAGGTTTTCAAGCCCCTGACATCTGATCCCATCACCTACGGAGTGTGATAAATGCTCATCGGCGCCCTTCAGCGAAGTTGTTGTCCCATCACATAACCTTCTGAAGGAGCTCCAACAAATCGAAGAATGCCTCCCTCTCCATCTCAACTTTTTGTAGTCCAAGTCCAACAACTACCGTCCTCGATTCCTCGGGATTCCTTGTAGCAATGACATTCGCGATTTGACTTGCATAAAGATGACCCAATGTTTCTCGTTGCTCACCACCTGCGCCAAGCAGCGTCTTTGGTGTCAAATGCCCGAGCGGAAGCATGTCTTCGTTGTTGGATGGCAGCGCCGTATCGAATGTGGTGGGAGAGGCGGATGAGAGTGGTACTTGGATCTGCCTAGCATGTCAGAACTATTCGAGGGTAAACTTTTAGAAGATATACCCATTGCGATAACCGACCGCCCTGGGAGATTGTGATCAGGATCTTGTCTGAGAAGTAAACAGACGACACGTCCGTCTGTGTTCCGTTGACGAGCCCGGCTGCCTGTTTGGATGGTGCTGGAAAACGAGAATCCTCTACACCACCATCAACGCCTAAATCTCGGAGGCCCGTAGGCAGACTTGGCGTTGACATCTTGATGGATGAAGACGTGTTGGTCGGAGGGGGATCCTCGCGAGGCTGCCGAATTGCCTTGTCAAATGGCTTCACCGCCTTTTTCTGCCGAAAAAAGTTCCTCCCAAAAACCTTGCAGCAACTTGAACATCGAGAGACGATTTGATGCACCTTCAAGATGCCCAAATTCGTCCCCCGGCAGCGGAAACACAAGGTTATTGCACGGTCAAAACAGCATGCCGGTCACTCTGAACCCGCAGTGGATTCCAATGCGGTGGAGCACATCCCCTCAGCAAAGGCTGAAATCGAAGAGAAGAAGCAGCGGATGAAGGAAGAGTTGCGAAAGGAAGGGGCAAAGATCAGTGGAAAGAAGGCGAAACGGTTAGAGAAATACATCGAAACGAAATTGAAGAAGGACGAGAATCGGGAACTTGTATCACGACTTGCAAATGCCAGAACGGATACCAGTCTCTACCAGAGCAGCAGGAAATTGGGACAAGGACGAGAGACGAAGAGGCAGAGGCTTAGCAGAGCTTTGAAAGATAGTCAGGCTGGAATCGATATTGATGGAGAAAATGACGAAGTGTTATTCGAGAAGAGGAAGGTGAGAGAGGTTGAGGATCAAAGTTCATCGGACGATGAACAACCACAAGCAGGAGGCGGACTTTTCAAATCCCCTATAACGATCCCAATTACAGCAAAACAACCTACCATAGCTCTGGGAGCTGGGTTAAAGAGACCTTTGGAAGTGGATGGAGAAGGAAAACCTGTCTTGAAAAAGAGGAAGCGCCGAGGAGGTGTAAACTCCAAATTATCCTTCAAGCATGAAGCACCAGAAAAGCCAGAGTGGACAGGATTCAGTTCTCCTTCGGAGATGGACAGTAATACTGATGGGGAGGCCTCGACCCAGGATTATGGCGATATTTCGGATGCTTCAGACAACGACCAGGAGAAAGCGACGTCGAGTTCGGAGGATGAGTCCGAAGACGAGACGGAGGAGACTGAGGACGGCGAAGAAGAGGACGATTCGTCTCCAAAGAAGGAGAGATCATCCGCTTTTAAAGCATGGGCAACTCAGCAGTTGAATGAAGCTCTCGGGTATCAACCATCCTCGAATATTACCAATGCAACAGATACTCCAAAGATTGTCGGATTCAAGCCAAGGGCTCCTGAACAGGACACTCTGCCCCTGGAACTACAACCGACAACGAATACCGCCCGAAAAGCGTTCAGTGTTGCTGTATCAAGACCACCGGAGATTCAAGAAGTACGACTGAAGCTTCCGGTTGTGGCAGAAGAACAAAAAATAATGGAAGCGGTTCACAACAACAATCTCGTAGTCGTGTATGGTGCTACTGGGTCTGGAAAGACAACTCAGGTTCCTCAGTTCTTATTTGAAGCTGGGTATGGCTCGCCAGACTCGCTAACACCTGGGATGGTTGGAGTAACTCAACCACGTCGAGTTGCTGCTGTTAGTATGGCCAAACGGGTTGGAGACGAAATGGGAGACCATGGAAAACGGGTCGCATACCAAATCCGCTTTGAAGGCACCGTTGGGGCCCAGACTGCGATTAAGTTCATGACTGATGGTGTCCTTCTTCGTGAAGTCGCTCAAGACATTGCTCTCCGGAAGTACTCGGCTATCATCATTGACGAAGCCCACGAAAGAAGTGTGAATACAGATATTCTGATTGGGATGTTGAGCCGAGTTGTCAAATTGCGGGAAGAAATGGCCACAGACGATCCCTCCATAAAGCCGCTGAAGCTCATAATCATGTCAGCAACGTTGAGAATTACGGACTTCACTCAGAATACGACATTATTTCCTTCGCCTCCTCCAGTCTTGCAGGCCGAAGGAAGACAGTATCCGGTCACGGTTCATTTCGCGCAGAAAACACATCACGATTACGTTGAAGAAGCATTCCGAAAAATCAGCAAGGGGCACAGAAAGTTGCCCCCTGGTGGATTTCTTGTGTTTCTAACTGGCCAAAATGAGATCACCCAGCTGAGCAAACGATTAAAGGATGCTTTCCATATTGGGCAATCTGCAATTGGCCCACCAGTCAGGATATCTGGAAAGGATGCTTCAATAGAGACAGAAGATATCGATTTTGGAGACAGCCTTAACGACAATAATGACAATTACGACGATGAGGATGACGTTGACATCGATCTTGACGATGCCGACTTTGATGTGGAAGGAGAGGCAGACACTGGCCCCACAAAGATGCACGTATTGCCTCTCTACTCCCTGCTACCAACTCGAGAACAACTGAAAGTATTTGAGCCTCCACCAGATGGATCACGGCTAGTCATTTTGGCTACCAATGTTGCAGAGACCAGTCTCACAATACCGGGCATTCGTTATGTCTTCGATTGTGGAAGATCGAAAGAACGCAAATACGATCGAATAACCGGTGTACAGAGCTTTGAGGTTGGGTGGATCAGCAAAGCCAGCGCCAGCCAACGAGCCGGTCGTGCTGGTCGTACTGGACCTGGACATTGTTATCGATTATACTCATCCGCTGTGTATGAACGGGACTTCCCAGAATTTGCAGATCCAGAAATCTTGCGGATGCCGATCGAGGGTGTGGTTCTTCAACTGAAGGCTATGAATCTTCAGCATGTGGTGAATTTTCCTTTTCCCACGCCGCCAGAACGACAAAGCCTCGCAAGCGCAGAGAAGCTTCTCAGTTATCTGTCTGCGATATCACCCGCCGGACAAATCACCTCAACAGGTGCTACGATGTCAATATTTCCTCTATCCCCCCGCTTTGCTCGGATACTACTAGTTGGCCATCTCCACGATTGTCTACCCTATACCATTGCGCTGGTGGCTGGACTGTCTGCTGCAGATGTATTCATTCCAGAAAATCAAGTCATCCCAGCGGCTACGCCAAGGGAAGAGGATGAATACTTGACAAACGCAGAACGGGTTGAGGAAGATCTCCGTCAGTGCATCCGGCGGAAATTTAACAAAGTTCAGAAGGACTTCTGCTTTCTTGATGACAAATCCGACGCAATCAAGTTACTTCAGGTAGTCGGCGAATTTGCACACGAACTTACCGAGGCATGGTGCCAAGCTCACTATGTTCGTTTCAAAGTTTTGAAAGAGATTTTGCAACTTCGAAAGCAGATTACAGATCTTCTCCACATGAATATTACGGCTTTCGCAGGCTTGCAATACCAGGAGAAGCTTGATCCACCATCTGCGAAACAGGTCAAAGCTCTGAAGCAAATGGTTGCAGCTGGTTTCATTGACCACATCGCGATTCGAGCAGACATGTCACCCCACCCTTTAGAGACTGGACGAAAGCCAACTCGAGCCATCGACGTGCCATACCTCACCCTCTTCCCGTCGCACATCAAGCGAGACGACGACGATAAAGCAGTATACATTCACCCATCTTCACCTTTGGCGCACATCAGCCCTCAAGAATGTCCCGAATACATTGTATATTCATATTTGCAGCGAGCAGCGCCTGCAGCTGCAACACCAGAGAAGATCCCAAAGACAAGAATGCATGCTCTTACCGACATCACTGGCGGACAACTCGCCGCGCTGGCGAAAGGCACACCACTGTTACACTACAGCAAGCCCATTAAGGAAGTGATGCCGAAGACGAAAGGTGAAGGTGATACAAAAATCAGGGAATGCTGGGTGATACCATATCTGAGAGCGGAAGGAACAGCAGGGATAGGATGGCCACTACCAGCTAGGAAAGTTACACAAAAGAAGATACCCAGTCGAGGATGGGTTGTTGAATGAATCGACCACGAGTCGAGAAATGATATCAGAATTTCAGCCACCAGTATAATTGTGGCTTCAGCATTTCCTGTAAATCTTGAGCTTGACACCCCACTTCCGTCGTGAACCCCATATCAGACGAACAAGTGTTCCGTGATTTGTCCGCCCTCAACCCCACCTTGATTTTCGTCGGATCTCCGCCCCGACTTTGTGCCCCTCCAAAAATCCTAAATCCTCTTTCCTCATCTTTCATAAATCGATTATTGGCATCTCATTCCGAGGTTGAATATCCCTAGGACTTCCCCCCCTTTCCTTCCAATACTAGTTTGGAATTCAAGCCATGACACTATTCCCAGGGGTTGCCCTCGTGACCGGCGCAGCTTCAGGTATGCTCAACTCACCAGTTTCATGCTCTTCCCTCCAGTTTGTCTTTCAATATGAACGACTTTATACAAGTTATGTTGACCTCAATCCAGGCATCGGCCGAGCAACAGCCATCTCCGTAACCAACCTGTTCCTTTGTCCCATGCCCCCAGCTCCCTATTTTACTGGTCGGGAGAATGAGACATGCTCCCGGCTCTCTCTTGGCTCCCTGGCTTCTAAAGAAGCAGGTTACTAATTCGTTGAAGTTCGCTCTAGAAGGCTGCCGCCGAATCGCAATCAGCGACATCAACCTTACGGGTCTCCATGAAACAGCAAAATACTTGAAGGAAGTCTCATCCGACGTAGATATCCTAGTAAACCAAGTTGATACGCAAGAAGAAGCCCAGATTGAGGACATGGTGCAAGCTACTGTTGCAAAATTTGGTCGGGTTGATTACGCTGTGAATTGTGCTGGTGAGCAATCCATTCTGTTCCTCTGATTGGACTTGAGGGGTGATGGGGATGAGATAGAGGTATTTGGTGCTGATTAATGTGACGGGTAGGGGTTGGAGGAACCAGAGAGCGCTCAACAGATCTGACTGCGAAGCAATTCGACTTCGTGACTAACATCAATTATCGCGGCGTCTGGCTCTCTTCTAGGTTTGAGCTGGCTCAGATGCTGAAGCAAGAGCCACTCCCGACTCATGATGGGAGGGCGGGGAATCGAGGGGCGATTGTCAATATAGCAAGTCAGCTGGGGATAGTGTCGACGAATAATGCGCGTAAGTACTCTACTTCAAGATGAGAGAAAGAAATGAATGAGGGGCTGATGTTGAGTAGCTGTGTATTGTGCCTCGAAAGCTGCGGTTATATCAATGACAAAGAGTGACGCTATTGATGTGAGAGCACCCTAAGGTGTGAAGAGTTTTTATTGATCTTTTGCAGTACTCGAAAGAAAACATCAGAATCAACTGTGTATGTCCTGGTATCGTCGAGTAAGTTTTAATTCATTCATGTGCATGGATGGACTGGCACTAACAGGCCAAGTACACCAATGACCCAAGGGGAGTCGGGTTTCACAAAGGCGCTGGAAACTTCCATTGCCATAGCACCGATGAATAGGAGGGGAACACCACAGGAGATTGCAGATGCTTGTCTATTTTTATGCAGTAGTAAGGCATCGTTTGTTCAGGGGCATGCTATGGTAAGCTCGATGCAGCATTTTGGAATATTATGCTGATCATTTCTAGGTTATTGATGGAGGGTATACCATTAATTGAGGGTGTCAACTTTCAACCATAGATGCGTATAGGCGAATCACGCTTACCCAGACTTACTGCACTCTTGAGCCTTTCTCTCGTACCTCATTGACACCACCCACCAAGAGCTCAAGGCTCCGAAAAGTAGTAGGTTTTTTTCTTTCTGTTTTTCGAATTGGCTATTACCTCCACCTTTTGCCTCTTGTTATCTCGTTTTCTTTTCAACGTTCCAGCTACACTCATCGATTTCAAGTAGATGAGATGGGTTTTGAGAAGTTGGACTATGCCTTTCCGCCACAAGGCAGACTTTCGAAAGTAAGAGACGCGGTCTTGAATTATTGGCCTAAATCACGCCCTCCTCCTTGTTCCAGAACAGCCACCATGCATGATATAGGTAGTGCCGTTCTTATTGCATGGATAGCGAGAAATACTACGTAAGCACATTACTCTAAACGAGTAATGAGGAATCAAGTTAAGATGACGTTAGTAATACTTAGTGGAAACCTATGGCTATAAGTATGAAGACAGGACACGAGGCTAACGAGCCTAGTATCACAAGTCTGTGTTTTTAGGGCGTTTCGCTAAGAAACGAACCCCATAACAATTTTGGACGCTTTACTTTTATAGTTTGAATTAGTTATAAACGCCTGCTAAACTCATTCTAGCTTCTTTTATCGTGTGCGTTTGAATTATATAAGGTTTTAATTTATAGTTGTTGTGAAACTATAAAGTGAAGTGGGCGACTTTGGTTTTGCGATGCCTGAAAACTTCGCTAAAAACACAGACTTATGATACTAGGCTCGTAAAGTTACTATTTAGTAATAGACTAGAATAGACTAAGATCACTTATAATAAATATTGCCTTCCAATTTAGCACTACGCCCTTAAGGCCTGAAAGTTTCATAAGTAATAGAACAACATTTGAATCAACTAACTATATCCTGGTAGTTATAGTTGGTGGTTGTGCTAGTCCCTCTTTCTTTCTCAATGCTCACGACCACCCATATCACACTCCTCCACCCTCGGCCCAACATGTGTCTTCCTAGCCCTCAACCACCACCAACTGAGGCCAGATCAATGCTCTCCCACTATAATTTTGTTCGTAATTAAGTTCCTCCATTGCTTTAGTACATTTAGCTCTAGTTGCTTTAGTAACACCCCGAGAATGTTCCTCAAGCCCTATTAGAGTCTCGCACTCTCGCTTAAGCTACATACATGCGACAAGACGGGGAAAGACTAAAACGACCCCCCCCCCCCGGTGTCGATTAGGGGTGTCGATGGCAAAATCTTTTTTTGGCTTAGCGCTCGGCATTTCCTCCCGCCTGCGCCCTCCCCCCCACAAGTCTCGAGTAGGAGTATTAATAAATTTTAAAGTTTTAATAAGACCTAATTTATTGTTTATATATACTTAAGCCTTTCGCTCGAATCTGATTTCTTAATACAGGTATAAGGAAAGTTATATATTAGAGCTTTAGGTTTGGGGAGAGCCTAGGTAATTATTACGCACGAGGCAAAAGCTCCAGGTACTTAATCGCTAAATTTTCAGGCTCTCTTAAGGTCGACACCCCTAATTAATACCCCTAATTAATACCCTGGAAGGTATTGCTTTACATTTTCCTGTTTTATAAGAGATTAAGAAGAAATATGCGCTATACAGGCCTATAAGACCCTAATTCTTTTTGAACTAATTGCGATATAACCAAATTTGTCTGGAAACTGTCACGATTATACGCTCCGGCTATAACCATAAGGGGTCTAGCGCCGACGTAGCCGACTGCACGTGACGTCGCGTCGCACTCTTGTATTTAGATCGCGTTTCCCTAGGAAACCTCTTCTTCTCTTAGTTTAGAATAGTCGTATCAATGCCAACGAACGGTCCCTGAACCACTGGCGCTTTGATCGTGACAGAAACGACGATGATGACGTACTATTCAGAGAATGCGATGCGCGTACTGGGTACCAATATACATTGATCTGCATACATTGGTGCATACAAAGTAATATATACGGGCACCTGCCACCGCCTGCTGATTTCGGTTAGTGTGGCCCCTATCGGCACCCCTAATCGACGCCCGGGGGAGGTGGGGGGTCGTTTTAGTCTTTCCCACAAGACGTACGATTTTCCAACCGGCCCTCTTGGCCCCAAAAATATCTTGCCGTACGATTGGTGCTCAAAGCTAACGTAAATATATTTATAGACACCGAAGAGTCATTGGCGAGGATATGTTTCGTTCTGCCTTTCAGGTCCGACTTAGTCAGCCGCCACACCGAGGCTATGGCGATGGCTACGGAAACTTTTTATTCGCCCACTCGATTCAGCTTCGCTCCCCAAAGCCAGAGGATACAACAGCCCCAAACTAGGGCCGAGCACAGGAATTCGGAGATGGAGTCATGCCAAATACGTGGAGGGTCTCAAGTGCTCGGATCCAACCAAGTGGTTGGGGAATTCGGCCAGGAATCGCTAGGCATTGACACAGTGCCTTGCTCGCGTTAGTTGCCGGCGCCGAAGGCTATCTTCAATTCAGCGGTGGCTAAGCCTTGATAAAACGTGGCTATTCTCTATGGTTTCTACCTCGTGGGCATTTTCAGGTTTTGGTGAGCATCATTGTTTTTCGCCTGCTGTAGTATGGACCTCTTTTCAGCGAAGTACACCACTAAGAAAAGCCTAAGAGCTTAAAGAGGCTTAACGTGGCAGAGCCGTTGATTGGTCTGACGCATAGGAATTTTTCGATGGGCTATTAGAGGTTGAAGTGGAAATATGAGGTGTGGAGAATCTATATAGGAGATGCCTTCTCCCACTTCTGTGTCCTTTAACCTACCCAGACTTTAGACCACTACTCCAAACCTTAACTGCAGACTTGAACTTCATCCACAAACTCCTTTCATCAAGTCACCTCCAGAAATATCTCAAATCATACAAAAAATGGTTTCCTTCGCGGCACTCATCTCCGCCATCTCCATGGCTCTCCTTGCCACTACCATCAGTGCTGCCCCAGCCATTACGGAGGAAAGAGACTGGCCACCGCCTACCAGCTCAGTCCTGGACTTCACCCTCTATAAGGAGACCTCACTTGGCAACGAAGGAAAGTGCTGGGGCAATGTTCCCGGCGGCGATCTCCACGTTGCCCCAACCGACCTTGTCTCATTCGACGGCACAACCAAGAGCACCGCTTGCAATAAGGCCGACTTCTATGTCGCCCACATCAATACTGCGCATCCGGGCTACAACTGCAATGGTATTTTCCCCCTCCATGTCCGGTTTCTAGGGGTGATTTACTAATAACAGGGATAGTCTACGTCTATGATGATGATAATTGCTTGAATAATATTGGATGGTATGAGCCATCTTCGCCATGCGAGAACCTTTATTCCAGCTATGGTCGCGTTGAATTCAATTCGTGGAAAGTGACCTGCACCTGAGCAGGTCGTGGATGGTGGAGAGATTAGAGTGGTGTGAGAACAAGATTCGCAGGAGGCTAGACATCTTCGAGTTCTTTCTTGCTTGATTTAGTAGCAGTTTTGCGGGTTCATTTTAGCGTTTGGGTACTATGATAATTTAGAAATAATCTTGATCTCGGTTGCCGTTTAATGCTCGAACGCTGCCTATAATTAATATCGCTTAAGCCCTTGAGATTTCTCGCTAACGGGCCTGCTACCCTCGTAACAGACACCAGAAAAGTTTGTGGTTTTGCGGGGACCCACTATTACATTTATTTAGGGGGGGGGAGTACCACGAGTACTTACAGGATTTGTTTCTTAGCGAAATGCCCTAAAACCACGGACTTTTGTCAACAGGCTCGTAAGTCACTACCTCTAAGATAATACCTTTTTGCTATATCTACTTTGCAAACTGGCAGAGCTTAACTCGCTTATTGGCGCTATTTATAGATCTAGCCCAGCTGTTTTCAAACCCCCACCCCTATTCTTTACTTTCTCCACAAATTAGATTTTTAGAAGGTACAGGTAAGTCAGCTGGTTCTCAGTGCAGGTCTTCCGGTTACTGCCAAATTTCAACCCGAACTCGATTGCCCCGCTTTGCAAGTGAACATTCGTATCGGGCGGTCGAGGTGCTCATAGCGTTGGTAAGATGTGGGTGATGGTTACTTGCTTTTTCGGCTCGAGGCTGCAGCCTGCTCAGCCGCATGCAGTTGGCCAAAAAAGGAAGTCGGGGATCATTTGCCTCGCTCTCTGCCTTGCACTAGGCGCTCGGCCTCCGGTCTTGTGAATGAATGCACCCTTTGGGGCCTCCGGTTTAAATCTTTGCCGAAGTCGGCGTGGATCTCAAGCCGCAATACTGATTGCAACTCTCTTGGTTTCCCATTCTTCCTCAAGCATATCATTTCCATCTCCTGCAAGGAAGGAATTTAGGCAGGTGTTGATGCACATCTTCATTTAGCGAGTATGCTGACGGTCTGTCAGAACCCCATGGCCAATCAGTCGAATATCCGTAGAATTGTACTGTGCCTGCTTCGATTTGACCTGTGGGCGGCGGACACAATCACTGATGAGCTCAGCGCCTTACATCGTCTTGAAAACATAGACTATCATTTCCAGCGTATGTGGAAAGGACTACCACCAGTTGAATTGCAAGTCCTAGACGAGTGGCTTCGGAGTCCCGAGCTTTACCACAGCCAGCCCCTCTTCGCCTTACGAAAATATGTCGAAGGTTTCTCGGAGCGCCAGCTGAACTCGGTGGTTCTGAATTCATCTGCGAGGACCTTTTATACTCGGTTACTCTTCAAACGGATCTCTAAGCTCGTGGAGCAGAAAGCAATCAACGGGTTTGCGACACAACACCCGGATCGAGCATTTGAAGAGAGTCAAGGACTTCTCATCGAGCAGCGGCCGGCGACGCGCAGAGAGTATCTTGTTACCGTCGCTCACAGACTACACGAGACCCATCTGCGTCTGAAGGCGGTCATTCGAGAGGCCAAGGTGTTCCGCGATTATATCAAGCTAGCCAAAGAGGCACAAGATTTAGAGTTTCCTGCTATGCAGGTTTTGAAGGAGAAGTTGGAAGCACTGAATGAATATTATGAAGATTCATACAGGGAATTGGGCGAAGAGATGACGGAAAAGCTGATGAATACACTAACTTCTGAGTTTTGGTAGGTCTCTCATGGTCCATTATTGTAGATTCGGCTGACTTTCGCAGGGACGTCAGTCCACAGGTACCGCCCCATGCGGTGGATGCCTATCCAGCACATTTGCCTTCTCTGAACTTCATGCTGTTCAACTTTTTCTTCCTTGCATCTATACCAGCGTACTTTTGTTTTTGTTCCACTCCGGTCGGCCCTGGATCGCATGTAGATGCGAATTTCTACCAATTGCTGTCCAGTAATGTGCTGCAGGTTTTGAGCATAGTGACATTGCTCTGGCCCACTATCTTTCATGCAAAATTATCAAGATCGGCGTGGTTTTGGTCTTGGATGCTTGCTGGAATCAGTTTGATTTGTGTCGTCTTGAGCGTAATCATGTACCTGTTGGTTTCTATTGGTTGGAGCTCCGTCTTGAGCCTGTTTGGTGAGGCGAGTATTTGTGTGGTCAGTTTAATGTTAATCTTCCGGGTCTGATACTCTGTTAGCGTAGAGAGTAGGAACAATTTTATCGAGTATATTCTCCATGACATATTCTCATGGTCACTAATCTATATCAGTGGCTGAGTATTTGGAACCCACTTCTCTCCCCGCAGTCGAATTGGAAGGGCATCATTGGTAGTTGCCAAACTTCACTACAGACACATCAACAACTAGCGATATAAGTTATACTATCTATCAGAAAGGAACAAATAATCATAATAATAAAGCTAGTCGTTTTATTAGGTTTAGCTGTATGTATATGGAAAGGTTTCAAAGTTTGGAGGCTTCAAATAAGTTCGGCTAAGCGAGCCCCCGTTTTTTAGAGCGGGAATGGTGTATCCCTATTAGGCTATACACGATCGCCAGTCGGTCCCAGGCCATTTATTCCACACTCCATTTTCTGGCCGCTTTCCACTGAATCACTGAACGATATCCTGTCTTCATAAAAGTCGACAATGGAGTTCCTACGATTTTGGAGAATGCTCTTCTCTAGTAAAAAAAACGCATGAACCCAAGGCACAACGACGAATTTCGAAGCAGTATCGACTACCGATACTCTCCTCTAGGCGAGAATAATACACCGATGCGAGATAGACCAGCGGATTCCTAAGATATCTCCGTAGGGACCGGGAAACACGGAAGAGCTCGAAAAGCGGGCCTATACGGAGGTCGCGGAATAAAGTATCGGGAATACAGGGCATTATGAGACTTTTAGACCCTCTAGCGTACAGATGAAGGTAGCAAACTCGCTATAAGGCCCTATATTTTTAGGCCCTTCCCCTAAAAGTAGCCTATACGCCTTCGACAGGGGCTGTTATGCCCTTTTAGGGATTCTCCCCTGTACTTACAAGGGAGTTATCGCTAAGGAGGCCTATAATAATTACTCGTTCAACGTCCCAGCGGTATAGTTGTTCTACTAATAGCGCTATAACCCTAGAAAATTTACTTATCCCTTGCGAATATTTTATAGTGCCTCTTGACGTCGATTTAGGGAACACGGCCTGGAGTTATAGGGTCCTAGAGTAAACTCTTGCCCTAAATTCGTACCCTGTAGAGCACCGAGGCCCTGTATTCCCCATACATTATGTCGCGATCTCCGTATGGGGGCCTAAATCAGGGCTCGCCCCACTTTTGTCGGACTGACTCATATTCTGCGGTTTACCGCCGGCACCTCACATACCTCAAAACAAACACATAAAGTTCCCTCCTTTAATAAGCGTCGGTATATTTGGTCAACTTGTTTCCCCTCATTTCTCGAACCTATTTTCATTACTTCTGTTGGATCCAATTTACTTCGACATGAATGGCGATGCAACTCCGGAACGGAAAAGTGCTTCCATCGGGCATCTCCATTCCCCTGAAGCGCCCTATGAAGAACGGGCTTTCGAAATCTCAATCCCAGACCGTAAAAGCGCTTCCGTCAAAAGTTTCTTCAAAAACCGCGAAGCCCTCATCGCAAAAGAAAAATCACAACGCAGTGGTACCACCTCCCCCCTCCCCCCTACTCAAAAACTATCCATTCGTCCGCTAACACATGCACCACAGACCATGAATTCCGCCAAAACCTCTCCCCCATCGCCCAAAAGGCCTGCCTTCTGGCCGGAGAACTTCGTGCCCGTGAGCTCGAAGCTTTCTGGTCGACGGCCCAGAACTCAGAGCTTGAGAAGCAAGAGCTCTTCCCGGGCATGATTTTCAACCTCGCTAAATCCCACATGGAGAAGACCTCATTGTGGAAAATCTGCCAAAAGATGCCAAAAGGCGCGCTGCTTCATTGTCATCTTGGGGCCATGGTGGATTTGGAGTGGGTTATTGAGACTGCTATTGAGACGGAGGGGGTTTGTATTTGTTTACTGGGAGGGGGGTTGGTGAGTAAGGATGTGTCACGTGCTACGCACAGGCCACATACAGATATATATATAGCTTCTTCCCTGCCTTTAGGGCATATATGATTCCTTACGATTTATATAAATATATACCCATATTATCCCCACAGCCCTTTTAGGCCTTGACATAATAGTAATGCCCTAAGATTTTCGACCTCCATATTAATACCTTAGTATCCTCCGATTTATCGACCTCCAGATTAATACCCCCCCCCTACTCCTGAGATTCGACCTCCATATTAATACCTTAGTACTCCGTATCCGTAATCGACCTCCAAATCGATACCCTACCTACAAGATCTCGACCTCCATATTAATACCTTGCGAGCTCTTAATTAAGTCCTCGACCCATATTCACGCCACCCTCCAGAATAGCCCCTACCCCTCCTGCAAACCCTTCCACAAATACTCCTGTAAGCCCTCCTTCTTCTCGCCTGCGAGCGACAGATATCGGATATTTCGATCCGCAAGGTATAGATATAACGGGAAAGATAGTGATTTTTTCGGACATTTACGCATTTACGGACATGCTCTTGCACCTTGCAGAGACTCAGCACGACGATATTCGTACGGCTTTCCCTCTCTGCCTTCGTGGTATAGCTCTCTTCTGGTATTCCATAGAGCTTACACCCCTGGAACGTTATCTCCTCTCGTGTGTTCCTGTCTCTAAGCTTTGCGCTGCTCTTATTTCACGATTTAAAACCCCTCCACGATTCGATGGCTTTAATAATACTCAAATGTAACAAATCACTCAAGCCCTTCACCAGATAGTCTTACGAAATACACCGACTCCTCCTTTCCCCTCTACTTCCGCCGATAAAGACGAAGAAGACGAAGACGAAGACGAAGGAGACGAAGACGAAGAAGATGAAGACAAAGAACAAGCCTCTTCTCCTGCTCTCGTAACGAGCCCCTCTACCTCCGCCGATAAAGACGAAGTAGATAAAGAACAACCCTCTACTCCTGCTCTCACGACGAGCCCCTCCACTCCTACTCTTATAAAGAGCTCCTCCCTTCCTCTCACTCTCGCTCTTTTTACGAGCTCCCTTCTTCTAATAAGCTCACTTCTCACAACGAGCTCTATTCGTTCCTCTTTCCTAGCTTATATTAAGGGGAAAATGGCCCATTTGGACGGCGTGGGCTAGGCTCAACGGGGACGTTTCCTTCCTTTTGAGGGGGCATGTCACGTGCTACGCACAGGCCACATATAGATATATATATAGCTTCTTCCCCGCCTTTAGGGCACATATGATTCCTTACGATTTATACAAATAAACACCCATATTATCCCCACAGCCCCTTCAGGCCTTGACAGGATGTGAGAGCAAAGGCCGATGTGCGAATCCTGTTCCAGAAGAACGGGAATGCGGATGGGAGTTCGATTTGGAAGAAAGGCTACGTGAGTGAGACTTGGGTAAGCTTGAAGAGTGCAAGTGAGCGTTTTCCGAACGGGGGCAGGGAGGGGTTTGTCCAGTGGTTGAAGAGCAGGTGTACGATCACGCAGGAGGATAACGTGGCTCACCATCTGGGCGTGGACGACATCTGGAGGAAACTGCAGGGCGCGTTCCAAACCATTGCGCCGATTGAGTTTTACGAGCCCATTACGAGGGGATTCATTAGGAGGTTTTTACAGACAGTGAAAGAGGATGGGGTGAAGTGGGTTGAGATGCGGGGTATGAATCGCAATTTTCGGCTGGAGGGGGAGCATGAACACACGGAGAGGAGACTGGATTTGGTGAGGGTCATAGATGAGGAGATTAACACTTTCGTAAAAAGTGAAGAGGGCAAGGGCTTTTGGGGAGTTAGGTTGATTTGGGATACATTGCGGAGCTTCAACACCAAGACTATCATCGAAGGTTTGTTGTCCAAACATCTGGTGAGAACGAGGACTGATCGCTTCATAGATATGAAATTTTGCATCCAAGCAAAGAAGAGCTACCCTCACCTCATCTCAGGCTACGATCTCGTCGGGCCTGAAGATGATGGCCGGACTCTGCGCGACCTGACGCCCGAGCTCATGTGGTTTCAAGACGAATGTGCCAAAGAAGGAGTCAATATCCCATTCTTCTTCCACGCTGGAGAATGTGTCGGAGACGGCAACAGCACGGATCAAAATCTTTTCGACGCGATCCTGTTCGGCTCAAGAAGAATCGGGCACGGCTTCTCGCTGTACAAACACCCGCTCCTAATTGACATGGTGAAAGAGAAAAAGATCCTCATCGAGAGCTGTCCCATCTCGAATGAGGTATTGAGATACACAGCCTCGATCATGTCCCATCCGTTGCCGGCATTGTTGGCAAGAGGCGTCCCGGCAAGTTTGTCGAATGATGACCCTGCTTTGATGGGACATGATACTTCCGGCATGACGCATGATTTTTGGCAGGCGATTCAAGGTTGGGAAAACCTGGGGCTGGCAGGACTGGTAAGTAAAAGCCGGAGAGTTTTGTGAATGAAACTAACTCGAGATCCAGGGTTCACTTGCTCAGAACAGTGTGAAATGGTCCAATTTCGAGAATCAAGATACACAAACATGGCTAGATGACATCTCTGCTGGTGTCAACGGAACCGGTATTCGCGCGAAGAGAATCAGGGAATGGAATAAAGAGTGGGAACAGTTTTGTCTGTGGATTGTGGACGAGTTCGGAAGTTTGTAGGAAGACCTTCGTCGTTCCTTTTCGGGTTTCCATTTCAAGGCGTTCTCTATCGACCTCGGCCTTCAATATTGTTCCTGGAGTTTGAGGTAGACTTAACTCTATGATCTTTAATTTAAACACGAGAGTGTTCATTCAATACATCACTTATCTTTCTCCTTTCGTTCCTTCAGCAGCTTCTTCCCCATACTCCTCAGTTCCGCATTCCCAATTGTCTGACTCCTACTCCCCATCACAGCAAGCTCAACCATCGCAGCAGCCAACTCATCCACCCGAATCACATTCCTACTTGCCTCCACCAGTACCTCCGGCACAGAACTCTCTTTCTTAAGAACATACCCACACTTGACAACCACCGCCTCAAAATTCCCATTCTCCTCCGCCAACTTTAACAATTTCGTCTCTGCAAGTCCCTGCATAGCGTCAACACCCTTCCAAGCCCCCCATTGTCCCAAAAAGAAGGGAACAAACCCTCGCCTTCCTTCCCTCTTCCAAAATCCAAAGATTTTTGGTCTGGTCACGAACAGACAATGCCCCGGTAATAAGTAGAAACCTGATTTTCACTACATGACACACATGCTCCGCCGGACTTTTACTCGCTTCGATCAACGCTTTCGCCAATGCTAAAGGATACTGGACCTCCACTTCGTCGCATTTCCCCTTTGGTATCGGATTTGAATTGGAACCTCCCAATGCCCTTTTCATGCCCATCAACTTCGTTCCCGAGAATCCCTACCCCACTCTCGCCCCACTGTCCCAGAAATCGGGAGGAAGGATTCTTACATACCAAAGAACAGCTTTCACACCAGTGAGTTCTGATTTCAGGGATTCAGGATATTCGAGGAAATTTTCTCGGACAATGACTTTGATGATGGGAGCAAGGGATGCAATGTCTGGGAGGGGCCGTCGAGAAAGGATGAGCAGGGATGTGATCAGGGGATTTGAGAGGCAGTGAGTGAGGATTTCGGTGCCGATGAAGCCGGACGTATCGGTTAGTATGTATTTCATGATGGAAAGTTGGTAGATAGCGGATTTGGATGATACGAGGCTTGCAGACGAAAAATAAGAATGTGAAGCTTTAGCGGTTTCATGACCAGGTTGATGCTTAGGCCCTGTTTCGCAACTTTTGAATGCTAGCATTTGGTCAGCAATCGAACACTAGCTTTCGATTATTAGGAATTTTAGTGTTTCGTAAATTTTTGTATACTAGCAACCAAACACTGGTATTCGATTACCAGTATTTGCTCCCATACAAATCGCAGTTTTTTCAGAACCACCTATGGTAGGTGGTTCTGAAAAAACTGAGTATTTGGATACTGGCTTTTGTCTTTTCCAACTACCTTTATAGCGCTTCTTAAGGTATAATATTTTAATTATTATATAAATATCGCGCTTCTCGTATAATTTTTGTTGTGAATTCTTTCTTAATAGGAAAGCTATAGTAAAGTAATTAATTAATTAATTACTTTTGCCTTAGGAGAGAAATAATTATTAGGCTATAATACCCTATAATTATAGGGAGTAATTACTAAAGAAAAGTAAGCCTTGAGATTTAAGATCACCGGAGATTATTCTGAAACTTCCGTAATTGCGATAGTTATTGAGTATTTGCATTTTGCGAAACACCTCTAAATTATATGAATACCAGCTTTGAATACTGAGTATTGAACGCTAGTATTTGGTTATTGGCGGATGCTAGCAATCGAAAGACGTGCGTCCGTGCGAAACAGGGCCTTAGCCGACAGCGTGCGGTTTTAAATTTCCCGAGTCTAAATATTAACAATACACGCCGGTTGAGACATCAGGCATGGGTTCTACTAATTCTATTATTCTGTCGTCAATTTGCTTCCTGGGAAGTTGCGTACTGAGTCAGTCTGACAGCCTCCTTCTTTTAATCATGCCTCTTTAAGCAGTCCAGTGGTTTTCTGCTTCCAGATAGCTGCTGCAACACCAGCAACATCCAATTTGAGACCCTGCCAAACGAAAGCTCCCCAAAAACACATAGGAAAGCAACCAAAGGAACTCATTTCTTCCGTCTGAGTGCGGTGAATCTCGGAGGGCGAAGGTGTTTGGGTCGTGGCCCTTCTCCTCCGAAGGCCTGGGTGCTAACATGAGCTAGCTGAAGCGGTGGTGGACCGGTGTAAATATCGAATCCGGAGGGATCGTCCTCCACAGGCCCTGCTGGTGCTGGGGGCTCATGTTTTATTTCTTGCACAAGCTCTCGTCTCATTTCGATGCCTCCGATATCGAAACTGCTTCGTACTTGATCGGAGAGTCGTTTCACAGTTGCAGCAGCAGCAGAGATCTGTTTTGAAGAGTCAGATGACCAGGAGCTTACAAGAAGGAAAAGCTGCAGTGGAGACACTTACAGAGTTCCGAAGAGAGGCGCGGGTGGCGCTCATCCTAGTTGGCTTGTGCTCTACTCCTTGTGGTGGTGGCTGCTCTTCTTCAGTTTGGGGGTATTCAGCTCGTTCTCCACCCCGAGGATGGCCTCCATGTTCTTCCTCAATGGCAGTCAAGTGCTGTTCTTCGCTTCGTTGAGGAATAGAATTCCTCACCCTTGCCGGTTCTTGTACTGCAAGCTCGTAGTCCTGTGCACAATGGACTCTCCCAAATTTCCATGTTCGAATGTGATTGCAGCCGTGGCGATAAATTCCGTGAAGAACAGGGGCATTGACAACGACGGTCTGCGAATATCATCAGTTCAATATCGGGGCGAATCCAATGGAACATGTACAGATGTTCGACTTACTGCAAGGAGACATTCAATCTGCACGAAGAAATCAGCAAAGTGCAATGCAATATGTTGAAGGACTTATCTCACCTGACCCCATATCAATTCATGCTGACCGAGCAAGTTTGTGAGCACAGATGCCACTCGTACAAATGAGGCAATGATGACCTGTCTTCAAGTAAGCCGAAGGTTTAATTGGCAGGAAGAGAGCCCAGTACGAGAATGCCGCCAAAGTATAATGCACAGAGTGGTACCAGTTCCCTGTGAAATCACCAATCAGCCTCCGTCTGATATGTATCTACATGAATAAGGAATGCGATTGACGTACTGGCGTGGGGGAACCGGTCGCAGAAGAATCGGTAGAGGTATTGCCATCAAAATCAGATCGGTCAAGATGTTCGTCTGGTAATTGAGTTAATCTCAAGGTCTGCTGTTCGAGGATCTGAACTCTTACTGCTTCCGTAGCAATTACTGCAGCAATCTGCAAAGGATCAGCAAAAGCAGCTGACAGGGAATCGTTTTGCGCACCGCTCTCTGTACATAATCAGTATAATTGATGATAAAATGGGCGTTCCGCCAACAGTATCTCTCTGCAGAATCTCCTTACAGTGCATTCTGGAGGGTCAATTTGTATCTGCCAATATAACTGGACCGGTATACATTCCGTGAAGAACGATATCATGCAAGCAATCCAACTCGCCGCGAGGCCGCCGGCAGCTATCTTGATTGTGAGAACCTCTTTCGTTCGTAGGGGCAGGCGCAGGTAGCAGTAGATCAGCTATCAGATGTATTTAGCGGGGCAGCGAGAAAAATGAACAGACAAGAGGTTACCAGGCACCCTTTCAACGTCCATAGGTATGACACGTAAAAGATGCGACTGAGAAGGAGGGACTGCGACCCGAGGACCACTGGACGAATGTCAGCAGATAGGTTTGGGGACATGGTCCAAAGAGCCGATGCCGTATGCAATTTGGTCATCCTTCCAGTCCTGTAGATTCGTTTGGCTAATGTTGGTGCCGTGATATGCCTGCTTTGTATCAGCTCATATGCCAGATGACAGATCGCTGGACGCATCGTCTGCCTTGGCAAGACTGACAGCAACAATAAACGTTCCCGTATATGCCGCATAGATGGCGGTGGAAGCCAACATCAAGTAGTCATCGGGTTTGAAGGCTTCATGCTTGAGACGGCGGAACAACGTTCGAGCGAGAATGATCAGGCAGGACAGGATGGTCAACACATAGGCGGCATCGACGAGAGGAGTCACGGAGTCGGCCATATCGCCAACTGGTGGACGAAAGAGGGTATGCGATCATAAAATAGGAAAATTCATGGTGGAGGAAGTTGAGAAGTTGAAGTTCGCCAAAAGAGACGGTGTGGAAGGATTGGCAGTTGAGGAAGGAGCGACCTCAGGGTCTGTCACCACCACCGCGCACTTCTCCATTTGGGAGCGAAAGCAAGGAGAACTTCGCACGCAAATACGGCAAGAAGAGGAAATTTGACAACCGAGAAAGCTGGAAGGAAGCAATTGCCAAGCTTGAGTGGAGGGAGCATCCCGAACGCTCACAATGTACTCTCACCCGTTGGTACGATGAAGTGATGTCAAACGCGCCCTGTCAGGTCGCCCTTCCTGAGGAAGTCGTGTCGAAATCGTGTGATATTATTGTGACTCAAAACTTGACGAAGTTCCGAAAGGCGTTTGTATAATGTTGACTCGAGAAGAAACCACTTCCGAGAGAAGACGGGTACAAGCACGCCGGCGATCCGAATGCATGTTTCCTCCCGTCTTCCCACGCTGTCGACACACAAGAAGGAAGGCTGTATCCAAACGGGCTTGCATGCATTCTTTCCCATCTGGCACGTGGTCCCCTCACCATTGGTAACCTTCATATTCCCAACAAACCTCGAATCCGAGGCGTTCATAGAAGCCTCTGATCACAACCCAATCGATACACACACCCTCAATCCCCCGTTCCCGCATATGCTCCATGGCTTTTACCAGTAGCGCCAGTCCTACTCCTTTGCCTCGCGCACTCTCATCAACCCCAACACAAGCAATGAGCCCTGTCTTCTCTTTCGATGGCATCAATGGCAGGAAAGCAAAGGCGTCGCTGATGATGGCATAATGAGAACACATCAATGTCCATCCGATTTGTGCGTTCGTGTCAGGGTCGAAGGCCACCATTACTTCGTGGTGTTGATTCCGAGCTGCGAGAGTTTCGTAGGCGTTGACCCACCCCTGGACACAGCGTTAGAGAGCGGGAAAAGGTATAGGGGAGAACGGACGAACGATTTGCCTGAAATTGCCCCTTTGCTTTGTCATGCATTCTTCATACAGCGCTGGAGACCAGGGAGAGAATTTGAGGTTCATCTTTGAGACTCGCTCGAGGGTTTCTGGTGGAGCGACAGGGCCGCGGATATCTCTGTAGAGATCCCGGGCGGTTGGTGCCGTGGATTTGTGAAAGCCTGGTTTTTGTCAAAAATTTGTCTCTAACCACCGAAATGAGAGCATGGCATACCGCTGTGAAGAAAAAAATCTTTGAATTCTTGTGGGAAATCAGTCGGCACCTGTGGCCAGAATCTAGGAAACACAGATCCGATCTCCAACGACTTCAATTCCCCATCCCCATTAGCACGAGCCATACTTCTCAACTCGGCTTGTGCTTTTTTCATAAAAGCAGTGCCGAGGCCGTTACCTCGGTATTCTGGCAGCACACCCACTGCAGCAATTTTGCCGTGTGGCCCATCGGTCAGGAAGGATAGACAGAGCCCCTTCTCGTGAATATAATGTCGACCAGGAGGTTGGCGGAGAAGGTTTTGCATGCGCGAGCGTTCGATCGGCCATTTCGGAAAGATTGTCTTCCACATCTGCAATATATGTTCAAAATCCTCGTTGAAGTTGGTGAGACCCCTGATGGCATGCTTGACGGGAGGAGTTCCGACAGGCAAGGAGCCCCGAGATTTCGCAATTCCAAAGATGATGTCCACAGCTGCCTTGAATGCAGGGATCGTAGGCTCATAGATCGTGATGTAATTTTTGATGTCAGCCTTTTCCTCGAGGAAGTCATATGGATCGCAAGTTGCGACGACAATCAATTTGTTTCCATACTTCTTCCCCAGAGACAAGCCAAGGTCTTTTTGGTATGGACTTAGACTTGCGTTCCTCGTTGCGAAGATGATGACATCAGAGTCGGCGATATGTTTCTCTTCCTCTCTCGAAAGTTTAAAGCCATCGTGGAATCGAACATCAATGGCATCTGGGTTGTGAACCTGGATCAGATCAATGTACGATGCTGGCGTATATGGTTCCCGGGTTTTCTCTTCTCCACTTCCGACTGCTCCACCGCCGACTGGGGTCTTCCCAGGACTGACGAAAACAAGCTTCGTGTTCATGGTGTGCGGCGAAAGTGGGATTAAGCCAGGTTCGGAGCGGACGACCGTTGCGCTCTTGGCATAGATATCAGCCGCAAGGCCAGCTTGTCTAGTATTCCTCGAATTTGTGTCGCGTGTTCTCCACATTTCTTCAGCCACCAGCGGAGCTTGAATGCCATACTTGGCTTTGAGAATCCTGACTCTATCCACCGACAATCGAATGGCCTCTTGCGAAAGCTCGCCAGATTTCACTGCTTGAACGACCTGTTCGATGGCGCCAACTTGTGCCGACATCGTGTGGCAGATCATCGCGCAGTCATTTCCTGCCTGTTCACAAAAATGATCAGCTCCCATTCGGTACAGCGGATACCTAGTTCCTCACCTTCAACGCCATGACAGCACCCTTCTCTGTTCCAAAAGTTGCCCTCACACCATCCATTTCCAGGCAATCACTGACGATCATGCCATCAAACTTCATCTCATCCCTTAAAATCTTGATGGCATCCGAGTTCAAACTCGCCGGTACTTTCTTGGAAGGATGATCCTCTCCCAAGCTCGGGTCTCCGATTCCAGGCATAGCAATATGAGCCGTCATAACAGACTCAACACCCTCAACCACCGCCCTTCGAAACGGTACCAACTCGCAAGCATCCAGCTCTGCCTTACTCTTCGCTGTAACCGGCAACCCAAAATGCGAATCCACAGCAGTATCCCCATGTCCTGGAAAATGCTTCACACATGGAAGAATCCCACCTTCACTTAACCCCTTCACTTGCGCAGATACAAGTCTTCCAACAGTTTCGGGATCATCCGACGGGGATCTTACCCCGATGACCGGATTCTTTGGCTCGGAATTCACATCAGCGATCGGAGCATAATTTATGTTAATCCCAAAAGCCTTCAACGTCTCTGCTGTCGCCGACGCGATCTTGAATGCATTCGATGCATCTCCTGTTGCACCCAGAGCCATGGATCCAGGAAGCTGTGCAGCAACAGGCGGTTTGATTCGCGTGACGAGACCATTTTCTTGGTCGATGGCGATGAAGAGGCCCTGCTCATGACCCGAGGCTGCAGCGATCTCTTGGAGGGAAGTGGTGAGCTCGGTGAGTTGTGTGGCGGTTGAGACATTGCGGAGGAAGAGGATCACGGCGCCGACTTTGTGGGTAGTGATGAGGGTTCTGATGTCTTCGCTTGCGACGTGGCCGTGGAAGCCGACGATGAAGAGCTGGAAAATATATAAGTAAGGCAAAGACGACTACCGCTGTTAAGAAGCTGCTTAATTTCATCCAGACTGTACATTCATCTCGTGGCCGGCTGGATGCGTCGAGACTTCGACGATAGTGGGGATCGACCAGGCCACAAGCTGTAAGGACAAGATCAAAATCGATGCAACGATGAATAGAGAATTACTCAAGCACACGTAAGATGTCAAAATCAACGCACCTGTCCCACTTTGGCTCTCAACTCATCTTCGGACCACGGTGCCATCGCGCTGTTCTGCTCAGTCATCATGAAGAGTGGGAAATCTGCAAATCGAATGCCTCCCCTCACTTGAGAGATCCGAAACCCTTCTTAAGTTCAAACAGACTTTTTCAACCACAGTCGACAGTGAAGGATCCAATCCACCTCCTACGTGACATCCCTCGAAGACTTCCATGTACTGTCCCGTGTTTGCGGAATACGAGACGAGGACCGAGAAGTGGAAATAAGGTTGCCGATCACGTGCAGCTCCTCTATTTCAACCTCCCCACTTCTTCTCGCGCCAACTGCAAACCATCAAAAACTATGCAACGTAGTATTTGCAGGACCAACCCTCTCCTCCGGGCGGCCGACGCGCGAGAATTCAAGGTTTACATGAAGATCATTCTCCTCATTGAAACAACCCCCACGCCATCTTGAACGGCAATCCGTGAGCTGCTCGCGATGGATTACGATGGCCCGGTTCGAAAAGAGTGGGGTTTTATATGAAAAGCTTGGTTTCCGCATTGTGATGGCTTTTTATCTGGGATATCCGGAGTAGTTTTCGAGCATCTTTTCGTCTCAATTTTTGAAAAATGGAAGACTCAATCGGTGTCAGCACACTGAACGAAGTTATCTCCCGACAGGTGGCGGCAGAAACGGCCGACATCGACGGCTCTAGCAAGCAGAAACTGAAGGAGAACCTTGAGTAGTATGAGCAGTTGTTTGGCGCGGATGAAGACGCGTTCGATCAGCTGACAATGACGAGGAAGGAGCTGTTGACCTACTACCTTTGCTACAATGTAAGATCTCCCTGGCTCCTAATATCTTGACCCTAATCACTGACAAATGCAAGGTGACAACGGAGTTGGCCCAGGCTCATACTCCCAAGCCCTTTTCCATTCTGCCTTGAGCAGTGCAGGATGGGATCCAGTAGTCACACCAATCGGAAAGGATAATTGCACCACGGGAGGCTGTGTCGTCCCCTGGGGCTCAGGAACCAGATCGATGGCGAGCATTGTGCTCATTTCAAATGGAATTTGCTCCGCTGTCATGACGGTTATGTTTGTGGCTCTGGGGTCAGCAGCAGACTATGGGAACTTTGGACGTTGGTTACTCCTCGTCCTGACGGTTATTTGCTGGATATTCCAGTATTACATGATGGCTATCAGGAGACCAGATCAGTGGCTTGCTGCTATAGTGTTCTATATCATTACGTACATTTCATATGTGAATCTCTCTTCAGGCCTTCTGTCCATTCCATCCATTTGATACTTGCTCACGCTCAACTAGGGAGCCACCCTCGTGTTCTACACTGCAGTTTTCCCGAGGCTTGCTCGCTACATGCCCCGTGTCAGAAAGGCACGAGAAGAGGATCTGAAATACGGCAAGATCATTCAAGCCGAGTATGACAAAATCGAGAGTTCGGAGCGAAGCCACGTCAGCAGCATATCAACCGCTCATTCGAACATCGGATATCTCCTCACTCTTGTGATCAATCATTCAGTCTCCTGCCACTTCAGAGAAATCCATTTGGCAATAACCTCGCTCCTGCTTGACTAATTCATGTAAGCTTTCTATTATGCCACTCAATTGTCCTCACTGACATTGTTAGACTGGGTTGTCCTCGGCATATGATGGTTTATCTACGAAGATTGCGCAATAAAGTGACGGGATTACAGGGCATTTACATTCGTATAGGGGTGTTAGCGGACTCCAGGGTGTGGCTTAAGGTACTGCGCCTGCTATAAGCCTTGTAACTCTAGGCCTGAACCCCTAAAACAAGGGCTGTGAGACATTTCCAAGGTGGTTGAAAATCTTCAAGGGTTATGGTGTTGCTGGCGGAGCAACCGTAGCGCTCGGGCGCTGTAAGAGAGCTAATAGGACCCTTTAGCGAGTCTGCCCCTGTAAGTACAGGGGATATGCCTTCTAAAGGTGTGGTACCACTTGTTTATAGTTTATAGCGTGCTTACAGGAGAGTAGCCTGGAAATATAGGGGACTTTAGTGGGTGAGTGTAGTAGAAAGTGGCCTGAGAGTGGGCTTGCGGTATAAATGCCCTGTAATCCCGTCACTTTATGCCACAATCTGCGTACCAGCAACCCCGTCCCGGCCCAAAGCTCCCAAAAGGAAGCAACAACCTCACAATCGGCTGGAAACAAGTCTGGCTTGCGCTTAAAGAAATCCGGCACCTACCCCAAACATTCTGCTCGCTGGTGGCCTGAACACAACTGGTACATTGATTGGAACTATTCAAAATCAAGTAGTCTCTTTCCCCTTCCTGCAACTCACATACCTCGGACTGTCGCAAGCAGCTTGCTCGATTACTTCAACCTTCGGGTTTTGGTACATTCAGAAACACTTTGGTCTAAAGACGAAGCACATGTTTATGGTGACCAGCTTTTTTCGGCCTTTATCCCATTCTATGGAATGCTTGGGTTGTGGACTGAGAAAGTTGGGTACCACCATGTCCGCGATTTCTGAATCTACAACATCCTATTCGGTCTTTTTCAGGCTCTGTATTATGCGTATGCGCAAACGGTGATGTCTAAAGTCACACCAAGAGGATATGAGAATATGTTTTTCGGGTTGTTCGGTATCACGAATCGAGCCGTAAGTCATTGTTTCCCTCACAGTCGAACATTGATCACTAATTTAAAATAGTCAAGTATTATCGGACCTAACGTTGTCCAAGGTATCATCAATGCAACGAACAATAACTGGACGTACCGAGGCCGATAGCGATGCTCCTGCCAAAACCCCGAAATGACATTGCATAATGCATTTGCGCATATCGTACTTAATACTAGAAAATCAAAATTTAATAATTAATAATTCTATTGCTAATACGTAATATCCAAGCCTTAATGGATATATTTAAGTCATTTTGGGCTAATTAGGTAAAGCAGATAGCATTAATTCTAAGAATAATTCAAGTTAATGGATTATGGGGGTGTGAAGCCTGTTATTCACGTGACTCACCCTCCCTCCCCAATGCCTCATAGTACTAGAAACCTAATAGATTTATCTAATATTAAATTAATAATAGAGATATATGTAATAGTAAATAATTTGTCCCATTTATATGCCTCTTTAAGCCTTAGAAATACATGTGTTTCTAGGCTATAGATATTTGAATAGGAGCACTAGTTCATTTACTATTAATAAGTATTTGCTATTAAATCTAATTAGTTAAAATATATTAAGAATAAAATATTACTAATCTAGCTATATAGTACTAATATGCGTGTAAAATTAGTATAGAAAATCAAGGTAATAGTTAACCCGTTACTTGCTATTAACCTTACTATTCCTAGCTTCCTTATAGGTTTTCTATCCTTATACTAGAATATAAATAAAGAGAAAGAAAAGAAGAAAAGAAAAAGAAGATATATATATAGATTTAAAAAAGTAATTACTATATATTAGGGGTGCCAATTTTTGGCGATTTTTAGGCGATTTTCGGGCATTTTTCTCTTATTCTATTATATCCTATCCTATTATACTTTATCTTATAGGCTTTCTATTTATATACCGGAATGTGAATAAAGAGAATAAAAGAATAAGGAGAAAAGAGAGAAATATCTATTTTTAGAAGAAGTAATTATTATATATTATAATTACTAATTTTTAGATAATGATTTTTAGTATTTCTTACTCTAATTAATATAAAAATACTACTAATTACTAGAAACTTGAAATCTTTATAGTATTTATTAATTAGCTATATAATAAGAGTATTAGGATTAGTATATAATATAGATTATATATAGTCTAGAAATTAAGTTCATTTATATTAACTAGCCTCGTTTTTCTAATACTAAAATACTAATCTTTAGTACTTTATAATAGTATAAATTTAGGAGCTAAATTTTAAAATAATATTAATAGTAAGAATATATATAATAATAAAAAATTATCTTATTTTTTAGCTTACTTAAATAGAAATATATATATATTTCTCTACCTAAATATTCGGATAAAAGAACTATTTTATTTGCTATTATATAGCCTATTATTATTACGTCCGGATTTTTTATAGAGATTAAGAATATAATATTACTAATTTCGCTTAATAATATAAAAGTATATATAAAATTAGTATAAAAAATAAAGGTTTTAGCCATATTTATATTAGTAAAAGTAGTTAATAGTAGTCTTCCTATTATAGGGCTTCTAGTTTAGTATTTTATATATTAAGAAAAGAAATAGGAAAAGAGGGAAAAATATATATATATATATATATAAGTAAGTAAGTAATTATAATAATAGAAGAGTTATAGAAATATAGGGTAAGTTATATAATATTTACTTTATATTAATTACTTTCTTGCCCCGATTATTTAAAGACTTCTTTATATTACCTGACTTTTCTTTCTTATAATTATTTTCCTATTATTATATAATTTCTATATAAGCTCTTAGTATATTTTAAATAGAAATAATTTATTAAAAAATAATCCAGATTTAAGGCCTATACTAGCTGCCTTTATTTTCTATTTCCTTAATACCTTAATACCCTCTTTTAATATAATTACTATAGCTACTTATATGAATTAAGATAACTTCCTAGTTAATAATAAGGGCAAACTTCAAGTTACTATTACCCGAATAAGCTACTTCTTTTACTAGATAATATATAGGGCTAATATAATTAGCTCTAGACTTATAGGATAATAGTAAAGCAAAATGAGATTATTAGTATTAATTAAGTACCTAAAAAACTTCTCAAGTTTCGGAACTATAATATAAACTATATAGATACCTTTCTAATTAGTAAAGTATTATATAATTATCGAGTTTTTAAAGCTATTCTAATTTAATACTAGTAAGTTATTTAGCTAGCCTAGCTATAGGACTTTCCTAATTAGGTTTAGTAAAGTTTTATAGATTACTAACCCGTATAAAAAGTATATAAATAAGTAAGAAATCTTTATAGGCTATATTAAGCTAGAGAATTATTATAGCGGCATATATAATAATTATAAAAAATAAGATAAGGAAGCTAATTACAAAGTAAAAAATATAGATAAATATGAGTTTAGGTATATAAAGGAATTACTAAAGGAAAAGTATAAAATAATAAGGGAAAAAAGAACTATAAAGCCAGTTAACTATAAACCGGCTAATAGAAAAAAGACTTAATAAATAAAGCCTAGTTATATAGTAAATAGGGGAATTTTATATACTTAAAAATACCTAAAAGCATAGCTTTTATATATAGAAAAACATATGAAATTTAATTATCTAGTTTTAATTTTATAAGATAAACTAAAACTCTAGAAATAGCTAGTTAAGAACTAAGTAAGTAAATGAGTTCTAACTAAATATAGCTTGGATCTAATTATAGTAAAAGATCTAATTATTTCTTATAATTAATAGGCTTAGTAATATGTTTTATGTAAGTTATATAATGGAATTATTTAGGAGAAATAGGCTTAATTATTTCTAGGTACTAGTAAAGAGCAGGTATTTTCTAATATTTAGTATTAGTAATAGAAGTAGGAATAGGTAATTAGGTTAAAGGCAGCGGATAGTTATTAAGCTCTAGAGAGAAATTAGAAAGTCTGGGAAATAGCTTTTCTAATATAAGTATATTAGATTCTAATAAGGATATAAAAATTAGGTAATTAGATAAACCTATAGTAGGCTTCTTTAAGGCAAATTAATTCGTAGTTAGGTTAGAGTTTACTAGTAAATCGGGATCCTAAATAAATATATATTAGAAAAAAAGAATAAGAAAGAAAATAGGTTTATATAATTATTCTAAACTTTGCCCAAGAATTAATAATAGTAAAAAAACTAGAAGTTTTATATTCTAGTTTATTTATCTCAAAAATTACTTTAGGAGTTTTATTTCCCGAAATAACTAATTATGCCCTAAAGTTTATAGTAAAGGAATTATTAGGATTAAGAATATAACTAAGCCAAATTAGCTCTTTATACTTAGTATAATTAAGTACTCTAAAAGTATTATAGTTAGATATATTACTTAGTACCCGTATAGTAATACTTGCTTTAAGTTCTCGGATACTAGTAAATAGTAACTTAAGGCTATAAATATATTTCCTAATTAATTAGATTATTAATAAGGTAATATTATAGGGCTTAGGGTTCTTTTTATTACTAAAATAAAGCTTAAATTACTTTTTTTAAGACTAGAAAATAATATAGTTATTATATTATAAATAACTATAAAACTAGTATTCTTTAAATATTAGCTAAACGTGCTCTAATATAAACTTCTTAATAAAGGAAATAGCGTGATTTTAGAAATAATAAACATATTTAGCTATAAATATTAGTAATTATATAATATAAGAAAGAAGAGAAAATATAATTACTAGCTTTCCTATATTTTAATTATGTCTTAGTGCTTTCCTAATAAGTATCTAGTAATATATACTCGAACTTATATATAACCTAGTATATTAGAAACTTCTCTAGTACTAATTATGCCTTATTTTTTTCCCTTTTCTTACTAGGATTACTTATTAGCTATATTAAGGTTACGGGAGTAATAAAAAATAGCTTTATAAGGTTACTTATATATTAAGAAATAGGAAGTTATCTAGTATAAGGAAAATTATATATTATAGTAATTAGATTATCTCGGTATCTAGTACTCTGGATTACTTGAGATCCTATTATACTAGAAGAGCTATTATTAGTAAAATTAGCTTTATTTCCAAGAATATAAAATCTAAAGAAGAAAAAACGAGATAAATAAGATACTAGAACTTACTAAGGGCCGCCTATTAAAATAAATCCGGAAAGTAGCTATTAAGAGATATAGGTACTAGAAATAGGCTAGCTAAGAAAAGAAAAAGAAGCTAAAATACCGCCGGATATTATAGGAAGCTAGCTAATACCAGGTTATATAAGGGCAGTAAAATAAGTAATAGAAATAGAGGTTTATAGACTAAATTTGGTATTATTAGGTCTATAAGCACGGTACTAATTATAGAACTTAATAGTAAACTCATAGAAGCGCTTCTTAGGATCTCAGGCCATATTTAGGCAGGTATCTTGCTATAAAGTTATATATTTCAAAAAATTAATTAAAGTTAGTTCGGATATTATAATTAAAATTTTAAGGAAAGTTAAGGAATTTGAGGTATAGAATTAGTTATATAAATAGCTAGAAAGTAATTTCTATAAGTAAATAATAAAGAAATTAGGAAAAGAGGCATATATCTTATATATTTAAGCTAACTAACCTTTCCTGAGATTACCTGCAATTCAAGCTATTATTTCTAATATAAAAAAAGCCTTCCGGGGGAATTAGTAGTACTATAAATTAGAAAGTCTAATTACTCTATAATACCTGAGCTCGGAAATTAAGATTAGACTAAAAGATTTTACTTAGGGCACCTTCTCTTATAATAGCCGCCTTATATTTCCCATATAAAATAATTAATTTAGCTAGAACTAGAAGTATTATAGCGTGCATATAATTATAAATTATAGCTCGAAGCATATAATATATATAAATATATAAAGAAATATTATTACTTGCCCTAATATCCGAGAGCTTTAAAGTATTAAGGTTAATACTATGAGAAAGTAAAGCCTAGTAATACTAATTAAGTATTACTAGTAAAAAGTACTTATTAAGATCTATAAAAATTAGTATATAAAGTAAGCTAATAAATAACTAAAAAAAATACATGAATCTTATCCTAATACTTATAATTCTTAAGAATCCTATTATAGAGGTTTATATCTATAGGTTAATTATACTATTTGGCCCCTTACTTTAGATACTAGTAAAGGAAAAAGGGCTTCCCCGAGACATAATTTTAGTATATAGGATTTATCCTAATTATATATATATTCCACAAATTAGTATATCTAAAGACCTTATCCCTAATTCTGGGCATATAAAGCACTAATAATATAATCCGATCTCATAAGTTCTAAGAATTATATTACTCTTTATTTACTAGTTCTATAAAGTAATTTTATAAGTAAATATTAGCTAGATTATATATATATACCGGAATAAAATTCCGAATAGCTTTAACTAAAAAAAGTAATATAATAAGTAGTATAGGAAAGCCTAACTCACATGCTATTAAAATAATTAGGAAATCTCTAGCTTTTATTACTAGGATTTAATATACTAATTCTTAGTACTTTTCCCGAAATAGAAATAGTCTTAAATATAAAGAATAAAAAAATCTATAAGATAAGAGAAGTAAAAGTATACCTCTATAATAAAAGAAAGCTTACTATTTTTATTAGCCCGAAAAAATATAAGAATATAGCCTAATTAGGTACAAGTTATAAGATATTACTATATTACTAAATAAGATATGTAATTTAATATACTAATATAAATCCAAATAATAGCCCGAGAATAGATATTAATATATATATAAATATTAATACTAAATAGAAATAGCTTATTATGCCTATTAATTAACTAAATATAGTCCGGGCCAGGAATAATATACTTTTCCTTATTTAATTATATCTTTCTTATTTATTAAATAATAGCTTCGGGATTAAGAATATATAATATTATAAATAAGATATTTTTATATAGAACCTAATTAATTAGACCATATACTTATAAACTGAGATTATAAGAAATTAATAGAAAATAAGAGAAGAAGATACCGAGTAACTAATTAGCTATTTTTTCGGAAATAGTTATATAAAAGCCTTTGCTTATAGTCTTTAATTTGGCTATTATTAAGCTCTTCCCGCAGGACTTCAAATAGCTAAGTATTTCTTTCTTTTCTCTCAAATACGCCTATTTGCCATAGAAGCCTAATCTTTCTCCGTAGATACGTTACTTGAAATTTATTAATATTATATCCGTAATACTAAAGCTTAATAACTATTTCATTATTAGTATAGCTTATCCTAAATAGTATAGTAATCTGAGCGCGTAGATTTGGCGTATCTTGAGTAATTACGCGTCTGCAAATACCCCAGAATTATAGTTATTAATAAATTATTCTTTCTGAAACTATCTAGCTAAAGGTAGTTTTAATATTTTTAGTAATTTCTTTAGTTATATAATGGGCCCGTATTTAGCTAATAATATAAGCTCGGATCAGGTCTAGATCTATCTTTGGGCGAGATATCTTAATAGATTTATAGAGGGTTATAGTTGTTTTAATGGTTTTAATAATTTTCATAGTATTATTAATAAGGGAAGTGTAAAATCGCGATTTCTGGAAGTAATTAAAATTAGGCGAGGCTTACTAAAAAGCGCTAAATTACTATGGTAACCGAGCGATATTTAGTGTATTAACCCCCTCAAACTTTGCGAACTATAAATAGTTAATATTAAAGTATATTTATTACTAATAATAATAGCGAGTAATATGTGTAATTAATTCTCGATTTGTAATTAAACCTTAATACTATTAGTTCCAGGGTCTAGCCCTAATTAAATACAGTATTTCTAATGCCTAAAGTAATACTAAAAGTCAAGTGCAACGTGCGAATGCACTGCGCAAAGTGCGAATGCGCTATGTGCAAAGTGCTAATGTCGAATGCAATTAAAAATCGGGGTTTTGGCAGTACAGGGGTTAGAGGCCTCGGTAGGACGGGCTTCCCATTCCTCTTTGCGCTGTGCTTTGCTGCTAGCGTAGTCATCTGGTTTGTGGATGTTGAAAAGGGAGGAGAACGCGAGGAAATATGCAGAGGATTGTACGCGTTACCAAGGAGACTGGTTTGACGACTGATCAAGTCATCCACGGAGTCGCTACCCGAGAGCTCGGTGTCCCCAGAACGAGTGGGAGCGGGAGCGGTAGCGTACAATTCATCGGAGTCGAGACTGGGACGAAGGGGAAGGCAGACTGAGGAGCATTCCATGCTTGACTCTACCCCCAACAGCTTATATACAATTCGCTCTTTACTCTGCACTCGAATTCGACTTTCCCGCTTCTTCCCTTTCCCAACCAAGCCACCAATTTCATCGATCTACATCCCACCAGTAACACTCGACATCCCACTCCAAACCAACGTCGTCGGCAACAACTTCTGAATCTGATTAACCCAAAGCGTCGTATACAGCCCGGGGCTCCCATCACTCGCCGTACTGCCCGGCTCCAAGCTCCCGAAATCCTTATTACCATTACAGCACGGGCTCCTCGTTCCCCACATCGGGCCTGCAGCCCATGCTGTCCACCCAATATACACATCATTCGTCGCCATATAATTCAGTATATCCGTCACATAAGTGTTGCAGGATGCCAAAGGAGAGGCGCCGAATTCGGTAATCATGGCTTTGAAGCCGTATTTCTTGAGCCATGCTGTCACCGGGGCGAGTTTCGTGGAGGCGAGGTTCACGCATTCTTGGTGGCTGCCGGAGTAGTCAGTGTCGAGGTACTCGTGAATGTCGAATGCGGTGTTATTCAGTGGGTCCTTAATCTTGCACATCGTTGCTCCCGAAGAGTCGGAGCCTTCCATCCAGGAGTGGCCACCTGTCCAGCTGTTTCCTGGCGCGATGATCAATTGTTTGGCTCCGGCATTGCGGATTGCATCAATAGCCGCTTGGTCATTGGCAAGCACAAGACTAGTTGGCATATCATGAGGCTGTTCAATATTAGCTATCATTTCTCTCCTCACTCTCCAATCAGAGGTCCAAAAGGGGATACACACTTCATTCATTAAGCCAAAGATAACCTTCGGGTTATCCACAAACCGTCTAGCAAGCTCTCCCCAGAAGGCTCCAAACTGCGCCGTCGTAGCAGCTTTCGAATCACTGGAGTTACCGATCACGCTCCCAGTCATTGGCTGCTGTGAGGGATCGTTATACCGCATGTAATTGTGGGGATCAAGGATGGCGTATGCTTTTTTTGTGACGGTTATATAGTTGATGGCATCCGCGAAATTGTTGAAATGCTTTTTCGATGTCAGAACTTGGGAGAAATAGAAGGGGAGGGGAACGTACGGCTTCATCGAACTTCGATCCCAGGCCACTGGAGAGCGGACACATGCGTTCGAGGAGGAAGGCTACGCGGAATAGGTTTGCCTATTTCTTGTTAAACCGGTTTGCAGATTTTCTTTTGGGGGAAAGAGGAACTACCTTGTTCTGGTCGACGTAGGTATCAATTGCTTCTTTGCTGATGAAAGAGTAGTCTTTGCCAAAAACGCCGGGCAAACCGGTACCTATCGTTGTGGTCTGACTCCAGACACCGAACTCTCCACTGCTTTCTGCAACGCCGGCATAATAGATGGTGGCTGCTGCGTTGGTGGCGAGTAATGCCACGGCTGCGAGAGATTTTGAGAACATCTTGAAAAAGGATTATATTCTGCAGATCCTCACTTGAGATTTTCTTTCCGTGAAAACAGACCGCAAAAAAGAAGGAAAGTAGTAGACTATAAGAATTGGAAATCCCCGCATTCATATTAACACCATCTATCTGCACTAACCAGAAAGTATATTAATTTCCGTCTGAATGACCACTGGCAAAAGTTATGGTACCTGCATATTGCACTAAATTATGCACCGTGTGCGTGAATGTCCAGATAAAATATCGAGAGGTAATCTATGTGACGGTCCGAAGGTGGACGAGGCAATCGGGTAAATTTGGCGGAGGAAAATATTCCGTCACGCTTATGGGGCTTCGCGGGAGTTGAGAAAGGGGCTGAGAAACGTGATTCGAAATTTCAGTCTAGTTGGAGTCTATCGTCTGAAGGCATAGGAAAGGTTTGCACTATATTTCATAAACTTCCGCAAGAGATGATGAAATGGTATTTTTCATGTCACGAGAGGAAGCGAAAGCCCCGCGACTTTCAACCTGAATCTTTTTTTATCCCACCTTTCTATTCGCGATTTGAGCTCTTCTATGCTCAGTGCTCACTGTATCTCCTCACTTTTATTCGGAACCTTGAAAGCGGTTCTTGATCCAAATCGCACTCAGATTGGGCAACTGGTCAGTCTGTGCGCATAAGGCACTTTCCAGGCAGATTCAGGCATAGCGAACTCACTCTCCGTTGCACTGCCATAGTGCTCGCATCTTACTAAAACCAAAGGAGTATCAAAAGTCTAACGCTGCCACTTTATAATAGGTAGCGAAACTCTTATTTAAATTAAAACAAACTTAATATTCTTATAGTGAAAAGGATTGTTTCTCACGTTATAGAAGGATTTTAGATTTACATTATTATGTGACAACTTATTTAAGTTTGAAGGTGAGAGGAAGCCTTAAATGAGATGCGGGCGCCGTGACAACCCAAGATGGCTTTCCGAACCCAAAGCCTACGTAATCACTTAATCATTATGAGACAACAATAGATAATTAAGACTCAATATTCAGAGCCTGAAAAAAGAAGTAATTGAATTATAATTTCATTAATTAATTTCTAAAGAATTTGAGACGTTTTCCCAGCGAGTCTTGCCTTGAGCTTAAGGCTCGAATGATCTAAAATCCGTGGTTCTCGAAGTTGATTGCTTAAAGATGTTTTCTTCTTATACAGGTTTTAATGAGAGATTCTGAATGGCCCTCGCCCCTGCGCTCCGCTGGGATCGCATATGTGAATAGCGTTTACTAAGAAAACCTTTTTAGAGCTCCTAAAATTCTGGCGGGAGGCATGATCGACGCAAAGTCCAGAAGTATCAAAGGGCAAGGCGCTGTTCTTGTCACGGAACCTCCGGTGCGCTACCACCAGGCAGGCATTGAGAAGATCTTCATCCGATGGACGTGAGAGAACGCTGTCAAATTGCTGACCCATCCACTCCACCGAGCGATAGTCAAGGAGTCTAGTACTCGGATTGTAGCCAAAACGTATACCATACCCAGAAAGGGATTGCTGTCCTAACTTCGAATGAGTCTGTTGTGGATGTGACACTTGGGGGCGCGGGCGCTAGTTCTGCCGAATTGACGCCCAGTGCTGGGTGGTGGCCAAAGGCTAGTGCTTGTGCATGGAGTATTCATACTGAGGTCGGCCCCATACTTGACAGTAGCATTGTCGAGAATCAGCTTATTGAAAAGTGATACAGTTTGCTGGCGTCGCTGTATGCACGGGTGGAATTGTGTTTGTTCCTAAGTTCATGAGAAAGACAAGGGTCATCTCCCCCATTTCCCAATACTAGCTACTACCCGCTGATTTCGAATAGCTTAGAGGAATAGTCGATGCAGTCCACCAACCGAAACCGGTTTCTCGTGCTGGACAATTCGGCAAAGACAACATGCCTCCAATCGCGATTCCGTTAGCAGAAGAAGATGAAGAGTTGTTTGAACTTTGTCCAACCCTAGGTGGCGAGATCACCCTTAACCTAGAACAAGAATTGGAAGAGGATGTAGAGGATGCAGGACATGAATAGGAGAAGGAGGGAGGGATTAACAGAAGGAGGAATCTGCAAAGCGACAGAACTCTGCACATGCGATTCGGAGGAAAATGGGAGTTTCGTTCTCGTATTTTGTTTCCTACTTCGGCTAACCGAACCCCCTTTTTTCGGAGCGCCCCCATAAAAACGAGACTCCGAAACTCAACCTCGAAGGGATATCCAGCTCTCCAATTTGCAGAACACGTAATCCATCTCTTCGAGAGGTTTTACAGAGGCTGCCTTGTCGGTTGGCCCATGTCTCATGCTGAAGCCCTTGAGACAAACCGTATTCATAAACGAAGGCCTCCATGCCTTCCAACTTGGTGTCTCAAACTCTCATAGATAAAGCAGTGGAGATCCCAAAGCACCAACGCTCTGTGTCCATTGTTTTTTTAATCACCTTTGCTCTTCAAGTCTCGGAGATGTCGAACTCAACCTCCGACACTACTCCTGCTGCAGGAGAAACTGCTCAAGACCTCTATGATTACATTCCATCCAAAATTGCAGCATATACCTATCTCGCTCTTTTTGCCTTGAGCGCACTCGCTCATTTCATCATGGTGTTCCCTCTCGTGCCGCCTTCTTCATCCCTCTCTTTTTTGGATGCGCCAGTAAGTTTCAAAGCTCGCTACCATAGAGATATTCTTACTTGGGCGCTAGTGGAAGCAGGAGGGTACTACTGTAGAGCATGGTCCGCAGCAAACACCCACAAGATTCTCCCCTTCGTCATATCTGGCCTCCTTATTCTCGCTGCACCACCCGTGCTAGCTGCTACAGTCTACATGACTTTCGGACGAATTATTCGAAACCTCAAAGCCGCTTCCTCCTCCCTCATCTCACCTCGATGGCTTACCTCACTTTTCGTGCTGGGCGACGTGATATGCCTCGCCAGCCAGCTCGCAGGTTCCGTATTGAGGGCGAGTGGCGACCCGCAAACCAACCAAACCGGCTCCCATATTGTCCTTGCTGGTCTCATCCTCCAGGTTGCAATGTTCTCATTCTTCGGAATACTCGCTATTGTTTTTCATGTGCGGTATAGAAGATCAGGACACGATATTGGCCTGGGATGGAGGAAGTACATGGTTGTTCTCTACGTTGTGAGCATCTTGTTCGTCGTGCGAAATATTGCTCGGATCGTGAAGTTTAATCAGAGCGGGGATGGTTATATTGCGACGCATGAATCTATGCTCTATGTTTTCGATGGGTCGTTCATGCTGTTTGTTTCGGTACTTTTGATCTTCGTTCATCCGGGCACTCTTTTCAGGGAAGCGAGGCGTAGGAAGAAGCTGGATGGCTTAGGGGGTTCAAATGAATTGGCTCCTTTTGCCCATGATTGATGCCATGTGCTTGCTTACGTTATATGGTTGAAAAGATAGGCATCGAAGCATTGATAAGATAAAGAAGAATTAGGTGGTTGAATACCTGACTAGAATTGCAGAGGCTTATTTAACTCATTATTGTTCGTGTTAAATCCGCAAGATATTGTGAAGAACAGTGAAGACTATTTGCCACACTCTCTGAACAGTATCAAGAAAACCTCTGACAGAGAATTTACGCTGAGGAGAGCAACAAGAAAATCGAAATTAAAGGAAGCATGCTTTGGACTCGCAAAAATTTCGAAGGAAATATTCTTCGCTCATCGCTAACAGGTAGGATATAAAAATGAGATCGGGCATATGCCAAATGTTTGCAACTTGATATATTTAGAAACCTCAAGTCCACAGAGACAGGTTAATTACTATATTGCGGTGGCGGTTCGAGGTCCACCCCCTTCATCTGAGATTCTGTCGATGAGGAGGGGCCCGAATGCGCTCCTGCAGAGTCATTTGGCCACGTAGTTCCTTTTTCAAATCCATCCCGTCGCCTATCTTCATCCACTTTCTCTACGCTACCTTGAATGAGGTCTTCAATTGAATGCACCGCTGTTGGTCCCACAAAATGGGCATCACTTTCGTCCTCAACCGCCTCATTCTGCAGCCGCTTCGTTCCTCGACTTGTCGTACAACAACAACCCACAACCGATTTCACAGTACTGGAAAGCCATAGAATCATGCCCAAAAGGTCGAACTAGACAGCAATCTTCATCCTCAGTACAGAAGACGTGGCTCCCGCATAACCCGCATTCTTCCCACCAATGTAGATAGACCCAAAAACACCGGACAATGCTACCCAGAGGATGGACAGCACAAACTCCCATACTAACCAAGCAGCCGGGTTGTTAGACAAAACACAGTAACCCACACAAGTCAGGACGGAGAGCGCTGCAACGACTTCGGCGTAGACCCAGGGCGTTCGGCCATTAGCGTAAGATTCGGTGGCACTGCGTAAGTCTACGCCGTAGAGTACAGCGACGATAATGGCGAGTAGGAATTGGGAACAGAGGAGGCTAGCGTGGAGTGGGAGAGCTGAAGGGCGTTCTTTGGTCCAGAATTTATTTGCCATGATGATTGGAACGGAAGGATATCCAAAAAGTGGTTGGAAGTTATAGAAAACGACTTTCGTAACTCATGTATTGCGTGATTCGTCTGAGAGAATATTCAAAATGACCGATTGAAAACGGAATGCAGCACCCAGTTGATCGAAAAGTGGAACAGGACAGGAAAAAGGCAACAAAACACTTCTCAATTATAAATACTTTCGAAGACATGGTCTTGGAAGCGAAGAACATAACATAATTTGAAGACGAACACACTAGTAGGTTTGAGGTAGCACTAAACGAATACGGTGGCTTGGCTCCCTCGAACCTGTCGCCGAGTCGGGTCCTTGAAACCAAGTGGGGCAGGCCGCGTCGTTCCTCCCATCGTATATAGTATCCCAACCAGGCAACTCAAAACGAGAACGAGAAGGAACAGAGAGACTCTTTATCCCATACATATTTTACTATTGGCCTAATAATTGGTTTTGTGCACCAACGTAACACCAATCGATAGAAGCAGCCCTGACACGCGAGACGATGCCAGTTCGGAAGGCTCACAAGAAATCACGGGGCGGATGCACAAACTGTAAGTAGAGAAGAGTGAAAGTACGTCTCCTCCTTCCGCCGCCGTCGTAGCACCCCCCCATTTTTAAGCTGGACCAAGGAACTAAATCGTTCCACCGCACGCAGTGCAATGAGCAAAAGCCGTCATGTGACAAGTGCATATCTCGTGATACCACCTGCACGTATCTCCCATCAACAAGACTAGTCTGGGTACGAGTACCTGAAGAAGCCACCACTTCTCATTCTTTCACTTCCAATAGTGCATCACACCAACCCAGCAACGAAAGCTCGCCGTCTCACGAATCCTCTCCTCTGCATGACCCAAGGCTATGCAGTACACCCGTCACTCCAGCACCTCTAAGCCTCGAAGGCATCGATCTAATGATCCACTGGTTCACAATAACAGTGCATACCGTCGTCGCCACCTCTGGCCCTAACGCCGCAGCCCTCGAGCTCTGCCAAACCGTAATCCTCACGCAAGCCCAGAAGCACCACTTCCTTCTGCACGGCTTGCTCGCCCTCTCCGCGCTCCACCTAGCAGACACGCAAACCAACCTAACCGAAAGAGAAAGATACACTAGACTCGCAACGGCGCACCACAACCAAGGCCTCGCATTGTACCACTCCATCCTGGAACATTTGGAGGAGTGGAACTATGCTGCGAGTATTGCATTCTCGAGCCTCACGGCGATGTTTGCGTTCGGACTTTATAGACCCGGCGAGGAGGCGGCAATCGAGGTGATCGATGACTTGTGCCAGATTTTTCTGCTTGCGAAGGGGTGGGGTGAGGTTGTGGGCGTGGCCGATAGACTTGACTGTACCGTAGGCCTTCTACCTTTAGAACCGAAGCCAGGGGAATCCGACTGCCTTGACGAGGAAACGGAGCGTGTGTTTGAGCGGTTGCATGAACTGAACAGTACACGTAGTAGGGAGGGTGATGTTGAGGCTTACACGCTTGCGATTGATTCGCTGAAATATGTGTTTAGGGAAATAAGTGGTATGGAGAGCGGGACGGATCCTCATATATCGATGGCTTGGACGGCTGTCTTGCCTGAGAAGTGCATTCGTTTGTTCAGGGAGAGGCAGGGTTTAGCGCTTGTGTTGCTGGCGTATTATTGCGTGGTGCTGGAGAGGGCGCCGAGGGTTTGGTGGTTACGAGGATGGAGTAAAGGTCTTCTAAAGGTTATTAAAGAAAATATCGGACTGGGGTATCAGGACGAGTTGAAATGGGCGGAGGATCGTGTGGTATAAGACGCTAAAAGTATGTGCTCCGGACCTGGGGGTACAATGACAAAAGGGTATATGTTCATCTACCTCTCATAATCTCATCCCACACACCTACACACCAAAGTCCATCCTCAATGCAATCGTAGGTTCCCTTTCCTCTCCATCGCCATCTTTAGCCTTGCCTTGTCCCTGGCCCGCCTGCCTGCCAGCAACAATAACACTCTCCATAAACTGCTTCTGCGCATCTGTCATACCAGCAACCACGCCCCTGAAAGCAGCCTGATCGCTCCCCGCCAAATCCAATAACCTTGCACTCGTCTCTCTGTATACTTCTTCACCTTCACTGTTTGCTCTCGCAAGTAAAGTCGGCACGATGACCGACATGGCGACGCCTTTTTGCGGTCCCGCCAATGTTGTCACGAATGCCGTGAGGGCATGGGCTACTAGTGCTCGAGCATTCTCTGGGTCTTCGGATTCCGCGTTGGTTGCGAAGGCAATCAGACGAGGCAGGAGGTAGCGGGATATGCTTTGATCGGCTGGCGTTTTGGGAGATTGCAAGAGGAGCGTTCGGATGCAGCCCGATGCTACTTTGGCAGTCTGTATTTTGTTAGCAGACGCAGGAGACAGGGGTAGGGATGATTTACCATGCGATCACTCAGGCAATCAATGACTTCGTCGAGGAAGCGAGAGACGAGTGGTTCGCTGGCTGACATGTAGTTCTTACCGCTGGTGAGGAGGACCGTGGATGCTAGAAGAGAGTTCTTGACGCATGGGAGTGAAGCCTCGGTTTCGCGCTTTTGGGCATTGAGATATATAGATAGAAAGCGTTTGAGACAGCCTTGGATTTGAGTGAGGTTTGTATCTTGAGGGTCGCGGCCTTTCTTAGGTGGTGTCGAAATGCTCGTCATAAATCGTTTAAGGATTGGAAGTGATTGCGGGACAACCACAGCTTGACACCTTGCTGTGCCCAGGATCGTGGCAAATATGTGGATGATGCAGGCGTGCAGGTCGGTCTTGATGATAGATGGGAAGACTTCTGCTGCATCGACGAGAGCGTTCAAAGACAGGCGAACGAGAGACACTGCATCATCCGTTAATGCGTGCCGGGCAGGTTGCTTGGCCTCAATGAGATTTGGCAGAAGTCCGGCGAGAACAAGAACAATGATCCGCGTCAACTCGAAGAGTTGCTCGATGTCTTCTGACAAATCACCATCTTCTGCTGCTTCCACTTTCGTCGCGGATGGATGAGAAATACATAGCCCTCGAGCGATCTGCACAATAACGCCCTGGACATCAAGACCCTCAGTGAGCACAAGTCGATCAAGCAGGTCCATCGTTTCCGAGAAGATTGCCTCGCGGTAAATCGCATGGCCAGAAACGCTTGGGTGCAAGATTTTTTTGAGAGCTTGAAGAATTTCGAGGGTCTGCTCCTTGGAAGCAAGTGCATCGCTTCCCGGCCGGGCAACGAGAGCCTCGAAAGCAATCCCAAAGAGCACAAAGAAGAATGCGACAGGTTCATCTCGGTAGTTGATATCATTCCCTTTGGAATGGCCGTTTGTAGCAGGTGCATCAGCCTCCTTGCCGTCCAGAGCGTCGAAGACAAACTCGCTGTCTTGCTCGATCAGACTCGCAATGGCATCGACGAGTTTAAGCCATGACTCTTGATAGAATCTCAATAGAGTCTCACGGTTTAGAGCTGAGTAGATACTATCCAAGCTGCCAGACAAGGATGGAGGACCCAAGCTCATCGAGATATCTGGTTCAAATCTGAGTCTGGCAAATTCACGCAATGAAGCTAGCCACAAAGGCGTTAGAGTTCCGATGTATGGCTTCAAGACATCGACCAAATAGTGTTGCTCTGTGCTTGCGACTTGTAGTTCTGCCCAAGCCGAAAAGACTGCCATCTTCACCATGACTTGTGCGTTGGAGCTGAGGCCCTTTAATTCTCCAATTGATTGAATCTCGGCCTCGGTCGAGAAGTTCTCGAGAGCAGTGACCAGTGTTTTCAGAATACGACCCATTCGCTCAACATCAGTGACGATGCCTGTGGCAATGAATTGAGCACAAACATTGACAGCTTCCGATGCGAGCTCGGGCGATGAATCAGCAGCGAAAGCAGGTGTGAGCGCTGAGCTGATTTGTGCCTGGTACTGCTCCAGCAGTGGTGCCTCGGGAAAGTCAGGATCGGGAGTTTTGCCGAACATCTTCAGAACAGCATCGATGATCTTCAAACCCCATACTCGGAGCTCAACGACATTAGAGGTCGATGCTGAGAATGCCATTCGAATGATATCAGCGATCCGTTTTTGCAAAGCCATCTCTGCTGGGGATGTTCTATCAGGAGGTGAAGCTTTGCTGATGAGCTGGAACATTTCGCCGAGACAGCCCATGGCGAATGTTCGAACCTGCCATCGCAATGGTTCTTGATCCGAGCCCGAAGCCTTCGTACCATCGTCTTTTGCATCGCCAGACGCAGCAGCAAACCCAGCAACTTCTTCATCCTGCAAGTCTGGCATGACACTCTTCATTGCGGAAGCTGTGGCCGTCTCCACTGCTTTCGGTCTCGTCATGCTCAGAACAGTTTGGCATCTCTGAAGCCAGCGGGTAGTTTCAGTGAGGCAAGATTGTTGGAGCCAGTTTCTGATGACGTTCCTGATTCCTTCGTGGCTTGGATCTGAATCCAGAGCCAACCAAAGCTGATCTTCAAAACCTGCTTCTGCAGCCTTGACCACGTCTTCTGAATTGCGCTTCATGAGGTTATACAATCCGTCGATGGCAATGTCTCGAAGCTCGGGGTACTCTGAATTGAGGTCTTTCTGCAGTAGAACCACATAGTCAGAGAAGTGCATGTGGCCGGGAGCGTACAGAGCAAGATGCTCAAGACAGCGGAGACTACCACCCAGGACCAGAGTGTTCTCCTCGCCTTGAAACTGCCCCACAAGAGTCAGGATCAGCTCTCGAGCTTTGCTGAGGTCTTGCAAATCTGGTCCTAGTACATTAACAAGGGAGTCCACGCATCGTGCAATGACCGCCGTCGTGGGTAACTCTAGCTCCAAGTTTGACGTTGCGATAGAGGAGATCTCCTCATTATGTGTGTCTGCAACGTACAGCTGGCTGATTATACCAAGTGTACTGGACACATAACCAGAGAACGTCAGCCCCGCCGAGTCTGCCACTCGGGCTAAGGCCTCCAAAGCCCAGAAGTGGACCGTGGGGTGCGGATCATTGCACAGGGACATCAGTATCCCCAGAATCGTCTTCAGATGAAAACCAGCAGCCATGCCGCCAACCTGGGAATGAATACAACCCAAGGCCATCGCGCATCCGGCCCTGGCACTTGGTTCACGATTCCCGACAATCGTGTCGACGAGATACTTGATCTCCGAATTCGTGTAGGCATTACCGGAACTATTGCATAATCTGGCGAGTGCTTCGTATCCAATGTTTCGGAGGTATTGATCAGGATGAATAACGAACGTTCTTATTATCTCTTGCATGAGCTTTTCAACCGCGGCGTTCGTCAAGTCGCCTGATGGGGACTGCGTCTCCTTCACGGCAACCTTCAGAGTGCTCAAGAGGGCGGTTGCGACGTTGATATTCATCGCTGCTTTCCGTCCAGGATCTCGTTGCAGCGATCCTGCCGAAAGGAAGGTAGCGACTTGCTCAAGGATACTTTCCTGGATCTTGGGAGGAGTAAGAGGAAAGGCAATAGCGAATAGTTTAATGGCTATGTTGACAACTTCAGTCGCAGGGGGATCTGGAAGAGCATCCGATGCCCCCAGATTGCCCAGGTACAGGGAGAGCGAGTCGTGTTCGAGGGAGCTGCATATTGGCGATAACAAGACCTTCGAGATGGCATTGTCGGCCCCACTCTCGGACATCCAAGCATCGTTGATATCATTGGCATTTTGGCCAGCAAGGCTTTTGACTTCGAAGCCACGGACTAAGCCTGTGACTCCAAAGCCGCAATTGTCCCCAATGTCCCAGATACTTTCAAAATTGCCAGCGGAGCTTGCGATTGACGTACTTAATGAGCTTGGGGTATAATTGTCAGGATCGGCGAAAAATGATACGGCCAGAGTGAGAAGATTGGATTGTAGTAAAGCTTCACTCCCGCCAGCCGGGCTGAGATTGACCAGCTTGGTGTAGCATTGAAGCACGCGTCGCTGTACCATGAGATCGAAATCAAGTAGTTGTAAAGATGGCATGAGCCGTTGCGTGATATCCTCCGTAGTCTTTCTCGGCGGAAGGGTCTTTAGAAATGCAGTCGTATTTTGGAGCATTGCAGCAATTCGTTTCGACACGTCTACAGTCAAGAGTCTGCTATTGAATTGCAGAAAAGCCAAAATGGAGCCCAGAGCACACTCTCTCACATGTGTAAGAAAGGAAGATTCCAAATAGCTGCGCTGAGACGTGTTGTCTTTTGCAAGCGGTTTGGGAAGAGCGTTCTTCCACAGTAGAAGGAGTTGAGAGAGGTGGATCTTGACGAAATTGGGACCCAGAGACATGAGACCGCCGATCAAGATCCAGGCTACTTGAATTTGGGTGCTGGAGACGCGCAACTCAGACTTGCTACTAGATTTGAGGAGCCCAGTTGCAAGTGATAGAACACGGCTGTTGACATCGACAGAGCCATAGAGAGGTTGCAGAGGCGCCGTGCTGATCATCGCAGAGAGACCATTTGCATATCCTACACAGCGGCGAGGAGAATTTCTGCCCGTCGACAGTAAGTTTAACTCGCGATTGACGCTGTTCATGCAGATAGTGAGGCAAGGCAATAATTGTTGCGGACAGGCCAAAGCAAATGTCCGCAAGCAAAAGGATGTATACACTTGAACAGTGTAGCTTGGATGCTGAAGAACCTGCAACAAACCATCTCGACACGAGTCGGAGAAGGCGTTCGCAGCAGGGCCTAGTGTCTTGATCAACGATGCTAGAGCACTCAGGACAGCAATGAGCGCATGCTTGCCAGGCTCAGGGCGCTCCTTGATGACCTGCGGATAGTTCTTGAGGATGTCGTTGATCAAAGACTTGGCGGAATCTATTTGGCCTGACTCTCCGAGAATTGATTGCCCAATAGCCTCTTCCAAAATGATTTGCACAAATCTCCTAGTAGCCAATAGACGGTAACGGTTGGCGGTGATGTTGGGGTGGCTCAGGACATCGATGGTTAGATGATCCACAATCTTCATGTACATTGTCTCCACGTTTCTCTCACTCAAGCTCTTGAAGATCCTAGTATAGCAAACAACTATCCCAGATCTGGCTTTATTGCTTGTAGAGGGCTTAACATAAAATGTTGATAGCTGCTTGAGCATTTCCTGGAGAGTAAAGGATAGAACGTGGCTCTTCTTTGGACCGGGACTCTCGGGTCTTTGGATCTCCTCATCATCCGCACCTGGTGCCATGGACTGACGTTTGGTATTGGTCCTTTTTGGCTTCCTGATCTTCGGGATATCATTATCCTGCACCGCGTCCTCCGAGTGATTCTTGACCAAAGCCTCCGCTAGGCAGTCTCCCGCTGCCTGCCGTACCAACGGACTCGACGAGTCAATAGTCTTGAATATAGTTGATTTAAGGTTGTCGAAATCGCTCGAATTATCGAAATAGGGGGTATGTTTCGACAACAACTTCAAACACTTGCATGCTGCAATCTGAACCAAGCAAGACTTATCACTCGATGCATAACTCCGTGCTTGCTTCCACGCATCTCTCGATATGCTCTCATCCATGCTCGTTCCAACCATGCCAGTTATCTTTCCCGAGGCCCTGAATATTGCGGCCCGTAGCCCTGCATTATTCTGAGCAGGTTTCAAGAGCTTCAGAAGAGCGGTGCATGCCAGAGGGTGCAATCCAATAGCACTATCTCCCGCAGCCGCAAACACATCTCCCAGACAGTAAACAGCCGCGTGCTTGGTCCTCAAATCGCCCTCCGTCTTCGCCTTCCCACTCCCAATAATCCCCACCAGGTCATTCACCGTCTCAAACAACAACTTCCTGTCCCCCTTCCCCAGTACATGCGCAAAGCATCTCCCTAGATTATTTCGTATTACTCTTGTCGGTGGAGGAGCGGCTAGATTCAGGATCTGTAGGAGCTCCTTCTTGAGATATAGTTGCTGTGCCGTGCAGTCGTCTGCTGCCAAGCTCTCGACATGTTTGGTGAGAGTCGAGACGAAGGTTAGGAGGTAGAGGTCTTGTTGTTCGGAGGGGAGGGAGGCTAGTTTCTTAACGTCGAGCTCGGGGGTAGGCGAGGTATCGACTCGGGAGGTTGGAGTTTCGTAGGAGCCATTTATGGAGCTCGGGAGAGGTGTCGATGACATTGACACGTCTGTATTATGGAGGTGAGAGACGTGTGGAGTTTCACTGGGGCGTTAAGGGGGTGCAAGGCTTTTTGGGAGGCTTCGAAAGATTGTCCCCAGACAGGGCGTGATCTCGCCTTTTTGCTGCCAGCCAATCGGAGCTCTCTTCGAAACAAAGTTTATCCGATGAGCTTCCAGAAACATTTTCCGTGCAACATCAGATTACAGTACTTTTCTTCGAGTTGCAATATGGCTGCATTTTCTAGAGGTATCCGTTCTTTTGTCTCTCGACTTCCTCAGGAGGAGTTAATTTGTTCACGATGTCTCTTCTCGACGACATCTACTCTTCAATCAGGCCACAGTCGATGGTCCAAGATCAAGCATGATAAGGGGAAGGCAGATGCAAATAAGGGTTCGCAACGGACTAGCCTTTCCAGAGAGATAGCTCTTGCTTCAAAGAGTATGTTCAGAAGTCTGCAGGCTTTGAGACCAGGGTGCTGATCCGACTGTAGTGTATGGCGGAGACCCAAATTCAAATCCAAGACTAGCATCACTGCTGGTATCCGCGAAGAAAGGTACATAATGGGGTATAATACCTTCAGATTCGATATCTATAGAAGCTTACACCTCCTAGCCGGCTTCCCAAAAGCTTCAATGGAAGCCGCAATTGCTCGCGGCCAAGGGAAATCTGCAACTGGAGCAACTCTTGAGAATGTCACACTCGAAGTCATCATGCCACCCACCGTTGCCATGATCATCGATGCCGAAACGGACAATAAGGCGCGGACAATGATGGATCTGAGACATCTTGTTAAGGTTCATGGAGGTTCGGTCACGCCTACCAATTATCTGTTCCAGAAGAAAGGAAGGATTGCGTTCGAGAAAGACGAGAGGAATCTAGGGGTTGATGAGGTGCTGGATGAAGCTATTGAAGCTGGAGCAGAAGATGTTGAGGCGGATGAAGATGGAAGCATTGTGGTGTGGACGGAGCCAAATAAGACTATGGCCGCTGCGGAAGCTCTGCAGAAAAGTCTCAATCTGAAGGTGGAGAGCTCGGATATCATCTGGGATCCAAATGAGGATACGAAAGTTCCATTGGAGTCCCAGGATGCGGTGAAAGCGTTATCGGCTTTCGTAGAGGCTTTGCAGGATAATCCGCATGTGCAGGGTGTGTATGCGAATGCTGCTCAGGGAGGTCTGGCAGATGATATTTGGGAAGATCTGCAGGTAAAACTAGATGCATAGATGGAATACTGTACAACAGGGGTACAAGTGTAGAGTATTTGTATAAAGCAGCGGGATGCCGCCCCTCTCTTCGGTTGGAATGGAGTTTTTGGTCCCTTTTCCTTGCCACGCAGAGTTCCCTAAACGCCTCCAATGCAAAACGCCGCGGGCATGCAATATTCCCTCTCAGTTGATGCAGATTCCGCAGTTTCCTCGATCATCCCTCGTGCTTTCCAACCTCGCTTTTGCGACTCAATGGCCCGTCATCCGCACCCAACCCCCCGCATCAACCCCAGGCGGTACACCTTACGAATCACTCCCGTTCTCCCCCTCACTCCTCCTTCCCCAAGCCTTATCCTGCTCCAACCGCTTCTCCCTCAAAAACAGCCTTCTTTGCCTCAGCCTCTCCAACTCACTATGGATCTCCTCCTTCTCAAACGGAATGCGATTCGTCTGCTCCGGCTTGGGCCAGAAATCGGGCACCGAGAAGCGGTTATCGAGGTTCTTGCCGTAGTAGTACATGATTGCGATTGGAAACATGATGTACATGCCGAACTACTTCATGATCAGCACACTTCAGACGGGGAGCAAGGGCGGGGAAGGGATTGTGAGATGGGAAGAGAGATTGTGAGATGGGAAGAGAGATTGTGAGATGGGAAGAGAGATTGTGGTTTGGGGCGTACCCTGAACACTTCGAGGTTGGGACCACCCATCTTAAATGTGCGTAGAGAAGCGGGCTGAGAGAGTAATTGTGGTGCAGAGACAGACTCGGGTTCGATGTCGATATCGAACGATAAATCTTTGCGCCTTCCGTCCAAGGCCGCCACCTCATGCAAGCTGGACCCCTGCAAACCTTAATAGTCGGACTTGATTAAATGCCGGACCGAGGCTCAACCGGCTCCGGTTTGAAATGGTAGTTTTACCCCACAGTCCTCCCAGTGAACTTCACTCTCACCAACGTCCCAATCTCTCTTGATATCCATCTAAACTCTTTTGCGAACTTCAATTGAGACTTTGGGATAAGATGGCGGGACCAGTCACGCTTGAATATACGGGCAAGATTGCCATTATCACGATCGATAATGTGGAGAAGTTGAATGCTTTAGATCAAGATGGTTATTACCTGATTGCTAAGTTCTTGAGAGAGGTTTCTGAGCATGAGGAGGTGTTTGTTACAGTATTGACTGGGAAAGGTATGTCTCAGTCTCCGTGGAAGCATTGACCGATACTGACATATTTCCAGGACGATATTTCTCAGCGTAAGTGGCTGGTACTTCATTGACAAGGCCACTACTAACAGAACTCAGCGGCGCCGATGTATCCATCTCCAGGTCGCAACCGGAAGGAACGGATCTCGCGCGTCACTGGCTCCGCAACTTCGTCGCCAACAACCTCAATATCACACACGCCTTCTACACCCACCCCAAGATCCTCGTCACAGCTCTCAACGGCCCCGCAATCGGTCTATCCGCCGCCCTCATCGCCTTCTCAGATTTCATCTACTGCGTCCCTCACACCTTCCTCCTAACGCCATTCTCTTCACTCGGACTCGTCGCGGAAGGCGGCGCCTCACGAGCATTCGTCCAACGCCTTGGGATCAGCAAAGCGAACGAAGCGCTCATCATGAGCAAGCGCATCACATCCGAAGAACTCCTCCAGGTGGGATTTGTGAACAAGATTTTCGATTGTGGGAGAGGAGAAGAGGAGAAGTTTCAGCGGTTGGTGTTTGAGGAGATTGAGAATCGACTGGGGGATCATTTGATTGGTGATAGTTTGACGAAGATTAAGGCGTTGATTCGCAAGCCGGAGAGAGATGTGTTGGATGCGCAGGGGGTGGCGGAGGTTTTTGCTGGGTTGGAGAGATTTAACGCGGGAATTCCACAGGAGGAGTTCAGGAAGATTGCGAGTGGGGAGAAGAGGCATAAACTGTGAGGTACTTAGACTGGTATGACAAAAAGAAATCCGGGATTCGTTCGCACCTTCAGCGTGTTATCGCTCAAGACAGCAGAGGCTCCGTATGACAGACTCCACGTCCCTAATTCCCGAAGCCCCTCAAATGTCCCCCTTATGCATCCAGAAACGCCAAACACCAAACCTAACAATGCACACCATAGCTCCATCCCCAATCCTCACTTCTCCTCATCCTTCGCCTGGCTCTCCTTCTCCGCAGCAGCCTTCAACTTCTCCTCCTGCTTCTTCCAATGGCCCCCCTCCACATAATCCTTCCTAATCCCCAACGCGTTCCGAAACCTATCATCCTGCTTAATCTTCGCCTCCGCCAGCTCATGTACCTGATGCATCTTGAGCCCTTTCTTGCCTGGTCCACCGCCCCTCTCACTCTCTTTCAGTAGCTTCTTTCTCAGTGCGTCTGTTTGGGCTTCAATTTCTTCTTCGTCGACACTGTAATACTCTGATTAGCCCACGTTTCCTAATCAAAAGAGGGAGTGGAAGAGACTGGGGTGGGGAGCAAGACATACCCTTCATCTTCCAACCGATCTCTTAACTCGAAAACCTTAACCTCAACATCGCGCTTCCTATCGTGTTCCAAGATCTCCTTGTCAGGTTGCCGTTGCCGGTGCTTTAAGCTTTCGAGGTCTGTCGAGTAAGGCTTGCCGTAATCGCGGGGCTTGAGGTGTGCGAGGTTGCGCTGGACATAGCCGGATGTGCCGCTGCCTCTTGGGGTACTGAGACCAACGTTTGAGGACATGGTTTTGGTTCGTAAAGTGTGTAGGTACGGGGAATCGGTGGTGGGGAACTGGGGTTGGAAGAAGGCTGAAGGTTCTGGTGATGGCGGGAAAGTATCACAGGCGGTGTGGCTAGCGTGGCAGTATTTTAATTGCCCCTCGTCGAGCTTCACTTTGGAATGACTCAACCTCCTAAAAGCTAGAAATTGAAATCGGAGATTCCCCTCTACGAGCTCAAATATTCCCTTAATCTTGTGGCTTGCTCTTGAGAGTTCGTTCATCAACGCAAAGATGCCAGCTTTAGATCCAGTAGACGGTCCACAGCCCGAGCCACAACCCCTCACTAGACTCCCCTTCGAACCAGTCAAGAAATCGCATATCCTACACTGCTCTTACGACTACTGGCACTCAAAGTAAGCACACTCCCCCCGACTATGCGGAATAACAGCTAACGAACCCAAATATACCGCTCCTCAGCCCTCAAATCCCGAATCATCCCCCTCACGCCACAATTCCTCTCCTACCTCCGCGAGGACGGCATAATCCTCCCCTCAGAAACACCCACCTTCCCACCTCCCTCAACGTACAACCCCTCCTCCTCTACCTCCTCTGACTGGGACTCTGATCCCGATCCCGACCCCTCGCTCTCCTTCCCCACAATCCACCAAGCCATCAAAGAAACCATCCATGAGCTCGGCGGCCTGGTAGCACCAAAGCTAAATTGGTCCGCGCCGAAAGACGCAACATGGATTAGCATGAAGAAAAATAGCATGGAGTGTGCAACGCCGAATGATATTTATTTGTTACTCAAGAGCTCAGATTTCGTAACGCATGATTTGGAGCATGTTTTTGATGGGTGCGAAGAGGATGAAGAGGAATCTTTGACAAAAGAAGACATAAAATACGTGTTGGTGCTCAGGAAGTGGTTTAAAGTCAACCCATCTTGTGAATTCCGCTGTTTCGTACGAGAAAGGAGGGTGATAGGGATTTGTCAGCGGGATCTCAATCATTTTGAGTTCTTGTTCCCGATGAAAGAGCAGTTGAGGGAGGTGATACTGAAATACTTCGAGAAGACATTGAAGAGCACGTTTCCGGATGGCAATTTTGTGTTTGATATCTATCTGCCGGAACCTTATGATAAGGTTCGATTGATGGATATCAATCCATGGGCGCCACGAACGGATCCCTTGTTATTTTCCTGGTTAGAGCTTCTTACGATGCCGCTCCCGAAACCGTTACTGGGTATCCCAGACTCGGGAGTGGATCTACCGCTACTGGAGAGTCTGGATCTCAGCAGCGATGAGGATATGCAGGATGATGTAGATGTGGAGGAAGTGGAATGGAAGCCGGAGATTAGATTTGTGAGGAAAGATGATCCAGAGGCGTATTGCTTTGCTAGTCCGCAGTATAGTGCGCATAAACTCCCGAGGGAGGTGGTTCAGGCGAGTGCAGGTGGGGAGACGGGAATGAGGGAGTTTGCAGATCAGTGGCAGAAGATGATGGATGGGGAGGTGGAGCTGCAAGCTGGCAGTGATGATGACGATGATGATGAACCCGTAGATAGAACCACGGCAGCATAGATGTTAGAATACAAATGACGCTAAACCAACGGACCATCTCCCAAGCACCTTATGTTCCATGAATCTAATGGTAGGATCCTCAATGACTCTTGATGGCTTACATTTCGCGAAGTCTTTTCCTGATGAGAAGACGTCGCCAACTTCCATCTCTTCTCGCTAAATATTCAGGGGCTGCAAGCGAGAAGACTCCTTTTCAAACCACCGATTCACCTTCATCAAACAAGCACACCACAACCACTCTTCCCCTTTGCCACTTGCAAATTTGTTGTACATCGAACGTTTGTTTTAATTACTCATCGCTTTTGCAAATAGTCGGCATTCATTTCACTTAGAGTTCTCACCGAAATCGATAACTTCCCTCTTTGACCATGCACTTCCAAAACATTCAAGGTCATCCGCATCCACTGTATATTTCTTAACAATCCCATTCAGCATTCAACCAATGATTCTCTACAGTACTGGATTCCATCCTTTCCACACTACTTACACAAGCACCACCGTCTCCGCCTCCCCCTTCCCAAAGATAGATTTCTCAATAACCTTCCCCACACCAACCCTCTCAAACGCTCTCCTCCCTTCTCTCTCTCCGGCTTCCCTGAGAAAAAGGACTGTGTACACTGTTGCTGAAAGTCCGAGGTAACTTAGAGACCCAGTTGCGCGTGTGGAGTAGAGGGGGAGGAAATGGAGCTTTGCCGGAATTTGTGGGAGGTCGTTTGCTGACGTTTGTGGTCTTGACGATTGAAGATTTGGGGCAGGTGGTTGGGTTGAGCTCGGTGGTTGGGATGAGGAGGTTCGGGATGGGATTTGTGGTGGTTGGTGGTTGGTCGTGGTTGGGGTATCGGGGACGGATTTTTGTTTTCCTTTCGAATCTTGAAGTAATTGTTCTGGAGGTTGGTGGTTGATGGAGTGTTCCAAGGCGACGAAGTCCTCTTAAATAGTTGGCACTGAGTGAGGGTTCTCCTCAATGACTGCTAACTGCTTGTTCTTTCCGCCTACTGCGTGGTGATTGGTATTGGTGTTTGGGAGCGAAGGCACTAGTTCTTTAATTTCGTTGTTTCTTGCGAGAATAGCCTCTTCTGATGGCTCTTCTGTAAGATGAGCGTTGTTAGCCATCTTCGTGTTCGCATCTATCGAGGGTGAAGGTTGCTCGAGGTTGTTTGTACTCTCATCAGCGTCCGCCACTTGACATGACATCTGTGCCAGCTGAGCATCTTCCGCCCCGCCACTCGGAATTTTACTCATTGAACTCTCTTCAGCAGACAACATAAGAGCAATTGCCAACTGGTCATTAAACTCTTCATCCAAGTCAGCCTGGTGAGGTACGCCTTTCTTTGAAGCTGCTTTCCCCAACGACGCCGCAATCGCATGTTCCAAATCATCGCCAGTCTGGTTGATTGGTGCAGATCTGTTGTTCCCCAAACCTTTATCCTTCAACGACAGCAACAAAGCTGTAGCTTCAGCTTCGTCGAGTCCTCCATTCAGTGCAGCGCCAGTCTCTTCCCAACGAAATAATTCCACGCTCTTTGCAAGCCAATGATCCTCAAAACAACCATAGCCGGCAGGCTTAGCTGCATTTTTCTCAAAATACACTGCATGGCAGTACTGCAACCAGTGCCTCTCCACCACACCCATTTCCGAAGCATCAGAGAACTCCTTTCTCTCATCATTTGTTAGACAATTGGCATTTTGAGGTCTCCTCCACACTTCTCGGATCTTTCCAGTGACCTGGAGCTCCGAAAGAAAGGACATTGTTGTGTCCAAAGTGATTCCTCGTGGAAGGTCCGCTTCGAAGTTCGAAAGTTCAGAGCTTTTCACCCCCTGCCTCGACTTCACGGAACTCGGCTCAATCCTCTTGTACTGTTCTAGCATTTCTGGAACAATGATCCTGCATTCGGGTTTGAAGGTCATGACTCCCGGCCATTCGATTGGGGTATGCCAACTCGCCCAAGACCATGAAGGAACTTTGTTGCCCGCAATACACAGCTTCGGAGGCTTAGACGGATACCACGATAGACCATACAGGAGATCATGAGACCAGAGACCCGAAACATAAAGCGGTGTATGCAATGCCGAACCATCTCTGCTTGTTTTCCCAGCCGCCTCTCTCTCTTTTGAGAACAACATCTGAAATTCCCTCGCAACTCCCGCGACTGCAGCAAGTTTATCACTTGTCTTCGTCAACCTTAACTGCGAGTAAATTTTGATAGCCATATACCAACGACCCATGAGAGTAGAGTCGAACGGATTCTGATCCTTCTTTGGAAACATCGTTCCCGCCTTGATCTCTGGCCCCCAGAATCCCAGCTGGGTCTCGCCTTTGCCCACACCCTCCTGACACTCATTCATAAATCTATGTGTCCTACACTCGAAGAAAATCTTCCCTTTGGTATAGTGAACCATTCGTCTCGAAAGCACTCGTTCCTGGAATACCCAACCCCGTTTCAGCAAGGGGCTTTTCTCAACAAAGCGGTCATACTCTTCTGCGAATGTCTTGTGCTGCTCAAATACCATGAACCGCCCCGAAACAACGCCTTCTTTCGTTCGATATGGGAGGCTTATCACAGGGACAATCTCGACAGATGTCGGCACTCGGTCCAAGAAGCATCCTCTGCTCGTATCTTCCGCTCCGGTAGCTGCCACGGTGAAAAGAGAAAACTGGTATATCCTAGACAACTGGCCCGCTTGTCGAGCCCAGTCTTTCTCGTCGTCTTGGATGATGCAGAGGGCGTCTATCCATACATAAGGTACATTCAACTTCCTGGTAATGATGATAACATCCTGGAACGTCTTTGGCAAGCTCGAGACCAAGATGCCGCCTTTCCTCTCTGCGATATTTGAATAAGTAGTCTTCGGTATCCTTCCTGGTCCACCCCAGACATAACTTAGAGTAATGTAAGCACCTTTCTCTCCCCCAGTGTCCCGCAAATAAACCATTTTATCGCCAGGATACCCCACGCTTATTAAGCGTGAAGGCAAAGGTACGTGATAATTATCATCGATCAAGACATCTCCGGAGATCGTCGTGTTGCAAGCAAAATGAGACCGCGATTGACAATCCACTAGCCATTGCCTCAGAACATTGAACTGATATTCCGAATCCGAAGTATTCCCAATATACGCTCGTGGGATATCTCCACTTAGTTCAGCTGCACTACCTATTTCACGTGAGCATATTATTATCATATACAATGCACTTTTGCAATTAGGCACATACCTGGATCCGAAACCAATCTAAACTCCTTACGATACCTCCCTTTAACAAGAGATTCCTTGCCTCCTACCCAAACCTGCAGTTGCGTGAACCGCAATCCAGGTCCTGGCGGCAACATATCATATCCAACATCAGGCGGAGTCAACATCTTGAAATACACCCTTAAAGTACTCATTTCCCATGCTACATTATGGGCAGGTTTATTCGCGTATATGAATTTGCAAAAGGGACAGCCTTCCGAGGCCGCGATGGCTACGAGCGTGAGCTCGAAGGATTGAGTGTTTGATGCAGAGTTGAATTTCTTGATGTCGAAGTCTCGACAGGTGGCGCAAAGGGCCATGGTTCCAAGGCCCGAGTCAGAGCCTGCCACACTTAGACAATTACTATGATTAGAGGATGATAGTGGGCGAGTAAAGGATGATAAAGATGAGATGCGTTGAAAAGGAAGCTGGTGCAACCCCACGATCTCATCTCAGGTCCTGCATTTACCCCGGTTTCCAACGTTCGGCTCTCGGGTCTGCAACACAAGGAGGCACAGCCTCAATGCTGCAGGGGTGTTGGAGACGCCCTCCAAAAATACCAGTACTCGGCCACAGAGGCCAAAAACTTGGAAATGATAAGAGAGTGAAGCGGCATAAAAGAATGTCTATCATGGATATCATTCTGCCTTTGCGAACATGCGAGCCCAGGGAGATCTTACCTTAAAAGACACAGAATAGGGTCTTTCTTCCTCTTTATGCGTTCTTTCAGGCTCCTTTTCGCGTAATCCGCGCAATCTCAGGGAACTGGACCCCGCGCTTGCCCCTCATTGCCTCTGATGAGTCCGTGTTTCTAGCGACAATTTCTTGTCTCGCAAGACCCCTTCGACCTCACTTTACAAGTATACCACAGCTAGAAATCTCATCCTATCACAATTCGCCCGCACACAGTTTGAGAAGCTAAACTGGGTTTCAGAAGATTTTACAAGTGATTTCGAATAAAACTTGAAGTCATACAACGATGGTGAGGTTGCTCTACTCTGTGCAGCTAGCAACTTCGCAGCGTGGAAACGAGAACTTCGAATCAACATAAATTCAGCCGTGACGTCAAAATCGAACATAATTCATGGGGGTGTGGAGGTGCAGATGATAGACACTTTGTGAATCGCCTTCGAATGTCCTGGACAGAATTGAAGTGAAACTTCGCGCGCTCGACAGTTCCAGCAACAACAGTGAGTAGTGTAGGGGAAATGAATTGAAAACGTGCAATCCGCATTATTGCAGAGAGCCGAAAGGTTGATTATTACAAGAAAAGGTAGTGTGTAAAACAAACGCGACGGTTAACGCACCCTCCCCCAACACTCCTCTTCCCCAGGCTAGCCTTGATGCCATGTCTCATCACCCTATCCACCCAAGATATAAAATCACTGGGTCAGTTAATGGCCCTTATTGAGAAACACAATCACAAAGCCAAGGCCAGACCCATCACGGCGGCAAGACCGGCCCCCATAATCCCAACTGAGTTGTGCGCCGACTCAGCACCTCCCGTGAACTGAGCCAAGCTGGCACTGTAAGTTGGCGTGTACCTCACCGCAGCGTAGGTACTGATCGTTGACGTCGGGTATGTCGGGTAGTAAACTGCCTCAGTCATGACGGGGACGACGCACACAGTTGTGGACACTGGGTAAACAGAAGTGATAACCGTCTTGTAGTGGTCGGGGCAGTAGACTGATTTTGGGCACTCGGTGACGGTGTAGATAGAAGTATCGTAAATTGTCGAGGTTGTGGTTGTGTATGCTGGTGGGGTATGCTTTGCTGTGACTGGGCACACGGTGGTGTATAGGGCAATCACGTCAGTGACAACGGATGTATAACGTGCAGGGCAGTCGGTCACAGTCTTGGGGCAATCGGTGACTGTATGGATGAACGTGGTGTAGACAGTGGAGGTTGTGTAGGAAGCAATGCTGGTGGTTGGGTAAGTAACGTTGGCGGTGGTAGATGAAATGGTTGGCAGAGTTGTTGGTGTTACATAGAACGAGCTGGAGCTGACTGTCTTCGAGACAGCGCACGGATTGGTGAAGTTTGACCCGGGATCCTTCTTGAAGATTGCCCATGGCTCGGAAATGGCGACGTAGGCTTCCGGGAATGGGGTGTTTGCGGTGACCAAGTAGAACACACAACAGGCATTGTCAAAAGTGTTACCAGATGGGATGGTATCAGTGTGAGCAAAAAATACTCAAGCTACTCAAGCTACTCAAGAGTAGTCTTGAGTAGAGTAGAGTAGAGTTTGAGTAGCGTAATATGGTACTTGAGTAGAGTAGAGTAGAGTACTACTCAAGAGTAACTCAAGAGTAGTCACGTGTAAGTCACGTGAATATAGAAAATTAATGTTCATTTAATTATTAATAAATAAATAAGGTACCTATTAAGCAGTACTATATAATTTAAGCTTGAGCTTATATAAGGCTACTTAAATACTACTTTTCTTCTATAAAAACCAGATTTCCTTCCTCGAAATCTTTCTTTTCCTGCTTTTTTTCTTCTCCTTTTACTTCTTCTAATTCGTCTTTAAATAACTCCCAGCTTTTTAAATAAGATATTATCTTAATAGTACTCTTATTAAGTCTATTATATAATTTAAATAATAAGAGTACCTTGAGAGAAGAGTTTGCCCTTAATAGCTAAGGAAGCCTAAGAATATATTAAGGTTCTACCTTGCTTACTAAGCCTTGCCACTACTTGATTGGGCAGTGCAGTGGCGCTAGACTCGGGCCACCCCGGAGCCTTACCCAATTGGGTTAGCATGTCACGTGTAGCATCACGTGCATACTACTCAACTACTCAAGAATATTCTAGAGTAGTTGAGTAGAGTATTGAGTAAAGTATGAGTAGTGAGAAAAAAACTTGAGTAGAATATGAGTAGGGCCCACTACTCTACTCTACTCTACTCATTTCTCACACTGGATGGTATAGCCAGGATAACCACCAAAGTCGACATCGAGGTCTGTGGTTTGCGTCAGTTATATTCCACGGTGAAGAAGAGCAACAAACCGCCGAGACCGAGTCCCTGGTTGGTGCCGTCCGGTCCGGGTACCATGCACTCTCCCGAACCGAGTGGCTGATCAATCGTGTCCAGTGTCTTGACGTGCTCCATAAACGTTGGATCGATCTTGATGTCGTAGTCCTGATTCTCGATCATGGGAGGGGAAAAGATGATAAGTTCTGGATGCAAGGGAGCAGGAAGAGGGGTAAGTTGAGCTGTCGCTACCAAGACGCTGGAGGCAATGACTGCCAGTTCACCGAGGGATTTGTGGAACATCTTTGCGGTTGAAAGATAAGGTATTGAGGTATTTTTCTAAATGAGTGACGAGTTGAAATTAATGGGTAAAGACCGTGATGCTGAAAATGAACGAATTAACAACTGATGGATAGAAAAGCTTTTACTTTGAGGAAGGAAGAACAGGCTATATACAACAGTGAAATTGCATGACAGGCTTTTGAGGCTTTTGAGAAAACCTGTTTCAATAGAGACTTTGATGGCACCAGACTCTTGGACACATGGGGCTGTGCTCTCCTCTTCCTGTAACCAAATTTGGCCAATAACGGGGCCGTTCTTGGCGAAGATCCAGGAACACCGTTCTCTGACTGGTCACCGCAGTTGTATGTTCATAAAATTATGCAGTCCAAAACGAAGGGGATGGATGCATATTTCGTTTACTGCAGTCCATCGGAGCGCTTCATTCTTTTGCTCCCGAGCCCGCATACGGATTCAGGTACCCGTCCAAGCGATTTCCTGATCCGAAAACCACCCGAAGGAGAGCAGAGTGGCGTTTTAAGCGAGCCAGCCTTAAGCCCTGGAAAAGGGGCTCATCCGCACCAACGACGGTGCAACCGTTACTCCGCGTTTTGTAATGAGAACTCGCACTGCTAATATTTAAAAATAATTTTAGCATAAGAACCAATAGAAACGATATCGCTATTAATTTAGGTTATTTTTCAGATGAAAACCCCGGGACCAAGAAATGAGTCCAAAGCCTGTTTCAGCCCTTCCATAAGTGGAGGGTTTCCTCGGCTCAGATCACCATTGTCCTAATTTGGAACTCGAAGCCTCTGCGAACTATATTTTGATATTAGTGAACAGCATTTTATTCACGGAAATGTTGGCAAATGAATGAAAAACATTTCCCGAAGGCATCGAGACCTGGGCAAGCTGAACTTCCCTGTCGTACTCGGCGAGGTTGCCAGCACCTTGACTGAACTGCTTTCCGAAGCGACCCCATCACCGCCTAGGGGTACTAACACAGAGGCTCAGAGAACGATCTTCAACAGAACATCTCACAGGATCGAAATGACGAGCGTAAACGCATGGTGTTGTTTATTTCTAAGGCGAAAAGAAAATTATCACACAACCATGCTCTGCGTTCAAGCGGCCATCACTTTATGGGTCACTCAATTATGTAACAGGCTCAATTAGGTGCTTAAATATGCGTAAGTATAAATGTTCCCAGTGTTTAAGGTGCTATAATATTTCGAAGTTGATGGCTTGCTACGCTTCAGACGGACCGTTCGAAGCTTATCAATCGTGTCCGGGTTGGTTCCAAAATGTTGCCTAAGCGTGGCTGTAAACGAAAAGGGGGTCAGGTCGAACAGCAACAGACTCAGATGCATTTGCAGCCCGACGTGGGTCACCGGAGATTGGTGAGCTTTTGTGACTCCCACAGCCAAGCATTAGGGATGGCTTTCTCATGGGGTTGTGTTTCATAGCATGTAACACTAAAGTTTGTGAATCAAATGAGACGCATTGTGAGCTCGGGAAAGGAAAAGAAGTCGAAGCAAAATCTCAAGATTTCCCTCCATCTGTCAAATGCCCGTTGGAAGAGATTTTTTTGTTCTCGAGCTCAAACTAGGGGGCAAGCTACGCATCACATCTGCGAATGCTGTCAATGTTCTTTTTCTGGTCTTTAGGTTTCGCTTGATTCACTAAAGCAGTTGGGCTGCTTTTCGACCTATCTGTGACCCAACTTCCTCGAAATCATGGAGCAAGTCATGGCTCCTCACGCTACTGAACGAAAATATCCGTTCACACTTTGTTGATACCTCCTTCGTATCGAGAAATAATTCGAAGCTCGACACAGCGGTCAACTTGCAACTTATGCCCGGGCTCCTCACCGGCTTCCCGTCAACTGATCTTCTTAACTTCGAGCCAAGAGCAAATTAAGGTTGCAGAGACAGAAACCAAGGCTCGGACGGCAACAGGGTGTCTTCCAGTTGCGAGACAGACAATGCCTTCTTCAACAAAGTGGCCTTGGCATTTACTGCGAGCTGCATGTTGAATATATTTTTCACAAAGCACCTGCCATACAAAATTCTTTTCCAGGTGTGCAAGAACACAATATTTCTACCATATTAAGTTTGACTTTACCACTTTACTGACTGTGCTAGGTCTTACCACCGTACTCGAATAGATACTGGCTTAGAATCCTCTCGAGGCATCGATGGCTACCACATGCCGGCCTCGAACATCATTCAACGGCACAATAGCAGAATCCGGCCCCATCCGCGTGGTCGATTTGGATGTCTTTGGTCTATCAAGACTTTGTGTATATTTTCCTACAATGATCAAGAGGGCAAAATACTTCGCAGATCTCGAACATCCATACCATTCTATTTAGCAGCATAGGGGTCAAAAAACGAAATTGAGTCATCTTATCCATGCAGAGCACAAATTGGAAAATTATAGCCTTCGTGGCACCTCTGTGACTCTCAAGTGCGCCCCCATACCCAGACGTTTCCCCTTCCCCGCCATCTCTCTTACCCCACTATTCCACCGGTTTCCAAACCCTACATCTCTTCAAAACTACATCCGGTCCCCCATACCAATCCTTCGCCGTTTCTTGCCCAACACTAACAAACCCGGCCTTCTCAAGAACCCTCAAGCTCGCAGCATTGTTCTCCAGGGCAGTCGCATCCACGAACACTCTCCCGCTTTCATCCAATTTACTGCCTTGCAATCCCTCAGGATGTATTTTCCAATAAGCACTGAGAAATCCGGAAAGCGCTTCAGTGAGGTACCCTTTGTTCCAGTAGGAAGGAGAGATCTCATAGCCGATGCTAGCAACAGACGTCCTGGCCATGAGCCTTAAGCCTAGGAAGCCGATCACGGTTCCATCTACATTATTGAAAGATGTAGGAGATGGAAGCAACGTGGTCAGGAAATTGAATGTGTTTTCCGGGGCGAAAGTGCGTTGGATCCATTCTTCTGTCACGAAAATAGGGTCGGTGGTGTTGCCTGTACTAGGGAATTGTTAGTTGGAACTCCAGGGGTTGGAGTATTGGGAGTTTATGTAAAAATTGGGGCCATGCTTCCACACTGATACGTCAGGATGCGTGCGGATGAGGTGGATTGCTTCTGTATCGGAGGGAAGAGGGGGCCGGAGGAGGAGGCGCGGGGTTCAGATCGTTTGAGAATATGGAGTGGACATTGTAGGGAAGGGGGTACGATGCCAATTTTCTGCTTTAAAATGATGGAGACAACATATGACTGGGGCGCATTGCTGTTTGTGAGGTTTATTAACAATCTGCCCCAAACGATGTTGAGATACGCTAGAGGAAGAGCACATTTTTATGAGGTACCACGATTTGACGTAGAAGTCTTGGCGAAGCGTTTCAAGTCGCGCCGTCTTACATCCAGGGACAACTCTCTGCCCAGTGGAAGTTTGGTCATGCTACAGGCTTCGATGCCCTATAGTTCTCGGTAGTTTCGGGGCCAATCTACCCCGCACTTGCCGACGTTTCCTTCAAGACCACCCAAAATCCTCGCTCAAAAACAAACAATAACCACTTTTCCAGTGAATTTAAAGAAGTGCGATATATATCAGCCTTGGAAAAGAAGGGTAGTAGGTCTTTATCATAATCTATTCCCGGAATTTTGAGTCGATGTCGTAGAAAATAATCTTTTCTAATTTATGTGGCAGATTTTCGCTCACCCCCAGAACCCCCCACCCTAACACTTCAATAAAAATAAAAATAAAAGGGGGGTGGAATGTAATTAAAATAGGATAATTTCCAAAGCTGACGGTCATTGGAATGGTTCTAATAGGAATTCTGAAGGAAATCAACCTGTGAGGAAACTAAAGTATTAATGTGTTAATGAAAACAAGAGGCATCTCTTCCCTGATTTGACCCAATACTATTGCCTAACTGTTTCCCTCTCACCATCCTTTCTCCGACCCATCATAAACAAAAAATCTCCCTGAATCCGTACTTTTTAAGCCTCTCAAACACTTCAGCATTCCCCCAATACTCTCTTCCTTTTCCAACACTGCCCCAGTGCCTCCCATATCAGTCTTCACCCACCCCGCTGTCATCAAATTAGTATGGATACTTCACGATCTTGAACTGGGAGATCAGCGGACAAGCTCCTGAGACAAACAATCATGCCGTCTCCAGTAAAGCCTCCAGGCTCTGAGCTCTCATAGAAGAAGACAACAAAATACCGTAAGAATAACACTTACGGTCAACACACACAACAACCACACCTTGGCCCTTCAGATTATTTGCTTGATGGATAGTCAACATGTTAAGCGCCGCCTTCGAGATCGAATACGCGGCAGACTCTGCTAGATCCTTAGTCCGAATGTATGCCAGTGAGCCGAGCCCGGATGTCATATTCATGACCACGCTTCCTTTTTGCAAATGGCTCTCGAGAACTTGCACCGTTTTGGCGGGACCCATGACATTGACGTTCATGTGGTTGGATAGAGATTCTGCCGTCAAGGTTAAGCTCGTTTGCCAATGGGTAGCATTGATGCCTGCATTGTTGAGCAGGAAGTCGATTTTCTTCTCTGGTCCTCCGAGGATGGAAGTCACTTGCTTGCTGAAGGCCGCGATAGAGTCTTGTGATCCTGTATCGCATTCGATGATATGGAGAGTTGCGCCATTGGATTTGAGAGATTCTAGAGAGCCGAGATCTCCTGATAGAGATCGTGTTGCTGCCAGAATGGTGTTGGAGGAGTCGGTGCTGAGTTGGCGAAAGAATTCGAGGCCAAGCCCACGATTTGCTCCTGTGATTACAAAGATTGGCATTGCGAACTGTGGAGGATTGCTTTTCGACCTCGGTTTGTTCGACGTTGGAGCGGTGAAAGTATTGTCCCCGGTCAATTGGAATGTGGGCAGGATTAATACCAATTTAATACAATTAATAAACCTTGCCTGCGAACGACGGAACTACATGCGCGACAAAATCCTATATGCGCTACAGATCAGTTTCCTAAGAGGGAGAAAACAACCTTGCATTACCAAAGATTTATTATATACTACCCCCACTTTTGCCAGGACCCCCCTCCTCGGTTAAATGCGGGGGGATAATGGTGACGTTGATTTCTACAGATTTCGGAGTTTAGGGGTTTTAGTTGAACCATAGTATCGCTTAAGTTGAACCATATTATCAAACTCTGCATATGCTCGTTTATTTAGCTGAACCATAGTATCGCTTAAGTTGAACCATATTATCAAACTCTGCATATGCTCGTTTATTTAGCTGAACCATAGTATCGCTTAAGGAAGCGAGACAGCTAGCCGAGCAAATGAATAGGTTTTGTGGCCATTATATTTTAGGCATATGCTTTCCTTATACTCTGCATATGCTCTATAGATTAGGGTTAGTATATGCTAGGCATATGGATTCCATATGCCGAGTATATATTACGGATAGTAATAAAGTAGGGTGATTTCTAGCTTGCTTATATGCTTCTTAGTAGTAAAGTAAAGCATATGCTAAGTATATGGGTTTTATATACCGAGCATATACTTGAGTAATAATAATAATAAAGCAAGATGTATTCTAACTTACTTATATACTGCTTCTTAGTAGTAAAGGTAAAGCATATGCTAAGCATATGGGTTTTATATACCGAGCATATGCTTGATTAATAGTAATAATAAAGCAGGATATATTCTAACTTACTTATATGCTTCTTGGTAATGAGGGTAAAGCATATGCTAGGTATATAGGTTCTATATGCCAAGCATATGCTTGAGTAATAATAATTATAAAGCAAGATATATTCTAACTTACTTATGTATTTCTTAGTAGTAAAGGTTAAGCATATGCTAGGAGTATGCCTGGCGGGCCGTTGGGAGGAAGTCGGGGTTAGAAGGAGGGTGCGAACGAGGACTGGTGTCTATGTATCATTAAAGCTAGTAGATACAGTATGGTTTTTGGTGAGGGAAGTTGAACCATATTATGGAAAATACAAGGGTATTCTCGCTACTGATAATATGGTTCAACTTAAGCGATACTATGGTTCAGCTACTGGCTCCGGAGTTTAAATATTGTGCAATCGCGTTTCTGACATTTGGAATTCTGAAAGGTACAAGTTCTCTATAAATGAATATAAAATTAGGAACACTTGCTCATCGAGCCCCACCTTGCTTTAAACGAAACGCCCCCCTTTTTTGCTTCACTCAGAGCAAAATGAATCAAATCCTTTTTCCCTCTCTGAGAACAATCGGTCCATCGTACTCCTGAACTATTAAAAAAACCCCTTCCGGTTTCAATTTAATTCCCACTTAGACAGTTCGAACTTTAACGGCTCCCTTTTCTCATCCGCCTCTACCGTTGCCACTTGATGGCTCTGGAGCTCCACGGTGCTGGCACCCCTCTCATATGTCAACTCAACCCAAACTCTGACAAGTTTCTCTTTCCTCAGTTCGAGCTTCCTATTTGTATCTTCCAATTCTCTTATTCGACCCGTCACATCTCTGTCCCTTCTTAAAATCCAACGCCGATTACGACCACCATTAGAAGGAGGTTCATCCCGCCTAAGGCAATGAATAAGTGTGATTATTGCAAATTTGTCGCATTTTTGGGCAGGTACGGTGTTGTTCATATTTTCTGTATCTGAATGCGATCGTGGAGAATAAAAAGCGGTTGAGAGGTTGCAAGGCAAACTTTTCTGATGTGAAGATGAACAAGAAATTTCAACCTCGGAAATGGACTGAAGCAAGTCTCCCTGGCTGTGTTAGAAAACCAGTGGCCAGTTAGTTATCTTCATTTTGTTGAAGGGACGATTTAGGCGTCGACTCGGTCCCAAATTGGTCCATGGTCTTGGGTACAGGAGATGAAGTGGCGTTCGCTACATTAAGCGAACCCCTTTTTTTTACAGCGACATCCTTAACAATCGCCAAAATCGCATTTTAAGCGAGAGCCCAAAACGGGTCGGAACACCAAAACTACAAAGCCCACTTCCTACGACATCTTAATAACCACGTCTTCAATTGACTTAACAATAGGCTTAAATTAAAGGAGGCATCAGGGGCTTTCCTTTTAGAAGAGGACTTTTAGGCTAGAGTTATAGTTATTAAGTAATTTAAGGCAGGGCACTTTTACTTGAAACGAGATAATTTTTGGTGTGAAATCTTACTGAAACGCCGGCTATAGCCCCGAATATTATTTAAATAAGATAAGCTTTTACAGAGAGGAAGGGGGCACTTATATTATTTATTTAAGATATAGTACTCTTCTTCTAGAGTTATAGTTATAAAGTTATTAAAGAAAAGGAAGAAAAGTACTCGCGAGGCTCAAAATCTGAGAGGCGAGGCGTGCGCAAGAGGCTAGAAAATCGCGATCTCGCCCGGATCTAAATAACTTGATAAGTATAATTCTCGCTTAAAACTCCTTTTCTAGAGGGAAAGCCCCCGATGCCTCCTTTAATTCTATGTAAGAACTAAGAGTTTTGATTAATAATTAATAGTATAGTCGAGAGAAGTTAATATCGTGGTTTTGCGATTTTGGTGTTCCTCCCCCCTCGCTTACGAATGCGATTTTGGCGATTGTTAAGGATGTCGCTGTAATCATAAAAAACCGACGCGAGTGGGACTACCTCCTGATGGTGTCTCCTCATCAACCACCTGGTCTCTCAGCGACAGAACCTATTGTCATTTCAGATTCGGGCGATGTGACGCCATCAGCATACCGCCGCCTCAAGGAGTGGGCTATTTCGAGCTCGAATTTATGCGAAAATGAATGGGTCCAATTTTCAAATGGGGAATACGATAATCTAGGCGGGGCCTAAGCGCGGTTTATGTTTGACAGGTCTGAGCGTGTCACTATTAAATTAGTGTAGATCCGACAACTAACTACACCACTCTAAATTCATCTTCTGTCATTTACAATCATCGATCTTCGCATCTCGAAGAAATTGTGTCATCATCGCCCTTCACGGGTTCATGGAACCCTTTTCAGACATACTTGTACTTAAACCTAAAGAGTGAGTTCACCCAGACGTAACTGCCGCATTCTCTTTCCCCCGAAGAAGCCTTATTTTGTCGGCGACCTCGAAACCGAGCGTGCCCAATTTTTTGTGGAAACGTTTGGTGGCTCCCTGGTCGCCGCACTGTTCAATGATTTAGTTAGACTCGGAGAATCGATTCTAGGATGTTCGGTATTCTGGAAGACTTACGCTTACATCGACAGTTTTGTGATTGTAAGATACGGAACCCCTTATTCGAAGAATCTCCTCGCCATAAAACTGCACCTGGTCGGCTGCCGAGCTCCATTCCTTTGGCCAGTCGCTCTCCGCGAAAGTGAACTCCGATAAAATTGCACCCCTGAGAACGAGACTTTGGTAGATTTTTTCGCCTATATCCAGTAAATCCCGGTTGAACTTGATGGTCTTGAAGAGTGCTTTTCAGATGGTGCTTAGCTCTCCGAAGGCAATGTAGTCCCAAGCAATTAATGTATCTCCGTAGCTAACCACAACCGAGTTCTCTGCGCTGATTTTGGTTATATTAAATCCCGCTATTTCCATCACCGTCTCCATAAACGCTTGAAAAGTGCCGTTTGTATACGAGGCTTGAGCATATCCTCGCTCACGGGTCGGAATTACACGTTCGATGCCACTTCTATCGTCACAAAGTCGAAGTTTGAGCTGAGGACGGCTTCTGACTCGTGAATCTTGGTGGTGTTCCATGTTGAAGAATCTATCGGCGCAAGCAGTAGAGATGATGGTGTTGGCTAAGTTGTTTTCGTTCCTCTGGGTTAAAGAGGGGATGACGATGCTCGCGCCTGCATCAATTGCAAGTCGCAAACGGGTTTGAATTCTACTCCTGGCATTTTTGACACCACCACAGGCAGAAGTCTTGTTCATGTCGCAATACCTGTGGCAATAGAGCCATAGGCCTTCTGTCTATTTCGTCTCGCCGCAGAGATTATTCAGTGGTTTAAATGCCTCCGCCTTCTTAAAATTTTCTCCCTTGACCTTTGAACTTGGCTGCTTCCGTTGCTTATTATAATATGTGGAGAGATAATTAACGTAGTGATCAGAAGTCTTAGAAAGCCTTCCTATATAGTACAGAGCTATGACGAGAAATAAACTTGCAATGATATATAATTTCGTCGTCAGTGGAACGTATTGGCTACCTTAACTGTTAGTTTGTCAGCAAAGAAAGGGCAGAGAGCTAGGCAAGAAAGACACTACCCAATCGTAATCCATTACTCCCAGAATACAACATCTTCAAACAAGTGTCCAGTATCAGTGGCAATAGATCAGAACGTCGTTCGTTGTGATCATTTTCTGACTTTATGCTTTGGCTGACTTAGCACATACATGAAGATCACTCTACTTGCTTGGTATAGACGAAGCATTCGCAAGCTGGTTTATCGAATTGTCCGGTCAATTTAGCCGTTCCTCCTACTATACCTCCGGCAACTCGCCAATTGACGATGAACCGCAACCCCGTAATCCTTACCCCTATCAATTCCCGAAACGGCCTTAATTATGCAACTAAGACAGGAATGAATGCACTATACGAAGACAGTGGCATAAAGTATCGGGAATACAGGGCACTGGGAGACTTTTAGGCTCTCCAACGTACAGATTAAGGTAATAAACTAGCTGTAAGGCCCTATATTCCCAGGCCCTTCCCCTAACGAGTAAAAGCACCAGAAGCAGCATTTATACCTTCGATAAGGGCTATCACACCTTTTTAGGGCTTCTCGCTTCTTCCATGTATGTACAAGGAGGTCTTCGCTAAGGAAGCCTATGGTAGCTGCTTATTTAGCGTCCGAGCGCTATAGTTACTCTACCAATAGCGCTATAACCCTAGAAGATATACCTATCCCATGCGAATATCTTATAGCGCCTCTGTATGTCGATTTAGGGGGCACTACCTAGAGTTATAAGGGCTTGTAGCGAGCTTCTGCCCCAGTGTATCAAAAAAAAATCAAGGCTAATTAATTATAATTAACTATAGTTAATTATAGTTGATTATGATTTGATTCAGCAAATTTTGACTTGATTTGATTTGATTATGATTATAATTAATTATAATCAACTATAATCATTACGTAATACTAAGAAAACTTGAATTTCTCAAGTAACTTAAAAGATTATTAAATAACTAACGGCTATATTAATAAGATATAAACAAAACTTATAGAATATATATAAGAGTATAAAGCTAGTCTAAATCGGGTATAAAAAACTGGATATCTTTCTTAGAAACCTCTTCTTTATCTTTTTTATCCTTTTTTATTTCTCTCTATTTTGAGGGATATTAAGGTTAATTAAAGATTATTGAGACATTTTCGAATATATCGAGTAAAAATAAGTAAATTTATAGTCGAAAGCTTCTTAATTGGAGCTATAATTATTGAGATATTTATATATAAAGTAAAGGGAGAAGAAAGTAACCTGAGGAAAATCTCTTATTTATATGTAAATCCTCTAGAATATAGAAGATTATTTAATAAGCGTCTAATTAGATATAACCCTCTAATTTTAAAGCGTCTATTTATGAGAGAGCCTATTTTTAGCTAATTTATTTATAATAATAAGATTTATAAGGTGGCGAAGAATTACTAGAAAATCGAGGGATTTTAGCGCCTTCGGCTCGCGCCGCTTCGCTTACCAAGCAGCGCGATACCCGATTTAGTAAGGAGCGCCTTAAGCGATACCGGATACGGACTAGTCTAAGCCTAATTTTAGCCTTATCTCGCTTTCGAACCTCCGAGCGTACGTGCACGCTCACGTGACTAAATAATTAACTATAATCAACTATAGTTGATTATAGTTGATTATGATTTGATTAAGTAGATTTTGACTTGATTTGATTTGATTCAGAGGCTATAATAGTCGGACTTCACGTCACGCTAAAGGGGCAAAGGGAAGGGCCCCTTTAGTCGCGACGTTAAGTCCGACTATTAATCAAATCAAACTAAATCATTTGACACACTGTTCTGCCCTAATTTCGCACCCTGTAGAGCACCAAGGGTCAAAATGCCCTGTATTCCCGATACTTTACGTCGTTGTCTTCGACACCTATCGTCTCTAGAATTCAACGAAAGGTCCCTCTCATTTTCTAACTCGATATGAAATAGTGCTCTGTAGCTTTTTCCAAACTGCAAGACAATTTCTCTCGAGGAAGCAGGAAATGCAAAAATCTGCAGATGAAGAGATATTTGTCTATGGTCGCCTAGGAGAGAAGTTTCGGGGTTCAGGCCTGGGACTCTGGGAGGCACAATTGAACAAAGATGTGCAATGCCCTCTCCGCGGCTCCGCCTAGAAAATACGATGAATCGCCGATGATGCGATGATAGGGTGAGGGTACATTTTCTTTTTTAGCAGGATCGTTCGATCTCTCATATGGACCTTGATTGATTGATTGATTTAGTCATAGAATGCAGAGCCTCCTGAAGTGGCTATAAAGCTGAGCCTAAATCTCCAATATAATATACAAAGGAAAGACCATGGTTTCTTCTGAAATAACGAGGCACTAAGACCTCGTGGCTCTCGTAACTGTCCAGACTTGATCCCCCAGCGAGGCAAGTAGGACAATCGTAGTAAGGGACTCGAATATAATATAGCCGTCCGTATACCTGGTGGAACTACCTGCTTATTATATCAAGAGTATAGAACGGGCTAAGCCTCTTATTCTATCCCCTTAATATAAATCCAAAATAGTATAATATTTGGCCCGTATTACTACTATCTCCATATACAAAGGCCTTATTAAGACGTGCGTTTAACAGGTTTCCGTTAACCAAACCATCCTCTAAGATAAGAGACCCCAAAACAAGCTCGCTTTATACTCTTACCCTCCCATATTTACGACCAGGGGCCCTAGTAGACAATACCGTTGCTGAAGCCGGAGATACGTATCTCCTCAAAAGAGGCCCTCGTATCTATCCCTTAACTAGCTTCTCTCTTGTCTTAAGCGTATAGAGTAATTAATTACAGGCTTATTCTGCCCATAAATACGTCTTTCCTTTACTGGGCCTTATACCTCGCTTTCCCGAGCCTTGTATATTCAACGTATATATATATATCGAGGGAAGTCTACTAGACCTTCCCTATTAATCGGTGGTTTGTTTATATAAATCGAGTATCGTGGATTCGGCGATCGAGAGAGGAAAGGATAATCGTGGGCGCGCTCTCACTAGCGTATCGATATTATCGTTGATCGTGATCGTGGTCTCTGGCAGAAGACTTGTCGTGATCGTTCTGGTGTTGTTAATCGTAGTGTCAATGGAGCGGTGGACGAGGTCGCTCACAGGGGCGCGTATAATCGATCGTAACTCAATCTTAGCCCTCTAGATACTATCTCGATAATAGTACTAAAGGTTTCCAGCTTGCACCACGCGGAGGTATTGAGTCGTCGCAAGCCCTCATATGGACCTTGAACTTACGTTAAGGCACAATTAAGTTACTTTGTTGGCCAGAATGCTATTTTTCTATTCCGAATTTATCTTTGACATTTGTACATATCAGCAAGATAGTATTCTAAATCTATATGCTTCATGTAAATGCACCGTTCAAACCCTCCAAACTTTTATATAACTTCAGATACCCCATTGAATAACCAGATATCTACACATTTATCCATATGCAAAACAATAATAACATAAATCCCAGAATTTAAACGCCAAACTTTTTTTTCCCTCGCCTGAACTCCAAACATAACACATTTGAGGAAAATCCCTCACCGAGCAGATACACATGTCATATATATGCATACATATAACAAAAGATTTTCGCAACCAACGCCATGGTCATATCACAACTTCTCCATCGACACTTCCCTATAATATTCTCCCGTTTCACGATCACGAAAACAGGCATTATCTTGACAGAACTTATGCCTCTTGTCTTGTCGTTTCTTTAATTGACCTCTGGACAATTTTCTATCTGCGTAATTGGCTTCCCACGCCGGTGCGGGAATAGTCGTCCGAGTAGGTGCAGGCAAGAGAACCCGTGGTGGCGGCTGCTGGAGTAAATTATCGTGGATGACAGTTGGTGTAGGTACAGGCAAGAAAATCCGTGGTGGCGGCTGCTGGAGTAAATTATCGTGGATGACAGTTGGTGTAGGTGAGTGTGGGACAAGGGGCAGCAAAGACGTCGGCGAAAACGGACGTGCTTCTTCGCCATTGCTGCGTGAAGATCGAAGATCTCTATGTGGAGATGGTGAATAATTGAGCTCGGTACTGGGAAGCAACAGGTATTAGTAGCCTAATTTGTGAGTGGATGAGTAACAAGCTTACATTGGTGATCTTTGACGATCCCCAATAACGGTCCGGGCTTCTGAACCATTTTCAGAATGCTCGTCATAATCCGCCTCTGTTTGTCCCTCCAACAACATATTCTCCGATTCCTTTGCTAACTTTTCCCCTCGTAATTTCAAGGTTTGAGATTGGGACAAAGGCGGTGGTGTTTGGGAAGCTGCCGTGTATGTGGGAGGAATCAAAATTCTCAAAGCTACCATGATATTGAGAACAGCTCTGCATTGAGCAGTAAAATCACGGTCATATTTTGGGCGTGGCTGCACCAACTGGATAATCCTGCCGCCAAGTCTCCTCGTCGCTTTCTCCCTCCTGCAGAGTTTCGAAAGTATGATGATACTAGCGTTGTCGAAAAGAGCGTGCACATCATCGTAAGGAAGCGATGTACCTTGAACGACAGATAATTTCCACTGATACCAGTATCGGAGGCATTCTTGCATCTGTGTGCGTCGATGCTCACTTTTGTGCTTCAAATGTAACATAGAAACCAACAAAGTATCGAGAGCGTCATCTGGCTCATTGTGTAGCCGTTCGTGTTTCTTCTGATACTTGCCTTTGTGGGTTTCGAGTACCGCAAGGAGCTTGTGGTAGGCATTTTTGACTGAAGCGGATTCGTCGTCCATTTCAGCAGTAGATTCTAGAAATGGTGTCCGAGGGTAGGTGTCAAGTTTGTGAAGATTGCCTTCTGCTGTCACATTAGTATCTTGCCAGACCTCGATCATGACTTCCGCTTCCTTTATGATGGCCGTGAGTTCCATGTTGTTTCTGAACGAGCTATTCTCAGCTGAATGTTGAAGATTTTTAAGGGCTTGGATAAAGTTGGGGACTTCATCTGGGCCCTGAGCCGCCTGTTAGCAAATAATAATGACTTGCTAGGATTTTCACTTACAATTATAAGATCATTCAATTTTTCCACCTGAACAAACTCTTCCCAGCGCGGTGCCCCAACGTCCGTCCGGATCATGTCATCTTCGAGAAAATGCTGAACAACGACGGATTGGTACGTTTCGATTTGAATCGAAGAGGTAATGTCCATATCAAATCTTGAAGGACTCTGCTCATAATGTACTCGGAAGCTGTCAAATGGTTGCATACGCTCGGGGACCTCGTCAAAGATGCCCCTGAAATCGTTTCGACGAAGGGCGCGAGAGACACGAGGAGGAATCGAAAGGGGCTCGTAGCGGCCGTGTTCCTGCTTGTCGGGCAAGAAAATAACGTGCTGCATCGTGCAAGGTCGAGATTGCATTTGAGTGTTCCAAGAACGCACGCCTAACCAATGCCAGAAGTTCTCGTCCAGAAAGGTCCTTTCAGAATCTTTGAGTTGCCCTGCTATTACTTCTCGACGTCCGTTATACCCGCAAATGCCAACTTTGCACATATGCGACAGTTCGAAGGAACCATTCGGGAAAAGAATTACGCACTTTTTGTACAACTCTCGAGCCTTCTGGAAAAGTTCAAGGACATCCTGCGACTGGCCACTCAGTGATTCTGCGCTATCATCGCCGTCGATCAGTAATGCGTTCCAGTTCACCATCACATGAGCAATGTTTTGAAACTCAGGCGACTCTTCCCTTCGCTTCTGTCTTCCACTAAATGCCATACGCAGATGTAGTTGAGAGTCATCAAAAGACAAGTAGGTTTGGGGCAATTCGGGTGCCCAACTAATGAAGTCTTCCTCCCCATCTCTTGGTCTATCGGATGTCGATATGACCGCAGGTAAAGCGTTCACCACAAGAAGTGGTTCATTACGTTTGATCCCGTTGCCTGTATTTGATTTAACCAACCATTTGTTGATTTCAACAAGAGTCTTTGCATTTTGAAACCACGAGAAGGCGTTGCTTCGACGATAAGTTGGAGAGCCGAAGAACGAAGACGGTGTTCTGCCCTCCAAAAGTGTTTGGATGATTCTGCGATCTCCATAACGACGAGCAGAACGGTAACTAAGAAGTTTTGTTGCTTCTCTTGCGGGTACGTGCCGAGGGGCCAAATGAGCATAGTCCAAGGCTCTAGGCTTCTTCCAGGGAAGCAGATGGCGAAGCGTCAAACCTAAGATTGCTAGATCAAGTCGCGCATGCCGACAGACGACCTTCAATACTGACGCTAGAGATAGAACTTTGTTTCTGGCAAACAACAACTGGAGGTTCTGTTTCCCGCGAATGCCCTCCAACAACGGCCAAGCTCGCATGTTCCAGTCACTGACAATAAATCTTGCCACAATCAGCTCCAAAAGCCTTACGTTGGGGTTTTGGGCGGGTAGGTCTATCGCCTTTGAGTCTAGCTTGTCCAGATCTAAATCCCCGGGGATGTCTATGTCCATGAGATCTTTGTCGCAGATCACTACCGCCTTACTGGTCGAGAATATGTCATTGATCTCGTCGATGATTTTCTTCCTTACGGGCTGATGCTCCTCCTCTCCAGGAATGCAGGAATTATCGATCCAGTAGGATTTTCCTCCAAGTTCTGTTGAGATTGCTGCACACTGCTCATGCCAACAACGCGGAATTCCATCGTCAGGACTGCCCTCTCGACCGTGAGCGGTGACGTGGGAAAAGGCTATAGTGCTGGAGGTAACAGCCGTGTAGCAGAGCTTGTTGCTTTGGAGCGCCAAGCATACAGCCCTTGAATTTAGCGCAATATATGCAAGCTCTTCGTCTACGCATTCAATTTCCACATCAGCTGAGGTATCGTCCTCGTGAGCAGTCCTGCCGACGGCATGCCACGATTCCCGGTCCCATGTGATTCTAGCGCACGTTTGTGAAGCGCAAGCTGTGATATGCTGCCCTCGAGGAGGGTTCTCGGCCCTGTTACAAAAATGTGGCGAGGATCCATGGCATGAGGAATGGTCGATGCACCTTCCGAATGTAGTCGCAGATTGTCGGTATACCTCAAGAAAGTAACGGAAGTCTTGAGGAACGAGCGCGGAGTCGTTTCGAAGTACCAACCATGCCCAATTACAGATGTCGTCGGGCTTGTCCCCTTCAAGATCAATCTTCTCCACACCCTTGAAGAGATTCACCGCCTGTAGGCGTAAAAGCCGGGCTTGACTAGTTGGGTTGAATCCTCTTCTCAAGTTGCCGTCTAGTAGGCTATGAAGGTGCAGCATTGTTGCGCGCTGCCACGAGCTCCACAAGAAGGTGATCACAACTAGCCAATAATTCTCATCTTGTTTAGGGGAAGATAGCAGATGCTTGAGTGCCTCGTTGATGAGATGTGCCGAAGCGTTGATGTAGGGTAGGATGTTGGGCTTGATTTCAATTTCGGATCTCAAAGTTTTGAGCGAGGCAAGACGGACTTCTCGCGTGGCAGGGACCCGAACGATGTCAAGTTTGCTCCATTCCGAAACGCTTGTAAGATTCCCGAGCCTGGGTCGCGAAGAACCTATTCGTGACAACATATCGCTGGGAAGCTGTCGAGGATGAACGGGAAGTCTCTTCAGGAGACTATCGATCTCACCTACGTAGTCATTTCTTTCTGAGCGAGGAAGTGGGTCGTGCTTGGTTTTACTATCGAGAGCGACTGGCATGAGCATGGTGTAGGCTTTGTCTAGCTCTTCAAAGTAGAAATTATGTCCTATCAGGCTTTGGTGATCTGAGTTGAGGCTCGTGGGAGATATGAATCCCGATGCATCGCTCCCGCGGCGTTGAGTTACAGCAGACACGGCTCTGTATAGTGACCGACAGCCATCCTCGATTGCAGTCTTGAGTCCTCTGTAGTTTTGGTCAGTGTTCGATTAACCGAAGCAGAACTGAAGACTGACAAAGGAAATTCGTTCTTTTTGAGCTCCTCCTTGAAGTCAATAAGACATGGCCGGAAGGTCTTCGTCACCCCATGTCCGTACTTTCCCGACAAGCTAGAATCACTTGTCACGCCGGAGCTGTCACTCTTGACACTGGCATCATCTCTGGTCTGACTCCAAGACATGGCCATACTATTGTCCACTTCCGAGGCATCCCTCATGGTGCTCCATCCCATCTTGCTCTTTACCAGCCTCTCGAGTTCATCCAGTAAATCGACACTTTGGGACCGTGCAGACGAAATGTTGGAGCTTGTGGATGATGATGAGTAGGCATGGCTTGCGGGAAGCTGAGGTGGGGATGTGAGACTGTGCCCAGGTGAGCGTTGCGGCGATAACAGCCTTGGAGATCGTAAAGACTGGGGCGACCTGGACATATCTGGGGAGTTTGGGGTACTTCGTCTCGTTTCGAAGTCAGGCCAATGAGTTGGCAACCTTGTCGCGGCTCCAAAAATATATTTCGAGCGTGATTTTGAAACCTTTAGAATTCAATTCAGGCAGCATGAGGTTCTGGGGGCTCTAAATAGTGCACTGTGATTGATTGGCGATTGGGATTGCTGCGAAAACATTACGACAGATGCCCGCACTCGAAAGATAGCGAATTCTGACCGGGTCGAGTAAAAAAAGAAAAGATACGTTTAATTCAAACAGGTAGAAGACTTCGTCCGGTATCTGGCAAGAGCCTCGGCAGTGACTCAGTGCCACGCCAGCACCGCACTGACTCGAGCAGTTAACCTTAAACATGGGCTGCAGCAAATTGCGGTCACGGTAAGCAGCGCACTAGGTTAACCTATCCAATAGGCTGCTGTAAAGGGATACGGAGTAGATTACGTAGAACCCTGGCAAGGGGCACGGGGCAGACTGCGAATTGATCCGCAACGAGAGGTGCGAAATTGTATTTTGGGGCGTTTCAGCCCCATCTGATATTGAATCAACCCTACTCCCGCCGCCCCCCCCCTAATAAATGTAATAGTGGGTCCCCCAAAACCAGCCTGGCACGGTCCAGTTGCCATACCAAAAAAAAACCCCTGCACTTTGACCCGCTGTTACATTCAATTAGGGGGGGTACAAAAAGCCCCAAGGAAAGCCTGGCCTCGGCGAGCAGGGATGGGCATCCCCTGCCGAGTTCAGGCATACTTTTCGGATTCAACAGCAAAAACAACAGCAAAAGAAGAAGAAAAAAGAAGAAGAAAAGGCCGACTGAGGCTGAGACTGAGGCTGAGACTGAGACAGCGACCTGCCCGTCACCACCGCGAGACTCTGGAGGTAACATAAAATGAAACGAGTGCATTCATGTGATCGGAACACCATTATGCATCTTCCATGCCTGCGACAGCTCTCTTTATGATCTCAACAGCGGTTTCAACTTGTGCTTTCTGCTGACAGATTTGCGCCTCGTCGGAAGGCGTCAGTAATGTCTCGCCGGTGATTTGTGGCGTTGTGGCAGAGTGCCCAAGACGCTCTAAAAGGGTATCTCGCCTGAGACTGGGGACAATGATACTGTCCATCCACTGCCTGCTCCGGGCTCCGCTGAAGCTGTGAATGGCACAAATCATTTGGGTTCGCCGTCCAAAATGAAAAGTCCTTGCCTCTACGCCAATTCCGTGTTTGTTCATCCAGTGCTTGGCAAGATGGCGATCTTCGAATTCCCACTCCGCGAACCAGGAAACAAGCATCATCAGCACCATTACAGCACCGTCCCAGCCTCGATGCGCTGCAGCGAAGGCCATTGCGATAACTTGCAGAATATGCGCGAGCTGGAAATAGTTGGCCAGTAAGGCGCTCCTCGGCTCAACACGAACCATATCTTTGTTCAAGAGGTGGTCCACCACTCCCCGATCACCAATGTACAAGTACCAGACACTTGCATTTCTATGCGCTGCTACCAGCATACACGCGTCGTGCTTTTCATTGTTCTCAAGGAAACTCAGTGGCTTCTGGATATTCGTAAAGCGACAAGCAATCTTGGAAAGAACGCCGATGAGTAATGCTGCCATGGTGGCATAGAGCTGGCAAAACGCCATAACTGCGGCACACCCTAGGAGGGCAAGATATGCAAGATTCTGGACATGGACCGACTCAATGGCCTTGCAGTACCAGCTTATATTTGGCTGTCTCCTGCTGACCTGGAGCACATGAAGCTCTTGCCCTCGATAAAATACTGGGCTAGTAACTTTCTCGACCATGGAACTTGAAATAGACCCTTCCTTCTCCGGCCGAGATGACTGGAATGATCCCCGAGACGCGTTGGTGGCGATCGTTGTTCCTTCCACGTCTCTTACCATAGAGCCTTCTACAACCTGGCGACTTGCATTGCCAGATGCGGACGTCTGGATTTTCTCGCGGCGTCGCGACTCCTGAATTGCGTAGGATGCGATGATGGTACCAGCTGCACCATTCGCGCAAGGGAAGGTGCTACCCCAGTTGACGTCCCAGACTTCTTGTGTTCCGAGCGAGTCCACTCTGTCGAAGAACTGCGGACCCTCTTTCAGAAGTGTTGCTATGTTTTTGAAGACTCCGAGCCGGGGGAACATGGAGACAGACAACCTGTGTGTCAAGGCTGCAGCTCCAACCAGTTGGAACGCATATCGAGGGCTGGCGAGGTGGCAAGCGAGTGGGATGATGCCTGCGAATTGAGAAAGTAAATCGGGAGTGGAGGCAACGTCCATCTCTATCATGGATCGAAAAATGATGCTTCTCATCTTGACGCAAAGGGCTGCAACCATGTTAAGGAGATTCTGAATCGGCAAAGGGAGTAGCATCGTTGTATAAGTGCTAGACTTTGCATTGGGTAGGAATGGGGTAACACAAGGCTGGAATGCGACTTCGACCGTTGCTTAAGTACTTGAAGTTGGATGGGAGGAACGGCCAAAGGTGGTGCAGATGTCGGGCTATTGGTCTTGGGAAAATCGATGTGCAGATGTAAGGGGTGATGTTTGGACGCCACCTGCAACATTCGGCGACGTCGCGCAGACCCCAACTCAATCAGACTCTGTCCTTGGTCTGGTAAGCCGACAACAAGGCAGATGTTGAGACCGCACATGATGGTTCAAATGTACTCGGTGATCATTTTGCCGCCTTCTATTCGTTAGCGCAATACGCAGTGCGTTGCATTGCGTTGCGTTGCAGGCATCCTCACCGCTCTGTGTTGACTCTTCGGAAGGCTCTTGAGAGTCGCTGAAAGATGTTTTGCTTCCGCATTTACTTCCGCAGAGTGGGGAGAAGACAGCTCGCCATTTGTGAGCAGTATCTTATGACAGTAGGCGCCTCGTAGAACTGGGCAGTCCAGATCTAGCCTCCTAACAAACTGCCCGTCCATCATGGATTATCCCACCCATACAGTTTTCTTGAGAACCGCCATTCGAGCTGTCCTTACTAACGTAAGGGCCTGTCCTGCCAATCTCATATGCGCCATTATCCGTTGCGCTGCTCCAGGGATGAAGTTCGCTTAAATCAAGGAAATATATTAAAAATCCCACTTTTCCAACTCCTATTAATCCCTAGTATGTTAACAAATTTTGAAGTAAACATACTATATATAGTATAGAAGGTTGTCTAATAGTTTATTAGAGCAATGATATTCGATATTCGTTATTTCTTTATAGAAGGTTATTTGAGTTCAAATTTAGTGTCACGTGCAAGTGTCACGTGACCTTACATTCGCTTATTTTACCGAGCACCCGAGCCTTCAGCTCCAGATTATCTCAATTATATTACATACACCCGCATTTACTACAACATTTAGTACGAAAATCGTAAGCGAACTTGCCCCTGGTGGCAGCACAATGAATATGTCATATAGCAGTCTAAAGCTTCGATTATTAATCTTCCCACGGCTATTACAAGTCTTATATATAAAGGCTTTATTTAAAATGACATAAAACTAATGTCACGTGTGTGAGGTCACGTGACTACAGTCCAGCCATTTAATCGTAATTAGGCGTATTCACCTGTGGTAAATACTGTGGTCTTTTGGCCCAGTGAACTGTGGTGCGAGCCTAATTCTCACATGTTATAACTGTCACGAAACCGGGCTCTGGGCTTGGAAAGCAGGCAGAGTGGCTCTTAATCCGAGGATTCTAAACTAAGGAGGGAAGCTCGTAAGTACAGGAGCTTTGGTGTTCTAAATACTAGCCAGCCGCATGCGTTATCGCGATCACGTGACGCTAAATTTACTAGTGAAGCGGTAGAGTGTAACAATAACTAAGATATAAATCGCTCTTTTAATATAATTTTTAAAGCTAGTTGCGACTAGTTTTTAATTAAAGTAAGCCCTATATTTACTTTTGTCGCAGTGAGAATCACTGAATTGGGGCTAGTGTGATTACTCTGCTTAGTCAGGATCTGTATACTTATTTCCTAAAGCTTTACACTTTACTCAAGCTCTTTTCTAGTTAGTTCAATTAACTCTTTTACTATTTAATACAACTTCCTACTCTGCGATCTTTATATATATTAACTTTATATCACAAATAGCAAGGAATAGTAATTTGTATAAATAGTTATCTAATTAGAAGAAGCTCTAAAGGAAGCCTCTGAATCTAGCTAAATAAAAGGGGCCGCTAAGTAAGTAAAGCTAAGCTCCCTAGTACCCGTATCTATATAATACTTTATAATATTTTATTTATAATATAAATTCTTTATAACTTTAAAAAAGAAAAGCACATAATTTAAATTTTATCTTAATTTAAACCTCTTTATTTAATTATTTTTATTATAATATTAAGATTATTTTCTTTATAATTATTATTTTTACTTATATAATACTCTAATTTTTAAAATTCTTTCTTTGAAATATATATGCCTTATATATACTCTTAAAATACTTTAATTATAACTTTAACTTTATTATTAAATTAAATTCCTCGAGCTTTAGATTCTTTTAAAATTATAAACTTGGTATTAAATTTCCACGTTATTTATTATATCTCACTCATTTTCCTACTACTCTCATTTAGTATTAAGCTTAAGATAACCTTAACTAACTCTGCCTCCTAATTAAATATACTTACTAACCTGAAATACTTAGCCTTTAAATCTTGTTTACCTCCTCTCTCTAAGCTAGTATAGGCTCTAATAAATTATTAATCGGGATTATTAATTAGTAATTATTATTAGCTAAGTAATTAATAAATAATTAATATTAATAATTATTATTAATAAAAGTGGGCCCAGTTATTAAACGAGCCCTATTATAGCTTTCTAGTTTAATTATAAACTAATTAGTATTAAGATTAATATAAAAGTATACTGTTATTACTATATTATTAGACTTTTTAACTTTTTATTTAATAGTCTATTATATAATATAGACTAGCTAGTATTTAATCTAGTTATTAATAATTCTATTAATAAAAGTGGGCCCAGCTATTAAACGAGCCCTATTAAGGCTTTCTAGTTTAATTATAAACTAATTAGTATTAAGATTAATATAAAAGTATACTATTATTACTATATTATTAGACTTTTTAACTTTTTATTTAATAGTCTATTATATAATATAGACTAGCTAGTATTTAATCTAGTTATTAATAATTCCATTAATAAAAGTAGGCCTAGCTAGCTATTAAGCAAGCCCTATTACCTTAATAATTATTAATAAAAGTAAGCTTAGTTAGCTAGTAAATTCTATTATATAAATATCTCGCTTTCTAGTTTAATTATAAACTAATTAGTATTAAGATTAGTATAAAAGTAGACTATTATTACTATACTATTAGACTTTTTAACTTTCTATTTAATAGTCTATTATATAATATAAACTAGCTAGTATTTAATCTAGTTATTAATAATTCCATTAATAAAAATAGGCCTAGCTAGCTATTAAGCAAGCCCTATTACCTTAATAATTATTAATAAAAGTAGGCCTAGCTAGCTATTAAGTAAGTCCTATTATATAAATATCTCGCTTTCTAATTTAATTATAAACTAATTAGTATAAAGATTAATATAAAAGTAGACTATTATAAATATACTATTATACTTTCTATTTAATAGTCTATTATATAATATAGACTAGCTAGTATTTAATATATAATACTAAGATTTATATTACTATTTCTTCTAAAAAAGATTAAAATTTTTATATTTTCTTTTATTTTTTCTTTAATATATAATAGTATTTTATCTTCTATTATTTAAATATAGCTTCTAAATCTGCCTTATTAATCTATTAAGCCTTTACTAATATAGATTTAACTTAATTCAAATCTGATTTTAAACGGGAAGAATTTATAAAAGCTATTTAGGCTTATACTTATCTCGAGTATCTAGATATAGGAGAATTACCTAAATACTACTATTATCTTTCTTATAAAAAATAAAATCTATTAAATATTTATTTAACTTTAGTCTTTACTAATTAATATAATTATCTCAAGTTAATATATAATATTACTATTAAAAGTAAATTAGAAATTAGTTTATTTTAATTAAAAGTAATTAACTAGCTATAATAGCTTTATTTATAAATAGAGTTATCTAGCTAAATAACTAAAATTAATATATATATCTTTTAATAATACCTTAATTAAGTAGTAATTTATAAAGCTTTAATTTTATTAATTATTATCTATAATCTATCTTTTTAAATAATTAAATAGCTCGAATTTTATATCTTTTATTAAATACTTAATCTAGAATCTTAGTATTTTCTTTCTATAACTTACTTTTATATAAGAAAAAAGCTTAGGAAATACTAGATTAGCTTAAAAGATATTATATAATAAAAACTCTAGTTTATAGTTTCAAGTATTTATTTTACTTTTAATATCTAGACTTCTTTATAAGAATATTTTCTTTTAGATATTATTATATATTTTATTAAATAATAAGATAAGAATTATATAAAGGCCCTTCTAGCTCTTTATATAGTACTAGGATATTTAGGAGAAAACTAATTTATAGTTTTATAACCTATACTTTAAAACTATAGTATTATTAAATAACTTAAAGCTATTATTAGTAATAATACTAGTATAAATAATATATTATATCGAGCTATTTAGGCTTATTTATTAAGGGAAAAAGAATTAGAATAAGATACTTTATAATAGTAAGTTTATTATTTAAGATATATTATTAATCTTTTTATATAAGCCTTTTTATTTTATAATATTTTTATAAATAAAGAATTAGAGGCACTTAATAAGTAAGAAAACTTGAGAGATTTAGAAGCCTTATTAAGTAATAAGGAAAAACAAATAAAATTTCGACTTTTAGGACTATTAGGCTAGCTTTATAATATTATTATATATATTTATTACTTTCCTAGTCGGATTACTAGATTTAAAGCTCTTATTAGAAGAATAATTCCTTTTAATAATTAAATATAATAGAATAGCTAGTATATAATACTTAATATTATTCTTTAGTAATATACTTATTTTAATACCTATTATAAGAAGTATCTTATAGATCTGAAATTAGATTATCTTAGTTCAGAAAACTAGAAAAGGCTTTAGATAATTTCTATTTTTTTTAAACTATTCTATAGAGCTATTCTTAAGACTTAAGGAAATACTATAACTATTAATTAGGTACTTTTTATAATAGATATTTTAATTCGAATATTTAATAAATTACTAATAAGTAATAATTTTTATACTAATTTTTATACTAATCTTTATATTAATCTTTATACTAATCTTTATACTAATCTTTATTACTTGAATTAATAATACTAACTATAATATAATAGAATATATATATAAATAATAAAGACTTTTATACTCGAATCCGGAAAGAATAAGAAATCTTTAATATATATTACTATAAGTCTAATAATATATCTCTTTATACTATTATTCTTATACTTTATTCGAATTACTATATAAAGTATATTAGAACTAATTAGGAGAAAAGATAGGTTTAGCCTACCTTAACTAAAGTTAAAAAGCTTTAGGAGAAATATTAAGATTAGATATCTACCCCTAATAATTTAGTACTAGTTAAGGAAATTAAATAGCTAATAGAGAGAGAACTAGATAATTTTAATAAGATTATTTAGATATTAGGGAAATATATATAGCTAGTAAATTAAGACAAATATAAGAATTATTATTAGAAAGAGCTATATAATATTAGGGACTTATTTATACTTTAATAATAGTATTAAGATATATAAAGAAAGTACTAACTAAAGCTCTTATTTATAATAATTAATATTTTCTTAATTTTAGTAATAAGTACTAAAGTAAAATAAATCTTTTTAGGTACTTATTATATAGTATTATAAAATAGGACCCAAATAATAGCTAAGATTTTAGAAATAATAGAATACTTAAAATATTAGAAAAGAAGTAGAATTTTAAGTATTTTTATTAATACTAGTAAGAAATAGTAAGATTAGTATAAAAATTAGTATAATTGCAATTATTTTCTTTATAATTTATAATTACTAGTATTTTAAAGACCTAATATCTAGCTAATTACTACTTTTATTAAAGAAGTTTCTTAAATATTATTAAGTAGCTATAGTATTTTCTATAACTCATAACTTAGAGTTAGATAAGAAGATATATTAGTATAAGCTATTTTTTAGCTTCTTTCTAATATATATTAGTAGTATTACTACTTTATAGCCTTTTCGAGATTTAGTAGAGAAATAAAAGCTAGTAGTATTTAACTTAGTCTCGGATTCTGGCTACTAAATAATAGAACTAGAAAAGTTAATTCATTTATTATTTCCCTATATCTAACTAGCTAAGTTTCTCTAAATAGCCTTTTTGCCTAGTATAAAGAATTTAGTAAGACTAATAAGTATAATATAATTATTATATAATAATTAGTAATTAATATAAAAATAAGTAAAATTCATACTTACTATATAATAATCTAATCTTATAGAATAAGAATCTTTTTTTCTTTTATTAAGTTTCCTATTATACTATAAACTTAATATACTTATATTTCTATTTTAGTTAGTTTTATACTAATTTTTATACTAATCTAAAAAGAGGTTATATACCTTAGCTAAAGCTCTTTATATACTATTAGCCTTTTCTTTTATTTTATTTTCTAAAACTTACTTAATCTTTTTCTCTTAATTAAGCTTTTTCTTAGTTTTCTATATTTCCTTAAATTATATATTATTCTCGGAATTATATTTAATGTTTTCTTATACCGGGTTACTATTATCCTAAGCTATATATAAGCTATTATACTTACTATAGCCAAGTAATTATTTAACTACTTTCTAATTCTTTTTTTATTATTCTCTAAAGCCAGATTAATATAAAGATTAGTATAGAAATATTCTGAAAATACTTTCTTAATTTAATACTTATAGTAAACTTCTATACTATTTCCTATTATCTTAATAATAAAGTACTTTTATATATTACTAAGCTTATTATCTTATATTTTACTACTATAATTATATCTTAATTTATTACTTTTACTTTCTTAATCTTAATATAAATAGGGTTTTTTATAAAAGCTTTATTATACTTATATATTTTTATAGTATTTGGGTTTTAAAATAGATTCGTTAGTACTTTTCTCTTATAAGTAATAGTATAAATAGATCTAATAAAAGAAGCTAGTTAAGATACTATATTAATATAGCTATTATCTTATAATATTATAATTAGTATAAAGATTAATATAATATAAGTATAGACTTACTTTAGGCTCTAGAAATAATTTAATAATAATTACTAATATTTTATAATTACTAATATATTTAATATACTAATTATAGTTTATTATTATAGAATATACTATAAGAATAATCTATATAGAGATTAGTAAATTAATTAGTATATTAGAATACTAACTTATAGGTTATAATATAGAGTTATATAGTAATATAATTAAGTAATTAAGAAGAGATTAAAAAGTAAGTAAGGTAAAGTAAAATAAAATTAACTTTATAATATAAAATAATTTACTTTTAAGATATATGAATTTTTTTTAAGCTATTACCTTATTCTTTTCTATTATTTTACTTTAGCTAATACCTTTCTTTTAATTATACTACTTTAATCTCTTAATTAATCCCTTAATTAACTTCTTCTATAATATATTTCTTAATTTATATTAATTACTATACTAATTAAGATATAGTAATTATAATCTCTAATTAATTATTTAACTATAGTATGAATTAAGTAAACTAATAGCAAGTATATTACTTCTAGGAAGGCTTTTATAAGCAAGGCTCTAAGAAAGATACTTGGCAGAAAAGATTATATTCCTGCTATTATATAAAAGAAGAGAAAATATAGGTTTAGACCTAGTAGTTAGTTAATTAGTAAAAATATTAGTATATCTACTAACTGGATTTATAGCCAAGGCCCTTTAAGAAATTAGAAAATATTAGAGAAGTACTAATTTATTAATTCCAAAGGTACTATTTTATTAATTAGTAAAGGAGATTTTGGCTCAGGAAAATAAATAAAATATATATATCCAAGCTTTAGCTTTATATACTTTATAAGAGTCTGCAGAGGCGCTTCTTATTATGGAGTTTAAATATAAGTTATTTTTCTTAATTATACTAATTTTTATACTAATCTAATTCTAGTAATAAACCTTATAGCTATTTATATAAAGCGGGTTACTATCTAGAAAAAGAATATAAAGCTAGTCTAATAAATGAGATTAGGAATAATAGATATTAGTAAGGTTAGCGAATGCCTTATAATAATACTATAGGATAGTTAGTTTACTTGGGTTACTAGCAAAGTAATTAGGTCAGGTATTAGGGAATTAATCTTTATATCTAAGGCAAAGCAGTTAGCTAGCTATTAGATTAATAAAGCAATAACTCAAATTATTACTTTTTTAATATATCTCAAATTAGTTATATTCTTTAAAGAACTAGTATAAAGATTAATTAATTAATTAATTAATTGGAATAGAGAGCAGGAGGGGTAGATTCTGCCGGGCCCCTCACCGCCTAGAACGATAATTATCGATAATTATCGATTATTGACAAATTAGCGCGATTATCTAATCATCGCTTATCGAGCTTATCGGAGCCCACACTGCTCTGAGCCTCACGATCTTGAGGAGAAATCACATCAGCCGTCGTCTCTTGGACATGCGTGTTATACAACTTCTCGTTAATATTCGTCGAAGCATGAGCGCCTTCCTCATCGATGTGGGCTTTTGCGAGTTCCGTGACGCCGAAGCTGTTTTGGTTAGCACTCTCCCCTCCCTTGATATTTCACTGATGAAGGTCGAAGGAGCAGGACATACATATCATCCATCCTCTCAAGACTCATTCCCTTCGTCTCCGGGATCAGGAACCAGACGAAGAAGAACATGGCGAAGCAGCAGGAGCCAAAGAAGAAATATGTGCCATAGCCCGCTTTGCCCATATGTCCGTCCTTAAGCCTATATTCTCGTTAGTCCGCGCCCGCAATCCCCTCTCCTGGGATAAAAGAAGAAACTCCACTTACATATGCGGGACGGCCTGAGCAACAACGAAGTTGAAGAGCCACTGAGTCGCGGCCGCGAGCGCCACATTCATAGCTCGCAGTCTTGCAGTGGGAATCTCGGAGACGATAATCCAGCAGCATGGGCCCCATCCGAATTGGAAGAAGGCGGCGAAAAAAAAGATGCAGGAGAGGGCGAAGTAGCCAACGGGAGGGATGGGGTGGCCTTTGACTGGGGGATCGAAGCGCACGTAGAAGCCGATGACAAACATGGCACATCCTTGGGCGATGGAGGTCCAGAGTAGAGACCGTCCTGTGGGATGTTAGAGGCATATGAGAATGTTAGAGGGAGATGGGACGTACGGCGACCGAGAGAGTCGGCGGCGAAGAGGAGGAAGGCGGCACAGGTTACCATTTTGACGACGCCATAAATTCCTGTTGCGAAGAGACCAGTATTTGCGCTCTATTTGGATTTTCAGCACTGTTTTCATCTTCAAATAGGTGAGGTGATGTACAGGAATACCCAGATTCAGGAAAATGGTCGGTGCGTAATAGTTAATGGCATTTCTGAAGACAAAAGGTCAGTGATCACCCATTTACAGGCGAAGGATGTCGTACGTTCCGGTCATCTTTTCGAAGTTAGCAACGGTTTAGCAAGGGGATCTTGACTTGGGCTTACCTGTTGACAAACCATGATACCGATGGAGATAAGGGCTCGATTTCGGTTCCCCTTGATGGTCCACATCTCACGTTGAAGATCCCAAAACGTAGCCCCACCGATCAGGCGTCGCTGAAAATAATGTCAGTTTCAATCAAGAAAGCTGCAACGAGTAATATAAACCTCGTTTTCAAGTTGATCTCTCATCTATAGCTTATTAGCTGTATATCCTTGGAGTCCATCTTGAAACTACTTACCTCATCCAACTCCATCTGAACATACGGATGGTCCGGGGGAAGACTTGACCAGATTAGCCACGTCGGTTCAAAGATTCTACATATGACCAACGTACTTAGTGACCTGAGACAGGACTTCGGTGGCTCTCTCCCAATTGTCTTGTCTAGCCAACCATCGGGGAGATTCGTTGCAAAGTACGAGACCGAAGAAAAGGCAGAGGGCTGGGAGCGCCTGCATGGCCAAAGGCACTTGCCATGCAGCATTGGCCTTGTTGAGGGGTTTGAAATTTTTGTTGGTTCCCTGGAAGACGACGCTAATTAGGGATCCCTCTCTCAAGTCCACTTTAAATCATTCTCATCATCTCCAAGTGCGGAGAGGTGTGTATCATGGCAAAGAATTGATCGGGATAGGGAGACTGACATAATTGGTCCAGAAAGCAAGCATCGTTCCTAAGAGTAGGTTAGCTTCATGTCTTGGATCCAACAAAACCGTCAAAATGTACCTGTTGCAATGAATAGCTGATACAACCCAGTCAAGCCACCACGAATAGCACGGGGCGCATTCTCGCTGACCTAAGAATCAAACTTTCAGCCCTTGTTGAATATCTCAAGCTGCATAGCACTCACGTAAAGGGGGGTAAGCATGCTTGCAGCGCCCACACCAAACCCAGAAATAAGTCGGCCAAGGTAAAGTTGTGTCCTGGACAATGTCAGCGTTCGTCACACAGAATTATGGCTCTGATTGGGTTCAAGCCATACAATGATTTGAGGGTTGTAGCTTGGATGATGATGCCAACCATCGTAATACTAGCCGAAATCAACAACGCAGGCTGAGTCCCCTGTCTTAGTGATTATTCTTCCAACTAGGAGTGACTTTACCTTTCGTCCCCATCTGTCCGCCACGTAATACGCAATCAGAGAACCAAAGAAACATCCTGCTTGGAGAACGCTGACGACTGTAATAGTTAGAACCGGCTGAGAGCTCGCAGGGGCGATCGTACTGTTGCTATTGAGAGTAGAAGAGTTTGCATCTGTGAGGTGAAATTCCCTGGCGTCAATTAGCACGGACTCCCTCATTCGTAGTAGTTCGTCCAAACACACTTCATGAATGCGGGCATGACAATAATTCCTCCAATGGATCCAATATCTTGCACCCAGTCAGTATATCCCGTCTCGTCTGTGGCATCAAAACATACCCCATCCGAAAAGCATGCCTCCGAAACAGGCTTTGAAATGTTAGTTCTTGTCCACACATTGTCACACAGGAATTCTCCAGCTGACCCCCCCGCAACGGCGGATTCAAGTCGGATTCGTACCTGAGCATGCTTTGGTCCAAATCAGCAAATATTTCCAACTCATAAATTGACTCGGAATTGGGGGATTGAGTGCTTGGAAGAGAGGGGAAGATGGCAGTGATCCAGAGAAATATGCACAAAACCTACCTAATGCAAAGACCCTCCATCCGTAGATCTCGACCGGATCACTGCCAGCAAATATTAGCACCGTTCGCCCGCCCCGCTGTCACAAGCGCCACTGACTTTTTCATCGCATCATTTTTAACGATGTGCTTGAGGATATTAACCATTTTGGCGGCTAGTTTCTCGACTTCGAGGCCTGTTGGCGGTGCTCGAGAGTCGTCGATCAGACCTAATATAAAGACCAGACTTTGACAGCAACAATCCGCGAGTTCTATGAACCACTTGGTGGCGGGGTCACGAAGCGGGTGTTGAAAGTTCAAATACTCGGAGCTCTCATGACAAAAGGGTGTATATTAGGGTATTAGGTTAGCTCACTCTCGGAAAACAACTTGATCCCAAGACGGGTAAACTTCAGCCTGCATATCATCCACCCAATGGGCAACACAACCATAACAGCCATATCATACGAGGGTCCAGCGACCAATGGATTTGATTGGACATATCGGTTGTCTCCGCCGGCTGAGAGTGACCCCGGCCTTCCAGAACGCGGGGCTCCAGAGACCTCGCGTTTAATTGATGTGATTCTCATCACTTGCAGCTCTCCTGCACGACGAGGATAGAGAGGAGTGAGATGTGATTGGAGAAGTCATGATCAGCGGCCAATGCCAGAAATGGTACACGAGCGTGCATTAATAGAAAAAAAAACTCGGACAGCGAGCCTCAAAGCGTGAGGATTCGAATCTGGATATTGTGCTTGCCCGGATTAATTTGTTTGCCGTTCCAGTTGCAAACTTAGTTGGCAATATGTATATATGAAGCTTACCCGTAGTCGATGGAATCCAATGAGAGCATCCTCCAATCAATGACAAAAAGTCGATTGAGCAAATCGCACCACTTGGCAGAACTAGCCCGGATGTCCAGCACCAACTCGCATTGTGTCATTTTTGGGCCTCGGAATGGACTGCTGGAACCTTGGCGAGGATGCATGCATCCATGTGGCACCAAGTGGGTTGCACAAGATCCGACCCCGTATACAGATAACCTCATCAATCTTAGCCTTTTCGGCCGATAATGCTCAATTTGGGTCTGCACAAGGACCAGCCTGATGGTAAAGATGCGATCAATATAAAAAGCGGCGCTCTGTATTGGCCGCCAAAGCTCGATACGTGGTGGGGCTAAAATTTCATGGATGAGTTTTGCGGGCATTGATGATTCGACGACTCTTGGGGGACGTGGATGCCGATTCATTGCAGATGCTATGCCCATTCCAAATCTGCTTACCAAATGTCCCCAAAATGCCATCGTTATGTTTGAAATCAATTTGAAGATATATCAGTCATCAGCCAAGACGGTATCGCCGGCTTGGTATCCCAACCATCAAGATATGTGGACGGAGAAACATTTTCCTTCAGCGGCTTGGCATAAATAGCAGTTACATACCAAGCCGTCTCCCCCTTCTTCAACGTATGCTGCAGAGTCGGAATAATTGTTCTGCTCTCAACGAGATTCGAGTTCGGGTCAGCGTTGACATGCATCGCCGTTCGCACTGTATCTGCCTCGAGGGCTACGATTCCTACGGCACCTTTCGAGACAGCGAAAGCGCCAATTGCGCCTGGCGAATAGCCTTCCGGAGTGTTGAGATCGTAGTTGCCGATGATCTTGGGCATTGTTCCCTCGCATTTCTCGGGGTCGTAAAGATCCAGGTATCTGCCATCGGGCACTCTCTCGTTGTAGATGGCAAAAGCTCCGTCTGCGGTCATGACTTCACGACCGGCCTCGATTTTGTGGACTCGTAGGTGCCAATTTGGGGTTGTTTCGACTGGTGGGATGAGGTAAGTCTTTATCGCGACGTCGGGATATGGTTTCCAGATGGATTTCAAGACTGGGAGATCTTCATGAGTTTCGATGATAGCCTCCTGACAAAGGCGTCGAGTTTTCCAGAACTCTCCACCATCGTCCGAGAGACCGAGCTGAGAAGCCAGGGCAAACTGTTCGAGCGTGAAGCAGCCAGTCGGTACAGAGTATCCATATGCACTACTGTAAGTAAAGCCGCCGTACTTGGCATGTGTCCCCTTCATCGGATAGCTGCATGCCTGGCCAGATGAGAAAAGAAGTCGATGACCGCCAAGATAGCTGATGATATGACCCGGATGTTTCAGGGCCTTGACTTTAGGTATCAGGTGAGTGGGATATAGCTCCTCTGTCGATGTCCAAAATGGATGCTCCGGGGGAGCAGCCAAGCATATAAATGCAAGACATGCCCACATTGGACTCTGTGGGGAGTTGTAATTCTCCGCCATGTACATGTTTGGGAAACAGTATCCAATCGTCAAAGTGCCAGTCGGACTCCAGATTTGTTCCTGAGTTTGCCACCAGCGGAAATTTCTCAGCAGTAACCCCTTGACAATTCCCCACGTCAAAGGCGCTGGGAGCTCAATATCAGCGTAGGCACAAGCTCCCCAGAAACCGGCCATCGCAAAGCGGTACCCAACACTCCGGCCAAATGGGATAGCTCGTCCTTCCTCGTCGAAGTAGTGGATGAAATCCAATGCATAATCCTGTGCCCTCTTCTTGAACTCGGCAGCTTTGGCGGGGTCATCCTTTTCAGCGAGCTTCGCATAGAGCAGCTGCAGAAATTGGATGGCAAAGCTGCCACTATAATAATCTTGCTGCCAAACGCCCTCGGGTCCATCGTTGGACCACCCTTCACCGCGGAAGAAGGAATTCAGATGAATGATATCTTGCTCGATCTTCTCTTGAGAGTATTTCCCACCATTCTTCTTCAATCCAAGATTGGCAAATACGCGGAACCAAAGCCAATTGGTATTTGGCATGCTGCATTATGTCAGCACCAGTTCGAGAATTTCAGGGTACTTGTACTTACACTTTCCCATTGATAGAATTCCCAAGCCAGCGCTCCACATTCCCCTTCTCCTTCTCCGACAACGAGTCCCAAAACACCGGAGCAACCGCGAGTGTAAACCCCAACGGACACATCTCCACCATCCGCTGATCATTATCTCTCGGGTCCCCCCAATACTCTGGATTCTCAGGATCCGTGCCAGCCTTCAGGCCTTCAACCCACCATTTTGTCCCATAATATTCCCCGCCTCCAGCCAGCAAACTCGATAGTGCCCACAACGGCCGACACGTTCCCTCAATCTCTGCAGCTGTATTGTCGAATCGTACTGCTGTGGCGCCAGGGACTCTGACTCTGGCTTTGTTCGGGGAGAAGTGAGGTTCGAGGGGGTCCAGCAGCGTTTTTAGCAGCTCTTGTACAGAAGCTCGATCCGTGATGTCGACGTTGGAGAAGGGGTGGAAATCGGAGTACCCTAGGGCCAATTGTTTAACTGCTTTGCGCGAAGCTGTCGTCATGATTGCAGAGTAATAGAGAGAATGAAGGAAATGAGATGAATGCGTGAAAATGGGCCGATTGATACTTAACTGAAGACTCAATAGAGCTGCGGACGTGTGGGACCGACAGCGGATCGATACAGTACCTTACATGCGGTAGAATAGTACTTCATAGTGGGGTTCGATTGAGGGGTTGTGGTGAGTTGCCGGCATGTTGTTGGCGGCTGGCATAACAGCCTGAAAGGGGGCTCAATATTCACACCCCTGCAAATCTTGGGCCCACCCTAGCTTTCCTTTCTGCAGCCACGTGATCCACCCCCTTTTTCGAGATTGCATTTTAAGTTTTTTCATTGCTCTTTACGGCAAGAATGTCCCACATCCCCAATTCTCTGGTATATGGCTCAAACAAGAACCAGTCATCTACTCGATATGCATCAAACAGTTTCAAACAATCCAACATCACCCTAAGATGATTGCCTTGAGCCGGCGCTACATCTGTGACCTCAGCTCCTCCATGTATCCTGCCATTGTCCTCGCCGTCTCTAATTTTTTTCTCTCAAACTCCTCGTCATCCCTGACTAATTGTTCAGCTTCAGCACGTTTCTCCTCCTCAGTTCTCTCGTCCTCCGTGACAGACTCTAACTCAGCGATCTGATCAAGATCGGCAATCACTTCCTCCTGCTCCGTCTCTCCTTCAACAACAACAACAACAACCTTAGATGCTTTTCTTGAGAACTCTTTGATACTATACAAGTCCACACCGCCACACTCTGGAACCTCTTCGAATTTGGCCTGCTTCGCAGTAGCTGCATTTATTTCCTTGAGCTATGTCGTGCCTGATAGTTGGCGCTGGTAGCATCTGGACATCTGCATCGTCAAGATCACCAACATTGATTTGTTCGAGTGGCTCTTCTTTCGTGATGGATTGTCTCGCAGCCATAGGGTGGCTGTGGAAGCTTTCTTGCTTGATGCTTCGAGTACTTTGACGATGTAATTGGGAGTCTGCAAGTCGTTTCCGAGTACTGTTGACCTTTGGCGGGGAGTCGCGAATAATAATTGGACGAGAACCAGAGCCGCGACTACTGGCCGTTGTCACGGTGCCAGGCGTACCACGGTCGAGATCCTGAATTCTACTTGCTGGAATCTGGGCAATTTGGTTCTGGACTTGGCCTCGTCGGTATGTTTTTTCTTCTTGCTGTTAGTACTTGTTAGCCATTTGCTGATCTTTGGAGGATGAAGAAACATACTTGTAGTTTCTTGAAGGCATATTTTCGTTCATGGGGCTGCATCTCGTTCCAAGAATCCCATTCCTCTTGCCAGTCATCGGGATCTAGCTCGATCTGCCCCCACTGGGTGGCTCGCTTCTTAGACAGTTCTTGGAGCTTTGGCAGAGCAATTTTTTGTTCGCCCTCGTCTAATTGCTCCCACGAAAAGCTATGGAGAGGTGGTGGATAGAGAACAATGTTAGCTTGCTCAAGGAATTCTACGAATAGTAAGTTTTGAGTTGGAAACTTCCTCATCTTAGTCTGCCTACCAGCAGGATGACAATGGAATAGAAATTCTAGTGGCTTTCCGTGTCTATAATTGGCTATCCAGTATTTGCTTTGTGATGGCTGTGAAGGGTGGCCGCCAACGAAGCTACTCTTCATTAATATGTGTTGATGCACTAGGGGCGTTGCGCCGCCTACCCAACTGTTGCGGTGATTCCATGCTTCTTGAAGTTCTCCTTGTCAATTTTCTCTACATCCCAAAGGGTTTGGCTTCTGTCAAGGCTGCTGATCTACATTATGAAACGTCAGAAAGTGGATTAACTTTATTCACAAGAGCAACATATCTCTTTGCTGTCTTGCTTAATCATTTTTGCGTGTTCACCGGGCGTCATGGGGACCAAGTCATATTTCTCCTTCTTGACTTCAATGCAAAGACTACCAAGATTTTTTGGATCAATACCCATAACATTGGTTTCATTTTGCAGGTCTGCATCTAATGCAGGATTAGCGCAAATTCTGGGGTTGAAGGCAACCGAAATACCAATCGAAACTTCTCCAAACACTAAGCGCGCCCCAGAGATACTATGTCCATCCACTCTGACTCGTTTAACATAAGTAAGATGGACCTTGAGGTCCTCTTTTGTGAAGTTTTCGTAGTCATTGGGGGGACGAATCTGCAGCGCCGAGATAGGTTTTGCCACGCCAAGAAGGCAAAGAGAAGCACTCACGCAGTCTGCCTTTCCAAAATTGTAGCCTCTCTTCAATGTAACTTCGATGGTGTAGATCTGACCAGGTTCAGGGATGATGTATCGGTCGCAAGAGGTAGCATCAGTTTTCTCCCGGTCTCCGACCTTGACATACTCGTCGAAGGATGTGTTCTGCGGGTGTCTTCGAATGCGAACCTCGACCTTGTTCGGCCCCAGCGAGAGGATCGCCATGATGATCGCCTTCGATATCTGACGTGACTTCGGCAAAGATTGTGACGGAATGAACTGAACTCAAATCAACGAGAGGGTCTGAGAATAATAAGGTGACTGCAACCCGCCAAAGCGTCAGCACACAATCCCAAGACAGGCGAAAGTGAAGTAAAAATACAACTCCACACCATCCTCGCTCCCCTTTCCGGTGCGAGATGCACGTACCACGAGAATGTGTCCACGGAACCTCCAAGGTATTGCAAACAATGAGTCGAGGAGTAAGCGTGGTGTTGGCGACGTGGTATTGTGTGGAGAAGGAAGAGGAAGGTTGGGACGCGAGGCAAAGGTAAAGTATCGACGCGAGGCCAGCCTTGCCTAGCTTGCTTCCAGGAATCACTTGTCCCGCGTTGCGGTTGAAGTTAATACAGTGAATATTGGCGAAAGATTCCACTTCGGAGGGTTAGGTGTCAAAGGCTCAAGAAGTTTTTACCTTTCCTTTGGTCTTGGCAGAGCTGCTGTTGCCGTGATGTTTTGTTATGCCGCCTACCATAGCCTTGGAAGAAATGTTTTTGCAGCACGCGGCCGGATGTTACTCAGCTAGTTGCTATCTTTCAATCATCAAAAGCGTTGCTGTAGAATGCCGAGTACCCGTGGGATTGGGGATACTAAGCAATCTCAATGAATTCCTCGAGTTTGATACAAATTATGAAGGGCGATTTTTAAACAAGCAAGAAATTTTCACACGTTGATAACAGAAGCTCAAAGTTCTGGGGAGGAGGAGTGGGACACTTCCCAGTTTCTGTTGAAAGAATATATTTCATTAGGAAGGAGAGGAAGAAACCTCACAAAATTTCCTCAAAGCTACCCCTAAATTCTGAAAACTAGCTGAAAGATTATGATCCTAGCACCGTGCTCCAAAATTCTGCAAATTATGATCTCCAAAATTCCCGTAGAATGTCCGCCAAATAATGGAAAAGTGGTCTATTTCCCAAATGAATTGCCATGTGCTAAGAACTGCAGCTCCACGTGAAGGACTCTCTCAGAATCCACGAGTCACAACAAGTCATTCCTCACCATGCTTCTGTTTCTTTCTTTTGGCGTCCTCGATCTGGTCTTGCAATGCACGTCGTTCACGCTTCAGCTTTGCAAGTCTTTCCTCCATCTCAATCTCCTCTTCTAATGCTCTTGCCTTTGCCATCTTTCTCTCTAACTCATCATCTTCTACCTCATTATTTCTTGCAGGTGCAATATTTTTATGTTCTTCAAATCCGGGGCTCTTGTCGTTTGCAGAGGTAATATTATTATCCTCGTGAGCTCGGAAGTTCTTATTATTTCCCGCAGGTGTAGCTCCATTGGAGGACTTGACCATCATATCATCCTCGAGGCGTATTTTGATATCGACTGGCTCGTGCTTGATCTTGCTCTCCTTCTTTACAGCGGAGCCATCTTCGGATCTTGCGGCTGTATATTCGAGGTCTGGAAAAGTCTTGGGCCGGAAAGGCTCTTTTTTCTCTGCCTTGGATTGTTCTTCATCCTCATCGACAAGAGATACGATTTCCCCACTACGACTTTCATACTGGCGTATTGCTTCTCCACGCTCGTGTGACTTCTTTGATTTCTGGATCACAATGAGATACTTTGAGGCCAGAATAGTCGAGTGTGCCAAACTTACCCGCAGGCTTTCAAATGCATCTTCTTTCTCCCATTCTGACATCTTGAACCACGCTCGCCATTCTTTCGCCTCATTCTTGCCCCGGCCCCTGCCAAACTTTACATGAATCTTGCCAGTCTTCGCCTCTAGTGCATTTATGACATGCTCCTTGTTGATTGCTTGAAGTTCTTTCAGGGCAGTCTGGCGTTCACTTTTGTCGAGGTCCTTCCAGGCGTATAGGTAAAGAGGCGGCGCATACTTGACGATTCCAGTTTATTCGAGGAATTCTTCCAACTTGTTAATATTGATCTTGAAAGCTTGAGTGCTTTAAACCTTACCTAAGGTTCGATGATAGAAGTGGAAGTGAAAGAATGCGCCTCTGACCAGCACATCTACTGTTGGAGATACGTAAGCTGGCGGCTTGGAGACAGAATTTGGCCAACCGCGTTGGAAGGGGCTGACAAACGGTTGACGGGCAGGCTCAGGAAACGGAAACTGAAGTTTCCCTCCAACAAAGCTTTGTTATTAGCGATTATGCATTGTACGGTGAAGACACTGGAAGTTTACCCAATTGCGTATACAATTCCATCCTTCTTGAAACTGTCCTCATCAACTTTCTGAGCGTCCCAGAGACGTGGCTCCTTGTGATTTCCAACGACTAGAGAAGAATTTAGCGGCGGTGGAACTTTGGATGCGTCGTTCGCGGCTGCCACTTTTTTTTTATACTCTCTATCTGTTAATCGCCGATTCTCCCACCTAAATTTGCGCAGCCTGATCTCAAAGAAGCCAAGACTTTCGGGATTGATTCCCATAAGGTCGGTCTCGTTGACAAGTTTCTCATCTACGATATCATTAGTGTAAGCCGAAATAGATTGGACAAATAGCGTACCCAAGGCGAGACTTCGAAAGGCAAATCTTGCCCCCCAAAGTTTAAGTCCTCGAACTGTAACATCTGCGTACTCCAACCCGGTTGTGATTTTTTCCTTGATCCCATCTTTGTAATCGGCGGGTCTGTGTATATTCTTGTGACAGACTGAGTCAATTTTACCTGGAACCTTGAGCTGGGCTTGGGCGAAATGAAACTCTTCAAGGTAACTTCGGTGGTGTATCTGACCCCGTCCCCACCCACGATGTATCGCTTACACGTTGTGGCTGCCTTCTTTTCTCGTTCTCCGGTCTTGATGTATTCATCAAAATATGTCTTTTCGAGGTATCTCTTGATGCGGACCTCGTACTCATCGTTGCCACTTTTCAAGATGGCCATGTTGGAAGGGAGTGTATGGCGATGAGCCAGTGTTGGTAGTGTGTCTTGAAATGTAGAAGTCAATGTACTGCAAAGCAAAGGTGACTTCACAGGTCAAGTGGCCTTTTGATATCAAAATCGAGGGAGGAAAGCAAGAGAGGTCTCAGCTTCAGCTTTGCAATGTCATGGAGCTCGTTCTCTGAAGCGATAGGCTGTATGTATTGACAGATGCAAAACTAATGTCAACTCGCCCTGGGGAATGGTATCTAAGCTTTGCCCCGAGGAAAAGCAGGGAAAGGATCTTGAAGGCGCGATGTTCGGAGAAAGGCGCCGCAGAATCGAAGTGGATGTGGAAGAGTTATTGTTGTTGAAAAACAATGAAAAAGGAGGAGACGAGGAGGTAAGGTGGAAGCAACGTATTTGTACTCAGCAGGTGGAGGCGAGGAGAGCGCTTGGTAAATATTACCTCAAGGCAAAGTAGAGGAGGAGCCCTGAAGGGATTGTGTTCGTGAGAATGTATCGAAGGCTTGATGTGGATATGGAAGTGTTGGTGTTGAGAAAGAATGGGGCAGAGCAAGCGAGGCGGGGGCGAGGTGTTTGTCCTGGGGAAGTAGCGCTGAAATGGCAGTCGAGGCAGGAGCGAAGGGGAACGTCCGAGGGCTGGGAAATACACGCAAATCGAGGGCTGAGAAGAGATCAACCTGTATAACCTGGTTGTCTCAGCCCACCTTGAACATTCGTTCACCTTTCCGCTCTCGGGCAAGAGCGTTCGACGTCGAGGAAGTAGACCAATTCCTCTCGTCTCTCATCCGAAGCTAAAGAAAGTAGAAACACGGGAAAGTTCCTAGTCAGACATCAAAAACTTTGAACAATCACAACGAGGGCAAAAGGACCAAGTATCCACGCTCAAATCTCCTCGATTCATTCATACTTTCACACCAACTCCCGCAACTCAAGAAACCGCATGCACGCACGCTATGCAGAAACGAATCACCCCTTTCATCGTACATCTTCCACACCCCTTCCTCCACTCTTTGACTTTCATCCGGTCGTCAATGCTATACTACAAACCCCAAACCCCACCTCCACCTTCCCTAGAAGACAAAGATGCCACACGAAGCATTAACATTACAAAGCTTTAATCTCCCCTCTTCCCAATCCCTAATCATCAAGCTCAATGGGCCTCTTCTCGCTGCCCTCCGGACTGGGCGGACTAACGACCACCTTTCCCTCCTCCTCATGTTCGCCCTGCTCCTCAATAATCGGCGTATCAGGGACTTCCTCCTCGCCTCCTTCATCACCTAAACTCCCTGCCGTACTGCTCGCCTTCTCCCTTCTTCTCCTTCTTGTCTTGCGCTCCTCATCAGCGTTATCCCTCCTCCTAGCCCTCCGCATGGAATCCCTCCTCTCGCTCGCCTCCCCATCATCCGCCGCGCCATCCGTACCTCTCATGCCTTGCAGTAGCAACGCCGCACGTTCTGCGATATCATCACCACCGTCACCAATCTGAATCTCAGGGCTGATCAGCCCGTCCGAAGAGATAGACTCAGGGTGTTTCAGCGACTCTTCGATCTCGGGGATCTCGTCTGGGTCAGGGATCTTCTGGCCCGAGGCTACACGGACTTGGTGGCGATTTTGCAGCCGTGCTCTTCGTCTGCGATCTCTTTGGTCTCTTGTCTGCGGGGCGGCCGCTCTGAGTTTCTCAAGTAGGGAGTCCATGGCACCAGTGGAGATAGGGGAGGGTGGTGCGCTGCCATCCGAAGACCCGGTTACTCTTAGCTGAGCATGTTTGCGCTTCATAGATGCCTCATTGCGCTTGCGGACCTTTTCTAACTCGATATTCTTCTCGCGCGACTTCTTCCACTCCGTGACGAAGATAGCGAGTTTGGCGAAGAAGTCACGGCGGGCGTTCTCATCGGTGGGATCTTCGCCGTAGAATACCATGATGTCGTCGTACGTGCGGACCATGTCGTCGAGGTAAAGCTGCATCTGCTCTGCCTTTCTTCTTGCATCCTTCATCGATCTTTGGACGACTTGGCTCACGCGGTCTTGTGGATGGAACTTCTTGGGGTCGCTGAGGTTACCAGAATCAAGAGACATCTGGACGTTCTTGATGTTGTCGATATAGCGTTTCGCATCTTGTTGTAACTGCTCCACATTGAGTTTCTGAGCTGTGATGACTCCGGCGATATCACCAGTGAAACCCTCCCACTCTGGATACTGGGTTCGGACAATACGTTCGACGAGATCCGCAAACGTTGACTCGTTCTTGTCATCTTTAACCATTCCAAGACGAGCAAGCGAGCTCAGCTTGAAACCACTTGCTTGCTTGTTCGAGTCGTTCATGTAGTTACCGATATCGAGAATGAGACCAAGGACATTCATCAATGATACCGAGTCTCGTAAGGATTCTGATACGGCAACAACGGACTTCAGTTTGCCAGAAACATCGTCATACTCAGCTTCGAACGTTCGTGTCAATGCCAGCGCCCGCATTCTCGACTTCCAGTAATGATGTAGCTCATACGCTGTTTGGAGGTATATTTGATCTTCTCGAGTGAGTTCTGAAGGATCTTGTTCGCGGTTTTCCTTGTTGGCATCTGGTCCAGTCCAATCTTTGCTGTATGGAGCCATTAACTTGGCGGTATTCTCAGGAATTGTACACATATCCTCCTTTTGTAGGAAGTCCATAACGACATTGTTGTCCAACACTTCCTTGTCACAGTGGATGATCATTTGAACAATCTTTTCAACGGGATAAGTAGAGAATTTGGCAAGCGAGATTTCTAGACATGATCAGTAATTTTCAAGCGGGGCACACATTTGTACTTACGGAAGGTTCTCATGAGATCGCTTGAGATGACCTGCTTCTTCTCCGACTTCTTGCTTGCACCTTTGCCAATCTGTTTGATTTCCTTGGCCATGAAGAGTTTCTCCACTTCGTCGAGTACACCCTTCCGAGAGAGTTCAGCATATTTCTCTTCCTTCTCAGCAGGTGTTGGAGCATGAGCAGCCCAATGCGTGGTCATAGGAGTATCAACCTTCTCCCAATGCAAAGCCTTGAGCTTCTTCTTGGGTCTAGCGACAGGTAATCCAAGGGTAGGTACAGCATTGTAAGCTGGCTGAGCAGCCAAGAAATTTCCACCCATCTTGCCCGGCATAGGAGGTGGTGGTGGAGGAGGCATGCCAGCGCTGCCTGGCATTGGTGGGGGAGGTGGAGGCGGTGGCGGGCCTCCCAAAGATCCGGGAGGAGGTGGGGGTGGAGGAGGCGGAGGAGGCGGTCCATTGAATCCAGGCGTCTGCCCTGGCATGGGAGGGGGAGGTGGCGGGGGTGCTCCATTGAAGCCAACAGTCTTAGGCGCACCTTCGTCACTGGGCGTCCTCGGCGAATCTGATTCAATGCTTGGATGTGAAGGCCCAGTGGTAACTCCATCACCATCTTCGTCATCGCTTGCATCGTATCGTTTGATTTTGGAACCCATCTCTTCCAGATATCCAGGAGTCTGCTTTGGTCGTCTCATCTCAACAAGACGAGGCTTCTCGTAAATTGCGCCATCCTCATCCTCATCCTCATCCTCGCCTTCTTCAAGGAGCATTTCTTGTGAGTTGACAGGTTTTCGAGGGATTCTGGTTTGTCGCGAAACGCTGCCAAGCATGCTATTCGTGTAGTCTCTTGGTGGGGTACTTCCTCCTGGAGGTCGTTCGCCGCCATCCATCTCCTCACGAAGAGCGCGCAACCTGTCAGATGGACCCGCTGCATCACCCCACACTCGGCCCTCCAGCTTATATTGCGTCTTTTGACGCTCAATTTGCATTTCAAGTCTGTCCATAAGTTTCTCTCGGTCAAGGATACCCTTCATCTGTGAAGGATCACTCTCACTCAAGGCAGCACTGCCACCCTTTGCAGCATTCGAAGCAGCAATATCTTGAGCATCACGAAGCATAAGGTAGAGTTCCCTCGTTTCAAGCTCATTCCTTTGAGCTTCCTTTGCTCTGACAGTTTGGATATTTTCAAGTTCGGCCTTCAGAGCATCTGCTTGCCGTCTCTGTACTTCGATGACTTGGGCCTGCTCTTCTAGCTGTCTTTGTAGTTTTGCAACCACACCATCGGCTCCAAGCTCGATTTGAGCTTTCATCTCATCACGCTCAGCCATTGCCGAATCGGCAATCTGGCGTGACTCAAGAGCTTCATCGAGAGCTTGGCGTGCTTCTGAATCCGTGTGGAGCTTGTCAAGAAGACTTTGAACTGTAAAGTTGAGACTTTGCTTGAGATCCATGTCTGGGAGGCGTCTGTCCATGGCAACATAGCTGAGCATTGAATCCACTAGCTGAAACATTCGTAGTCTCTCTTCTCCATCATTGTCTGGGATCAGCAAAAGATGTTGCATAGCAGACACAAAGTAGTCCTGAGTCCTACTGCCTTGGACCTTCTGCATGATAGCATCAACTATTTGAGCGGGATCATTGAGATCCTTGACTTCACCCTCGAAGCTATCTTTCATACTACTATTCTCGCGCTCCAGAAGATCCTCGTAGTCGATTGCTTCGTTGGCCCGGAATCGCTCAATCTGCTTATCTATCACATCGTACTGGAAACCTTCCATCTTCGTCAGGATCCGTTTGATTCCACATGCTGTAAATTGAGCTCGGATATGAACTCGGAGCTGAAGGTCTCTCTCGGGGGCGTCGATAATCATGTTGATCAAGAAGAGCGTAGCAACGGCGTACTCCATAAGGAGGTTCTCCATTCCAATGCCACCACTTCGGACTTCTTCACTAGCTCCAACAAGGCTTCCCATCTTCCCTCGGCCATCGACTGTGACCTCCACCACTCGCATCCAGGCATCGAAGCGGCCATTTTCTCCATGTTGGGCCTTGACATAGTCCATAGCCTGGATAACCTTGAGGTGGCCCTGGCCATCTGCCCAGTGACATAAGAATGTCAAAACTTCACTGACAAGCTTCCTTGTCGTTAACCTCGGCGATATCAGAGAAGTTGCTAAAGCAACAATGACAGGCTGGTGGGCCAATGCATCGTCTGCTCCAAATTTGTTGTTCATGAGCGCCTTTAAGCACTTGACTATATCGTATTCTCGGTCGAGATCTTTGTCACTAGTTGAGCCATCAGCTGGTGCCGGTCCCTGGGCTTGCCTTCTGTTGATCTTCCCTAGCACATTCGTGAGCGCTACCTGACCCTGACATTCTACAAAAGTCTTGACCCAGCCTATCGGTTGTGTTCGCAAGCTGACTGCCAAACTTTGTAGCTGCTTCGCGGATATGCTGTTGTCCATGACCTTCTTGACGAACCATTCTGGTGTTCCCTCCTCCTCGGCATTGGCGAGCATTTCCATTTCTCTGCCATATTGACCACCAATTGTTCCTGTCTGTCTATTCACAGTCCGCCGCTTCTGATCACCCTGCCATTCTGTCAATCGATCTTGGTGTACCAACGTCCATTTCTTTGCCGCAGGGTATGCCATCATCTGCCGGCGCGCTTGCTCTGGTAGATTGTGCCATCCCCGCTTCTGCATCAAAGCGAGGAATTGCTCCTCGATTATCCTATCGTCGGTCGGCTTGGTGAGGTTGAAGCTGTCGCTGAGGGATGCGGATGATCCATAGCCCTGCCCATGGTGGGGCAGCTTCGTGAGGCGGTGCGATTCTCGTGGATGTGAGGGTGATAAAGTGCTGCTGAAAGAACTGTTGGAATGTGAAGTCGGCATGGCTGTCCTAGAAGAGCTTCCAGAAGAGAAAACGCTTGAGCGTTCGGTGCTCCCATCTACGCTGGATTGGTCGAAGGAACTTCTGCCGTAAGATTGATTCGTCGAGTAGGAGTCATATCTCGAATTGTGCCCATTCATTGTGCTTGCCCCGCTTGCTCTTCCCGGCCCCCATTGTTGCAATTGCGTCGTGCGATTTCCTGTGGATGCCATTGTTATATTAGAAGCTCCTGGAGGAGGTCTGGGCCCAGATGGATGCGAACTGCCATTGGATAATGTGGAGGGGTCAAAAGATGGATATTGATGGAAGTCTCCGTTCGATTTATTGAGATGGTGTGGCAGAGGTTCCCTTCGAATTGGCATCTGGTCGCCTCGAGGCAGATAGTCCACCGGTATAGGCGACTTGCTGTCTGCCGTCACGCTGTCGTAAGGAATGGACGTAATCACCCCGGCCATCATGTTCAATCCAGACTGATCCGCACCAGGCGAATTCGGACGTTCTATTGACACAACTGACGAGCCTCGTGTATGTCGTGATGATCGTGAGCCAGAATCCAAATCGCCCCCCAGATATCTCCCCTCGTCACTGACATTTCTCTTGTCTTTCTTGCTGCTTCTCGAGAAGAATGACGACTTGCCCCCCGATGACTGCCTGGCTTTGGCGTCCGCTGCTGACATGACCAAAAGCTAACAAGTCAATGTTTCGAACGCCGTTATGTGTTATGGATCCCTAGTCCTGGCCGCGACTTCGATGCGCCGTCGTCGTTCAATTTCACTCGAGTCTTCTCCGTTGTCTCAGAACCAAGCCCTTCTCATCATGCCACATGGGCGACTTGTCACCGCTGTGGGACCACAGGTAGAGTGTATTCACCAGTACAGTAATCGTGCTATTAACGGCGGTGGTTAGCATGAAGGATCAAAGGTTCTGCGACGTGGGAGGAGCCAAGGTCAGCACCCAACGGGGGTTGACAGTAATTTGCCGCGGTCGGGGTCTTACCCAAGATTGTTCCTCTGTCACCACTCCGCACATATGTCACAACTGCAGTTCGAGTTCCAAGGGGGCAGATGTGAAGAATCTGGAGAAATGTTGTGTTATCGCGCGGCCCCGGTGATGCCCTTGTCGATATGGCCGTTCGTTTATTCGGAGCTGAAACCGTCTCCCTTGGGGGGTGCAGGCGTAAAACACTCTGGGGCACGGGCCCAAGGAAGGGATCCAAGTGTCAGCAGCCGTGGACGTGGGTGGCCAAGGAGAGTAAAGAGCGTTCCTTCAACAGATGCAAGAGAAAAGAGCGAAGTGAAGGTTGTGCCTGTGTCTGTGTCCGCGTGTATTTCATGAAGTCTCCATGTTGCTTCTCCTTAACGCGCCCCAATTAAGGCTTCCAACCCGACTAGTGGCAGTACCCCTGACGTTGAGCCGAGAATAGCTCGGCCATCGTGTTCCCTCTCCACCACTCAGCTCGCAAACCGCGCCCAGAAACTCCAGCTGGACAACCTCCATAGAAGAGTCCAATTTCTCCGACTAAGATTCGGAGAGCGATGACTGTTGTCGGCCCTGGTTGTTGCTGATCACGAGCATCCTCAAGCAGTTGCCAGAGCTCCTGCTCTGTGTTGCGACTTCCCGATCGTTCGAATGTCGTCCGAGCGGCAGCTGCACAACTTGGGTCTGTTAAGAAGGACCAACGGAGCCTCGTATATTCCTGGAACAGCACCGAACGCTGCAGGGAATGAAGACGATGATGTAAAGATGGGCGTGCTCTCGGTTCTGAAGGTAGGACAGTCCGGAAGCAGCTGTGGCCATTGCTGACGTCCCACAGACTCTTATCATTCCAGCGCTCATCTCCCTCATCCTCTATCTTGTCATATCCTATGCTGTGATCCCAACATGGAAACGATATCACGGGCGGTACAGTCAGTATCTGCCGTTGGAAACCATCAGCACCCGGACCACCTCCTGGCGACAACGAATAGGGAGTTTCCTGATTAAGAGTATACTACCCTCGACGTGGAGGACTGATTTCGGCCGAAATGGATTCGCGGTGAACGGACAGGACGGCAGTGATTTCGATGAAGAGGAGGGTGAGGAGTTGTATGAAGTTGATGAGAATAGGAGAGAGGCGTTGTCGTTAGATGCACGAAGAGGACGAAATGAAGATGGAAGCCGGCTCTCTCGGGATTTGGAAGAAGGATTCAAAGACGATAGCGAGGATGAGGATGAAGACGGCATACCGGATGAAAGACAGGGAAGGACACTATCTCGATGAAGCGGACAATGCACGACTCTCTATTATTCAGGAAGGACTCTCAATGATGCCAACAATGCACGACTCTCCAATGTCAATACACTATTATTATAGCCGAAGCAGTCGAAACAATAGAGACAATTAACGAGCATAATCACAACAATGGCTTAATCTAGGTGGGTATCATCAAAGGCAGCGCCAAGACCGCCAATCCAAACTCCAACAGCTACCTACACTTCTGCTGAAATGCCGCTTCCAGCCTCCGTCAAATCCTCGATTCTCGAATCAACGCCGAACATCACACCCAAGGCCTACAGAATACTACCACTCCACCCTATGCTCCCGCCGCAGCTCTTCATACAACCCCTCCAACTCCCTCCTCCATCCCTCCTTACTCTCCTCAATCCTCCTCTCAACACTTAAAATACTCCCCCTACAGAACGCCCCAAAGAACCCAGGCAATTGGATCCTCATGCCCACGAGCGCTTTTTCCTCCGCCTCCTGCCTCATCCGCAGAATCTTCAATCTCTCCTCCACTGCCCCACCACCAGCCCTACATATCCCGCACTTCCCCGGCATATCCGCGTCCCTCACCGGCCTCGGCTTTAGCTCAATGTCGAGCGGACGGACATGGTGCCCACATTCGCTATAAATCATCCTTCGCCTGCAATTCGGACAATCTTGATGTGTGGAAGCATCCTCTAGCCATCGAGAGATACACAGGGAGCCGAATATGTGACCGCAGGGAAGCATAACTGCTGTCTCGACCAGCCCATCAAGTCGCGGTTGTCCTATGACTTCCTTACAGATTGTGCAGCGGTAGGAAGGCTGTTCGTCGAGGTGCGCTTGGATTGCGTTTATCATTGGCGAGACTGTGAATGCCATCTTCATCTTATCCATCTTTGGCTTCGATATCGATACTCTCCTTCTTTCTGGTTCTGAGTGTTCTCCTTCGAGACCAGGTCCGAAAGTGTGGATAGAGATGAGCGGGCGGTACATGTGTACATGCAGTCAATATACTTCCTCTCCTAGACCACTCCCACACAATCACAAAAAGAAAAAGAAAATCCCATTCATAAGGTGGACAGGGACACGCGCTATATAAGACACCTTCCCTCCCTCCACATTCCTCGCCTCACCACCCATCCACCCCTCCATCCACAAATACCTCGCAAACCTGACCAGGCCCGGCGGCTACAACCCGAAGAAATGACAAGAGCAAGTGACCGCGCCCTCTACCCTCCTGCCCTGTTTTCAATTTATTTTTCACTCCCTTCTTTCCGGCTGATGGTAGGGTGTTGTTGAACTAAAGAGGCTCGCCCTTCGCATTCGCATGTCTGAATCAGGAATCTAGACTACGAGTTACGAGCACAGCTACGACTGCACATTTCAGGACTTTGCCTCTCCCTCTATCCATCTCCGTCCTTTTTCCCAACCTTCGCCACTCTCCATCCCAGCCTTCCAGCCTTCCAAATCCTCGAACTTAACCTCGAACTTTCAAGCCCCGAAATCAAGGTGCAGCACTCCCTTCTGCTTGTATGTAGAGCAAAACACAACACATGCGGCCCGTGCCATGACCTCACTCACGCCCTCGTATCTGCGAATCTTGACTCGCACTTCGGTACACCTTCCGGAACTTTTGGGGATCGTGTGATAGGCCGTCAGCGGCTGACCTTGTCAGGCTCAATGACATGCGTTCGCTGCAGGGTCGTTGATAAATCTTGGATACGGCGATTCGCGCGCGATTGGTAGGGATGAGTTCGCTTGGGTTAGGAGGGTGAGTGAGTGAGACCCCGGTCTTGTGATTGTTTAAGCGAAGGAAGGTGGAAAAGGAGGGTGATCACGTGCTCAGGGTTGAGACAAAAGGAGCTGGGGGTTGGAGAGCAGAAGGGAGACAGTTGGGGTGAATGGGTAGGAGCGAGGTACGGTTTGGTTGTCGATTGTTTGGTGATTGGGTGGTTGGGAATTTTAGGGCACTGGGTTCAAGCCAAGATCTTACATGATGTCTTTTAAGGCAGGGGAATGTGCGAGGGCACGGCTTGTACAGTGCCGAATGATTACATGTACATTTAAGGTGCTAGACTTACCAATAGATCTGGTACATTGACTGTTTGCAGAATTGGAAAAGGAGCAGAGAAGCAGTGAGATAAGTGGAAATGCAACTCATCATGAAGAAGAAGGGGCAACTGCACGAAGAGAGGTAAGAGAAAAGAGTTTATTATTTCTGAAGTACGTTCGGATCCATTAATTTTTGGGGAGAATATACTTGGGAATTAGATGTGAATTATGTGATGAAATATGCGAGGAGCATCTGCTGGCGTCAAAGACAAATGGGTATGAAGATTCCAGGCTTGCCTCCAACCAGAATCACCGTCCTTTGAGCACTGACGATGCTACGTAATTGTTGTAATATGAAGGGAAATATCAGCAAAACCGTAGTAGAGGGTCTTCCACCAAAGTCATATCCGCTCTCTAGCAAACTCGCCTAGTTCGGACTTGCCTGTCCTGGAGTTGCCTTGACCCTCGCCTCAAGAGCAGAAATTCTCGACTTCCTCTCGTTACGTTGCCGAAAGATATCCGCCATTCTTTGCATTACTTGTAGTTCTTGTTCTTGCCTCTCATCTTCTTCCTTGAGACGCAAAAGCTCCTTGTCCTCCCCACCGCCTGTACTTTCAAGTCCTGGCTCAAGTTTGACTTTTTTAACAGGTCCTCCCTCAATAGCAGTAAGAGTGCCTGCCATGGACGATACAGGGAGGTTCTCGAGGTAGGTTGGCTCGCCTTTGATAGTAGGTGTCGCGAGGTCAGGGATGCTGGCAGCTGATCGTTTGTTGGCTCGAGGGGGACTATCATCGACGATGATGATATCAGGCTGTGGTTTTTTGGCATTCGGAAGTGCTGCTGTCTGGACAGATTCCTCCTTGGTAGTTAGTGGAGGAGTTCGATTTGGTGGTGATTGGGTGTGTATGTCGACAGGTTCCTCCTTGACAGTTGGGAGAGCTGCAAGAACAGCGGTTGGGGACTTGGTTTCGGTTTCTTCCTTCCTGTCTTCTGGTGGTATCTCTCCCTTCTCCCAAAATGATCGGCGAAGCTTCATACATCAGGACCATGGTAGCAGTGAAGTCTGTTCCGGGGAATGTGCCTGTAGATTTTCAAACAAGGCTTGACTCTCTCGCTTGTATAGCTGTCCCCATCCTCGCCAACGATTTGGAATTTCGCCGAGTTCAAGAAGCTGCCTTTGGATCACTTTTGTATCCGCTCCTGGGCTAGCCTCTGATATTTTTTGCATTAATACTCGGTCTTTGTCATAAGCCTCCAAAATATTTTAGTCAGTAGACGGTTCACAGTTCGAGTTTGGGGAAGGAAGAACCATACCTGGAGAGTCTTGAAGCATGCTTGGCGTTCGCGGTCCATGAGAGAATCCCAAGGCTGACGCTCCATTGGAATTGAGCATTTGGCAATCGAGTTAGGTTCAAAGAATACTTAATCAAGCGTTAGTGCTTACCAGAAATGAGAAGGGAGTGCAAACCTTGACTCCGGCATAGATAATGGGCAGACCGGAGTCCATCACTATCGCACGTAACCCTCTTTCTCTTTGGAGGCTCAAGTGCTACTGTTGAAGTCCCTCCTTCGACCCTGGGACAAGTCAGTAGTCAGATAATAAAATAGGGATGTGTCAGAAGGTTCACCCGACTGCATGTGTAATTCCGTGCTTTTCAAAGCTTTTCTGGTCAACCGATTTTGCCTGGGTTAAGAGGTTGTCTTGATAGCGCTTCAGTAATCTCTGGAAATGTTTTCCCTGGCAATCTCGCAATGTCAGGTTTTTGTATTTATAGGTACAAATCGTGATATCACCAAGATCGAGTGGAGCAACACCTGGCACATCGGTCTCGTGGTTGGAAAGCGTTTCATCTAATTTGTGGTTAGTAAAGGATGGAATCGAGGTCCTTACAGAAATCACTTACCAATATTGAGCCCGCGAAATGTCAGAGTTGCGTCACGAGTTAACTTGCCATCTAACATAGCATAGTTGAACCGGTCCACAACATACTTTCTCCCTATTGGCAGAGGATCTTTCTGATCGGTCGGCTTATGAAGAATTTCCTGGCCAATGGAGGCTTTGTTTACTTTTCTGAGTACTTCTACAATAACACCGTCCCAGTCTCCATAGTCGAATCCCTTCTTAAGAGTAATCTCAACGGCGTACGCAGTGTTCTCGGGAATAATGTACCGAGTACATTCATGGCTGAGCTTCTCAGGATGTGGTGTGCCAAGCTTTTCGTACTCATCAAAGTACACCCGGGCAGACTCTTCGGCATCGAAAGGCGGCTTCACGAGGCGGACCTCAATCTCGGCACCTTGGGGACCGAGGAACACCATGATCAACAGCTGTGATCAACGAAAGTTCCTCTGAGGCACCAGAAACAAGTCAAAACTCCAGAGACGAGGCTTAAATCTGAGCTACCAGCATACCTCGCTGCAGAATCCAGCTTAAAGACGAATCTTATCAAGCAACAGACTAGAGTCAATCACCCAGAGCTCTGTGGGACTTCACAGTGATCGAGATTCGAATGTTCCAAATGGTCGGGGACTTTGAAATTGAAAGTGAGGGAATGTTGTGCAATCTCAAGAGCGATTTCAAATCCCGCCTGGGGAGAGGGGACACGGATGAGGTTGGAAGTGAGGAGTTATTGAGGCAGATAGAGTTCGAAAGTTGAGTTTGTGGTATGTTTGAAGAGGTCTGGTCTAATTCGGACTGATGGAAACGAGGAGTCGCTCGGGTGGGCCGTTTGAATGGGAGTTGTTGCGGGTGACGGTTGGTTGAGTTTGATGTGATGGAGATAATATGTTGTCTTGAATTCGTCGTTAGGATAAGTTGCCGACGAGGTTGAAGACTCGATAACAGGTAGAGGTGGTTGAAAGATTGAATGGACGTTGTTGACTGAATGCGGCTGAGTTCGGTATGAAGAAGGTGGGTGGTCTGGAGATGTTGTTGATGATGAAATGGGCTGGAGGCGAAGTAATATGTAGATGCGATGAGAAAAGAAACTCGAGGAGGTTGAAGATCTGATAGGCGGTTGAGGTGATTGAAGCTGTGACGAATGTAGGGTGGAAAGTTAGTTAGGATGGAACGTTAACTGAGGGAGGATTGTCGCTCTTCAGGTGGCGGAACTCCTCGGCGATGGGGTAGTTGCAGCTTGCATGTGAACAGGGGAAATAGAAGAGCTGAGAGGGAAGGTGAAGTAAGGAAGAAATGATCAGCCCTCGAAGAGCTGGGAAGGTTAGAAGAATGGCCGGAGGTGCGTGAATAAGCGACAAATAGGAAGTAGAATTGAGGTTGTTCTGAAGAAAAAAAAGGGGTAATGGAGGTGGGTGGCTCTCTGAGACGAGTAGAGGAAGGCAGATTAAGCGATCAGTGAGAGACTTCTCCACGTGTGAGATTTGGGAAGGAAAGTGTGATCAAATTCAGCATACTTCTCTCGTCTTTCTCACCCACAGCAGATCAATTTGCCAACTATCAAATTACTCTCTGAACAGCCTCTCCTCCGGTGCCTCGTCGTGGGCTCGATTCTACTTCCTAACTTCCGAAATCCTAGCAAACACCTCCCCTGGATCCAAATAAACATCAAATCTTTTCAAGATAGCCCCGCTCTCGTTCTTCCTCACATCAACCAAATGAAAGACCCCCATTGCCGGGATCTTGATCAACTTGTTCTCAGGGTCGTTCTTAACGATATAGGAGATCGTACAAGCTTGGAAGATTTTGTTGGGCGTAAGGTCTGTCTGTTGTTAGAAGAGAAGATGTGAGAGTATGCATTTGCATCTTCATTTGGTGGTTATGTTGCACTCAATATCCCAGAACTTCTAGTATATTGGGAGATTCTTGGTGTGAGAAGTGAATCTCTGTATAGAAATTGACTTCATCTTCATCCAAAGCGAGATTCACAGTGACTTACTAAGTTCAATGATCTCATGCTTCATGCTCTCCAACAGTGGGAAGACACCACCAAAGAACTTCTCATCACAATCAGCGAATGATACATTCATATGATTTATACGTTAAATTTTTTGAGGCGTGTTGTTTGAGGCCATGTGGAAGGCATTGCAAAATATTACCCTTTCAATGCTATCCAACCCAACCAATAACTCCATATTTGCATACTGCAACACCGCATCTTTGGTGTAAAACTTCTGTAAACTCGTTGTATCCAGAGAATCAGCTGCTGTAACGTGGAACTATATTTAATTCAGTATGAGCACTTATAGAAGTTGGATAAGGGGAATAGGGAGGGAAGGGAAGTAATCTTACCTTCTTAACCCACACTTCTGCTTCGGAGAGAGATTTGAAATGGGATGTCATTTTGAAGGATTGAATTGGATTGAATTGTACAGATTACTACGAATGCACTGGGGAGGGGGTTCAAAGACTAGGTGAGAAGCGCAGAGGAGAAAAGGCGCACGTGACTTATCCATTTTGGGGCTTGATTTGAAATCAAATCGGAGGTAAGAAAAGAGGCGATTACCAAGAAACAATGTAACTGGACAACCGAGAACAACCGAGGGATTCTTGAAAAAACGTACCCACTGGCTCTCGAACAATGATCTCATATTATGGCTGAAAGGCGACATGTTCCAAAGCTTCCCAAGCCAACCTCTCTAAATCAGTAAGTCTAGGAGCAAACTTTTATAGATTGAATGTCCTAACTACTGTCGGAAAAAAATATTCCATGGAATGCAAATGAACCAGGCCAAGGAGGAACAATCAAGTGAAAACTTCATTTCCTCGGTTTGGCAGCAAATTCCTCAATGTACTTCGCCAGCTTCTCCGCACCTTCCAAGGATATCGAGTTATAGTTGCTAGCCCGGATGCCACCAACGCTTCTGTGGCCTTTGAGTCCGGTGAGACCAACTCCGACTGAGCCTTCCAGGAATGTTTTCTCAGAATCATCGATGCCCGATTCCAGCTTGTTCTAGGTTAGCGGGATACATTCAGGTTGAATATACGGGACTCACATGTGTGACTCGAAAGCAAATGTTCATTCTTGAGCGTACACTCTTGTCTGGGACGACTTTGTATGATTCCGGATGTGCGTCCAGTGCGGCATATATCAAGTTCGCTTTCTTTTCTGACAGAGCTTGCTGCCCATCCACTTTGTTGGGGAACGTGTTGAGCGACTTTTTGAGAACTTGGCCAGCAATGAAGACGTCGAAGATGCTGAGGGTGTTGTAAAGACTATTGTTCTTGGCAATGGTAGAATATTGAAGAACAATCGGGCCATTGGGAATACCTAATTTCCGTACAAGCGATGGCTCTGCATTCGCAACGGTAGGTGGAAGCAGACTCTTCTTAATAACGACCACGGTGACTCCAGTGCTCCCCAAATTCTTTTGTGCTCCGAAGAAGATGACTGAGAAGTTCTTGATCGGCACCCGTCTGGAGAGAATATTCGAGGACATGTCTGCCACCACAATCGGTTCATCAACTCCCTTCGGCGCCAGAACCGCGGGAAACCGGGGAAACTCCACACCATCCACCGTCTCATTGTCGCAGTAGTACACCATCGCCGGGTTCTTCGAGAGCTTCCATGTCGATTCCTCCGGTATCTTGCCAAACTTCCCTCCATTGACCTCCCTCGCATCTGCTGCCACATTGACGTGTTCCGGGCCGATCAACCTCGCGGCTTCCTGACTAGCCTTCAATGACCAAGATCCAGTGACGAGGTAATCGATCTTCAGCTCTTCATCGACCGCCTTTTGTAGCTCCTTTATGACATTCTCCGGTAGCTGTTTGTTGTCCTCGACCCCAAGATCCTTCAGGATCCTCTGTTTCCGTCGCTCCACCCAAACTGCAACCAGATTGTACACAGTCGCCGAGAACTCTCCACTTCCACCACCCTGCATGAACAATATGTCATAGTCGTCTGGTACATCCAAATATGTGGCTAAATCCTTCTTTGCTTCATTGACAATATTCGACGCCAGCTGTGACCTATGAGAATGCTCTGCAAGCCCTAAGCCGGTGCCATTAAAATTCACCAAAGATGCTGCTGCAGTCTCTAGAACGTCCGTAGGAAGAAGAGCTGGTCCGGCCCCAAAGTATGTGATATCTGCTCGCTCCGGCATATTGTATTTAAATGTTCGGGGATATTCGGGACAATCGCCTCTGGCTCCGTTAGATATCTGTCTGGAAGAATTGAAGCCCAGGGAGTTGATTGAATGTATCGGAAGGATATGGAACATTGAGGGCATGGAGCATCTAAACGTTCAAAGCTCATCTCGGACAATGAATCATTGGGTCCTCCTGATGTATGTCTATTTTCTCCGATTGCGGAGGGCGCACAGCAATCCGCGTGGGGGGAATGTACTCAAAATGAGAAACCATTACTTACAGTATTCAGTGTCTATCCAATGTTCGAGGAAAGCTCTAAACAATCTCAATTGTATGGTCTCCTGCAAGGGTTATTTTTTTGTTGGATGAGTCAGGTCAAGGTTCCCCAGATTTTTCATTTCGTACAGTAGTGGGGTTCGGTGCCAAGGAATGCCCCTGTTGTCAGCCTCGCCTCAATTGCCGACGACACACCTCAGCCTCGTATTCCTCCAACTGCCGATAAGTCCGTCTCCTTCTCTTTCCTCCTATCCCTTGGGACGAAAATGCTTCAAGTTTCTCATAAAGTCCATTGACTCAGGGTGAGAAGGCACAATGGCCGAACGCAAGATGTCAGAGGCAGCGTCCGCGACGAAGATCCCCATTCCCGCAGCTTCCTTCCGTGAGTGCCCCTCATCGCAAGAACGAGCATGAAGCTGACAAGCAGCAGCAACACACAACTCACCTCGCGTCTGGTTCCTCACGTCGTCGCTATCACCTCTAGCTGTGCGGTTGATCAGACTCCTACTTGCGCATGGAGATTACGTCGCAGCCGGCCTGCCACCCCACGAAATCGAAGACGAGGACCGAAGTGCAGAGTTCAGAGAACTGATCAACGAGTGCAAGAGCGGGGGGAGAGATAGAGAGGGATGGAAGGACAGGATACGAGGGATAAGATGTGATGGGCGAGTGATGGGACAATGTGGTGCTGCTGTTGCAGAAGCAGTTGAAGTTTTTGGACGGATTGATATTTTGCTTTGCTGCACATCAGAAGGTATCCTTTTCCTCTACCCATTTCGTTTTCTCTGCACGAGCTAACAATCGGATAGCGGTAGTAGGCACAGTCGAAGAACTCTCCACCAACGCAGCAACCCAAAACCTGGTCCGCGACCAATTCGAAACAATATTTTTCAGCCAAGTGAACTTCATAAAAGCCACACTCCCCCTTCTAAGAGAAAAGCACACCGGACATTTGATAATCCTGACTGGAATCGGAGGTCACATTGGGACACCTGGGACGCCAATATACTCGGCCGCGACCTGGGCGCTGGAAGGATACTGCGACTCCTTGGCATATGAAATCGCGCCCTTTAACATCAAACTTACGATCGTGCAACCAAATAAAGAGATCTCGGTGCTTACGAATAAGATTACCTTTGCACCACAATTACCCCAATATGAAAGCTCGATTAACCCAGCACCAGGCTTGCGAGACATCTTAACCAACGTGGTAAATCTCCACCCCGAAACCCGCATCAACGACCCCTCACGCCCCTCCTCCTCCAAGAAGAATAAAATAGTCTCCCGGTACCCACGCCTGCCCAGTGAAGCTCGAGACCGACTAGTAATGGAGACAGTACACGCTTTGACAGCAATAGGGGGTCACGAGAATCCTCCAGCGAGACATATCGTAGGGTTCGAGGGCGTAAACAGCGTGAAAGAGAAGCTGAAGACTGTTAGTGAGGAGCTGGAAGACTTTGTCGAGGTGAGCTGTGCGGTCGATATTTTTAAGAGTGATGTGGGACGGGCTGCGCTGAGCGGTGCGAAGGTGGACGCGCATGCCGTACCTCTAGGGGCGGGGCCTTCGAGTTGAGGGGGGGGGGAATAGCAATTAAAGAGATATCAAGATATTAATACAATAAACCACTGCTGGTTTGGACATGGAAATTGAGTGTTCGGGGTTCTTTCCATATACGGATGCCGAAGGTTTTGCGGAGTGATAATTCAAATTTCCCCCTAGGTCACACAGTCACACTCTTCCGGATTCAGATTGCTGCGAGTCTGCGAGATATTTAAGTCTACATAATCCTTAATGTTCTACCGAATGATGGGACAAAGTTCCCAATGTGATCTAGAGCTATTCGTACTTTCAGATGAGCCTTTCTATTCCAACGATCCTAGATGTTCAGCGGAGTGCTGGATTAACACTTTCAATGCTCGCAGAAGAAATGGTACTTTGAAATCAACGTGTTTTAATTGCAGGGTGGAGTTGCTTTTGATTTACCATTTATGCTTTTCTCTAGTCCCACTGTGCCATTCTGATACGTGGCATTCATTCAAAGTCCTCTTGCCTCCATCACTTTCTTAAAGGTTCTGATGAAGCCAGTAAGGTGTGGAGGGCTGATCATTGTCCGATGCGTACCACCGACCTCAGTGAACGTAACACTTCCCTCGCCATCTTCCACAAACTGCCCCCACAGCGCAATAAAATTCATAAACCACTCATCAGTCGTCTTCGCAGGAACTAAGCCAACCAGCGGACCCGTGTAGAAGACATCCATCTTGCTGACCACACCCGTCGGCTCCCAATCACACACAGTCTTCTTCAGATGCAATGCCAAGTTTGCCCAGTTATCAAGCTTCTCCTTCGTCATGCCAAGCTCCTCAATCCGATGCTTCGGAGCCATCATGAAGATAGCATCGAGGACTTGGGAATGGGAACAGAGGCGGTAGGCAGGCATAGCCTTGTACGCAAACTCCTCCGTGCAGAGACCCAGGAAAAAAGCAATCGTCAAGCTGACTTCGTACCAATCGTACTTGCGGGCTCGCTCCTGCTGAAATGGTGCCTGGTCGAGAACGGCGAGCATCTTAACTTCGTCGCCAGCAGCCTCTAACAGCTTTGTGATCTCAAAGGCGGGAAAGCTGCCGAAGGAGTAGCCGAGGAAGGCGTAGGGACCGGTGGGCTGGACTTTTTTGATTGCGGTGTGGTATGTGGTGATGAGCTCGTCGAGGGTGGAGAAGAAGAGTTCATTGTCGAAACCGCGGGCGCGGAGAGCGTAGATCGGGCGGTCGGGGAAGTGGCGGGAGATGTTCATGAAGGACAGTACTTCGCCGGTGCCCGGGTGGAAGAGGAAGAGGGGCGTCTTGGTGCCTTCGGGCTGTAGGGCGACGACAGGGTCGTACCTGTGCTTTTGGAGATGCTCGAGCGCGATTGCTAGATCTCGGATCACAGGCTTGGAGAAAAAGACGGTGATGGGTATTTCGGGGATATCGAGGCTGCGCTGTAGGTGGAGACGGAGCTTGAGGAGATCGATTGATGAGATACCAAGCTTGAATAGGTCGTTATGGACGCCTAGCTCGGCACCAGTGGTGTTCAAGAGCGAGTTGCAAGCATCGACGATGGTGAATTCAGTTCCAGTTGAAGCAGGCTCAAATTCAGGGTCTTTGTAGCAAACAACCAGTTCCTCATCGTGCTTGATCAGGTAATCATATTTTCCCTCTTCAAAAGCTGTTCTGATTTTGGACCGAGGAAGCTTTCCTAGAGAAGACTTCTGGAGGAAGTTTGCGTCAAGGGGGAGAATCTTGTCAGGACGCGTGCCACAATGAGTAACCACAACCTTCGAGATCAATGCTGCTGCGTGAACTCTAGGACTTGGATCAGAGATATTATACGATGGGAGGTAGACAACGACGATAGATTCAGTTTCTGAATTCGTAGCTCGATGCGCGAAGACGGCAACGTGTGACGGTGTGACACCGGGAATCTTTGCAATCTCGATTGCGGATTCAATTGCTTGCGGATGATGGCTTACACTGACTTCAGTCAGAAAAGCCCAAATAGAAGGTTGTGGTATATGCTTACCCATTGAGAACAACTGTATCCTTGTCGCGACCAGTTAAGTGAAGACGACCTTTAGAATCCTTGAAACCTCGATCACCAGTCTTGAACCAGCCGTCTTCCGTAAAACTCTTCACTGTGGCACACTTGTTATTGTAGTAACACTTGAAGACTACCTCACCCTTTACCTGTAACTCTCCAACCTCGTTCTCGGCAGCAGAGGAGCCGTCTTGAAGGCGAATTCGGAAATTCATACCCGGAATGCACTCTCCAAGGCAAGCGAATTCCGCGTTCCTACCAAGGTCGTATATAGGGCAATCGATAGTGTTGTAAATGGAGCCTGCGCATGTCTCTGTCATGCCAAAGCCAGGGCGAATAAATGACTTTGGTGCACCAAAGTGGTGGAGTAGATTCGTCAGCGTTTCGCAGGTCTGGACTACATTTGACTCGCCTCCAGAGACCAAAGCTCGGAGATTCGACAAATCGACAAGTGCTCTCTTAGGCAATTGAACTCGATCTTCTCCATTTTGTCTCGGTCTGATGGGGATTTGGAACGTGCTGGATGGTCGATAGGCTACCCGAGCCGGATGTACGTTCTCTTCCTTCAAGGGTGTTTCCAAGAGCCGTCGGACGAGATTTGCAAGGAAGAAGTTGGGGGCAAAAGTGTAAGAAACCTTGTGCTTCGAAAGCTTCTCCACGAATACCATCGGCTCTGCGAGAACTGCTGCGCTGGGAACGTGAATTTGAATAGCTCCTAGACTCATGGCGTGAAGGTGGATTTCCAGCAGATTCGCAACGTGATCCAAGCCAGTCCAGTTGAGGAAGACATCGTCCTCGGTAGTATGGTGGAGTAAGCTCTTACCAACAACGGCATGCAAAATCTGGCTGTGTGTGAGTGCCACGGCTTTCGAGTTCCCCGTGCTTCCAGATGTCAGCATGAGGACGGCTACATCATCTTGGGACTTCTTATAGCCTCCCAGAGAAATAAGTTTGCTGTCCAGAAGATGTGTAGGTGTTGCTTCGAGCTCTTCGGTAGTTTTCAATTGAATATTGCCCAGATCAGCGAAATCCTTTGCCAGCTCTTGGGTCGTGATAATAAGGGGGTTGTTCAGTAATTTTAGGACCGAGGTCAGGTGTTTCCGTCTTGGCAAGCCATCCTTCGAGACCGGAGTTGACATGCAGGGGATGCCGCCGGCCGCAACAATGGCCCAAAAGTAGATTATGGCAACGTAATGGCTGTTAACATGAAGGAGAACAATATTGTTATTCTTAAGGTTCAGATGCGGGAGTAAATGCAAAGCTCGCTCATCTGCTGTCCTTGACAAGGCATTGTAAGACAAAGTAATATGGCCTTTTTCGAGAGGGGAGCCGTAAAGGATCATTGCCTTGCCGGTCGCATGTTGAGCAGTCTGGGTGAGGGTCTGTAGCAATGTTTGCGCCATCTTGGGTCTTTGTTTGTGGACTGTAGCTTGAAGAGGGACGTGGTTCGACGACCTGGGTGATGCAGAGATCGGAGAGCTTGGAAACAATAACCCAGTGCTGGCATCGAGATACCATCTTCGCTTCCCCCTATTCACTTCGACCCCCAGAGGCTCGAGAGACGTCACCGACATCGTCATTGTCAATAAATAACAACAATTCACCTCTCACTACCACCGGCTCACTTTTGAAGCTTGTAGATACCACTTGGCTTTATAAGCTTAGTAAAGTAAGCACTCAGTGCTCGATTATGCAGACTTTCAGAGGAAACAGGAAATCGTTCGTATCATAGCACTAAATCAGATCATAAACCCAGATGCTCTGAAACAAAGGGCCCCAAAATTGTAGACAGTCCCAAACTTCGGGAATTTGATGGACCACCTCCGCTTGGTTTTAAATTGGAGGTCCGATGTAAGAGAAGGTGGTAAGGAGTCGAGAAGAAATTTAGATCACGTGACGAATTCCTGACCGTCTGCAGCGGTTGATAGGCTTCTCGGGCCGACTCGATTCTAGCACTCTCCTGGCCGAAAATTCATAAGAATTTGCTGTAAAGTGCTTACGCAGAGCTCCAATTTTGGCTTTTTCCAAGATTATCGGCCACCGGTCGTGGCAACAGAGAGTTGGATACTCTCCAATGCGGCCAGAAACACCGAACCAGAAACGACCCGCTGCGAAGATCCAGAGACCTTTATGTAGGCTATAGTATATGCCACGATAGGTCAATTTCCTGTGGAGCTTTCAACTTGGCAGGAATGTGCAAGGTTGGTTTGCACGTTTGAAATTCGTAGTAGCGCACAGAATATCAAGAGCTTTCCGGTCACAAAAGGATGACCAGGAGACTGGATAATTGGCCTCGAGCTTGAATAAGCCGACAGGTAGCTCCTATGCTATGAAGCAGTCCTGGAGAAGCATTAGTATATTTGAGTAACATGGCAATGGGGTTGAACCTGAAGCATCTCTGCTTAAAATGCACTTGAAATGTATAGGAGATCTTGAATCAAATGTTTCTTCGAGACTGATTTATGGCAAAGCAGCTCAAGCTGATCGGGAGAGGTTTGCATTTGTAAAGAGGGAGACATGAAGCTGGTAAAGTATTTTCGGGGAACACGGGGATCTTTCACTTCCTGAGTGAGTGTACCACTCTGGATACCGAGAGAGAACTTGGTCTGTTGATTCATTTCTGCCTGGCCTCAAGGTTACTCAATATGGCTGGCGGAACCGGAAGCATGGCTTACCGGCATACGGCTTGCGTAACATTTCATGAAAAGAAATGTTTGCGTTGCACGCAGTAACGGGACGTGGCAGGGCCTAAGGTTTCGAGGGTCATTCGAACCGGAAGAGCTAAGCCAGTGGATTGCATTTACGTTAGTCATAGGTACCGATATGGACGCTGGCTATGATTGTAGGAACATGAACAAAAACGCGTTGAGGTAACCGCTTCAGAGAGGTCTTTCAAACCACGTCCACATAAGTGAGTGCTTGTTTGAAGATTCTGCCGGGTCTGTCAAACAGCCTTGATACAAGTCAATTCCCACGTTCCTCGATATGCTTGGAGTGAGGTGCCTGAGATTGTAGGAGTTACTCTTACCTTTGTCGCCCATAAGGATGGCCGCTGCATCTAGCAATATTTGAAGATCTTGGAAGATATATAGCATCTCTTTGAGCAAAGGCGATTGGTAACTTCCAAAAAATCACCAGGTCTGGGTATTGTCGGAGTGGAGTGTTCCAAGTCGTTCTTGCCCCGCTACCTTGATCAAGCAGCGTCGTAGTGTCTACTTGCTGTCGAATGCCTAAAATGGCCGATGGGCCTCTCTGAACAGCGTCTGAGCGTCACTTCGCACGTTCTAGAGAATGTTTGGGGATGGTGAAGAGGCGGTGAAATCGAAATCCCTTCACTGAGGGCTGGGGAGACAGGTTGTACAACATTCAGGTCGGCTGCGGTGGAAGGATTGCAGCGATGCTCGTGATGATGCGGGTCCTAGATTACTGGAATAGGAGTCCTTGACATGAACAGGGGATCAACAAGATACCGAGGGATCGAATGCTAGGCGCTTAGGGACTACGAGTAGAAACAAAGCAACGGATGTGAAGATAATAGAATGAAACATAAAGACAATCGAACGATTAATCACACGACAGATTGCCACGAGCAAGGACCCGTCCATTTCCCAGGTAAATCCGTTCAGAGGAGGTAGCGGCACTGGTCCATCGATGCGAGAAATCGAACCTAACTCCCACAATACATCACATCCTCATACAGTGCGGTCAAGCCCTGCCTCGATACTCCCAGTACAACCGTCTACCCTTCCCTAGGTTCTCAAGTCCCCTTTTCGTCCTCAGGGGCTGTGCGATCCATGCCGAGCTCGAGCTGGTCCCGTAAACAACGTCGATCTCGGCACCAAGTTCTCTTCGCTAATAAGATGGCATGTCTTAGGAGCCGGTAGCTTGCGCGCTTGCTGCCTTCCTTGGATGTGATACCTTCAAGACAACCTAAACTATACTGCGGGTGGTCTGGGTTCTCCGTCAAAGATCAGTGGCGAGGAGAGATATGGGAGAGTGGGGAAGAGATGGCAAGATACCAGAGGCCGCCATCATCTACTTGGGGACAAGATGAAAGATGCAGCATTCGGGTTCGAGCTGGGAATTGCTCCAGATCCAGATATCCGTCTTCTGCACGTGAGGTCCAACATACTGGCAGTCGTCCTGACATGCCTTCTTGACCATGCTGCTGCGGGTCTGAGGAGCACCTCGTGTTTCTGGAAAGCTTGGCTCAGCATTGAGAGGAGATATCTCTTGTTGGGAGGCATGGAATCAAGCATACCATCTTCAAGAGTGAAACTACCGGTTCCGAGTTCGAGTTTTGTCACGAATTCTAGCATCTGCGAACCCCGCCATGGAAGTCAACCAGTACTCTGAATACTTCTCTCATGGACGCAAATAGCCTCTCCAATCCCATCATGTTCGTGAAGTTCCATATGGGGCCCGCATCTTTCATATCCAACTAGAGGATGTTGGTTATCTCTTCTCGAATCGTATTGACTGAGATTGATTTGGTTGGCAAGGCCATTCGAGATATCAGTCAAATGACATGGAGGCGAAGGCCGAGTTCCCTTTGGTATCGACGAGGAGGACCGAGAAAGCAGAGGACCGAGCTAGCACCGAGAAGACATTGTATTGTTAAGGGCCCAACCTCAGGTCCAACATGATTGGAAGGTGATAAACTGTGTTCAAACATTCCATAAATTGTGGCTCCAGTGAGTTGACTTGACGAATGACTTCGCCTGGCAAGCCCCTCTTTCTACATCTCCTTGCCCAGGAGCTGCATTTCGCTTTGTACACAGCAGCAGACAGGCAAACTAGGTTGTCTGAAAGGACAGGTTGAGGCTTAAGTCAAACGGAAAAGATTGTTAGATTAATTTCCCCCAGGACCTCGCTCGCTTCGGAGTGTGAATCTCGGGCCGAAAATTAGGTTATTGCGGATTCAGTCTGATGGACAGTGGAAACTTGAGAGCTTTACCATGACGTTAGAAATTGATAAACTTGCAATATTGAGAGAAGGTGAAAGAATTGAGCATGAATAGGCAATCTTTCATCAGAGCATAAAGGAGAATACTGAAACCCTCGAGGTCTGTCACATCGGCACGGATTTACATTAGAGCGATGTCAAGGGTGCAAAAAGGTCACCGTAGAAGACATTGAAGGCATTCATCTCAGAGCACACTGCGAACTACAAAGGCTTCTGCCAGCAAGCTGGGCTTAATTTTCGTCTCCGAACATTGCTTGTACTGGACCTGCTGCAAGATGGATCCCATCAAGACCAGATAGCGCCGCTGCCTCTCCAAACCTAACGTTCAACAGTCTGAGGCGCATCCCCAATGTTGTTAAGATGCTGGATCAACTCTCCCCCGCTGCACCTGCCAGAGTGCGAGTGGTCCTCCTCCCCATCGGGCAGATCAAGCGCGCTCGGTTCCTCAGCTTCGTTGACAGATTACAGCCTGAGAATGTTGTGCGATTGGGGGACATCAGTCCAGATGGACGGCCGAATAGGAGTGAGACCTGCCCCGAGTCCCGAGTAGAGAAGCTCTGCTACAACAGTGCTAATGATTCACAGACATGTTCTCACCTCTAGCTTTCCCGACGGGAATGATTGTGTACGATCTCACGACTTTCTACCCTCCGAACACCCATCTCAGCCTCTCGCCCTTCGAGCTGTACCGCGAGCCTCTGGTTATTCTCGCCCTGGCAGATGGCGTAGAGCTGAACCATGTATCATATCGAGGGAAGACGAGAAGGAGTCTCAATGGAAATGGACCCCCTCGGCCAGAGCATAATATGCGAGAACTATACCAGGATTTGGAGGATCTCCGGGACAGATATCCAAAGGCACTGGTGCATCAATTGCTGTTGTTCGACTTCACCTTAAAGGAGAATGCTGCTGCTCTACCGGAAGGCTTAATTGCAGTACCACCTGCGGAGAAATGCAAGATAACAACCATGAAGACGATCATGTGCGATATATCTTCAATGCTGCTGGCAGAGATGACAACACTGGCCAAGTCGCTTCAGGCCTTGAACACCATCGACTCTCCAAGCAATTCCCAGGTCAGTCGTCAGCACAATGGATCTTCTTGGCCAACAATACAGGGTGAGATGCTCTCGCGGCGGAATTCCCAATATTCATTACCAGAGGATTCCCGGTCGTCATCACCGGCTGGAAGTGTTGATCGGAGCCATGTCCGAATGTCAATGCCTGTTTTTCCACCTGGCGCAGGTTCCAATTCCTCAACACCGTCTGGTCGGCCTACTACGCCTATGAATGGCATACCATCTGATGGCTCAAGTACCTTTGATGACACTGTGGGCCCAAATGGTTCCCCCAGAAATCTACAGAGAAACGTTCACCCTCGCCTAACTCCTGATCTCCGAAGCTCCAGCAGCGATCGAGTCTCAGTCCAGGGGTTTGGATCTAACAGCATCAGTGAACGCTCAAGAAATAAAGGCAAGAGTCGAGTTGGTATTGTGATAGGCTCGCTCTACATGATAGCTGGAAGATGGGGAGATGCCTTGAAGGAGTTGATTGATGCCGCCTACATCGCAAGAAATAACCTCGATCACTTGTGGCATGCCAAAGCCCTTGATAACATCATTGTCTGCATGCTCATGATTGCTTGGACTGGCCTAGACTTCCAGATCCCCCAAATCTGCTACGTTTCTACCGATCAGAAAGCAGTGATCCCAATTACTGCTGCGGATCAGCAAAAAAGTCCAACAAGTAATCGCCTGGTTGCTTTGCAAAACCTATCTGCACTGCTTCCAGAGCTGTTAGACAGGATCCTAAATCTCTATACCAGAGCCGCCAACAATACTGGAGAGTCATTACCTCAATATCCATTCTCCGAGTCTGTGATCCGGTTTTCGAAGTTACTTTCAGCGATTCATCTAGCTGGCGGAGTTCTGGACGACGATGTCTTGCAACTACTGGTTCGAGGAACGCCCATCAAAAAAAGCCCGAACCTCACTACACCTCGATTGAATATCCGCCCTGCAAGAACAGAAATCATCACTATCTTATTCCGAGCATTTCCAACGACATCATCACCAGAGAATTTACCTGTCGTCGACAGGACTATAATTTTGAGTGGAATTGCATCGGTCCTTGGTTCATTAGGCTATCATAGGAAGAAGGCGATGGTAACCCGTGAGTTGGTTTACGTTCTCATACCAGGTTTGGTTCAGGCGAGACTAAAAGGAGCTGCTGAGATGGGGGTCCATCCTGCTGCTGGATTGGCTGCCCTGAGTAATGTCAATGGCAATACGAACGGGGCAGGAGCCCTCGATTTGGGCGAAGGAGATGTGGAGGTTGGAGTGGATACGTTCCTCGGCTCACTCGGCCAAGCGTATGGCGTTGTTGCGTCCAAGTTGAGTGCTGCGGAAGACGACTCCATCGATGATTCAAATGAGGCAACGATTGCAAGAATCGTACAGAATGCCTCTATCCGGTCTTTCGGTGGCCGAAACCTCAAGCTGGATGTCCTTCGATCATGCATCAATTTCTCAGAAGCATTACCGGATTTTAACGGCGTTCTGAAGTTTACAGCGGACTTATTACGGACTGCTGGCAGCGGAGTGGCACCTGGACCTCGGAGTGAGGATGCATCGCCTTCGATGAGTCGAGACGAGCAAATTCGGCTTGCAACAAACATATCAAGAACACTTGGCGCAGCCAGGAACCTGGGCGTCAAGAACTTGACCGCTGAATACTGGGACGAATTCCTGGTCAGGGGCGTGGAGCTTGAGGCCTTGGCACCAACTCGAACGCCCATACCACACACACGCAATGAACTTCCGGGTGCATCCGCTGTTGCAGCATCACGAGAAGTCAACCCATTTATCTATAATCCATTTTTACGGACTCCGGATACTGCAGCCGTGGATCATCTGCTGGTTGCTGGAGAAGGAGCGATTTTCAAAGTTACTCTGCAGAATCCATACGAGTTTGATATTGAAATCGAGAATCTCAGGCTTGAGTCGGAAGGAGCTGAGTTTGAGTCTGGGACACAGAAGACCGTAATTGGCCCTTACCGAACTCAGATTCTCACGATATTTGGAACTCCAAAGGCTTCTGGCCAATTGAAGATAACTGGATGCGTCATCCGAGTCAGGGGATGTAGGGAAAGACGGTTCCCTATATTTGAAGAGCCTTGGTCACCCCGGGGAGAAGTGAAGATCAAAACCATTGGCGTCGCAGCACTTTTCAAGGAAAAGGATCGTCCCACCAGTGTTGGCTCAGGCTCCATTACGGCTACTTCGTCTATAATTCCGCCGAAGGCCACGTCCCTAGGACTGAATGTAATCGACAGACAACCCGTTGTGATTGTCAAATCCACCACTCTGTCCCAGTCTGCAGTCATGGTATTAGAAGGAGAGCGCCAGACATTTTCGATCACGCTACAAAATTTATCGAAAGAAACGCCAGTAGATCTACTCTTGTTTTCATTCAAAGATTCAACGCAAGGACCTCTCCAGCAAGCAATGAGCAATCGCGAAGCTTCCGCGGCAGAACTGTATGAATGCGAATTAATATATGCTCGCAAACAAGCCCTGCGCTGGAAGATGAAAGATAGTGAGAAACTGTATATTGATCCTGGTGGGACAGCAACGTTTGAGATGGAGATTCTTGGTAAGCCTGGGCTCACAAGTGCCGTTGTGCAAATCGATTACGCCCATCTTGGTGTACCTGCCGGTGACGTGCAAGACAAGTTCCACACAAGGCAAGTGAGCCTGCCACTGACCGTTACCGTCAACGCCAGCATTGAGCTGGCGAGGATGGATGTTCTGCCCCTTACAGGTAGCATTCCGAGATCTCTTTGGTCGAATGTCAACGGCGAAGACGAAGATGAGACTTTCACGCCAGATGACTATTGTCTTCTCCTGCTCGATCTTCGAAACGCTTGGCCGTGCCAGCTCCAGGTTCATCTTAATATCGCCAACGGTGGTGCCATTGATGAAGAGATCCTTCCTGGCAACACATCCCGTATAATGTTTCCAATTCGCCGGGTCCTCCTTGAAGATCCATCAGCATCGATACCAGCACTTGATCCCTCACGAGCAAGACAGTTCGTCGTGAGCACCGGCCGAGTATCTGCTGATACAGAACGAGCGAGCCGCGAAGCATTCTGGTACCGGGAGGAAATCCTCAAGATCCTTCACGGCGCCTGGGTTACAAAATCAGGGCCTCATAGGTATGGCGAGATCGAACTTCGAGGGCTCAGGTTGACTCCGCGCATGATTGAAGCCCTCAAGATCGACGATATCGGTATTGAACTTTCTGTCAACGGTATTGGAAGTCGTGACTTAAAGCAGGAGCTTTTCACAGACAGCTTCTCTGAGCTCAAAGTCAAGATCACGAACCGAACTTCAGGTACAATATCCCCATTCCTTCGCATCCAGCCTTCAATCAGGAATCAACCACACAATATTTCGCTCGACCTGTCAAAGAAGCTAGTCTGGAACGGCATCCAACAAGAAGTTCTCCCCGACCTCCCAGGCCACGAAACCGCCGAGATCCGTATTGGGCTAACGCCTCTCGCGAGAGGCGAATTCGAAATCAGCGCCTCCGTAGAAGAAGCTCGACTCCAAGAGTCTCCCCATGACGAAAAGCCAACTGAGGGAAGGAGACCGAGAGCAAATACAAGGACGATGATGGACGCTATTCTTGGCGCGAAAGAGAGGAGGATTTGGCATTCGAGAGAGCCGTGCATTGTTTTGGTCCGGGATGAGGACAGTGATGATGATGACAATGATGAGTAAATGTATAGTATTGCATATTGATCATATTTGAATAGCGAGCGAAAGAGCATAGATGGGGTTGCATTGGTGGATGATGATACCAATATTTAAGTGCTGTTTGGAGAGAGATGAGTTGAGTTGAGGATAGGGAATGGCAATGTTCTCGGGAATGAAAACAATGCTTTCCCGTTTACACTTTTGCTTCCCGAGATCTCCTCGCAATTTTCCATGAAGGTCTGTTGGTTTTGGTATTCTTGTTACTTTTGTCAGATTGTCCAAGGTCTCGTCGATTACACTCCTGATTGGGACAGCAATGTGTCACAAGAACTGCTGTGTAACATTCGACAATGCATTGACAGCAAACAAACCCTCCCCTTCCATGCGGCTCTGTCCATAATAAGTCATAAAGCACTTTAAACAAACATTCCAAGTTAATTCAGACATAGGGGATGGAAACAAAGTGAAGGCATGGCGCCTGCAGTCATCACCGAAGACTACTATCTTGTCCTAAAGGTCGACCAATCAGCAACCACAGAGACGATCACCAAGTCGTACAGGCAGCTAGCCCTCCTGCTTCACCCGGACAGGAATAAAAAGCACGACGCTACGGAAGCATTTCAGCTGGTGTGCCAGAGTTTCCTTACTTCAGAGAGGCTTCTTAATCTTTGTCATGTTTTCATGCCGTTACTGATGATTGCACCGGCAATAAAAAGCTAGGAGAAGCGTATGAAACACTCAAAGACGTGAACAAACGCCGAGCCTACGATGGCCTTTACCCTCAAATCAAATCCAAACCAACGACACGAGCGGCAAATGCTACTCCTAAGGCGCCTGGCACATCGAAGACGAAGCCAAAACAGGATGAAGAAGACATCAGCACAGAAATTACCGGCATTGCGGCGATAAACAAAGCGAGAGCCGAGCGCGCGGCCACATGGGTGAAAAGCAGGAAGGTGCACGACGATGCTATCTTCGAGCTAAAGCGAGAGATTCGGAAGCTGCAGGCTGCAATACGGGAGCTTGAGGAAAATGAGAAAGCGGAGAGGGATGAAGAGGCGGCGAAGAATAGTTGGACACGGTGGATGCTGAATCCGATTTATGGGAAGCCAGCTGAGACGGAAGAGGAGAAGGAGAAGAAGGGCAAGGTGAGGATTGATAGGATGCATAGTATACGCTTTAAGGAGCGAGAGCTGGGGAGAAAGGACGAAGACTTAAGGGTTTGGGAGGAGCGGTTGAGGGTCAAAGAAAGAGAAAAGGAGGTTGGGGATCAGAAAGATGATGCTGCTAGAAGTGTACTTGAGGAGGTTGTACTTCGGAAGAAAGAGAGAGCGAGGCGGGAGAAGGAAAGGATAGAGAAAGAGGCCAGGGAGAAGGCCCAGAGGGAAAGAATGGAGAAGGAGAGAGTTGAGAGAGAAGCAAGGACCAGAGCTTGGAAGGAGCAATTGGAAAGAGAGAGAATTGAGAGAGAAGCAAGGGAGAAAGCCCGGAGCGAGCAGCAAGCGAAATATTGGAGAGAATGGCATGAACGAGAGGCAGAAGCCAAACAACGGCAAAAGGAGGTTGATGAGGCAGCAAGAATCGCACTGGAGAAAGAACTAGAGAAAGCTCGTATCAAGCAAGAGGAAGAGCGAAGAAGGCGTTTCAGCGGGTATAATAACAACCCATGGGCACAAGCAGAACCAGCAAGGTCGTCCGGCGGGTCACGACACAAAACGCGATCCGGTGCCACGATTTCTCCCTGCCTTCACGAGGGCTGGTGGGACAAGATCGAGGGCCGATCGACTTGTGATAGTGTGCAGTTTCTCGTTACAGCTACTTGCTGCAATGCCCAGGGTGCAAGATGAAAGCGTGTGCGAGTTGCCAGCAGAAACTTCGACCGCCAAAAAGGAACGTAAACAGAATGAAGACAGACCAAGCACGGCATCACCGAGAGGCAGCTGCAAAAGATTCAGGGTATGGGGGCGATTATGATTGGGGTTACGATTACGATTGACACCTCTTCCTCTCGGTTCCGTTATTCGAGATCTCCTGAATCCCGAATTTGAAAAGGGGTAGATTGCACGTGATGGAGGTCAATTAGTCAGCATTGAAAGTGGGATTTCCGCCGCGCTGAACACCAAAGACTGAATCGTGCTCGGAGTTCCGTCACCTCTTTTACAACGATAAGAAAACCACGGTGAAGTATGGCGGGGCAGTCTTCCATTTTTATCTTTGTCATTTGCGAGTGTATTGGTTTCCGTTTCTCATCTCTTCCATATCTCTCCTTCCCTTCCCTTCCCTTCCCTTCCTCTACCGTTCTCCAAGTTTCGTTCTTTTCTTCAAACTTCACCTCTTCATAACAGCGGCAACGATGTCTCTCCCCACCCAGAACCGCCAATGGCTCACTACACAATCCGGCATCTCGAACATCGCCCTCTCCAGCTCTTCCCTCCCATCTCCAGGACCAGGTGAAGTACTGGTCAAGATCCATGCCGTCTCCCTCAACTACCGCGATACAGAAGTGATAATGGGCCTCTACAACCACCACTCCACTACCGGCTCCCAATCTTCTGCTTTGGTCCCTTGCTCCGACATGTGTGGCACCATCCTCCTATCCAACTCCCCTCGCTTCAAAACAGGCGAAAAGGTCCTTTCTATCTTCAATCAGACGCATTTGAAAGGCCAGGTTAAGGCAGAGCATATGAAGCATGGTCTGGGGTTTCCATTGGATGGTGTGCTGCAGGAATATAGGGTGTTTGATGCGGAGGCGTTGGTGAGCAAGCCGCCATATTTGAGTGATGAGGAGGCAGCTACGTTGCCAATTGCGGGGTTGACGGCTTGGATGGCGGTTAATGGGATGAGGACACTGGGACAGCCAGGTGGAAAGGGGGAGAAGGTATTGATCCAGGGGACTGGAGGCGTGGCGATTAGTGGGTTGCAGATTGCGAAGGCGAGTGGTGCTGAAGGTATGATTTATTCGGAGTGGGATGGGAGGGCAGGGCTGATGATGGGCAGTGATCATTACTTCTAGTTCGGATGAGAAACTCGAGCTGGCCCAGAATCTTGGGGCAGATAAGACAATTAACTATAAGACGAATCCAGAGTGGGAACAAGAGGTGCTGAAGATGACGGATGGCGAGGGGGTGGACATCATTTTCGAGAATGGCGGAGCCCAAACATTGAGGAAGTCGTTTGATTGTATTGCTTTTGGAGGATTAATCAACTGCATTGGATACCTGTCTGGCAAGGAAGACGCCATGGGAGATAGGACCAATACGAATGTGCTGGCATTGAGGAGGAATGTCACATTGAAAGGGCTGTTGAACGGGCCGCGGGAGAGACTGGAGGAGATGTTGAAATTTTATGATGAGAAGAAGATTAACCCGGTGGTGGATAGGGTGTTCAGTTTCGAGGAGGCGAAGGAAGGGTTTGAGTATTTGTTCAAAGGGGGCCATTTCGGGAAGGTTGTCGTCAAAGTTGATTGAGACCGAGTAACCTTAAGTTAATATACTTGGACAAAATAATCAAGAGGCCCAACATCAAAGTTGAAGAGGACTTGAGATAGTGGGGATTGCCAACTTGGAGTTGGTTCTTTTAGTATGGTGGTCTTTGTCCAATTTGGTTTGCAAGCATGACATTTTAGCATGGTTATCATCAATGTTCCTTGAGATTTGGACATTGCTCTCCGAGGCAGCACCGTCGCACCTATATTTCGGTGAATTCTTCCTCTTTGTGTCTCGCGTTGCTGTTATGACGTACTGTTGCCTTGCAGATTCCAAAAGCGAACGTCTAGCGGTCTTCCTCGTTCATAAATTTACCTCCCTCATCCCCCCAGTCCTCTTCTCCCACTTATCATCTTTCAACACCTTCAACACCGCGCTATTTTGCCTTTTGCTTTCCCTTACTTTACTCGTCTAGATCCCAAATCGCCGCAAAAGGTCTCCAAGATGGCGGCAGAGAATAAACTTAGGGTCAAGCTTGGCAAGCCGATTCCTGACCTTAATGCCCACGGGTGCCTCTACGTCCATCAAGGCGACGATCAAAACGCTCTTGCTGTCTCCTTCAAGCGCACTATCCGCGTTGTAAGTCTTCCCGTCTTTTTGCGCTATTGGAAAGAGCTGACTAGGACACAGCCTGATGATGGCACTACTTATCATCTTCCGCCAAACCTTGGAAACTTCCCTCTTTATAATGTTGCTCATTACGAGGAGACTCTTCCCGAGGGCATGATGCTCAAGGGCGGTTGTTTCATGCCTGTTCATGGTCCGTCTCATCTTCCATTGCCATCTTAGCTAGTCTGTTTAGACCCCTAGCTTATACAAAGCAACAGTACGGGAGGCTCTTTGGATCCGCTTCAAGTCTACCCGCCCTTTCGCAGTCAAGGTCCTCCTTGGAGGCATTAACGCCATCTCTGGTGAGCCCATCCCCGAGACCTTCGCCACTGCCCTCCGTCGAGCCCGCCTTCTCAATGAGCAAAAGCCCATCCAAGACTACGCTGTTATTGAACCCGCCAATCATTCGCAGCTTTGGCTTGATGGTATTGCAAAGCAAAATGGCACAGTCGCGCAATTCGTCGCAGTTCCCACTGGCTCTGGATACTCGGTCGAGGCACAGATCGCAAATGATGATACTGTTGGCGGCATTCAGATCATGGTTACTCCGATCAAGAAGGCTAGCTTTGGTGTCATTCAGGTTAATCGTCTTGGAGGATCCTCAATCTTCTTAAAGGTCCGAATCAGTCACACGGTCTTCAAGTTGTTAAAAGCCATTTCTGAGCGCACTGAAATTCCTGTTGAGCAGATGGCTCTTCTGTACCAAAATCGTCGCCTCGAGAAGGGTAACTCTGTCCCTACTCTCTTATCATTTTTATAGCTAACTCAAGCAGACCGTCTGCTCTACTCTTATGGTATCGAAGACGTAAGTCACTCAGAATCCGATTTCCACAAAAGCATTCAAAGCTAATCACCGTTTAGAAATCCATCATAAACCTGGTCTTCAACCTCCAAGGTGGCGGTGCCCTCATCCCTGCTCACCCAATTCCCAACGGTGAGATGTCCCTCGGCGTTGGTGGTCTCATCAAGCAATCTATCCTCCGCGATCCTCACCCGTCTTCCGCGTGGGACAATGACAACACAGCCATGTTTAACATCCAACTCTTGTCGGCCGACGTCTTTGAACGCGTTACCGGCACCGCACCACCTCCTTCCCCAGTCACGGCTGAGAGTTATGCTGCTGCTGGTCTGCCATTCTTTGAGATTCAGGGCGAGCAAGGTCAGGGGGTGCAAGGATTGTTCTCCGATATCAAGAGCGTTGGCCAGATTGATGAGGGGAATGGAGTGGGTGGCTTGGAGAAGGAGTTGGCGTTCCCAACCGTCGAGCTGGATAAGACTGGCCAGAGAGTCGGATTTAGGGGTGTCGATCAATTGATTGCAGATGTCAAGGCTTGGGGCATTGAGACCGCTTTTTGAGGCAGATGAAGGCGTTCGCGATCATCTCGCTCAGAGATGAGATAATGAATGAGGGGTAACTGGTCACTGGGGAGGATACCTTGTATCTAATTTTGGGAGTTCTGCGATCCTGGGCTGGACAGACACTCAAGGAGTCAATGGGTTCAGTTTCAGTTTCTTCTTCTGAGAACAAACCTGGATAGGAATGGCTTACGGATGCTCCGCTGGCATGCGTTGAGCTGTATAACAGGCCGCGAACTACCGAGAATTTGGGACAAGTCTTTTACTTCCCACATTTCTTCTTCTCCAGTGTTTATTTGATGTCCTGATTTGATAACTGTTTAGTTCCGATTCTGGTTAAGCAAATGACGTTCACGAGTCTCTCACACAAGCACCACCTGAGCTTAGCTCCCTCTTCACCAGGAACTACGGAGGGCTTATTGGTGATCTACAGTTAAGCTTACAATAAAACTTAACTTAAAGTCTCTACTCTAGCCTCGGATGAGCCTCCGTTCCGTTCATGAGCGCCACCTAGAAATCTCTCTGATCTGTGTTGTTAGTAACTTAGGCATTTTAAAATCCCATACCTCCCTCTGCCAGGGGGTTTATCCTTTCTCACTTCGGTTCGTTTTCATTTGTACTCTTTTAAAACCCTCAAGTTGAGATCTCTCTTCTTCCACGCCGCGCTGGCCGCTTTGCCCCTTTCCACCTCAGCATTTCCCCATGTGGCAGAAAATGTGGCAACTCGGTTTGCATCTGCTTCACTAAGAAACCCTGAGAAGCGAGCAGTGACTTCCGATCCCGCAACTCAACTGGTAGATGTAACAGGCAAGCATGCTTTCGTGCCACCCAACTTTGACGCTGGAGATCAGAGTGGTCTATGAACCGGTCTGGGTGCTTTAGTAAATCACAACTACCTCCCTCACAACGGAGTAGCAGCCTGGACAGACATCGCCACCCAGATAGTCTTAGGTATTTCCCATGCCTCAAGCCCTGATTCCCCCTGCTGACCAAGGAAAGTCTAAGGTCTCGGCGTAGGCATCGCCAGCTTCCTCGCCATCTGCAGCGCAATCTTGAACGGCAACATCCTCTCCCTTGACCCAGTTAATTCGATTAGCGGACCGCTCTCCGCAGACAAGAATATACTAAGTGGGCTCGGCCTCCTCGGCATACCACAAGGCCTTTCTGGGATGTTTTCTATTGGTGGCGACACGTGGAAAGTGGATCCCTAAGCTGTTCTTAATCTAGGGAATTTGACGGGGAGATTTACAATAGTGCTCATTTGTTGGAGGGGAGTAATTTCTAGTGCTTTGTGTTCCAGAGTTTGTTCGCGGTGGCACCGGATGTGTTGAAGGAGGTTACAATGATCCGAGTGGGCCGATGGAGAGCTTGCTGGAGAGCGTCAACACGATTATTGGACCATATGTGTCCGAGGATTGAGAGCTTGAATGAGGGGTAGTTTGCGTAGTATCCGGGGGCGAAGACGAGTTCTTCTGGTGACGGAATTCTGTAAATGACACTCTTGGGTGGTTTTGGAACGGGTTGGAGCATGGAATGAAGTTACCTCATACGAGCCATTGTAAGATTACAAGATACGAGTGAGGACAGTCGCAGCAATGTTCCTGCTTGGCTCGTACATTCTGCAAGCAATGCAAGCAAGCTCTCTGCAACCTCAGTTTCTGCCCCTCTGGTATACCGCCAACTCCTCTCTATCCTTCATCGCCAACATCATTCCCTCATCCCGCATATAATCCCCCGTGCTGTGGTAGGACATGGCGTTTCTTCTCTCCCTCTTCCGCAACGACAATTCTCCCGTCTTCCGTTCTATTTTCTTGCCCATCCCCTTTGCCCACTTCTCGATCTTCTTAATGACGCGTTTTCCGAAGCGTGTCATCTTCCGCAGGCCTCTCTTCAGTCCGTTTTCCTTCTCGTCGATCTCGATACTCTCGCGGATCTCGTGATCAGGAACCTCCTCAGTAACCGTAGCCGTAATCTGGACTTTCCCCTCAAAGGGCTCTTTGAAATGCGCTCTGCTGGGCTTCCAGTTCAATGGTGCCGAATCTGGTGCCCTCATTTTGACTTGTTGAACGGTGGCTTGCTGGATAAGGGGATTTATTGCACGAAAGCTGGTTGGACAATGAGATTAGCAGTGCCTCAACGTTCTAGAGGAATTAGAGGCATTACCGGTGAGGACTTCTTCAGTGTACCAATTGATCTGGTAGATTGAAGTTTCGAAGGTTCGGGACTCTTCTGGCAAAATAGAAGAAAGATCGGTGAATAGCCCCTAAATCTCTCCGGTATCGATATCAGAGCCTCGTCCTCATAGCGCCCACGTGAGGACAAGGCTATCCGCATCTGCATGAGGACGAGGCTCCAGAACAGAAAACGAACACCAACTTCCACCTCTTCATTCAATTTTTCTTTCCCACAACCACAGCATCCTTCCACATCGCACCTCGCACAGCGGCAAAGCAGTGCTTGACAGCCAACTGCAGTTGGTTCCATCTCCTTTTCTGTGAAAGAGGACGTACTGGGTAAGTCCTTTTCTGTTTGTTTATTACCCGTTTCGGCGGGTCCGGCTCGCGTTCAGGGAGGAGCACAATCTCTCGGTCGGCGTCAGTTTGGGAGCATCGAGATATCTTGCCGTTCACCCCTTCTGCCTCCTCAGATATGCTGTTGATCATTCTATCTCTGTTGCTGGACATGTTGTTCTTTGTTGGAACGGTGTCGGTCCTGCTCGGCTTCATGAGACAGTGGAGCGAACTGTCGGCGTCAGTTTTGGAGAATTTTGGGTCATCTCCTGTCCTTTCCACCCTTCGCACCTTCATTGATCCCCTGATCATCCTCCGCTTCTTCCTGAATATCCGGTCATTAGTATCCGGCTCACGTTTGTGAGGTGTTGGGTGCGAGCCGGTGTCGATGCCGGCTCGTTCATAAACACTACCTCTTGTGTGCTTCCAGCTGCTGTATCTCTCCCCCCTGAGCACCATAGTACCCTTTCCTATGCCGCTGGGCTCTTGAAATCCAGAATTGGGGGTTGGAGTTGTATTGCCATTGGAAGTGCTGTTCCGATCTCTCCCTTTATCGTTTGTTCCGTCATTCAGGACAAGTGCACAAAACAAACACACCCTCAAAATTATCTACGAAACCCCCTTACTGTGTCTCAAAGATCTACTTTTCTGGCGTCAAAAGAAATATTTGCAAGAAACTAACTGGCGAACAGAGAATAGAACATCACAGAAAGGCCGCAAACATACTAGCTGTATTGCACGTCAAAAGATGTCGCAGAATCCAAGCCCTCACCCACACCCAAGTAACCTCACTTGGGGGCTGGGTGTTCCTGGTCGACCGAGCACACCGTCTGAGGGATTTGCACAGGTGAAATGCTATAATCCACTGGGGGTAACGGAGCTAACACTGGCAAACCAGGCGTACCATCGTGTCGGACCGGCAGCCACGCAGAGGACTAGAAAGTTTGACAATGGTACCTGTCTCAGTTTTGGACCACTGGTAAGAAGAAGAGCGAAGACTTGTGTTTGTTATGTATAGCTAACAACTTGTCAGGATCCTGTTGATGAGTTTGATGCTGACGCCGGGCATCCATTCATGAACCAAATTGCTTTAGTCGACAAAGCTATTCGAGACATCAAAGTTACTAGACAAAGATACGAAGGAGAGGCTCGGGTTGCCACTCGTATCAACACCGAGGAGGATGGAGAAAGCATCAACAGCGGAGAGACTGCACAACCAGATCCCTTCGATGATTTTCGAACCCAGAAGCTAGATCCGACCAGCCTCACAAAAGTCACTCTCGAATCCGGAACCTATACCCAAGTCCCGTCGAGATTCGCCAGTCTGTCTAACACGGTCTCCGTTTACTCGGTAGCCAACAAGTCTGATGTGCCTGGAGCTGCACATATGGGAAGTTCCGTTGACACCCGATTCGGCAATGCTGGCAAACAAGTCATCGCACAAATCAACGAATCCGGCACTCTGCAACAGCATCTGAAGCGAGAGAACACGAGATTTCGACTCCGGCGATACAATGAGCAGATGAACATCGAGGAGATTCGACGAACTTACGTCCCACGTCTTGGCCGTCAGACGCACAGTACCACTGGCTTGAGGAACACCCGTGTCAATCGCCAGCAACAGCAAGTCATTGACGGTAGTGGCATGCATCAAAACAACAATGCCAATCTCCGCCAACAGAAAGTCGTTGAGAATAATGGAAATCATCGCCAAGCTAATGTCAATGAACAAGCAGAGCAAACGGTTGAGGGTGACGAAAAAGTTCGGCGTGTCTTGACCGATCAGAAGGCAAAACACATCGTTCAGGGCACTAGCAAGATGGATCCACCGGCTCGTCCCATCTCGGCGACTCTGGTTGGTAGCTCATCATTCTCTACTCGGGCCGGAAAGGTTGAAGGCTATCCACCCGACTTTCCAAAGAATATCAACCGGCCATTGCATCCAGGTCAGCAGAACGCCAACAGGCTCCATGCGGAACAACTTATGCGGGAGCGTCGGTTGGCACATGGCAACTCGGGTTCATCCGAGCAAGTCCGCGGCTCTGGCAGTTTTGCTGATGATCAAGCACCTGGTGCTCTGGCTGCCCGCGCCGCTCAAATGGTCCCGCGTACTGGAAGCCTTCCAGGTGCTTTCATGCAAAGCTATCAACACATCGAGAATACTCGTACCTCCCAGGCGTCTCTCTATCACAAAGGCACCTTCACCGAAGAGAACACCCGTGACGGTATGGCTCCTCCGAATAACCAGTTGAGGCTTCCCAGCATGGACGAAATGCTCGCCGGAGGTTTGAGCGAACCAGCTGTTATGCATGATAGCAACGTTGGTGGTGTACACAACTTTGGCCTTCGGGGTCCTGTGACACAACATCCATTCGGTGAGCAGATCCTCTTACACGCACCACTGGGTGCTCGAGACAGACACGCTCGCGCAGGCACTCCAACCCACCCACCATTTCGGAGCAGTATTTCGCTTCAGGAGATCACCAACATGCAGAGCGGATTCGGTAACCTAGGTGTTGATGACCCTTTTGCCGATCACAACATGCTTACGCCACAAGGTATGCTTGGTGGTGGGGCCATTGCAGAGTTTAGGAAGAGAAATCGCCGTGGCCAACGGAGCAATCGTGGTGCATTTTCTCAGCGGGCCGATTCGGAATACGCTCGGTTCATGGATGAGATGAACGCGGATTCTCGAAGCCGGGGTGATGAGTTCTTGGCAGGAGATATGCTGAGTGGTCATGCTTCAGCCCAGATCACACTCAACATTCAGCCGCCTTCGCCATTGCCAAAGACTAGCGCGAATGATGACGACGAGTTTGACGACGACGAGGATGGTGAGACTGTCAAGCCAGAAGAGCAAGAGGCCTGGTCCGATTTGATGACGAGCCCCGACCGCAAGGTGCCTGCACATCACCACAACCCTGCGATCTTTGACGCTGCGACGGCTTCATTCATTGTTCCCTCCAGACGCAGCCCGCATCTCCTTGCAGCCACAAGACCGCCAACACAATCCCCTCCTCTCCCTGCCCTGCAAGGTGGTCGCAATTCCGTTCCGCCTCGCTCCCGCCCGGCTCTGTTGTCGCCAATTGAAATGCTTCAGGGGGCCCGTGACAGTACTGCCACTTCGTTGGACATTGCTGCACTTCGTCAGCGTTTGACTGCTGAGAGTAATCTCATCTTTGGAGAGCGGCCTGGTAGCATCAGTACCAGAGATCCATCCCCAGCTGGTACATTGAGACGGAGTGTATCCGGCCGCCGTTTATACGAGAGGTGATTCGATGGGACGTGTATGGAACAATTGGAATGGATTGTAACTGTAGTAACAAGAACATTCAAAGTCGTACTTAGCAAATTGAAATGATGCAGCTGTATCTCACGTGCGAACATTGCACAAAATGGTTGTGAAGGGTGGAGAGTGAAGATTGATGTAGTCGCATTTCGCGCTAACGACATTGGAAGGTTAAGCGGGGTACTGTACAAGGGTACGCGCGACACGTCTCCCAACTGCCCATGCTCTTCTTTCTTCTATTCACACCATGAGGTTCAAGACTTCAGTTCGAAATATCCAAACTTTCTCGAGTGGGTCTTCCTCCCTCGAGCCTAGAAACCCCACTGACCAGATTCATCAGAGCTCACTGCTTCGCTATCGTCTTTAGGAAAGGTAGCATGGGTCCGCCTCGACGATGATGCTGTACGCTTCACAATCATCCCGGAGACAGGCACTCAAGTATGGGCGTAAGTAATCGAAGCACCACCTACAAATCACCTTCTGACGCTCTGCAGCTCATTGTCTATCGAATCCATCTTCGAAGACTACACGATCCAATCCGCCGCTCCGAACAATACCATCAACCTCGAGTTACCCCTCCCGCCGCTGCACCGCGCTTTGAAGTCTGCTATTAATGCAACATCCGCCTCGATCCGACTCACAAAGAAAGATGGAATTCCAGTCCTCTCCCTCACAATCATCACAAACACAATGAGCAGCGGGAACAGTGCGAACGGGTTCTTGAACGGAGCAAATGCAGATCCATTCGGCGACAATGCATTCCGAGAGGAAGCTCTCGATGCAAACATGAGAGACCGAGAGACAGTTGTCACGCAAGATATCCCTATCCGAGTCTTGACTGCCGTCAGCGTAGAAGGGATTCATGAGCCTCGAGTTCGAGAACCAGATGCACATATTATTCTTCCCTCTCTCATCCAACTCAAGGCCATCTCTGACCGATTCACGAAACTCGCGATGGCCACAACAACTAGTACGAAAAGCGGAAGTTCTAGTGCTGTGGCTCCGAAGCTGGAGTTGGCTGCAAATATGCATGGGAGTCTGAAGCTTAGCATTGCTACAGATTCGCTGAATATCTCGAGTGTGTGGACTGGTCTTACAAATCCGGAGCTGGATCCTGGGCAGATTGAGGATGGGGACTTGGAGAATCTTCCGAGTGCGAAGTTGAAGGCTGCGGGGCCTGATGCTTGGTCGACGGTTAGGATTGATGGGCGTGATTGGGGAAAGGTGTTGAGTGTTGGGCGACTTGGTGGGAGGGTGATTGCATGTTTTGCTGATGAGCATGCTCTGATTCTTTACGTCTATCTATCTAACTACGATGATGGAGCGGATGAATCGGTATTGACCGTAATCGCTCCGCTGCATTTTCCATGACACCAGCTAACGTCTTCTGCAGTATTATATCTCCTCGTTCAGCGTATGAGTGCGATCCTTGGCATATAAAATTGACTTTAGCGACGGCGTTCGGGATTGATACCATCACCATTTGCTTTATATGAGTAGGAGGTGTATGATCAAAACTGTGGGGACATTAATAATACTAAGTTCACCTTTTGCAAAATATGAAATGCCTTCCCAACCTGGCCAAGCCCGATTTCTCTTATCGTATGTATGCTCCTCCAAAGTCTGGAGAACTGGCCATCACACATTCTCATCGCTGTCCCTGGACAACGATACCTTTCTGTGTGTCCCAGTCAGGATATTGTCATTCCCGAACTCACCATTGTCCCACTTCACCAAGGATATCGCATCCCTTCCTCCTTTCATAACCTATCCCTCTCTCAAATCTTCATCCCATGTCTTCTGATCCTTTGACAATAACCTTGTGCCTGACAACCATCTCATCTCCTTCGTCTGCGAAGAACTCCTTGACCTAGACACAACTGTCCCAAACATCCCCGAAGAACCAAAATCAAGGGTCACAGCATCCCCACAGTGTGTATCCTATGAAAAAGACGGATCCCAACCTACCGTCCCATGCTGCACTTGTTGCTTGTTGCTACAGTGCTGCAGAGAAATATCTCTCACACCCCCTTTTTACGCTATTCTTTTACTCACAAACCTCTTCTCCCTATCACTATCTTCTTCTAATCTCTTTCACTGCTCACTTTCAATGTCGTAACCATCCTTGTACATACATCCTAGCACCAACACCCTTCGTATTTTCTTGGTGAAAGAATGCAAATGTGGTGGATAAAGCCAGATTACCCGGCCGACATGCAACAATACATATCTTGCCTCCTGTTCCTATCACATGGTGTTCTTGTGCCTGACGGAGGATGACATTCAAGTCGCATCTGGAAGGTGTGAAAAGCGGTTGGGGAGGTGATGTGGAGATTGTGGCTGGGACAGTGTCATGAGGCGGGATGTTAATATATTTTCGGGGTGGAAGATGGCTGTTGCGGGAAGCGAGGGTCATCGGAGGATGGTGAGTGGTGGGTAATAATAGGACTCTGTTCGGGTAAATAGGGGAGCGAGGGGACTAGGGCTGTGTGATATCCGAGCGGAACATTTGAATTTGAGTGTTGTCTTTCGGTTGAGCGGTTGGCTGACAGCAGTGTGTCAAATGAGTAGTGTAGAGTAGAGTAGTGGGTCCTACTCATACTCTACTCAACCAATTAGAGCGCTACTTATGAGTAGTATGAGTAGTGTGAGGAGGTACCCACGTGATAGGTGCACGTGATAGGTTAGCCTAATTAGGTAAGCCTCTCATCTAGCACCGCTCTAGCGCTATTTCTCTACCCAATTAGGCGGTGGCATTACTTAGTAAGTAGAGGGAAATCAAGATTCTGAGGAGGGTAACTAGTTTATTATTATAGAAAACTAGTATTTAGCTAGTATTATATAAGCCCTAACTTATCTTTACTAGAGCTACTTAATAATTGCCTTTATTATTTAAGTATTATTAAATAAATCTTAATTTATAATTGTCACGTGACGGCTTCTCATAACTACCATACTACTCATGAGTATATACTCTACTCTACTCAAATTTTTAGAACATTACGCTACTCATATTCTACTCACGCTACTCATGAATATTCATGAGTAGTATGAGTAGCATGAGTGGTTCTTTGACACACTGGCTGACAGCCGGTTGCTGGGTTTGCGAAGCAGTTCGTTGATCGAATCCGGGGCGAACATTCATAGTTGGAATTCTTACCCTTGCTTTGGCACTTGGCAGAAATTCAGTGTTCAAGTTCAGTTAGCACATTAACCTGAAGTTTCCAAGCCACTGCATGGTTTCCAGATGCACGTCTATCATAGCGGGTGTAAGCCTTTAAATCACATGTATTAGTGCCTTCGCAGCCCTGAACCTGTCCGTATGCCCTGTATTCCCGTCACTTTATGCCGTTGTCTACGTATAGCATGCGAGGCGGAAAATCTCATCCACTGTCCCGAGTTCCTATCATTGATCGCGGAGGGTGGTCAACTTGCCCAAAGTCTTGTTCAAATGTTAATGAAGCGTATTAGCTGATTTAGGGTGGGAATATCTCAAGTTGAGTATAAAGAAGCTATTTCTGAATATCTATGCTTATCAAAGTGATGTGACTATGAGATTATAGAGCCATTCCCATTCTCAATCAAGGCGAAAAATGCCCGTTTTCCTGACGTCGATACATTTGCGATTTAGTAGCCGCCGTCGAATGTAACGGAGACTTTCTGCTCGCAGGGATGTCGGTTATTTCTCTGGAATTTCTATCAAAAGGGAGGAAAGTTTCGTGCCCAGCCGTCCACCGCAATTGCAAAAGCCTCTCGGGGCATTCCTAACCCTCGGCGTACCCGGCAAAATCATCGCAAAAGCTATTGCACCGAGCATGCTCAACGGTAAGTTGCGTAATTCTAGGGTGGCTTGACAGAGCGAATCGGCAGTGCGATTGAGAAAACGTTTACAGAAAGCAGCGGGAACATAGAGGAGCTAAGAGCTGAGATACTGTAGTAGGAATGAAGACATGCCGTGATTGGTAAAAGACGAGTTGGACTTGGGTATGCGGGAGATTCGATTATAGTGGGCATACATGGTTTATATTATGGTCCGCTGTCACGGCCTGGACAAGCTGTGGAAGTGGAATGTGGGTATGTTTTGTGTAAATATGTAAGAATGATCCAGCCCTAATGGCGGTGAAGAAGCTATATATATGCCTGTGCGCAGAACGTGACATCCGCAGATAATATTTCTTCCCTCTCCAAGCAAATTTTCTTCCACCTGTTGTGGTGTGGCAGAATATCACATGTCCTCTTTCAAAGCCGCCTTCTGCTTCAACGCTTTCTTCTCTTTTAGCGCCGCCTGCTCCTTCAGCGCCGCCTTCGCTTTCAGGGCTTTCTTCTGCTTCAAGGCTGCCTGCTCTATCAAGGCCGTCTGCGTCTTCAGGGCTTTCTTCTGCTTCAAGGCTGCTTGCTCTTTCAAGGCCGCCTGCATCTTTAGGGCTTTCCTCTCCTTCAAAGCCGCCTGCTTTTTCAAGGCTGCCTGCTTCTTCAGGGTTTTCTTCTTCTGCTTCAAGTCTGCTTGCGTCTTTAGGGCTTTCCTCTCCTTTAAAGCTACTTGTTCTTTCAAGGCTGCCTGCTTCTTCAGGGCTTTCTTCTTCTGCTTCAAGGCTGCTTGCTCTTTCAAGGCTGCCTGCTTCTTCAGGGTTTTATTCTTCTGCTTCAAGGCTGCTTGCTCTTTCAATGCCGCCTGTGTCTTCAGCGCTGCCTTCGCTTTCAAGGCTTTCTTCTCTTTTAACGCCGCCTGCTCTTTCAACAGAAGGCTATTTTCGTCAAATTCGCTCTTTTGGGCACGAGTAATTACTCCATCTTTCACGGCACATTTTGAGGTATCCTTAACTCTCGCTTTCTCCGAAATTCCCTTTACTAATCTCCAGCATCGTACCCCCTGGGCTAGCGTTCCAAACCTTTCAACCCAGGCATTCGTCTGATCAACTGGCCATATCTGGTAGATGAAATCCTCAGCTCCTTTCACCATCGGATGGACCATTTCGAGTCGCAACCTAGTACCACCTTCCTTTTCTCTTTTCAAAATCGGCTCCTCTATTGCCTGGTAATTCGTTTGTCCAGAGGGATGAAATCTTTCCGGAGGGGGCGATAATACTATAACCCTTTCACCTCTTAAGATATGCCATGCAAAAAGAGCCGAAGCGCCTTTTATGTATTTGCTCCATCCCCCGCTCGATTTCTGGCTCTTCAAGCATAGTGGATGCCCTGGGGTCATCAAAGGGCCCATTGCCGTAGTTAGCGTTGCCATATTATGTTCATCTGCCCATGCCTGAGCACATTCCCGTAGTATGCCACTCCACATAACTTGATTGTTCCGACACCATGTGCTGTGGAATTGTTGATGGATTTGCAGTTCCTCGTCGGTTGTTAAATACTGACGAAAGGCTGTAATAACAACTGGCATAGACCCTTCGGCATTCTTGGAGAGAATCGTTTCGCAAGTACTGTCGAAGTATATTCTATCCATTGGGTCTTTTCCATATGAACGAAGAAAGGGATACCATGGTGGTGCCACTCATATATTGACTACCCCGCACTTGACTGTCACGTGCTTTGTCTCGAAGAGCCTCCTCGTAGTCTACTACGAAGGTAATATAACCTCCATCTCCCTTTGTAGGAAGTTCGCAATTCATTCCTCGGAGATCGGCATTATCGGCATCAATAGCGGTAAGTATGAACTGCATTTTTCGTTGAGATTGACCTCAAAACTCTTCAATCACAATACCGTATAAATTGGGGAGAGTATTTCTACGGGACAGTGTTACTTTCTCCTGGACGCCAGCCTATTGAGTAAAACATTAAGCAAAACGCTTGTAAGCTAAGTAAATGACTTTATTGCTTACATTACCGGAGATAGTAATTGTCAGAACATTGTTAAGGTATTGAAAATTCGTGTGCAGTGCAGTAACTTTAGGTTTGAGCACAATCAAAGTATAATTAATAAACACCCACGAAAGGTATCTTGCATATGTAAATAGGTATGAATCGAGAATAGTTGAAATTTAGGATTAGGGAGCTATGAGCCCAGTAATGTTTCATGATGTACTTATTTACTAGGGGATTCTCGCCACGCAGGGATGTCGGTTGGAGTCCGATACCTACCTAGTCTCTGAAGCAAAGGCTGTCAAGCAATAATAGATGAAAACATGGCTGATGTAGCCTCCATGGATTATTTCAGGCAGCAGTATCAGCCTGAAACAGAATGCCTAGGCTAGTCCTTATCGGGAAGGCTACACAGGATTTGCAGCTCCCCCCCTGTTTGAGGTTGCTGTACAGCCGCGCGCTAACTGCAAACCCAGCATTTACCTGCACAGGAACGAACTTCAGAGAATTAAGACAAACCAACTTTTATCCCGTCCGCTTTTGCTAACTTTCACAGAGTTTCCAAGCTATAAATAGCTTAGCGCGCAGTTCTCGCTCAAATTTACATGTGCTCCGTCGGACTCCACCACTCACTGAAGGCGTGCTCTATTTCTGGATTGCATGGCGTCTCCCCGCACCTGGAAATGGCCTCCTACAGCAACCAAACTGGGTTGCAAGGAGACACAGGGGCCAAAGTTCTCTCCTCTTAGAAGTGGGTAATTATAGTAAACAGTCCATTATTCTCAAAACTTATTTGCTAACAGACAGGTATAGGGAGGGCGAAGATACCCAGGCTCACAGTCAGTTGGAAAATTCTCAGAGCCACAGCGAGGCAGAGGAGACTCAGACTCACAGCGGCATGGAAGACACTCGGAATAGTAGTGAGGGGGAAGACAACCAAAGCCACAATGAGGAGGAGGATGCCGGGAGTCAGTCAGGAGGAAGATACCCCGGATCCTTTGAAAGTAGAAAGCTCAAAGTACAAAACACCTTCCACAGGTCTCGGAAAACTTTCTCATACTCTCCGCTTGGACGCCGTCTACCTATTTTTCCAAGAAATTCGGGGCCACTCTGTTGTCGAGGAAAAGAAAGTCGCAATACTTGGTGACATGCGCTCGGCCTGCTATGTCTCATTACTCCACATTCTCCCAACTACGGCTTCAATCACACTTTTGGTCCTCAACTGGAAGGGCTATTACATAGGAGATGAGCTGCAGGGGCCAGTAGGGCAGGATGGACTGCGATTCTTGGGTCTACAATTTGCTTCAAAGATGCTCGAATTACTTGCTGTGGCCTCTCTCTCCACTATTCTGTTTGCCTTAATTCGTTCCCTGTTAATATACGACACTTTGCCTTTTGGAGCCATGACTACTGGATTTGAGTTCAACAATATATCCTTACTTTGGTCCAAGGAATTTGTTGCCACCTGTGGTGCTACAACATTCTCTTCCTCGCGCACAAAAATTCTTTTGGTTTCAACAATCGTTGTCTTTACCATTCTTGGTGCGACCATCGGACCCTCAGCGGCCGTAGCCTCTCAGCCAGTTCTTCGCAACTGGCCAGGAGGGGGGACGGTGTTTTGGCTGAACGCAACGTCTCAAGAGCTATGGCCGTCGCATTTGGATGGAGTGGGATTGCCAGACTTACCTTGCATTTCTTCCCAGAATGCTTCGTGTGTTCCACCGAATTATAGCCTTCTTGCTATGGAAATGCTCTCTTTCTGGCCTTCTCCCTCCTCGGTATCTGCTGATGGTGGGACTGTTCCAAGGCTTATGCCAGAGAAAGCTTCAATCTCAGGTCGTTATTCCGTTCATACCTTGGAAGCGCGATTTATCGGACCCTTTGTCTACCATCCTCATTTAACTTCTGCTACAACGCCCTCTGCTGCGGTTGCAGATGCTCTCTCTCAAGTGGCAAGATATTGGAACAATGCAAACACACATCAATGCTATGTTGGCAAAACCTGCTTCCATTACTACAATGACATATCCTATACAGTCAACGCTTTGCAGCCACTCACTTTCGTCAGATGCTCCGCGAGCGACATCAACGCTACTATACAGTTTCCAAGACTCGATCAAGGAATTGAAAAGTATCCACTGGTCAACTACAGCAGTACCACAATTGGGTCTCAGCAATGGTTTGATGCAGCCACTAGTAACGGATCAAACCCGGGTTTAAGCTGGGTCGAACTTCCAGCAGCAGACTTTGGGCGAGCCTCTGTAGGTGCAGCCGTCGCACTTCCTGGGACCAAAACCAAAACCGGCGAAGAGGGAGGCCAAATTCTCGCTTGTACAATCGATGCACGATGGGCTAATGCCACTGCGGCAATCTCATTTCTGGGTGGGCCGATGATAGTCTCTGGAACACCAGCTCTGTGGCTCGGTGGAGCACAATATCAACTTGATTCAACTGGATTGCCATTGTGGCCCCAAGTTACAATCGCTCCTGCATGGGCAGAATCAATAAGCTCAATCGTTACGGATTCCTCAGAGTCAGTTTTCACGTCGCTTTGCAATAGCATAGGACGTCTTGGCAATGTATCAAAGGCAGTATCTCCCATCAACGCTGTCGAAGCTATCCTTGCGGTAATGATAACTGATGGTCTTGCGCGGACGAGCAGTCTGGCTACAATCCTTGGATCTTTGAAGGGTCTCGACAACGGAGAATGGATTCATGAGTTTTTACCCAAGGACACGGTCTTTGGTACTGGTGGCTCAGCCTTCAATTACACTTATCAGCAAGGAGATCAATCTACGAAGTTTGAATCGAGAACCGCCGTGAACGGCTATGGCTACGGAATTACAGCGGCACCCCTCTTGTCGACGCTGGTATTATTCATCTACAGCTTAATTGCCACAATCTATGTCGTCCATTCATTATGTTTTGCAAAGATGACATCGAGTTCTTGGAAGTCAATCACAGAACTGGTGGCCTTGGCTGCGAATTCCACACCATCATCGGTGTTGAAGAACACTGGGGCGGGAATAGCAACACTGGGGATACTCAAGCAGCCGGTCAAGATTGGTGTTATTGATAATCGTCTCCAGATGGTTTTTGATGACAGAGAAGACGCGGATGAAATCAAGCAGAACGAATATTACGGCTGATCTTATTTCGATTTGAAATCTCACCAAATGCCCACAGTGCGGCTACGTTGAGTTTGGATACGGTATGCCATAAATAGAGGCAAGGAGGAAGACTGTAGGCTAAATAAAGCACCTGGGTTTCCGTTCTCTGCACAGCTGCTTTGAACACGAGGATCGCTACATTTTCTGGAAATTTTCCCCCAGTCCCGTATATTAAAGCACCTATTACATTCAAACGATGCTAATTGTTACGGCACTGGGCTGGGCGTACTGTCCCCTGACAACTGGAACTTGGAACCCATGTCTGCCACGTGAATGCCACGTGACATGTCCCCATGATATATTACGCCCTTCTCTCTCTTTCTTCTCCTCCTCCTAGCTTTAGATCCTCGAATATAGACATTCTACCTTTTAGGACTTCGACGTATTTACTTAGTGTCTCCTTTAAATCCTAGATATCCGAGCTATTACAGAAACAGGTCGCCTTTAATGCTAGTTTATTTACTATTGCTCTTGCAGTACCTTCGACTCACCCTTGCTGACCTTAGCTTACTAAAAAAATTGCTGGTAAAGCAGCTCTGCTCACCTTTCCGAACAGAAATGCATTTCTTTATAATAGGATTGGCGCATAATAATCAGCTGTTCTTTCTCCTCCCCGAATCCCACAGTACCTTTTTACCCCTGAATCCGCCCGGCAGCTCTCATGCACCCCACCAATCTCTCTCTTGAAAAAAAAAAAAATTATTGTGAAAAAAAATTATCCTGTATTATTATACCTTCCTATTCCATCTCTATCACCACACCTTCTCAGACATAAAACCCCACACATCGCACCCCCCTCCAGCACCCTTCGGCCTTTCTTTTCTTCCCCCCCCCCCCGTTCATGGACCAACTGTTCCCGGTTCGCACGCCACAGGCCCCCTCCACCAGGACAGGACAGGACCACGCAACTTCCGTCATCGGGGTGGCGAGTACCGTCGGAACAACAACGGGACGAAGAGGTGGCGATTTAGCAACGAAAAAGATTTGTTCGATGCAATGCAGTGCAATGCAATGCATGGTATGCATATGCATGGGAAAGAAGCAAGCAAGCAAGCAAGCAAGCAAGCAAAGGGCGCCGCTGCTGCGAAATAAAACGTGGCGGCTCTGGCGGCGGGGTGCATTTTCGTTCGCGTCTCCCAGAGGAGTAATTTCTCAAGCCACACTTTTCCCGCTTCCACCACGCCGAACCACCCTTTTAGGTTTTCAGGGGAGGGGAAGCATTGTGTGTTTGTCAGGAATCAGGATTTAGAGGGGCATGGTAATAAACTGTTGCGGATGATTCGACGATATTAATACATCAATAATAGCCGGGCGAACTTTGCGCCGGGGAGTTGCGACTCTGGAGGCGGAGAAGGGCGCGCTTTTGGAAGGTCGTTCCGTTTGTTGATGGGGCGCGACCTCTCCTGGGGAGAAGTGTGGCGTTCGCTGGTGGTTGGTCGGGAGAGGCCGCAGGGAGGCGGGAGGAGCGGGGGCGGAAGGGTAGGTTTCAATGGTGGGATATTTTTTTGTGGGGTTTGTGTTTTGCATTAAACGTCCCTCCTGTTGGTGTTTTATGTTTTCTTTACCCTTATGCGCGCTCTGTCTTACCCCTCCTATCTTTCCTTCTTTGGGAGACAGTACTCACCGAGTGTAAATCCTGCACGGCGAGGATAATCCGGGGCACGGTGAGTTTGAAGTTGATGAAAGTAATGGGAGGGAGGGAAGGGCCCGTGTTTCGTTTGACTCGTGTTCCTGATTGGGGTGTCACGAGGATGGGAACAGGTACCAGAGTGCTCCGTGGGTACACGTGTTCAGGATGTCCCTTGACCGTTAGGAGATTTGATCGGCCTCGTGTATCTGGGGTTTGACGGGGTCCGAACTTTTGACTTTCGGCCAGGGTGCGGGCCGTGAACTACTGAATTTAGCAGCTTCAAATTAATAATCATCCTTGGCATATCGAGGGCGAGAATGGATGAAGAACGGCCGCAAATGTGAGCATAATATCGGGGGCATGTATCGAGGGCTGTTGGCTTGCAATTACATTTCATTTCACAATGGATGCTTGGATTTCCCCGAAAGAGGTTTGCCCTGAATCGATCCGAAATTTCATGGACACGGCACATGCCGGACCTCGATTCCAGGAACCGGGATAAGTACTGGATATATCAGACGAAGAGGCATCAATCGTTGGAACTACGAACGCTATTCATGCTTGGGGGGCACAGTTGGGGTTCATCTCATCTTTGCTCGTGGGCCGTGGCATCGTTGGCTAAATGGATGGTTCCTCTATCTCAAAGGCGGTCAGGATTGAGCCGGACGGACGGTAGATCTGCCGTTGTCACTCGCTCGTCTGGTGGATCGACTGATTCATGAGGTGGATCTAACGTTGCTATCCTCGACGTGCAGTTGGTAGAGAGTGGACGATAGTGTAAGAACGACTCGGCAGACACGCACTAATGCAGGGGAGGAACCAAGGATATCAGAAGCGGATATCTTGACTAACAGCGGTGGACCTGGCTGATAGGATAAGGTACGAGGGGCAGTTGGAGAAAGCGGACTTGGGGATGGCAAAATTGGCATGACGAAGAGCATCTGGTGGGGAGCAGAGAGGAAACAGGAAGCAGATGATATGATGCTGAGACATTCAGGAAAAGCAAGCAACGATGCTCCCGATCTCGTTTGGCCTCGAGGGGCGGGATAGGCGAAACCTCGCCAATGGACTGCAGGTCCCCATTATCGCATAGACGGAGACGAGTGAGCATGAACTTTCGATCAGTGCTCCAGATTACAGCAGCCAACAGGCTACAGCCAACAGCAACACCAACAGCAGCGTGCATGATTTTCCCTGATCTTACGTGCAGTGCAGTGCAGTGCAGTGCGGCAACCCCTTTCCTTGTTCGCGAGCCATGTTGTGGGAGTTGGTGCTGGGGAGCGCCATGCAATCCAGGAACGACCCCAGGCAAAATGCGTTCCCATCGGCGTGGCCACGCAGTCACTGCACCAGCTGCACCCGAACAACTAGTAAAAACGCCGATTGGCCACTGCCTGGTTGCTTGGCTGCACGCCGCAGACTGCAGACCGCAGACCGCAGACCGTCCGATGCTGGCCGTCCTCTGCCACTACTGCCACTACTGCCACTGCCACTGGAGCAGACAGACCCTCGAGCCGTAGGATCTGTGTTTTCTGCTGTCTTCAACTCCGGGTAGTCGGCCAGGCAAACGGAGTTAGGTTGCCCAGTAGGGAGGATCGCCAACCAGCCCAGCCCGCCGCTTCGCTTTAAAGTACGGCTGCTACCCGAGAGCCAAGATTTCACTCCTCTCTCTGTCCTTCCTCACTAATTCCGCCTCCGCCTCGCCTGCGCCTGCGACCAACGACCACCGGTCACCCACGCTCCTTCAGCTTCCTCCTCCTCTTCGACTTCGATTCTTCGTGCGACCGCGGCCGGAGAATATTACTTTCGTGCTATTATGTTTTAATCAACCGTCGCTCCCTCATCTTCTTGTGTTCGTCCGCCTGGGGAATTCCGAGTGGTCGAAGAAACTTCGCCAAGAGCAACTTGGGACGATGATTGTCATGGAAGGGTTGATGCTGGTGCCACCAGAGCGTGGGACCATCATTGGCAGAGCCGTCTGGAAGGTCAGTTTGCGGTCGGACGAGTCTGTGTTCGGTGGGCTAACGATCCTCAGCCTCGATATGTCGTCCTCGGTACAGGGGCAGGTTTGAAAGCGCAGAACGAGGTTGCTGCGAATACAGACAATTCAGTAAAAAGCTCGCGCAAAGGGCTGAAAGCCGCAACCTCCAAACCGAGTCTGGTCGATGTCGCACATCCGGGCCCAGAGGATCGAAGGCTTTACATCTCGATTTACAAGGCAAAAGTAAGATTTTTTTTTTTCAGCCTCGCCCATTCCGTGTCTGACTTGTGCAGGGTGATTGGGAATTTCTGTCACAGTATCCGGTATCTGCCTTCAAATCGTGTGAAATTCGAGCACTGCAGCATCGCAAGCAAAGTCCTACTCTTCCAACGCTTATGTTCGAAATGAAACCGGATTCACCGTCGGACAAACAACGCAAACGAAGATCGAGCAGGACGGCTGGGCTTACGTCGAAGGATCCATGGGGGAATATACTTCTGTTCCGAACCGTCGTGGAGGACCCACGCAGTATCTACGAATGGCAGCAGGCTGTGATGCCATTGCTGACGCCTGATGAGCCGGAAGACAGTCCTTTAAGTCCCATAAGTCCGCTGTTTACCAATCCGTTTGCTAGCAGCCGGACGACTTCGAATTCAAACAGTAGGGCTGACTTCCAAGTTCGACCAAGTACGCAACATCAGAATACATACCCACATGCGCCGCTACCAAGGGAACGGCCCTCTGCCCTGATCTCCCCATCCCCAAGCCTTCGATCAAGACGTTCAGATCTATCCTCACAATCAAGCTCCCTCCATCCCCCTATGGGCTTCACCTCCTCGCACCCTCAAACCTACGGCACACTCCCCAACGACTTACCATCACCAGCCTTAACCTCCGGCTACGAGACCCAATTCATCGAAGGCTGGACATCCGCCCAAGGCCGCTCCTCCGCACTCTCCTCTCACACAAGAGGAAGCAACAGCATCGCCTCAGCCGTTGCCCCCGCCATTCCCGGCTCAATTGGCTCCTCGCCCCCAGGACCCCGCGAAACAATCCTCGACCGCGCCTTCCAAATGCGCTGTATTCCCGGCAGTGAGCGCGTCTCCTCCCCCAAGGATGACGAGAAAATAAGCAGCATTGCGCGCTTCGAGGCACTGATGGCCGAGCATGATCAACGCAAGCAAGCAAAACTCGCCACCTCTCAGTCAAGAAGGGAAGGGAAGGACTGGGATCTAGATGAAGAATCGGAGATGTCTGATTCTGGGGAAGTGGGTGAAGATGAAGATGATGCAGAGGGACTCGAGATGTCTGATCACGAGATTGTCATCCCTACGCCAGCAAAGAGAGCACTGGATTACATCTCTGGCCGTATCCCGCCGCCGCAACGAACGCTCTCTCCAGCACGCAGTCCTCCGATCCCATTCCTGAATTCCCAGGCTATGGAAGCCTTGCACGGTAACCTTCCACCGAGCACCAGTCTCCGCCCTCGCACTGGAATTGCCTCGTCTCGAAACGGCGGAAGTCGCCCGAACTCCCTCGCTTTGCCGTCTCGCTCGATATCTACGACTGCGGTGCCGAGTGCAAGGGACAATGGGAGCTTACAACCGACTGACACAAGCGTGAAGAGAAGGAGCAGCACGAGTGTGAAGAGATTGAGTTTCTCGGAGTTTGCGAAGCGGTTGAGCTCGACGAGTAGTTTGCTACTTGTGCAGACGAACGCTAGTTCGAGTTCGGGTAGAGATGGGAGTCGGAGGGGCAGTTCAGAGTATGGTGTTGAGGAGCCTATGGAGAGGGAGAGGCTGGGGATGCGAGGAGGTGGCGGCCAGAATATGGGGGTGGGGATGGGGATGGGGGAGAGCAGGAGCGAGCGGGATAAGAGGTGTGGGTGGCGGGGCAGCGTGGGCGTCTTTGGTTCCGAAGGTGGATTCCTGTGATGCTCACTTCGTTCGCATCACAGGGGAGATGGTTGTTAGATGATTGTAATGATGGGTCACTCGGCGTTCGGGGATGGGCATACGAGGAGTTGGATACCACTTCGCTTTTCGAGGAGTTGAGATGAATTTTTGCTTGAGGAGAGAAGGGAAGGGAGTGAGAGTGAGAGTGTGTATCAATATACCCGGCTGCATGTAAATCTGAATATAGCTCTTGTTCTTTGTTGCTATTCGTTTCTTCCTTTGCAGTGTTTTTCAATCTTGTGTGGTGAAGAGGGTGCAAGTGCAAGCCGATTGTGAGGTGTGACAGCACATGTTTGGTGCTTGAGCCTCCGAAACGGCGAGTGGAGCATGGCTGCTGTAGTGCATCAGCTGCGAACATATAAGCAAGCCTATAGCCAACCTCAGCCCATCGACGATTCAGATGTCAGACGCAGCTATCAGAAACGGCAGCTGGAGCAGCAGTAAAGCAGGAGACGCCAGCAGATTGAACGTGGAACGTGGAATGCGTTCTTGGTCTCGATTGCTGCCTTGTACCGATCGAGCAGGGCTTGGCTCGAGAGCTCGAGAGGTGGAAGGGAGTAGATGGTTCTCGTTCGATCCTTGGTGGCAGGTGACAGGGGTTGGGATTGACAAGAGGGGAACTTTGAGAGCGGGATTTGGTGTCGCCAGTCTCGGATTGGTGGAAGCTGGAGAGATAGTGGGAGGTGGTCGGGTTGGGAGTCTGTAGTTTGGGGAGGGAGGGTGCGTGTTAGAGGAAGAGTTAGGTCGCGGGTGCGGATGTCTCCAAGGTCGGTGTGTGGTACGAAAGAGGGGGTTGGTGGAGGTGTGGAAATGGGAGGGGGACATATATTTTGAGCGAGGGCCCGGGTGGATCGATGGGGTTTGTGGAGGTGAAGGGAGGCCGGGAGGGTAAAGTGAAGGGCCCACTTCGTGTTGAAGTAAGAGGATCTAGCAGGTGCGCATTCCAAAAATGGCCGCCTCCTCTCGCCTTCGTATCTTTCATCCCCTATCCCATCTTCTCAATAATGGAAGGCACTATGCCCCAGTAGTCTCGCCATATCGAAGACCGAATTAGATTCGAAAAAACTATCCTTATTTCCAGTGACATGACGAAGGAGTGCAATTGTATTACCGCTGAAAGTCTCTATAGAATTGAGTAAGAAATCATGATGATTCTCCATGGCACTGCGAACGTCAGCTTCCGAGCACCTCTCCTAAAAGCCGTTTCGGATAACTGCTTACCGCACTTCCATTAGAAGCCTTGGCGACGAAAGTGACTAGACTCCAGCATTTTGTCCAGATGCTTCCTCCTAATGCCCCTCATTAAGAATCATCTCCAACACAATCCGCCTTCCCGCAACCTCCGGATGAGCCATAGCCAACTTCAGAGTTCTCTGTGCACTGTTGCCAGGTGGATTCAAATGATTCGTAGCCATACCAACACCAAGGAGATTAGTGCCAAAGTCCAAAGACCTAACGTCCCTACCAGTAATCACCTGTCTCAATCTGCCATTCTCCGCATTCCTTACTTCCACGAAGTCACTGTGAAAAAGCACAAGGTATACTCCGTACAACGCAGCCGTCTTCGCCTTACCCACATACTCCATCACGACAGACCTTGAGACTTCACCGTGTTTGTCCACGTACACACTATTTTCTTCATAGCATAGCAAGAATTCAGAACTCGAGAGCCGGAACATGCCAAGTGGCTTCTGGTTGGCGAGGCGTGCTGCGATGTTCGTGAGATCAGGATTTTTCAGATCGGGAATCCTCATTGGAACTTTCTTAGCTAGGGTAAGAAGCTCAAAGCCTGCCTTGGTACTAATCGCTATATATACGCTAAACAGATTGATCGTGAAACATTCAGTTGGGATATAGAACTTGTCAAATTCTCTAAAGAATTCTGTTGTCACTATACCGAACTTCCTACCGAAAATATTACGGGATTTCTCGGATGATTTTCGGAGGACGGGTTCGAGAACCTTAAATGTAGAGTGTAGACCGTCTCGCTCCTTATAGAAGACTAAGGTTCTTTCCTTCATATGGCCAGTGGCGAAGAAGGAAACATCTCGATTTCCAGAAAGTTTCTGCGGTAAAGGAGGGTTGGAATCGATATTCGAAGCAGGAAAATCAAAGCCTGGAATAATAGTATCCAGGTGGTAGGCTACGAGAGATTTGTCGGCGATAATAAGGCAAATAGAGAACTGTTCTAGAATCCCTATTTGCGTAACACGGCTTATTTGAATAGACTGAACTATTTTAGCTTGAATCGTCATTAATATGGATTTTTTACTTACTCTTGTCCAGCTTCGAGGATCGTTTGCCTCGGAGATATAGATTCCATAGTCAGTGCCAATCACTACCATCGGCTTTCCATAGCAATTGAACGTTGCAGCACAATTGATTTCTGCTCTGCATACCGGTGGTCGAAGGCTAGCTCCACATATTTGTTCTATCTCTCGGATAGCTCGGTCCAAAGGTGTGTCCTTGACTGAGACCACACTACGTTGTGACGCAGACATCCCCTCATATGCAAATGCACTATCAGCCATGACCCGGAGTCGGAAGGGTTCACTATCCTCTTTTAAGAGAGATGTAGTATAGCGAGTCTTAGCCTCGAGGATCTTATCACACCAATCTTGCCGATTTTGTGCAGAACGAGCACATAAGGTGTATACGTTTTGATTTCCAAGGTGCTTGAGCCGAAACGGATACATAAGCATAGCATCGGCGTCATTTGAAGGCGCTGAGCCCGATTCTCTAACAGACGGTATGATCGACACTGAGTTGTTTGATTGTGCATACTCCAGGGTGTTCTGCCGTTCAAGGTCATGTGTCGCGGTTTGATTGAGCCTTGAATTCTGGGTATTTGCGGTGGTCTTTTTTCCAGTAGTGACTGCGCCAACACTTTTGACTGAAGACTTAATGACTGGATCATCGTCGGTACTCTCAAGGACAAGAAGCTGGATGGGGATTGGCTGTGAAAAGTTAGACCGAAGATCTGTTGACTACTTAGGGACCACTTACAAGTGTGGAAACGTCGTATACCTCCTTCTCTCCCTCATTAGCTATAATTTCTCGTTGCGTGACGGTCTTTGCAAGGACAAGATAATGGTCAAAAAGTATTGCGTGTGTTTCCAGCCATGTGGAATGCCCAGCACATTGAAGATCTCCTCTGAAGATGAGCTCACGCCCAACGTAATCCAAGTTAAGTGCGACTCGTTCCATCCCAAGTCGAAGGAAGAGTTTGGACCGTAACTCGGCCATCTCGATCCTCTTAGATTGCTCGTCAACCTCCGCGTTAGTTCCTAAAGTAACCGCTTTGATCTCGTCGATAGCCGTGGTAAGGGTGGCCTTTTCTTCTATGTCTAGAGTTGCCGAATCTTCTCTTCTTTGGCTTGGGTCAAGGGTTGTTGCCGTGACTGAGCACGTTTGACGAAAGCTTGTAATGTGGGATCAATCTCGGGGTCAAAATCCTGATTCTTAGACAGAAGCAACCAGTCTTCATCAGCTTCAACGTCTGGTTCCCAAGGTGGAAGGGCACGATCGTAACCCTCGAATGTCAATGGATCCTCGAAAATAGAATCCTTTGAATCCACAGTTCGAGCTGAACGTTTGTTGGATGACGGAATTTCACTGCCTGTTTCGTCCTCGGTGTCGTCATCTCCTGGCGGCAGGAACATCAGAGCTAGGGATTTCAAATGGCCTGTAACGTGCCTTGGAAGCCGATCGGGACTGCCATTCTGCCCAGACAGACCTTCAGCTGAGTCTATATCCTCAGATCCAGCTTTGCAGAGTGGACATTCGTCGAACGACCGCAATGCCGGTCGGGAAGCTATCTTTGCCAAAGTAGAGATTCGTGATGGATTGATTTTCCCCTTGTGCTCCGTCAAAATGTGTTGCTCGAATTCCTCTTTGTCGCCGAAAGAAATTGGAGGGTGAACTAGCCAGGGGCTAATTCTGGGAGTTCTAAGTCTTATTTATATTACTTAAGGCAAATTTTTTTTTTGGGGCGAAGTGAATCGCATATTTCTATAGGGCTTTCTCCAGTGAATAAGATCCTGAAATATAGCCTAAAGTATTATATAAAGTATTATTTAATATAATTATTATTTATATTCATTCTTGCCTTATATAAGAGTGCTATAAAAGCTACTAATATAGTATTTACTTGTTTTTAAATCAGGAATTATAATTTTAGTTTATTAATTTTTTTTTAAATATAATAATTATTAAAAAGATTATATAAAATTAATATTTATATTCTAATAAAAATAAGTTAAATTAATATTTAATAATTACTCTTTATTCTAGTATAGTTTTTTTAATTATTAAAAAGTATTAAAATAGTTTAAAATATTTCCTTTTATATTTTATTATTTATTAATAATAATTAATTTAATTATAAATAAAATAATTTATTATTATATAATATTAAGTAATTTAAAGAGTTTTAATAAATAATACCTTATTTTATTTTATATAACTAGTTCAAATTTTGAGTTTAATTTTATATAATAAATTTAATATAAGAATTAATTTAATATTATATTTTCTAATATTATTATATTTAAGTTTAATTAAAATTTAGATATATATAATAATATTATAATAGTTATTTTCTAATAAAAGGCTTATTATAATAATTACTAAAATAATATCATTTCTTAGAAACTTTAAACCTTAATTACTAATATATTAATAAAAACTTATATATATTTATTATATTTATTTTAAAACTAGTATTATTTAATTCTTTTTTTTATTCTAATAAGTAAATATAACTACTTTATTTAGGCAGCTAATTAAATATACCTGAATAGGAACTATAATTTTTACTATAATATAAATATCTTTTTATTCTAGTTATTTTCTTTTCTTTTTATTATTATTTTCTTTTAACTTTTTTAATTTACTATTTGGTTTTATTTATTTATTTATAACTCTTATAATTATTTTATTTCTTTTATAATAGCTATATTACTTATAATAATATTAATTAAGAATAATTTAATACTTATTTTAAATTCTTTAATCTAGAAAATATATTTTTAGTATTTTTCTAATTATTTTTCTTTAAATTATATTATTAATTCAAATATAGCTATTTTTTATATTCTAGTCTCAAATATTATTAGTTTTAGTTTAGCTTTTATATATTTACTATTATTTTTACTTATTAGCTAAAGATTATAAAAATAAAATATATTTATTTAAAATATATATTTATAAAATAAAACTAGTAAAAAAAATAACTTAAAATAATAAATATTATAATTCCCAGATATCTGGTATCTGAGATATTTTACTAGATACTAGATGCCTTCTAGATATATATAATATGGCTGCTTTATTAAAGAAATATACTTGAAATATACTAAAAATATTTAGAAAACTAAATCCCTTCGAGACTAGTATATTATAGAATATATATATTTCCTTATAGTCTCTTATATTCTAGTTTCCTTTTCCTTAGCTTTAAATTGTTTTTATAAGAAACCTTCTATCTTACTTTCTAAGCCCTAAATACTATATCTATAATAGTATTTAAAGCTTACTTTCTTTAATCCTATAGAGAATTTTAAATAAACCAATTCAGAACTATTAGAAATATAGGTATTATTAAAGATAATAGAATTTCAGAAATATAAGTAATAGATTCTAGAATAATAAAAGTAAAAAGCTTTAGAATCCTTAGAAGAATTAGGTATTTATATCTTTATAAATATATATTAGTAATATATTAGAAATTTTCCCGAAAACCTAAAAATTAAAGAACCTTAAATAAAGGCTATTCTTTAATTAAGTCCTAGAATAATAGGTACCTATAGGCTAGTAACCTAACTACTATTCTCAAGTCTTATCCTATAACCTTATAGGCCCTATATATATACTAGTAATGAGATTACTAGAAAGAATATAATAAAAGAAAAGTATAATAAGTTAATTTCCCAGAATATTATATAACTAGAAACTATATTAATTTCTATTAAGGCTTTTAATAAAACTTTTATTAGTTCAAATTATTCCGTTAGTAATTCTTTCCGAATTAAATATTCTATTAGTATTTCTGGAAAATTTATAAATAAGTTTATAGAAATAAAACTTTCTACTTTTATTATAAAGCTTCTAGAAACCAAAAACTATATTACTACTAGAGAGTTATATAAATAGACCAAGAAACCCGATATCTTATTCTCAAATATTAATATTATTATAAAGAGCTACTAGGAAAATATTTATAGAACTGTTTTATATAAGAATATCTATAGTTATAATAAAACTATTTTCGAGAATATTAAGTTCTATAATACTAAACTCGAGAATAATATTAAATACTATATAGCTATAATAAATTGGTTTATAATAGCTTTAGCTATTTCTGCTATTCCTATAGTTCCGGCTATTCCGAATTCTTTTCTAAAGAAATCCGAACTATTTCCTATTTATTTTTATCTAGAATTCCCTATATCTTATATTTTTTTTTAGAAATACTAGAATTACTAAGCTCTCAGATCTAATTTTCTTTACTAGAGATTATACTATCTTTAATAACTAGCTAATTTAGATTAAGAATAAGTAATAAGGAAATACTAATTTATATTTATCTGAGAATCTTAAAATTATCTATATTTCTAATAAACTTACTAGTAATACTCTTGCCCTAACTAATTTTTATATAAATAAAAATAGTTCGAATTAGTATTATTAGCTTTTAAAGTTCTATTTTTACCTAAAAAAGCTATATTTTAATTCTAATAAAATATAGAATACTTATTATAACTTTAGTAAGTTTTAAATATATTCTAGTTAAATATTTTAGAAGTTCTATATTTTTTTTATAACTATTTATAGAAAATAGTATTAGTTTTTAAGATATTAAGTATAAACTAAATAAAAAGCTTTTATTAAAGCTTTAGGAATTGGTATATATATATTATAATAATTCTTCTATTAATATTATTTGCTTTATTTAATATTATATTACTAATAATTAGTAAATTAAGGCTATATATAAGAAAACTAAGAAATATAAAAAGATAAAAGCTATTTCTATTAAGTTTACTTCTAGTACTATACCCCTATATATTTCTAAAAAATATATTTCTAAAAAAGAGCCTAAAAAGCCTATATTAACTATTTTTATTAAATATATACTCTTTTATAAATATAAGTAATATCTTATAAAAACCAAAGATCTTTTAATTATTAAATATTATAATTATAACAAGTTTAATTACTATATTAGATACTATTTGGTTCTATATAATAAGGAAACTAAAATAGCTCTTTCTAGAATTAAACTAGACTTAGTTTCTATTTTATTGAAATATATTATTCTAGTAAAATATTTAGAGAATTTGAGTTCTAATTCTAGTATAAAACCGGAAAATAAATATCTCCAAAAAAGTCTCTATTTTAGAGGCTTATAATATAAATTTAATAAAGATTAACTTGACTTATTTAATAGAAAGAAATACTTTTATAATACTCTATATTATTAGTATAAATAAATTAGAAATTAAGTCTTTTTCTCTTATTAATACTAAAGCTAATAATTATATTTTTATTAATATAAAGCTTATTTAGTTTATAGAATAATTCTTAGAAATAGAATTATAACTTCTTTTCTTATCTTATACTATATATAGTTTTAATAAAAAGCTAATATAATATAGCAGGCTATATTTTTTAAAAATTATATTATTTTAGTAATTTTGAGATTTAGGTTATATAATAAAGGCTATAGCCTTTTATATATAACTTACAGAAATTATATAAGAAAGCTAGTTTTTCTATAGTTCTAGAGAATAATCTCTTATAAATATTTAATTAATTTAAGCTTTTATATATTATATACTATTTATACTTTATTATTTATATTCTTAATTTATTATTTTATTATTAAGTTATGTTTTATATTCTAGTATACTTTATATAGGTTTTTGTTTTATTATAATTTCTTTCCTATATATTTTATAATAAGTAATATAGAGAGATTAAAACTTTATAATTAAGATAATATTTTTATAAAATTCTAAAAAATATTTATAAGATAGATTATTAGCTTAATAAGTTAGGAAAGAAAAGAGCTATTATAATATTTTAAGTCTAAGGCCAAAATATTAAGGATATATAAGTATTAATTTTAGTATCTTATATTAATTTCTAATATATCTAGTAACTTGAATATAAGTTAGCTATAAGATATAATTACTAGTATAGTATATAGGAATAATAAAAATAGAGGCTAATTATAGAAGGAAAAGAAATAAAGAAAATAAAATAAGAAATAAACTTTAGTATTTAGAAATAAAGTTATATTATTAATTTATATATTATTTTTAGTTATAATAAAGACTAGAATAGAAGTAATACTAGTTTTAGTAGAAAAGCTTATTTCTAAATCCGGAAAAAATATTTAAAAGAGGAAATATCTTTAATTTTAAATAAAATAGTAAATAGAAATTAGAAATAAAAATTAAAAAGAAATTAGAAATAAGAAATTATATAAATAAACTAGAGAAACTTCTAAAAAAAGAAAAGAATACTAAGTAA